CATTTTTTTTGAACCTGGGATTTCACCCACGCGTACCGTCGTCTCTGCTACAACCTCAGCCCAGTCCCAATCCCAGTGTCATGGAATTCGTAGAGGCACAGAGCACAGCATTAGTCCTCGCGCAAGAGGCCATCGCAGATGCTCAGGAACGGCAGACCAAGAATGCGGATTCTCGTCGCCGTGATCACGATTTCAAAGTTGGAGACCAGGTGCTGCTGAGTACAGAAGACATCACTGTTGCTGCTGACAGGAATCGCCCCACCAAGAAGTTGCAGGCACGCTTCATCGGACCTTATACCATCCTGGAACAGCACTCACCGGTCTCTTTCCGCATTGAGCTACCCCCGGCCATGAAGATACACGATATATTCCACGTTGACCGCTTTCGACCCTACTTACCTTCACCGGTGACATTCGGCCGACGTGCACATGCGAGGCCAGCACCAGAGATCATTGATGGCGAGGAAGAATACGAGGCTGAGACGATCATGGAGCATCGAAACAACAACAATCGCGTGGAGTACCTGGTCAAGTGGCAAGGATATGCAAGGGAGGACTCCACATGGGAACCAGAGAGCAATATGACCAACTGTGCGCGACTTTTACGGCAGTACAAGAAACAGCATAGACTGTAAAATTATTTTTTTTAATGGGAAGGTGTAACAGGATAACCCCGCTTATAGCCCCGACTCCGAAAGGACTGGGGCCTCGGCTATAGACAACCGGCCGGGCCGGAACCGGACCGTAGACATAGATATATAGACCAGCTAGTTGCCATCTTAATACAGCACGCATTCCAACCCTTTCCATCCTTACCCCTGCCCTCGACTGCCTAGAGCTATTACACCTATAGACCATAGCAAAAAGAAAAGATATGGATGAGAACGTTTTTATATTAATACAAACTCTGGCAAGATATATTATCATTAGAACATTATTTTACGTGCCTACCATTCATTAGAGTGCTCGCGTGTATATGTCTCAAAGTCCGTCATGAACTTAAGGACATTAGAGCCGTTGTCACTGGTAATTGACATGACCTTTTGCCGTAAGTCAAAGCGCTCCACTACCTTGATGAATGCCTGCATCAATGCCTCGCCTGTATGTGAACCTTTTAGGTGTTCAAAGCCCAGAGTGACATCCTGCTGTATCCAATTGTCATCGATCCAGTGAGCAGTGACTGCAAGAAATGACGATTGAAAGGGGCTTGTCCAGCCGTCTAGGGTGAAAGCAACCATAGGTACTGTTGCAAGCTTGCCACGAAGAAGCTCCTCATATTCCTCATGCAGTTTCGAAATCTATATTGATGAATGGTCAAGTCATTATGGTTATTAATAAACAAACAATTACGCTATTAGCAAAATACATTTTTGATTCAATATGTTGCGCCATTGTTCATTGTAGTTGGCATACCCTTTTGCTGATTGTGTCATTGGATGGCAGGTTTAATGCATCTGTAGAGGGCGCTGTATGTGCAAGGTCGAGTAACTCCTTTAGCAAAGGCGACTGGACAAAAGTATAAGGTAGCTTATGGCGGACCAGGATTTTACAGATATGCTGTTCAAGCACGTCTGTCGAAAAATGAGCTGAAGATCGCTTTCCCTTGTTTGCCAGAACGCTCTCAATAGATCCTGCTTGACCTGTGTAGACACTAGTGTTTCTCAAAAATATTCGACTTTTATTCGACTCGTGCTAGGCCAATGTAAAATTCGAATGAAATTCGAAATTCGATTCGACAGTTACATTGGCCTAGCACGAGTCGAATAAAAGTCGAATATTTTTGAGAAACACTGCTCAGCAGTAAGCCACGGGACTTAGCGGTTACAGAAGAGGGTGCAAACCCTTTGCAGGACCATCGAACGGAAACGCCTTTGTGGTGAAAGTGAAGACTGTTGTCGCGCCAGTTGATAGAAGGATTGATCTGAGTGAGCCAGTGTTTGCCGAGGATGAGGTCGTAGGATTGGAGGTCATAGAGGAATGGTTGAAGGTTGTCGGCGTAGTTGTCGCGGGCGAGGGAGATGGAGGCAGTGTATTGAGTGAGAGAAGAGGAACCGTCGGGAAGGATAATTGGGATGGGAGAACAGGGGACGAGTGGGATAGAGTGATGGCGCTGGAAAGTCTTGCTGATGACATTTCTCTCAGCTCCACCATCAATAAGAATACGTGCAGGGTGTCCACTAACAGAACCAATAAATGTGAGCAAAGTGCGTTCAGCAACAGCCGTGGTGAATGTCAGGAACAGACTTAGAAGAGTGGGATATGTGTTATGGAGAAGGCAGACAGTGGACAAGGTAAGGAAGAAATGTATTGCAAACTGAGGTTATATGCTATGGATTCTATGGCTCTATTTATGTGTTTCTAGGATTCTTGGTCAAGGTACTCGGATGGCTACTACGGGACGCGAGGTATATTTGCTAGGAATAGCACAAAGGTATGGATCAGGTACAATGGTTCTAGGCGGGCCGGACAATGGTTCTAGGCGGGCCGGACAATGGCCATATCAATAAAGATACTTCGTTGAACATATGTTGATCGAGACAAGGCGGAGCATACGGCGGCAGAGGTACGCGTGCAAGCGCGTGAGCGCGTAGAAGCAGTCACAAATCGATATGAGCAATTGTGCGCGCAGCTCAATTGTCACTCTGCACCACACGCTATGGTGCTATCCGTGACAGATCCCTTTGACCTTGCAGATCCCTAACCCGAGCGTGTTGTCGCCTTTATTATTCTCGTAAATAGTTTTGCTGTCTTTATTATTCCTCACCGTTAAAAGATCTCTTACCAGTGCCCCCACTTGGAGCTTTATCCATACACCGTAAGATAATTATTACGTAGACTTCGTAAAGCAGAAGAAACTTTTATTGAGCAACATATTCACAGCTAGTGCTTTTACCTGATATAGAGCCACTACACCACAACGCGTCCCAGAAAGGACGTTTACAATCACTCCTCTGTTCCTGAAAGTGTTCATCACAAAGTATTTTTTTAAAAACCAACAGATATCTCAATCCAAGGACACCAATCTTCAAGTCGTCAACCTACCGGGACAAAGTCCTTACCACGGACAATGGGACCCTCTTCCAAGGTGCTCTACGGTTATCTCCCGAGCAGTTCGAGTACGTGCTCGAGATCATTCGAGATCACTCGGTGTTTCAACGTCAGGGGAAGAAGCCCCAGATGGATGTCGTAATCCAGCTGAAAGTTGGCATTCATCGCCTAGCACACGACGGATCATTGGTTTCATAACGTGGTTGTCAAAAGTGGTCGTATGGTTTTAAATGGCCTGTATTATCTCGATATCCAAAAGATAAAAGCATGAACCTCACTATGCGAACAAGGACCCGCGTCCAATGGACTTTAAAAAAACACAACTAATGAACTGGTTCATGTTGTGGATTTTTCTCAGATACGATGAGAATACCTGCTTCTCGAGAACATTTCCTATGGCACGGGCTTTATTTTGACCCAAATGGGTCTTCTTCTCGACAACGTAAGTGAACGTCTGATACATGAACCAGTTCATTAGTTGTGTTTTTTTTAAAGTCCATTGGACGCGGGTCCTTGTTCGCATAGTGAGGTTCATGCTTTTATCTTTTGGATATCGAGATAATACAGGCATCAAATAATGTAAAAAAAGCCGCATTAAATCCATTTAAAACCATACGACCACTTTTGTCAACCACGTTACAAGGCATTTGGAAATGATGGATTGTGGTGAAAATAAAAATAGTAGATGTGGGTTTTTTTATTTTTTTTAGAGCGACTGTTGGTAAATTCACAAAGTATATGGGACGAGAAGTCTGTGAAAACAATATGCCCTTTAATAGTGGCAGATCGTGCCTTATATGCTAGAGAATAGCTATAAATGCATCTAGTATAGGGGATAGGAACATAGGGAAAGTCTCAGAGGCACAATGAGCTTCATAAAGGATCAGCACCGAGTGGTGATGAATCCAAAGAAAATAGGGTGCTCTATATATAAGCAGGATAATGTGGTGAATACACCACAGGTATGGTTCAAAACTGAGACAATCAGGTGGCCTCTGCCGACGACTATAACTTTACAACGGTTGCTGGTACCGACTTCATCTTTTATAAACGTCTTCTATAATGGCTAAAGAACATTCCTACAAAGTTCCAAGGTAATCCGATCGCTAGTTTGTGAGTATCAGCTCTCAGAGTAAAAATTTGCTCAGCTTTGAACGGCACTGTATGCTAGCGCATCTATTCGAATTATTCGAATCAATCGCATCAATAGAATTAATCGAAATATTAGAACTATTCGAATCATTCGAATCGAATTCAATATTACCTATTCGAATCGAATCGAATCCACCTCAGTTCGAATTCGATTGAACGCATTCGAATAGACGCGCTACTGTATGCGCGACCATCAAACATTGGAAGAACAGTGCAGGCTGCAGATGGAGGCAGATGGATTTGTACATGTTATTGAAAAGATACTACGCAGTCAAAGAATCAAAGAGAGGGGAAAGAACTGCGACAGTCCAATAGTTGTGCATACTGTGGGAAACTACTATGTAATCGTTGACGATCAACATCTGGCTTCCGAGGGATCTTGGTAAAATAAAATCAAAAGTCCGAGAAAGATATGATTAGGTCATGTAGGCCATCTCGTTGTTTGCCTGATTGCTGGCAAAGTAATTTCTTACAGTTCTTCATTTCGGCTTTGTTGGTGTATAGAATGTTGGCGGATGAGTCCGCGGGCACAAAGCTCGAGGAGGGGTACCAGGCATCGGCCGCAAAGAGGCGCCTGTCCATTCTTCTGCTGTAGAGACATTTGTTGTCGAACAGGATTGAGAAGTACATGCTACCGCTGCTCCTGTAATCAATGTTGTGACTCCTGTGGAGTTGCCAGTAAGGCCACCGGCACCTGTCCATGCTGCTGGTGTGTTCGCCAAACTGTTCAAGGGAAGGTGGGCGTGGACAGAGGTACTGAGTCCCGACTGTAAGGGAGCTTGGGCGTGGACAGAGGTACTGGGTGACTGCAAGGGAACTTGGGCGCGACGAGAGATGCTTGGTCTTCGTGGGTTAGATACAAGACCCTGGACTTTTCTCGCCAAAGAGAGGATATGCTCCTAACAGCATGCGATGTTATAAGCTGTAAGTGCATTTGAAATAACACTGGATAACAAGGAAATCGTTTGTGCTTACTTACCCTATATGCCAGGAGACGTTCCATACCGTCCTCAAGTAAAAACCGCCCAACTCGAACTCATTCGACGGGAGACGCAGGCGAGGTTCCTCCGTTTCGCAACATAACATGACATCTTCGAAAGGACACATAATGTTCCAGGTTCCCTCGAGTCCTAGCACAGAGTGAAGAAAAATCAAATATATATGAATGAACAGCTAGACAACAGTCATTGCAAATATAAAGTCAACCCACCTACAACGTCCTGATACACATTGCCAGTATTCATCGGCACTTTTCCGTTCATGACAATGCTCTTATTGAGCCGCATATTTTTCTTCCTTTGAATGTCTGCTGTCAGATCTGACGATCCAAGACCTTTGTGCTCGTCGTTGCTCAAGGTAAATGGCTCAAAGCGCTGACCTGTCTTAATGGTGGCGATCAACCTGAAATCAAGCTTGCGGCCAGACGCGCCAGCTCGACCAACCGCGGCCTTTGAGCCTACAACAACACGAATAGCGACCTGATCTTTCTGGGCCTCTCTAAGGATTGTTTCCCCTCTATACATTTTAAATTGCCGTCAGCACAAGATATTGAACACACAAGACTGTTAAAAGAGTTCAATAAATATCGATGGCACTTACACTTCAACCTCCACAGCTGTGGAAGCAAAAAGGACTTCCCACACTGCATACCAAACAAAGAGTGTGGATGACTCTGTTCTCTTGGCACGACCGAATTTGTCCGGCACGCACCGTTTCACGCTAAACAGGGAAATAACAAATGAAATAGTATAGTTTCCAGGGGAAAATAATATCTTGAAAGGCGATCGCCACCAACAACGAAATGACTTACAGGATCATCAGTATCTCGGCAACCATCATCTCTGTTGATCCCTCCTTAAATTGAGCCATGTCTGTTCTGAGTTGGCGTCTAAGATCATCTGGTCTCGCCTCGTCCACACCGTCTTGCACGTCCACAAACCCTTGGTACGCCTTGATCTGCTCGCGAACAGCTGGATATGTAAAGTTGACTCCTGCTTTGCATCTTCGGACAAGTTCATCTCGTTCTGGGAATGACACATGTAGCTCCAGGTCGACAATGCCGCTGACTGCGACACTATTGACATGAAATAGTGGAGAATCAGATGAAGTGAATAAAAGCGATGTATATTCCATCACAAAATTGGAGCTTACAAGACATCTTTTTGTTCTGATGGTGTCATGGTCCTGAATGTGTCCAGATGCGAATAAACAAAGTCCCACAAAAAAGACTGCTGCGTGCTCAAAGTTGGTTTTGGATTTGGTTTTTGAAATCTTTCACCCCGCGCCTATTGATTAGTGTGCAAAAAGAGCAAAAGTATCAGTTACAATACAACCTCGACACCGCAGTGAATACAGAGAAGAGACGAGCTTACCGCATGGTAAAGTGCGCGAATGAGAGGGTAGAATCCAGGTTCAGTGTTCTTCTCCACCTCGCGTAGTTCTCGAATAACTTCCTCCCTGAGGCTTTCTTCGTTTTGGACACCTGTTTCATCGTCGTCTACTCCATCGTCGTCTACTCCAGCGTCGCCTACTCCATCGTCGCCTCTCGTTTTCTTGTTTGAAATTGATTCGATCTGGTAGTAAGAGCTCCGTTTTTTTTCTTGGGGAGTCGACAAGCTAGACGCGCCACCTTCCTCTCCCGCATACGTTTCATTCTAATAGCACAAGCAACGCATACATATTAGCAAGGACGAGAGAACAAGGCGCGATTTTTTTTGCATCAATAAATAACCTGCCTGGATGGCCCTGGGAAGCTCTTTTGTTGCTGCGTCAACCAAGCCTGCCGTTGCGACCGACTTTCCTTTCTTAATATACATTGACTGTCTCTGTTGCAGCCAGAACATACTAGCCCCAGATGTGTTCGCTTTCCAAGCATTGAATCTCTCGCCGATCGTAGTCTTTGCGCGGTCTTTCAGCCCGGACCCATTGACGGCATTCAAGAACGCTGTATACGCGGAGCGTGAATTTGTGTACGAGAATCTTATCGCGAACGCCTCAATGGTGATATTAAGTGCGATTTCCACCATTTTTTGTGCTCCAAAGCCGCCATGGTCCTACCAAGTGGATAACGAAAACACAGGCAAGGTTAATTGTATCAAAATACTCATACCGCGCAAAATTGAGAAAGTATGGCTGTAAAGAGAGCAGCATGCCTTGTAGACGCCAGCCTCTTAGTCCCTTTTTTCAAAGAGACAGGTAAACCATCGTTTCCCCACCAGAGGCCCAGACAGGCGCATTCCTTGTGTTTACAAGGCGCAAGCAAGGTCCGGATCCAGCTTAAGGAACCCGGAGAGCATAAAAACCTGCCCACCACACATCTGGCACCAAAAACGAAAGTCCGGCCAGTTTGACGCAGCATTCTCCTCTCTCTTGTAGAGTAAGACCTCTTAATCCCTTTTTTTAAAGAGACAGGTAAACCATCGTTTCCCCACCAGAGGCCCAGACAGGCGCATTCCTTGTGTTTACAAGGCGCAAGCAAGGTCCGGATCCAGCTTAAGGAACCCGGAGAGCATAAAAACCTGCCCACCACACATCTGGCACCAGAAACGAGGTCCAGACAGTTCTACGAAGCCTGACTCTTGTTTCCCTCTTGCACTCTTCCTCCACTTACCTTCTCGAAGGTGGGCGAACGGCCGCTTGCTCAAATAGAGATCGGTACGCGGGGCAAAGTTGAGTGAGAGTGGAACGAAAGGACTAGATGGAGGCACGATTGAATGAAGGCTGGGTGATGTCAATGGGATGGGCGTGGACGAGCAAATCGGTGAATGAGGCCAAGGCAAAAGGAATTAGACGCCGTAGTGAGATCTTGTTTCAACATGATTGGCTGTGGAGGAGGGAGGGAGAGATGTGTGTCTGTACAAACCTTGATTGCGCGGGCATTGCGTTGCCGCGTCTGCCCCAGAGGTGCCTTAGGCGAAGCCCGCAAGAGATGTCAACGAGCCAAATGACAAAAGGATTGTTTACATCTCTCTCTCTCTCGTCGCATCTGAGCAAAAAGCGTCAAATAGGAAACAGCCTATAAAGAGCTGACAGGGATTTAGAAGTGGAAATTGTTATTTACCTTTTTGATGGACACGAAATGGTGAACAGCGAGCCTGGATCTAGTGACAACGGCGAGTGATGATGACAGACGGCCGTGAGGGTTGGTGACAGTGGGAGCGATGGCGGAGGAGCGTGAAGCGATGGCGGAGGAGCGTGAAGCGATGGCGGAGGAGCGTGAAGCTGTTAACAAAAGTGACTGCTTTTGTGGACAAGGCGAACCTTGCCCACATTTGCTCTCTCTGTTTGCGACCTTTCTCATTCGCTAGAATTAACCTTTATGTTTTCTACGATTCCATATCCCTAAACAACGCGTCTTCTACGCGCACTGCTATGGCCGAGGCCTGTCTCTACACATCTAGATCCCTTTATTAACAACCAGATACTTGAGCGTCAGCTTAAGTATTCATCACTTGATAAGAGTCTAGACACATCCTTTTTATCTTTATTTTTCTATATAAGCTGGAGTGTGTTCCCCTCCAAGATTAGTTCCTTAGTCCCAACCACACCAATAAACAATCCTTCAACACACTTACCTGCTCTCTCTGCCTCCTGAACACTCCAGTCCCCACGACTCGTAAGTCTTGTCAACTTACTCTTGATCTTGATTCGTGATTCCTGACTTACCTTGATCCAGATCCAGATCCTGACGTCCCTTTTATCTTGACCGCGTCACAGAAGCGATGGCAGGAGGATAAGGGAGTGGCCGACGGTAATGGCACAGGAGCGATGATGATACAAAGGCGAAGAGGATACAAAGGCAAGGGCGGGGATGGTGATGATGAGAAAGAATCGAGAGCGCGTAGCGCACCTGCGCAAATCAAAATGTAGTTTTGCCACCTCTCCTTTATTTTTGGGTGCCTTGGTCTTTGCCACTGCTCCCACACCCGCTCTCGTACCTTCCTATTTTACTTTGCCGCTCGCCTTCGCCTCTAGCATCACTCCTACGCCCTCATCGCCTTTGCCACAGCACCCCATCTGTAAATTTTTTTTTTTTTTTTTTTTTTTTTTTTATTAACATAAATCCCCATGAGCACAAGACGCATGGTCCGCAAAGGCCTTGAAGCCATAGATGCCTTCCATGCACGGCAGAGCCGCATCCCCTACCAACTATGTTGGCTTGAGGCGTCAAATTCATAACCCATGTCGCATAGCTAGCCTAACCTAACTCCTGCGTGACCTGTTGCGCGATACACGTCTCCTAATCCAGATCCAATGTTAATAAAGTTGTTTTTAACCGAATAACCCCTCCATTATGTCCAACTTCCCTCGCCCCAAGCACCCCATCTGTAAACCAAATGCGCAGCCACGTGTAGTCGTTTACGCGACTTTTTTTTTTTTTTTTTTTTTTTTTTTTTTTTATAACAACTTGTCTCTCGAGTCAATTGACTCTGCGAATCTATCAGACTAACTAGCAAAGATCTACTATCGCTGTCCTCACCACCAAAGCGGAACCGATCCACAGTCGCCAAAAGACAGGTCACATTCCCCGGGCCTGCCCCTAGGGCCTGCGCAACAATTGCCACACCTCATCAGTGTGTTAAAAGCTGAAAACACCTTGTTACAAGAAGGGTATCTTCCCCATCCCCTCCATAGTTGTCAACCGCCTCCTCCCTTGCAGGCAATCCAGCAGTGTCCGATCCGCTGCGTCTGGGTCAAGCACGGGGCCAGGGCAGCTCCCGTTTACATGGTCAGCGAGTAATGCACCACACGGACATTGGTCATCGTCGCTAATGTATCCATACCCATCACTCCAGTCCCCTCTCGGTCCCTTGTATGGAGTTCGTTTCATCTTGGCTGTGATCCCCCATTCTCGCTCTCGAGCAATGGTGGCCTTGCAGCGTGGTTTCCAGATCAGCTCCGTAGCTTTCTCCTCAATAAAGCCGACGAACTTGTGAATGACCTGGCGCGCAATCGACGATGGCGAGGTAAATAGACTGCCCCACTCCTTGATAAGGCTTACGGGTGTGATGCCACGGCATAAATCGCTGATGCTCCAGGTCAGATCCGGAGAGCGGTCATGATACTCGTCGCCTTTGAGCATTGATCGGGTCCCGGCGATACAGGATAGACCTCGGATGTGGGTCTCGTTGTTAGGACAAACCCATCGAATGGGTTTCGGTGCAGCAGCGGCGGCTCCAGCGCGGATCCTATCACGCTCTTGCTGCTTCTTGCTGTTCTTGTTGTATGCGGTCGTTGCAGCTCGTCCCCACTTATCAATCTGCTGTAGCCCTTCGCGCCAGATCTCCTTGTGGACATCTCTAGTAGCACTGCACGTCCACAGGTGGTGGTTGTCTTCGTCCTGAACATCGCAGACGCAGCAGACACGGTCAGGATATAGACTCGGGTGGCGAGCCTTCATGGTATTCAGGGTAGGCAGCATACCATGCAGCTTCTTAATATGATGTGTCCTCTGGGACGTATCAGCAGCACTGCTGAAGAACGTGTGCACAGAACGCTTGTCGTGGACATGGGCAAGGGTGGACCGCCACTCCACGTCAGCAAGATCTGGTATCGCTCTCTTGACACGACGTTGGGTTGTCCAGGCCTGATGACGCCTGATTGTCGTCTGCTGCTTGAGTAACTGCCGCAGATCATGTTCCACAAAATGGTCGTGGCAATGTGCAAAAAAACGGATGTCTTGCTGCTCGCTTAAATCAACTGACCAGGGCATTGACTCGACTCGGACGGCGGCTGTCGCCACAGTGTCTGCAAGATTGTTGCCAGTGTTGGTGCTGTGCCCACGGATCCACCTCACCTCCACCGACCCAGGCCGATCATGGACAATTTTGTGTAGTGCTGCCCAGTGTCCGGAGTACGTACTACGGAACCGCTTACGAGGTAACGTGTCCGCACGGGAACGCACAAGCTGCTGGTATTGTTGCACGACCGCTTGGTTGTCGAGCTCCACAATAATGTTTTGGTCTGGTGGTGCAGATAGGATGGCAGCTAGGAGACCTATGAGTTCTGCTTTTGCTGAAGAAGCGTACCCGTCTGTGCGGCCCTGCACACACCTGACCACGGGCTGCGATCGATCAACGACCCCAAAGGCCATGGCTACGTCTTCTTGACCAGTGTTAATTAAAGAGCCATCGGAGGAGATGACTCGCGGTGCTGTGTTGTCGACAGGAGATTCTCGCAGCTGTGACACAGCAACTGCCTCAGCGTGTGATAAGCTGACTGGTCCAATTGTGGTTCTGTCTGGATATAATGTGCCCACCTCCTCAGACAGCTGGTGTACAGGCAGCAATGGATACGTTTGGCGTTGAGGCTGTAGACGCAACTCTCGTTGTTGTTGACGCTGTAGTCGACGTTCGCTGTTACGCAGGCGTCGGCGCTCCCGTGCCTGCTGGGTACCGTACTGGGCATGTATCGCTTGCGATGCACGTGCGCGTTGTGAGTTGATGTCTTGCAAAAGTGCTTTTCTGCGCCGAGCAGCAGAGTCTAAGGCAGCCTGTGCGCGTCCTCGTAGGCGAGCCAGGACGGTGTGATACTGCGCGCTGTTAAGATCCAAGAGTGGTGAAAGGCTGCGGACAGAGGTACGGCTGGCTATCTCGTATCGCCTGTGATTGGCGCGCGAAGCACGGTGCACGCTGTTGACCTTTTGTTGTAAATCGCTGGTGATGGCGGCGCTTTCGGTATTGTATGCAGCATGGGCGCCCTTAATTTTCAATCCACACCTGTCTGCGAGGCGAGAGAGTGCAGCATCTCTGCTGGTAGCAATTGCAGCGAGGCTGGGAACAACTTGTACCCCATTGTCCGCAGTACTGGGCGCCTGAGGTTGGGCGGGCCCCGTTGGCCACGTGATGAGAGACAAGGCAGCAACTGTGTGTGTGTTTGTTTGTGAGAAAAATATTTCTGTTGGGTCAAAGTCCTCGCGCGAGGTGCCGTTCGCAGGTTGCTTTCCTTTGTCCTTCTTCTCCTCCGACATGCACCTCTCCTCTTCCTCCTCATCACTGACATGTCGCTCAACATCAGCATCAGAAGATTCATGGACTGTAGGTGTCACAGATTCCATAGCAGCGAGACGAGCCAGGGCTTCGGCACGTCGTCTTGCTCGAGGGTCAACTAGCGGTTCGTCCTCGGACTCATTACTGGGAGCAGGAGAGGGACAGAGCCGAGTCTGGGCAGTCGGAGGCGCACTAGCAACAGCACCTTCCCCTGCTTGGTCGTGGACAACACCGTCGTCGTCGGGACGGTTGTCGTAGTTGTCGACATCGCCAGCACGTAGCGCATCATTGGTTGCTGGAATGCAGATATGGCGACGTAGACTATCGTACCATTGTCGTGGCCTGTTTTTGATATACAGCCTTTGCTTCAGCTCGGCCCAGCTTGCCAGGGCAGTACCATCAGCGGTGGCCACATCGAGTAGGCGTGTCACACCGTCAATACTGAGTTGACGTGCAACTTTTCGGTACACCTTCGGGGGCAGAAGGAGGGCGATCAAGGGATTTGGATCAGGAGTGCTTGATGGCTGGCCAAAAACAATCTGGCGGCTGCACATGAGACGGCACACATGGCCCAGGAAGTTGTGTTTGGTGAACTGGGCTCCAACAGCAGGCAGCTGGCAAGGCGGGACAGGCAAACGGCACTCAGCCTGGTGCGCCAAGGATCTTGCTTCCATAACCTGACCCACAAGCCCTGGATCGTTGAACCGAAGCAATGCAGTAGAGATCTGCTCCTCCTCCTGCACGTCTCCAAGGTGTCGAAGTCCGTAGAGGCGTCGATGGAACAGGATGCTGTTAGGCGTACCTTTCGGCAAGCCGACCTTCTGCCGAACCATACCTGCATATTGGCCAATAATCTTGGTAAGCTCTTGGTCTGAGAGAATGGTTGTCGTGAGGCGGTATAGAATGCGCGGGATGAGCACATTGTTGACGATGAAAATTGCCTGCTTGTCTGTGATAGCTTTCCTGGATAGCAGTTGACACATGGACTTGACCTCCTGCTGCACGAGTTGACGGGTGTGTGTGCCTTTGCCATCAGCGGAGAACCAGACACCAAGCATTCTGGCAGCCGTCGCTTGAGGAAGTGCCTCGATGATGTCGTCACCAAGTTGGACAGTGTGATCACCTGTGGTAGGGTTGACGACCAATAGTTCTGTCTTTTTTGGATTGATCTCGATGGAGTTCAAGGAGAAGAAACTCATCGCAATTTCAATGATCTCTTGCATACTTTCACGGTTAGGTGCTGCCCAGGTTGTATCGTCTACAAAGGCCAATGCGGCAATAAAGAGCTGCGGATCCGGGAGCGCAGGCTGCGGGAAATGGAGATGATGGTGTTCAGCCAAGGCAGCCTTGCGCATGACCGGATACCCAAGCCCGGAATCCATGACCACACTCAGCAAGATTTCGTACGAGATGCGCCAAAACAACGGACATTCTACCCCGCCCTGATCCAGACCGCACTGTGGACTGTACTCCTCCGTGAGCCCGAAAGCCGTCAGGATCTGGTTTTTCTTGGAGGCCGCAATCGTCAAGCAGAATTGAATGAAGCTAGGGTGGATCTTGAGGTGGCGCATTCCACGTTCGAGCATGCCGTCGGGACCACATGAGACAGAGTCGAAGCAGCGGCGCATATCCTGGAACAGCACCCACAGCTCTTTGTTGAATTCTCTGGCGTCCTCCATAACCGAGTTGAGAATGTGTATCGGGTCCTTTGTCATTGTGCCCTTCATGACCGAGAAGTTTGGTCCGCGTAAAACGCTGTGGCGTGCGAATATGGCTGTAAGGCGGTTGACCAAGATCGTGAACAGGATCTTCCTCGCGTGCTCTAGCAGGGCTATCGGACGGACCTCGCTGATCTTGCCAGTCCAGGACGGACCTTTCGGGATGCAATAGATGAGGCCCTTGAGCCACACCGTGGGCAAAGTGCATTGTGCAATGCTGGCCTGCACAAGGACGACAAAAACCGAGAAAGCAATCGGTCCGAGGTGCTTCAGTAGGTCTCCAGACAGCCCTGATATGCCTGGGGCCTTGTTAGTAGGTGCAGATTGTAGAGCAGCAGCTACCTCTTCACGGGATGGTGTTTCCATGAGGGCGTCATACCAACTCTCATCAATGTCGGCCCGTGGTTGGTAAGCATCTACCCATCGCCCCTCCAATGGCTTGCAGACGCGTTCAGCATGAAATGTGTCGCAAAAATACTGACGAACCCTTTGCTTGATTTCTGTTGGATCATCTGTCACATAGAGGCCAGCATCGTCATTCTCCACAACGAGGTGGTCTAAATGAATCCGGCCGGACGAAACCTCCAGAATGCTGCGGATCGTCTGCCGTGTGCGCGCCTCGAAGTTGATATCTCGACGGTCGATGTGGTCGTTGATGATCATTTGTCGGTGCGCATTTAGATACTCACGGTGGGCGAGGCGAGCAGCACGCCACGTTGTCTTCACAGTCTCGAGCCAGGCCTCCCATCTGGCAGGATTATCGTTGGCGTCGGGGATCGGGCCAAGACCAAGCTCGGCACCATTAGCAGCGTACCATTTGTGTATCTCTCTGCGCGTCAGGTTCTTGAGTGCGTCGTCAGAGACATGTTGGTCGATGAATGCGCTGCGGACGGAACGAATGATATATCCAAGGTCACTGGTCTTCGCCTGGAGCCGATCTTCATCGCGACGGGGTTGCGGGACACCTCCAGTCTTGACAGAGGGAAGGTGCGCATAGGCAGCCGACATCACGATGGAGTGAAAGCGGTCCCACACCGGATCGAGAGGTAGCGTCTGGAGGAGCTCAGGCGATGCGTATGTTGTTTCTGGATCACCTTGGAGATATTCCGCGAGTCCATAAGACTCCAGTTGACCGTAGAGGGGAAGAAACTCTTCCACTTGGCTTGAAAAATCAGACCACTGTTCCTCGCTTGCAGCGTCGACCAGGATCTTTTTGCTCTTCACGCAGTGGGCTGACCGGATATGATGTGGGTTGGGTGACCAAGGTGTGGACGTCGAAAGTAGCCGCAACCAAAGCATGGTCGGATCGGATAGGGGCCACTAGGTGAGAGGATTTGACCTCGAGCAGGAATCCAGCGAGGTCATTGGAAACCCACACCATGTCTAGACGGCTAACGTCGCGGAAAGTGAAGAGTGGCGTCGTCGGATGTAGGAGGCGGAACGAGTCCGTGAAGTTGCGTGTGGTGAGCCATGTGAAGAGTGATAACTCCGGAACCGTAGACGTATGATCGGTAGAGGAGCGGTCGATAGAGGGATTGACAACACCATTAAAATCGCCAAGCAGAATGACCCTGACTCCTTTTGTTCGAAGGGACTCGACCTGGTTTTTGACCCAGAGAATGATGCGGTTGTGCTCGACGCGTGTGTCGGAGGAAAGTGTGGGGACATAACAATTGATCACGGCTAGCTGCAGACCTCGCTTGAAGCCAAACAGAGCCATGACCCCCCTCCCATTTTCATCATGAGAGGAGGAGATAAGAAATTTGAACCAGTCATGTGTAATCAGGAGACCAACACCCTTGCCGTGGTGATTTGCAGAGGTGTGTTCCCAGATTCCCATGTAGGCGCATTTGTGAGGGCGCGGTAGAAGGTGTCGTTCTTTAGATTTGGGTACTTTCGTCTCTTGTACCCCGATGATGTCCAGCCCCTGCTGAACACCAATTTCGCATAATGAAGAAAAAAAATTGTCGGACATGCCTCCACAAACGTTAATGGAGGCAGCACTGAAAGTGTGGAATGGGTCGTTAAGAAATGCAGGGTCCAAGTGGCCCGTGCGGTAATCGAGATCGGGTGTATCAATCATTACAAATCCTCTTCTGCCTGGTTACACTCCGCTGGGAGGAGGCGCTGTAGGGCATTACCCTGGTCTTGGATGCATTCCTGTTGAACTTTGTTGATCCCAAGAATCCGGTTTACTTCAGCAAGGTGGCCGCGTGCAGTATTCTCTGCGCTCTCAACTCGTTCATTGGCCTCCTTCAACTCGCGCTGTAGCTGCGCAATGGCCTGCTCCTTGTCCATTTTTGCAGGAGCCATAGATTCACCAGACCCATCTGATCCACTGAGGGAACGATAATGGCGTTTGCCGACAGTGATTGCGGACTCGGCAGTTGGAGCCATATATGGTGCGATCACAACCTGAGCGGCGACGACAGCTGGTACGTCCTCCATCTCATTGTCCTGGTGAGTGTGCTGAGGATTGGGGATTGCGTGTTGTTTTTGTAGCAATTGAATTACAGTATCGAGCTTTGATTCGAGTCGCCCAATGCGCTGCTGCATGATCTGCCATCCCTGCTGCATGGCCTCCCATTCCTGCTGTTGCTTGTCAATACGGCGGCTGAGTACCGCTTGAAGTTGCTGCATAGCGGCGTGCTCCTCTCGCCACGATTTGGTGGCGCCCATTGTCGCAGTAGTAGAAGCGACGGAAGCACCGGCACTGTTATTGGTAGTAGTAGGTTTGTTGGCCGAGGTCGAACTGACTGCAGCCGTGTTGGTTCTCTCCACACCCTTGCCTTTGTTCGTTAGGGCACCTTTGTAGTCCATGGCTTTCGCCTGGATGGTAGCGGCCGCTTTTTTGGATACCGGGTGGGTTGAAGAGCTCTGGGACGAGGAAGATCGTGGAGAGGGGGTTGTCTGGCTGGTCGACCTGGATGGCGACGTTACCTTAGACGGACTAGTGGTAATTCCTCGAATGGCCATCGTGTTTGCCTTGCGTGCAGCCTGCAGCTTTTTGCGCAACTGGAGGACCTCGCAAGCTGGTTGGCCATGGTTGGGGCTGCCACAGGTGCGGCAGGTGCGCTGGGTTGCCTCGGTCCATTCGGTGTCTTTGCCCTCAATTTGGAACACCCTGTTGATCACACGCTCCCGCTGCGCCGCGGTAGAGAAATAAACGAATGCCTCAGGAAGGCGACGTTTGGTTGCCGTGCTCAGTGGCATGGAGATAGAGTGCACCGAAGCCTCTCCGTTGGGTGCTGGGATGGTCTGGAACAATTCCAGGACGTCCAAAGGTGTGTACCACGCTGGAAGGTGCGCGAGCTTCATCGTAAGCTCGCTATTGAAGGGGCAAGGATGGTCGCCCAGGTGAGTGACAGCTCCAGAGTCCTTGCCGATGATCACATACGTAACTTTTTCCTCTATCATCCTAGTGACAGCGGTGGGGTTGGCGAATGTGACTCGCGCGGTAGCCATGGAGTGGGTTTTGTTGAAACCCATTTCAACGGAGCGGACCACGCCCCATCTGCCCATGGCAGCGTAGACCTGGTCCTCCTTGGTATTCCAGGCGATGTTGTTGAGGCGCACAACTTGGCTTTCTTTAGCCTTTTGCCTGGTTGTGGTGTACTCCTGGAAATGAGTCCTCACTGGTTTGCCGTCTTCGTCCATGTTAGTGAAACCGCAACGAAGGGCGGCCTGTAGTTGGTCACTCGTGCCGACCTCAAAGACGACGGTTGGGATAAGGACCATGGGGTCATCGTCCACGAAATACTCCATGGCCCCTTGTCCAATAATTGTTGCCTTTTTACTCAAGACCGTGTTGATGTCGATCATGAGATTTGGTAGGTAGGGACGCCTGCCTTCACAGATTGCAGAGGCAGGGATCATCAGCCAGTGCCGGCGACGCCTGGAAACAATGGTGAAATCCTTGGCGGGAGTCATCTCCTCCAAGGATTGAGTGGGTTCAGGTGTGCCAGCAGAAGATGCTGGGAGCTGGGTGTAAACCTCGTCAGAGGCCACAATAGGGCTCGACCCTTCAGTGCCCTCCATAGGCTCGTCCGGGTCGTGATCGGTAAAACCTCGAGGAGGCATATCCAAGAGGTTGGACCGCGAAAGCGAAAAGAAAAAATATAAAAAATAAAAGGGTTGCTAAAATCTGATGGGCCTCAGATGATGGCGAATGGGAGAGTGAATCTCTAGAAAAAGAGATGGGAATGACCGCCTCAGAGAGCGGAATGAGAAAATCACAAGGAACCGGACTGGTATCCTCGCACGAACGAACAAAAGTGTAAAAGACGTTTTGAAGTTGCTATAACCGATGTGTACGGAAGGAAGAGTGCCTCCGGCGTGCAAATAAAGGGCATGTGCAAATAAGGATGTGTGCAATTAGAGATATGTGGCTGTGTGCGGCATATGTAGGCTCGTAGGCCGCTGCACTACAAGACGATAAAGCAAAGTCGCCCAGAGGAAGAGCGCTGGGCTCATAACCCAGAGGTCGGTGGATCGAAACCACCCTTTGCTACATCTTTTCCATTTTTCCTGACTAAGTTGAATCGTTCATCTTTTTGCTGTCTTCAATTAAGGATCAAACGAGCGAATAATTCCTTTTCTGCACACGACTCGTTAGCCTACAGTTAACTAAGAAGTGGGAGAATGGCTTTTTTCTTTGTTTTGCATTGGGAAAAAAGATAGGGTATTATCCCCATGTCTACAATAGTCCGTCATCCTCCTCGTCCTGGTAATAGTTACGGCCAGGTGGTGGCACACCTGGATGCTGCTGAGGCTGCTGAGTCTGCTGAGGCTGCTGCGGAGGCTGTGAACGCTGTTGTTGGTTCGGTTGCTGTGGGTAGGGCTGATGCATATTCTGGTTTTGTTGGTGGTGAGGCACTGCTGCAGGCGGAGCTCCCTCTGTCAGCGCGTGCCAATCTGCTTCACTCCTCTCATCCTGAAGATGTGCAGGATGTGTGCTGCGTGCACCTGCAGTCGGTGTGATATTATATCCACCACTCGTCGACGGCTGCTGCTGCTGCTGCTGGCGTTGAGGCGGCTGTCCCTGGTACTGGTTAGGATTACCAAAGCTGCTATTGTTGTTGTTGTATTGCTGGGGTGGAGGCTGTGATGAGTATCCGTTGCTGAAGATATTTCTAGTGTTTTGAGGTCCAGGACCAGGGGGAGGGGGTCCGTCGACGTATCCGCCTCCAGAGATGAGGTCGTTCGAGATGACAATGCTGCGGGCGAGGCGAGCAACTTCGTTATCGAGGAAGCCGACGTGTTGACGCGCCGCGGCTTGGTTATAGTAGTTTTGGTCCCGATGTTCGAAGGCGTCGAGCATCGCGTGCGCAACTGCTGATTCTTCTGAGCGCACGAATCCGTCGACCCTAAGGCAGATGTTGTCACAAGCATGTGGAGAAAGTGAGTAAAACAGTGCTAGATAAAGTGATAAGCAAGACGACATAGCAAAAAAAAAAGAAAAAAAAAGTAGGAGGAACTTACGCGCAGAATTCCTGGAACTTCTTGCCGGCCTCGACTTCGTCGCCCGCGGCGAGTTGGACGATGATGACACTGAGGAGAGTCTTGTAGTACGCAAATTTGTTGGCGGTGCCGGCCTGAACGTTACCAAGACGGATCAGAATCTCGGTAGCTTTGTCGAAGCGCCTATGCTTAACTAGCAAGGAGATCGTTCGCTTATAGGTGTCGGTCGCATACTTTGCACGGTCCTCATTTTCGTAAATGTTGCAGGCTCCAATGTAAAGATCCATGGCTGCCTCCACAGAGATCGGCTCCATTGCTCTGTTGTTGTTATTATTTTGTCATGGATAGGTGGTTAGTCGACGCTTTCAGCCAGTGTTCAATTAGTTGGCCGCATTCAGTATAGGTTTCTGTAAATACGTGCTGTAGCTTACTTTGCGCCCTTCTCTAACATATCTGCAGCACGATCGGGGGTCATGTTCTGCATAAAGAGTTCACTTGCTCGCTTGTACATATCAGCAGCACGCTCGGGTTGGCCCAGATTCTGGAGACAGACGTTTCCACCATTTTCGAGCGCACGACCAGCCATGAAATAACTAAATGTATTAAAAAGATACATTAAACATGGGGTTTCGTCATAATACCGCCCAGTGGTTATCTCGATGACTGCACGGAATTAATAACTGCACGGAATCGATACCTGGTGGCACTGATCATGGCGTCCGAAGCCTTGATGAACGCCTGAACAGACTGCTCATAGGACTTGCCTGCCTTGAAGGATTGTGCTGCAAGCAGTTGAGGTTGTGTAAAAAGGACAAAGCGGTCAGTGGACTGTAACCTCTACATAAAAAGTAGTTCAATCGCCCAAGCAACGAGGTATGATACCTGCTTTTTCATAGTATTGCGCCGCAATATCCCAGTCTGGTTTCTTGAACCAGCTTTTCTCTGTGCTATTTGTTCAGAATCGGGAGAAAAAGAATGTCAGTATGAGATCTCATGCCATCATCTTTTCTCCTGGCGAATGAGTCGAGACATAGTAACGAGGTCAACGTGATGGTGAAGAGCAGAAGGATACACTACTTTTTGTCGGCCTCATGCATAAACTTGATGGCGTCCTTCAGACGCGCTTCTTCCAGTCCTGCCATGTTGTTAATGAATTCTTAGAGGTGATTGGAAGAGGTGGAAGCGAGTGTTAGGGATGAAGAGTGAAAGGAAACAGGTGATGAAGTAACCGGTCCTGTGCACCATGTCCACAAAATTGGGCTTTTGGCTGCAGCCCTCGGCCGCAGCGCCGCGTCGAAATTTGCCCAAGAACAATTGAACGCAATTTTAAGTGGAAGCGAGCATATCGAACCACCTCCTCAGCTTCAGCGAGAAAGACGCGCAGCTCGATTGTGCTCCAAGCCGTATCGTCAAATCGATATTGAAATGTTCAGAGGACCTGTTTAAACCGCTGGCAAAGACCATTACGCATCACTACAGGATTTAGAGGTAAAACGTTGCGTTGCGCAATTGGGCGGAAGAGAGCGTTCTCCTAGGCACTAATGAGAAGGTGCGCAGGTCGAATGTGATTCGGGCGGTATCGTTCATTCAACATTACTGCGTTGATCATTTCTGTTCAAATTGCCTCGAAAACGAACTGTCAACTCGAATGTTCAAGGGTTACAGCCGTACAGTATTTAGTCTCTGATCAACCATCGCTTGGTTGTCAGAAGCAGCAGCAGCAGGGACAGACGAAGCGAGCAGATCTGGATCTGGCGTTGTAACTGCAATGCTCAATAGTCGTCCAGACCTAACGTACCTTTTTAAATATATTAGCCCTAATGCATCTCATTTATCTCAAATTCGACGTCTTTGTTATAAACAGCGGCGTTGTTCTAGAAAATGAGGTCGGACGATTTCTTTCAAAGCGTCGAGTTGCTCAATGCATAACTTAGCAGTTGAAATATTTCGCTCATACAATGCAAAGTGCTGTTGACTAACGCGTATTGGTACTGCTGTGGAACCATCGTGCGCCTCGAACTACTTACATATATTTAGAGCGGAGATATAGTCTGTACCACCGCTCTTCTATCCAGTTGTCTTCGACTTGTAACCTGTCCCTTATTACTTATTGTTGTCTATCCCTAGTCCCCAATATGTATTACGCGAAAGCTACGAGCCATATTAGTGAAAGCAAGAGTAGCCGCATAGCTGCATAGCTGGGCGGAATATGTAGGTAGGTTAGACATGGATGTTGTTCAGGGATATAAAGACTGCGGACTAAAATTCTGCTTTCGAGGCTGTGTGTATGTCAATATAGCAAGTCCTAGCCAATATAAGGTCACCAGTTGTTGAACGCTGTTATCATGCTCACTGTGAGCTGTCGCGGTCGCCCATGGTTTTGATACCTTTTGGTAGCGGTTGCAAGCGGTGATTGTATACACACTTGTCGTTCTATGGGACTAGGATGGATGCTGGGATGAGATATAAATGGCCTTAGCAGAAACACAGACGACGTGAGCTTTTACCAAGGATGGATACCGAAATTAGAGTTCAAGTTGTATCCAGCACAGCATGGACAGCGTAGCACAAAGAGTGGTAGGGGATTGCTTGCGCACATGGTAAATCCGTGTTATAATTCAAGAGTTGAAGCTTGTAACATATATTCTCCGACACTGGTCATTTATTTGCCTTGTTGAGAACCGGTTTGCGGGGCACCCACCGTGTGCGTCCGTTTTTCAAACGCCCACTCGAGCCAACAATCAATACAAGGCTATAGACGGCAATGGATCAATCACTGCTGTTTACTGTAAGAGCAACTTAATATCTCTATTGTTTTTAAGAGAAGACCTCAGTAACTGCAGCTCACTTACGTGTGCGGATAACAAACAACGCGAATACGTATGCGGTTCCATTTAATGAGCAGCAAAAGCAGCATAACACTGGTTACTATGCTCCATGCTCAATTCGAAGGTCAATAGCAGCGTGTTCAGGAGAACGAATCAGGATTAAGGACAGAGCAGTATACACATAAATAAGAGGGACATCGGTAACTGCGTTCCACTGTGAAGCACATGCAAGTCTTTAAATCTGATACTTCCGCACCTAACCCTAGTTTTCGTTCATTATGCTCATCCAACGCATGTCGACTCCTTTTCTGTCATGGTGGGTTTGATGCGCGTTAACGTGCTGGCCATCATTGTCATTGCCATGTTACTTTTGCTGGTCTTTGCAATAAGTCAATTCTCCACCCAATGATACCAACCCGAACCACGGTTAAAATCCTGCCGTTTACGTGGGATTGCTCCATAAGATATCGCTCTTATCAACGAACATCTGGCGCCCTTCTCGAGAGCTTGATGACAGTTGATACTGTTCAACTGCGCAGGCATCCTTAACGTTGAGGCAGAATGCCATGGTCACGATTATTGTTGTTGCCCTTCCTCTGACATTCGGCGCCCATATCTATCCTTATCATCGACGACAATCCCACCATTGCTCCCAAGCAATAGAGAGGGTTCGTTCTTCATTATCTCGCTCATTTTGTAGTGTATTGGCTTGGGGCTGAGTTCAATAATATACAAGCAAACTACAGTACGGCGTATGACATGGTGACATAGTCGACGCTCAGCCGTATGGACAGTAGGCGCAATGTGTCACGTATAATACATGCAACTTCCGCTGCATGATGATCTCCGTCGGGGATATGCATCGGAACAACGCGTGTAAGCAGTGGTTTAACGATATAGCGTTGATGGACCTCTTTGGCAATGGTTCTTCTCGGCACTGGTTTGTCTCGGCAATTGTTCTTTGTACCCAGTTTCAGGAATTTCCTGTTGCATTGATGAACATAGTAAGAGGGAAGAAAAAAAAAAAAAAAAAGAAAGAAAGAAAAGAGGAAGGAAGGCGCAATTAGTTTGGAGAGGCTGCTACACGGAAGGCGGATACAAGTACTTGATGGCTTAGCAGCGTATGCTGTATGTAGCTTTCTGCGCTGAACACGAACGACGATCTGATAACTGTGGGGGATGGATCGCATGCGCAAAGAGATAGCCCTTCTCTCCCTGATTTGAGTTCGTAAAATTTACTTTGTGTGAAACAAACCAACGGGTTCTGCTGGAATGTTTTTTTTTGATTGGGCAGTCCTGGTACTTCCTCGCTGAGAACCTGGTCCCTGAAAAAAAAGACTATTCTCAGGCATCATCATCATCATCATCTGGCCGAGTAGAAGACCCCTTTCTCATCCTTTTCTTCTTTTCATCCCCACTCCTCTCCTCCCCCTCCTCCCTTTCCCTCTGTCCACTCCCTCCCTTTCCCTCTCATCCCTTCCGCCAAGAGTCAGTATGTCCAGCCCATCGCCCACTGTCAACCAGAGGGAAAAGTACCAGGACCAGTTGCCAAGCGACCCCAAGGCCCTGGACAACCGCTTCCCCCTGTACCTTGGCGACTGGGTCAAATCCGACCCCCGCAAGGACGATGACCTGGCCATGGACAACATGGACGAGCCTCACATGAAGCGCAAGCTGGCCATCCTCAAGAAGCATCCCGAAATCGAAGGGCTCTACGGCCACGATTCCAGGACCTCCCTCATCACAATTGCCGCTGCCGCTGCCCAAGTCTACTTTGCCTACTTATTCGGTCGGGTCTGGACAGAGACCTTCTGGGGATTCGTTGCCTTTGCCTACGTCGTCGGAGGATCTATCACAGCTCTCTACGGTGTCCTGATCCACGAGGCCACCCACAACCATGCTGCACCCACGGTCTTCCTGAACAAGTTGGTGGGATTGACTGCCAACATTGGCATCCCCGTCCCCATCTACGCTTCGTTCCGTCGTTATCATCTCGAGCACCACACCTACCAGGGAGTCACTGGAATGGATCCTGACCTTCCCTTGGAGTGGGAGAAGAAGATGATCCGCGGCAATGCCGCCTTGAAGCTGCTATGGCTCTTTATCTACCCAGTCATGTATGTTGTCCGCGGTGCCGCCATGAAGAAGAAGCCCTCGACTTGGGAAATCTACAACATCATTTTCACAGTCTGCTCAGATGCGCTCGTGGTCAAGTTCTGCGGCTTGCGCGGCCTGTTGTACCTGTTTGTGTCGCTCTGGTTCGGTTATGGCCTGCACCCTGGCGCTGCCCACTTCATCCAGGAGCACTATACCTTTGACGATGGTCAGGAAACTTACTCATACTACGGTATCCTCAACAAGCCATACATGAACATTGGTCTCCACATGGAGCACCACGACTGTAAGTTTCATTTTATTTTAGTGTCGTCCTGCCAAGTGATGCTTCCTATTTTTGAGTTGGACCCTCCGATGGGAAACGGTTTTGATTCGTTCCTCTGAAGTGTGCAGCCACTTTCACGATCAGCCCACTCAAGCGCCACTCTTCTCCCGTCCGAAACTGGGTGTTCTTAATCCGTTTTAATGTACTAATCTGAAAATGGCCTCTTCGCTCTGTATACCCAATAGTCACCAAGGTCGCATGGTCTCGTCTGCCCAAGGTCCGCGCCATGGCCCCTGAGTTCTATGACTCGATGGCATATCACACCTCGTGGTTGCTCGTCCACTGGAAGTTCATCACCGAGCCCGGTTACGGCCCTCAGTCCCGTCTCGGACGCTCAATGGAGGATCACAAGGCTGCTCGTAAGCAGGTCGGAAAGCTGCGCCGGGCTGACGAGCATGCCTACGAGGAGATGGCTCTGGATGCACAGAAGACGAAGGATGATTAAACACAGGGATTCAGGACAGCCGAGAGAAAATTGGAGTGGAGCGAGCCCTTTCGGATAGCGCTCGGATTTATTCCCATGTTGGGTAGGAGGAGAGACAGGGGAGCATACTATTTGGAATAGTACGCACCCAGCATGGCATTTCTTCCCTTTTCTTTTGGTCGTTCGCATCGTCCTCCTGTTTCACTACCCATATATGCTCAACGTAGACCTTCCCTTGTGTTATTTTCATCTCTCTTTCAGTTCAAGTTACCCTACAATATATACACAAACTCATACGCAACTGCGCTCTTATAATTAATTCACTCGAAGCACCAAACGATACTTTCACTGAACTTGTTATGCCAATGAAACGCGCACCCTGTCCATAAACGCGCACCTTGTCCATAAATGCACACACACATCCGCAATACCATCGAGTCGTTTACAGCGGTTTTGCACAAGAGCACAGCAGCATGCCGTGATCTACGGACGAGTCGTTATTCATATTTACCCAGGCTCAAAAAAAAGGAGCACTTGCAACAGTCACCTCGCCGGCATCGAACCACTTTTTTTTATTCAACCTCATCTCTCATCCCGCTTTCATCATACCCTCACAATCATCGCGTCCTGATGCCATCCTACTTCACATCCGCTCCTGGAAAAGTCATTCTGTTTGGCGAACACGCTGTCGTCTATGGAAAGGTCAGCACGCTGACTATTCTGTATCTGTTTCACCCCATAATTTTTTTTTTAATCGCTACTAAATTGTCTGTGCCACCAATTTTTCTGTTCCTGAAAAAAGGTGGCAACTGCTGGCTCGCTGGGTCTGCGATCATACTGCTTGATCCAGGACAGGACAGACGGCGCCATCAGCGTCAACCTGCCGGATGTGCAGCTCGAACGAACATGGAGATCGACAGACGTTCCTCGCCAGGCTCGGTGGGAAGGTATGAATTGATGCGATTACGAACCAAAGCCTTGGTTTCAGAGGTGCCAATGTTGACTCTCCGTTGCTTTATTCCTATGGCATAGGCTATCCTTATCCGCCTGCAACAATGGATAACACGGTGTTGGATCAACTGGCCACATTTGTGGACCTTGCTGCCTACACCAACCGATCCCAAGCTACGATCGCACTCTTATACCTTCACTCATACCTTACCTCAGATGAGATTGTCATTCAGGGATACGATTTCAGTGTGCGGTCAAACTTGCCCGTCGGCGCAGGGTTGGGCTCATCAGCATCATACTGCGTCTGCCTTGCGACAGCATTGTTGAAGTTGAACGGTCATTTAGATACTGGGCTTTTGGATGCAGCAGCGCAGCGGGATCTGATCAATCAGTGGGCATTCCAAGCAGAGAAGGTCATTCATGGAAACCCTAGTGGGATCGACAACACTGTCAGTACCCTCGGAGGAGCCGTGATGTTCAAGAAGGGCGAAAAAATTGAGCCGCTGCCTGGGTAATTATCCGCGGAACTGTCCGGGTTGCTCTCATTCAGTACTCAGGGTAGTTCAGTACTAACAAGGCATCCCTATCTTTGATACGCTTTAGATTCCAATCGTTGCGATTCCTCCTTACTAATACTCGAGTTCCAAGGGAGACACAAGTCCAAGTCGCCAACGTCCGGAAGTTGCATGACAAGGTATGCTGTGTTTCCAAGGTTCATAAGGAAGGAGGCAAGCTACTCTGACTGTTTGACACTGACATTCAAACTGCATTTGGACTCTTATCCTCAGTTCCCTAGCGTGGTTAACCCTGTGCTGGATGCCATCCATGAGATCAGTGTTTCATGCAAGGAAATGTTTGGCCAGGATGGACTGGACAGAGAACGCTTGCTTTCTCGCTTCGGCGTAAGTCTTGAATTGCCGTCGGACAAATCTGCAGTTGCTCATAGCTACCCTTCCATAGACAATCTGACATTTTCTTCCTTTCCGACTATCTGTTATTTTCGCAATATCCAGGAACTGGTAGACGTGAACCATGGATTGTTAGCTGCTCTTGGAGTGTCCCACCCCGCACTCGAGAAGGTACGAGAGATCTCTGCCAAGATCGGCCTCAAGTCCAAGTTGACAGGAGCTGGAGGCGGGGGATGTGCACTGACCTTGATCCGCGATGGTGAGACCACTTTCTTTATCGCTCCTAGGATCGGATTATAAGAGTTCTGTATAGATTTAACTCTAATAACCCTTTAACTTTGTCTTATCTTTAAACAAAAGACGTGTCGCCCGAAACGATCGCAGTGGTGAAGCAATTGCTCGAGGCCGAGGGGTTTCAGTGCATGGAGACCCAGGTCGGTGGTCCTGGCGCCGGCGTGTTAACGCTCGACCAGGCAACTCCGGTCACGGAGTTTCTGGCACACGATAGGGCGTACTTTGATGCGACTCAAAACTGGGCGTATTTTGCTTAAACAGGGGTACCTAGACAAGAACCAGACGACCTCAACTCAATGTCAAAAAGCTTTTAGTACCAATAATAATAAAGTAGCCTTCATCAGTTTTTAGCCATTACGCAGTAGTGCGTGTTCTTTGCTATCAAATTCCCAGTAACACACAGGTACGCCGCAAACCTCATGTCAGCATGTACCAGTGGACTGTAGTAATGTATCCAAAGCAAAAGGAGTGTATCCGAAGCCTGGTCGTATCGTTGAGAACTAAACGGTAAAAGAAATAATACTTTGCTGGATATTTATATCATGATAAGGCGATAATCGCGTCTTTGATTCGATAGCGATTGCCGCAAGACGCGTCGGTAGCTTCCCATTGAGAGCACGTTTGTGAGATGTATGGGTATTCTGTGAACAACACCGAGCCCCACAAATAGCGAACGAACCCCACGATCAAGAACCCAGTTTTATTTTGAACCCATGAAGGCGACTTCAACTGAATTGGATAGAATATTGTTGACATGTTCCGCCATAAGAGGTAATCGGTCTTGGATAAGTCGGTGTAAATGATGCTGGCAAAGCAAGTGCTTGGAAAGAAGGGTTAACCAGGACCAAGACAGGAGTCTCGCTTCTCGTTTTGTCATCGCCTTCATTCCTTCGGTTTCCCTCATTCCACTTCTTGCCTTTCTTCTCATTCCTTCTTTCTCTTCTTCCTTCAACACACACACACTCTTCCAATTTACTCCCCAAATTTTCCCCTAAGCACAATACACATCAATATGGTCAAAGGCAAGTAGACATGCGTCATGAAATAAGCACAGCGCTTTAGCTGACTTTACAAGCATTTCATACCCCATGGCCACTCCATTCCGTTATCCAAACTAACGCTTGTGTGTCCTCAATCCTGTCTGTAACCAACCTTTTTAGTTGTCATCTGTGGAGCCGCTGGCGGTATCGGTCAACCCCTTTCTCTTCTCCTGAAGCAATCGGAGCTGATTACACACTTAGCACTGTACGATGTCGTGAATGCGCCCGGTGTTGCTGCTGATCTGTCGCACATCAACACCCGTTCCACGGTTTCGGGACATGGCAAGGAGGAAATGGACGAGGCCTTGAAGGATGCGCATACCGTCGTCATTCCTGGTAAGTCTGTTTCTCGTTTTATGTCTTCCGTTTCATTTTGAGCGAAGCTGTGGCGAGGGTTTTTTTTATGAACGAAATGGTGGCGTAAGATATAAGGAGGGCCAAGGCTATTGACTAACCAACGCACTGTTTTATATTTCCTTCGCGATAGCTGGTGTTCCTCGCAAGCCTGGTATGTCCAGAGACGATCTCTTCAAGGTGCGTGAACAACCGTTTAATGAACTCATGGGCTATAAACGCCTTCATTGGATTTAGGCATTTTTTTATCTTGCTAGGACATGTCTGAAAAGCAAAAAAGTCAAAATCCATCGCTTCGTTTATGGTGCACAGGCGTTACTACGCATTCGTTACCATTCTGCTCTATGGCCATGCCATTGCGAGCGGGAGCAAAGCCGAGGGATAAGAGAGATGGAGGATAATGCTGGAAATGCATATGATGAGGCTGGATGGCGGGTTTTGTTGGTTCTTTTGGTTTCTTATCAGTATTCATCGCATTGCAGAGAGATCGAAATAATTTTGTTTCTTTATCTTTCGCGACCTTGTGTTGCAGGAACGCGTGATGTGGCATGGGAATTAACCCAGCGGCATATTCACAATCATGACGGCGGAATTTAAAAAATCATTTTCGGATAATAGATCAACGCTGGAATTGTCCGCGATCTCGCTATGGGAGTGGCCAAGAACTGTCCCAGCGCTCATGTCCTTGTGATCTCGAACCCGGTTAACTCGACAGTTCCTATTGTCTGCGAGGTTCTCAAGCAGCACGGCGTCTTTAACCCTAAAAAGTAAGCTTGAATTTCCATGTCGCATCTTTTTCTATTTGACCAAGGATACCGATGGCTGTAGTGATTGCGATCATATTCCTTCTCAGCAGGGATTTCTTTTTTTTTTTGGGGGGGAGGGGGGAGGGTTATACCTTTTGCTTTGTATTTTTTTTATCGCGATATGGAGTGCAATATCTTTCAGGGAATACCTTTGCATTTAGTCAAAAGGACTTTCTCCACGATAGCCTTCGACACTCTTGACGGCATTTCTATTGGACGTTTCATGAACATTATGGTTTTTGATTGTGGCCAGGAGGACAAAACGTTAACGGATTTATGAGAAACTTGCAACAATTCAATTTGCTGCTCATAAATGGGGTGTCATGATAAGAAATGCACGCGGTATCTCTGCAGTGCGAACGTGTATGGAGATAAAAGATTATTTTAGACCCGCAAACGAAAAGAGCAGATTCGAATTACTGTACCATTCGGTGCTATATTCTCCGAGAGCGATAGTGAACAATACTAACCGATTTTGTTGTGTATACTTCAAATAGGGTCTTTGGCATCAGCACGTTGGATGTTGTTCGCTCGTCCAGATTCGTATATGAATTCAACAAGTCGCTTGATCCCCAGAAGACCAGGGTCACTGTCATTGGCGGTCACAGCGGCGTGACAATCGTGCCGGTACTGTCGCAGGTTCCCGGCCAGGCCTTCACAAAGGATCAGATCGATGCTCTGACACACCGCATTCAGTATGGAGGTGACGAGGTCGTGAAGGCCAAGGATGGCGCCGGGTCTGCAACCTTGTCGATGGCATATGCAGGTGCTCGATTCACGAACACGATTCTCCAGGCGACTGTTGCGGGCAAGACAGGACTGGTTGAATCGACCTATGTGAATCTGGCAGCCGATCCCGAAAGTACGGCCGCGTTTAAGGCTCAAACACATCTGGAGTACTTTGCGCAGGATGTCGAGTTTGGACGGGATGGCGCGTCGAAGATTCATTCTCTACCTACGCTTTCGGCGTATGAGCAAGGGTTGTTGGATGCGGCGGTGCCGGAGTTGAAGGCCAATATCAACAAGGGTACTGCGTTCATTACGGACTCGAAGATCTGAGTGACAGGGTCAGGAACAGGAAAATGAGAAAAGCAGCGTCGGTACTATTGTTTTTTTAGCGCGCTTGTTGGAGATTGCGAAATGAACGAGTGGATCTGTACATAAATCCACTTCCGGACTCCTCAAAATAAAGAAACGAAAAACGCGAGATATTGTTATCATTCAGAGTCTATTAGAGATGAGAGCCCGAACGTGCGAAAGGAAGTTCTAGCATCATATGCGGCCGAAGGTGAAGGCATGTCGGCGTTGGAGGTCTATTCCTTAGCTCTCATCCGCTTTATCCACTGGAAAACTTCAGCCACAGGCCTTTGAATCGCAGGTGAGCATGTATAGCGTAATGCTCCTTTTAGGTTCGAATGGCAACGCTGGTATGTTCCTTGCGGACTTGATTGACTGTAAATCTGTAATTCTTGATCTATCAGCACCCTTTCTGTGCTGAAAGAGAAAAATTGCAAGAAAGAGAATCAAGAAGAAAGAAACCATGATACAGATTACTTACCAGTTGCGTGGAAGATCCAGCACCCGGTCCATGTATGCTGTCTAGGCAGAGGCGATAAATGGCTTTTAAATAAATGTGTCTTTATTCATTAGCTCATAAGCCTGAACCTCCTGGGTCGTGCATTCTGCCGTTGCGTGTATGGTTAGGATGCTCTCCCTTTAATATCTCATTACTGAGCCGGCCTTTTGTCTCTTCCAATATGGTTTCGTCTTAACTCGACTTCAAGTTTAAAAGGACGATCGAACATTGCGCTCGTCGTCCTTTTCTCATCATCCTGGCATAATCGATAAATCGTTGCCGATCTCTCATCTCGCGCTTCAGCTTGCATGAATTTATCGTCCTGAACTTTCTTTTCGTGAGATGTTCAGTCGTACGCGGTATGGTGGGTACTTGATAATGGTAGTGCGGCTGAATACATTGGTATCCATCTCTATCAAAGGTACACAAAGCGCGCGACTGACTAAACGTTCGACAGTGAACGGCGCATAGCTCAGCGGACGAATCAGATGCGCGAGAAATAATTTAAGGTTTCATCGAATGGTATTCCTCCAGATCATCATCTCGTTCGTTCGATCACCTCTTCTTCCCCCATCAACCTCATTCTCCCCTTTTATTCTCATCAAGAATGGCAAAGGCAGCGAAACCACTGAAGCCCAGCAAGGCGGCGAAGCAACAACGCAAGCAGCTGGAGAGCGTCAACCCCTTTGCAGACTCGTCTCTTTTCGCCAAAAGCCAGCAGTACATCAAGGATGCACCGGATGCGAGACCCTTTGAAGATATGTCCTATATTATCGTTGGCGTCTTGGGATTCTTCATCTGGAGACTTTCCGTCGCTGTCACCAGCGGACATGAAGGTATATTTCGAAAAGTCAAAAGTCAATCTTACGCCATGATCAACCAGATGCAGCGCGATTGCATCTACCTTCTCCGGAAATTGAAATTTCCTACCTTTTTAATAACACCTGTCTTCCTTTCTTCATGCAATATAGGGGCGATTGGCGTATGGAGCCTGTTCTCATTCGGCTCTGTGGTGATTATCAACGTCTGGACCTTCTTCTTGGTCATGGTCTCGGCGAAACGTCGTGGCGACATTGGTATCCTCCGGATCGTGGACTCGGACATCTTGCGCTTCACGGCCCTCTCGGGTCTCTTCGGCGCCTGGGCAGCGACCCTTTGTAAGTTTCGACAACAGAATCCCATCAGTTTGACAAAGTAACTGTGAATGTTCTCGTCAATGTAAACATCAATCTAACCAATCGATTGTCTCTTCTTTTTTTTTTTTTTTTTTTATTGGGAACTTTGGATGAATAGTGTTCAGATATAGACCTGCGGACAAGACTTACTTCCCCAAGATCATCGGCTTGACCGTCGCCAATATCTTCTGGGTCATTATCTATGTCAGGTATTATCTTTGACGCATGATAAACATGCATACAATTGTACCATATAATAATTTCGCAATAAAAAAAAAGTTGACGTTTAATGACATGTTTGGAATGACATGGTCCTTTTCTTTTTTGGATGTATTTAAAAGAAGAAAAAAAAAGAGAAAAGAGAGCGTCTATGATAAAAAAGAGTACAAATGCCATATGGATGGCGATAAAAAATGCTGCTTCTTGCTCCTCATTGAACCACATTCTATTGCTCCCGTCAGCAATCCCATTATGTTCTTGTTTCGATACGGGTTGTGGTTTCTATATCCTGATATCTCGACTGCGTCGCTTCTGGGCATCTCCAAATCTTCCATATTCCTTCGATCCACTGCTTCCCGTCCTGCTTCTACTCCAACGAAACAGTGGCACCGAGATCCTCGAGGGTCTTCTTCAACTTCTCAGCATCAGCCTTGTTCAAGTTCTCCTTGACGATCTTTGGTGCTCCCTCAACAAACTTCTTGGCCTACAAAGAAAAAAAAAAGAAGAAATAGACACAATAATACAAAATATCAGTTTTAACTCCACCTTCGATCTAATCAAGATCCATTGTCCACAATAAAAAATAAAAATAAAAAAAGTATAAGACAAAACATACCTCGACCAGGTTAATGCCAGGAATGATGTTCTTGATCTCACGGATCAACTTTGCCTTCGCAGCTGCATCGAACTTCTCGAGCTTGACGTTGAACTCTGTCTTCTCCGCGACCTTCTCCTCCTCAACCGGGGCAGCAGCAGCCTGACCATTACCAGCTGAGGCACCACCGCCTCCCATAGGCATAGAGATCTCCTGGATGTTCAAACGGGTCTATAACATAACAGACAGTCAACAAGACAAATAGTCAAAAGCATCAGTTCATTGTTCTTATTTTCAGCCAACTGGTCCATTCAGAATACTTTCCGCTGTCGTCTTTTTACCTTTAGGAGGGAGACCAAATCCGCGGTCTGGAGAAGGGTTAATCCGGAGATCTGGTCAACGATCGAGACGATCTTGGGGTCGACATCCTTGCTAGAGCCGGGGGCCTCCAACTTGTCACCAGCAGCAAACGAGTAGTTGGCAACCCTGCTCACAGCCGCGCGGGAAGCAGTTCTATAAATCAAGAAAGGCAAAAGAAAGAGGAAAACAGTGAGTTGATTAGTCTATATGAGATCGTCATTGTAAAAACATTGTGTTTGCTCGAAACGCTAGGAGTCTCTAATAACCAATTGAGTGATACCCTCAGGAAGCAGGAGAGACAGGTGGATGAAGTAAAAAAAAGAAAAGATAGAGCTGTACCTGGAGATGATGCGGGGAGCAAGACGGGCAGAGACGGTGCGCAACTAAGTTCCGTCGAGAGATATCAAAGGCCAAAAAAGAGGGTCGAATAGGAGAATTGGTAGCGGATTAGCTGCTGAACCCGCATCAAGGATGTCTTCTGATTTTCCAATATGCATTTTGATAGCATGTCGCGTGGCAGAAGCTTGGTATCCCGTTCCCGAGACGTTTGCGTGTGTGTTCGTTCCAAAGCAGACGTTGGTTGATCACGATGTTTAATGATCAGCTCTCCTGGAGTTCGCCGTAATGATTCCAATCCTGTCTTCTTTTCCCCTTGACAATTCTTATTAGTAAAAGCAACGGTATCCTGAGGATGCAAGTTTCGCCGTTGCTGGTCTGTCTGGTGCTTTACCATGGTGAGTGTTTATATGAGGATGTGAGTAAGGTGTGGTGGAAGGCCGGGGGGGAAGAGTATATAAACAAATCCACACGTGCCTCTAGTTGTACCAGTCACGCGTTCTTTTGCCACCAAATGTGTTCAGGTTGCACAAAAAACGTACAAGTCGCGTTCTTTATTATAATCATGCTGGTATATTTGCAATCGCTATGCGGTATGAAGACCCATGGACATACCTACCTCGACCTCCACTGGTGCAATTACCATTCAGATAAAAGTCGGCCCTGTAGCCCTGCAAAACTTCATAGCTTGGATGGAGCAAACTTGGACGATTGAAAAGAGAGCGCCGGTAGATCGAGTGCCTGCGTATGCCTTGTTTCTTATTCTTTTACTCGTCGTAGTTATCATGGCATTGGATATTGTTCTTTTGACGCCTTTTGTTTCTTCGCTTTCTTTCCTTTCTTGTCTTTCTTCATCTTCCATTCTTTTGTTATTGTTATTGTTATTGTTATTGTTATTTTTTTTGTTTTTGTTTTTGTTTTTGTTTTTGTTTTTGTTGTTGTTCTTTAATATTTTTTTTTGTTCATTTCACTCCACGACCTCTTATTCTTATTCTTATTCTTATTCTTATTATCCTATTTTATCCGCACGCCCATCCTGTTTATTGTCCTTCAGCAAGTATTAATAGATGCACCACGGAGCCCTCCTGTTAAAGGCCAAGAGATAAAGAAGCAATCGCAAAGTATGAAAGAAAAAAATACACATGAAAGTCGGCGGCCACATGAGGTCCATGTCCGTAATCCAGTAAGCTGTTCCTAATGTAAACATCCCCTTACGTCCCGCAATTGCACCCTGTCCATCCTTGAAAAAAAAAGCCCCTCAATCTTTCGCCCTACGATAACGACTATTGCCAGTTGGGATGGTCCTGCCTCCTGCTACGCTTTAGTACGGAGCATAGTAACCGCCACGACCGCCACGACCACGTCTAACGCGCATGAACGAAGAAAACAGTGTTATAGGCCACATTTCATAGTATTCGTTCATGACCACACTGTGATAACATAAAGCTGCAAAGATCATTACCCGCCACGTCCACGATATCCTCCGCCATATGGAGGTGGTGCGCCATACATGGGTGGATGGCCATATCCGCCATAAGCACCATGTCCTGCAAACCCTCCACGATAGGCACCACGACCACGGCCACGGCCTCGAGCAGCCATTCCAGGAACGTTCGTACGCTTGGGCGTGACTTTGATCAGACGCGCACGGAAGAGTGAATCGTTCATGACGATGGCATTGGCGACGGAAGAGGCGTCTGCAAACTCAACGTATGCATATCCCTTGGGCTGGCCAGTCCATTTGTCGCACAGGATCGTGATACGGTTGATAGTCCCGCATGACTGAAAATGCGATTGAAGTTCCTCAGGTGTTGAGCCCCAGTCCACGTTTCCGACATAGACCGATCTTGAATCGACAGCCTCCTTATCTAGATGACGATTTTTTTTTTTTTCATTCCATGTGGTTGCTTGTCAGTATTCGCTGGTGGAGGAAAAAAAAATAGTACAAAGAGGATAATGCGAGTTGGAGGTTCTTGGACATGCCTTCTTCAACCATGTTCATGTCCTTCTCTGCCTGGGCTTGCATCTCACGAAGTTTAGCAGCCTCAGCCTCCATCTCCTTGACACGCTGCTTCATGGCCTCAATTTCCTAGGTGTGGCCAAAGAAAAAAGACCATGTAAGTAGACGTGGATATTCTTGAATTGAAATGGTGGCATCACTACCATAGTCAATGAAACAATCATCAGTTTTCCTTGCCTCATCTCCGAGATCCCTCTCGAGATCGTCATTTCCAGCAACAATCTGGTTGTTGATATGCGATTCCTCTGTAGACATGTTTTATAATAAATGTCGATCTAGGTGAGCTATTGAGTGGACAAAAAACAAGGACGAAGAATAGGGCAGTTAGCATTCGTTTAAATAACTTTGGTGGATCCGACGGTGTGCGGACGTTGCCAATGTGCGACAACCGAAGCAGGAAATGGATTGGAAATCAAAGCGCGCTGGCGAGAACAAGAGCGAAGAGGGGGACACCTCTGAGGGCTAATTGAATCAGGGGATGGCACCAATAGGATATGTAACGGGCGCCAACCCTTATCGCCAAAGACATGAAATAAACAAGGAAGCTTCAAATACTGCACATTGAAGAGAAGCGGTATCATGAACAGGTCTGACAAGGATGAGGTGTCGGAGAAGAGTTCAGTGGGTGCGGCTCCAGTTCAAGCTGCTTTCATCGAGCCTGAATAATGAGCATTGGCGGTTGCTTCCAGGTCATCGCAAGATGTAGTTGCTCCTTGTCCAAGCCCTTTCTGCTCCTTATCCAAATGAAAGCAATGCAGTGGAAAGGGTCTTTGCTATGCAGCCTCGGCGGTTGTCAGCCAAGTCGGTGGCATCAAGACTTACCAGAAGAGTGGAGCAGCGTGTGTTTATGAATGGGTGGTGCTTGTGAAGAAATAAAAGGAAGCTGGGTCTTGGAGCTACAAAAAAATGCTGCCAATCCATGGTCACCGTACTGCGGTTGCATCGTGTGCGCTGCAGTCTGCTCAAATGAGCAACCTTCAACGTACGATGGAAAAATTGTACGTGATCAACCTATTCGATTTTTATGAAGAATAAGAAGAATAAGCTCTTTCTTTTGTTTAGAGTTTTCATCGCAAGGTCTCTAATATTAGGCTATAAAGAAACCGTGTCCGACCTAGACGCCAATCCTAAAGGCGACCTTCAGCTCAAAGGCTCCATGCAGAGAACAATGCCATTGCCGCAAGATTCTGTGTCCATATCCCGCTCTGCACCCATTCCTTCCTGTTACCTGCGTCCGATCGCGCCTTTGGTATCAGTCCCTCGTGTCTGGTACTCACAGGATGCGGCTTCCCTACATACTTGGGCGATATCCTGTGGGTACTTTTTGCATGTCGTCGGCCGCCCCCTTCCTTGCTGTGGTACCCATCACCGCCTGCGCTCTTCTTGCTGTCGACCGCAATTTCTTCATCATCTTCTATGGGTACGACATAATGCACCTTTTTCCGACGAGGACTCTCCAGATTCAGTTTGCGGACAACCCCATGAGGACCGCGGTGCTGGCGGTATTTTGTGTACCAGTCTTGGTGGGCTACCATGTAGACCTTGCCGTTCTTGTGGTACGTCGTTGACCTTGGGATGGCACGAAAATGAAAGCTGCTACTGGACACTGTCGAGTGATGATCGTCTGAGGACGCTGACCCTTCTGCATCACTCGACCTACGAGTAGATCCAGAGCTGCGCTTTCGTATGGTGTCGTATTTGATATCTTTATCTATGTCACTCCTCTTCGCAGTTTGGGACACATAGCTGCTATATGTTGTCTTTTGTGGGTATTTTACTGGATGGCACGTTCGGTAGTCCAGGTCCGAGTATTGGCCGGCGGTATCAGATGAAGAGCAATGGTACCCAGGGGAGGCCTCGACAGGGCCAAGCAGATGGAGGGTTGAGAGAAGTATGACTGATATCCAGACGGATACTATAGGTGCCCGCATGATTCGTAGCAGTTGAGTAAGTATCTCGAAGAATGTGTCTTCGGAAAATGGGTTGTCGAAGGGTAGGTGGTCGTCAGCTTCATTCAACCAAAAGATTCGTCGAATGAAGAAAGAGGATGCTCATTCGGGTCCATGGACCAATGCGGTTGGTTAGGATCGGAACAATACTTGCTGTTGATCCCCCGTGATTCCATGGTATGTTGCATAGGTTGCACAGCACGAAATAAAGACGCGTTTAAGATGCTCATTGTCACTACGCGCAACATGCATGGTCCAGTCAATGCGCCATAGTATGTTACTTGTTGATATGCATCCTCGTTTATTATATGCTGGTGTGGAGTATGTATAGGTTGATTTGTTTGGTTTGATATCCTTTTCTTCAGCAACACTCTAGGACTCAGTTTCATAGACTGGAAGTACGGTCGAAAACCGATGCGTGTAACCAACAACCTTACGACCATTGCCGTAAATCTCGACTCTGACCTGATAATGATCCCTCCGCGGGATATCCCTGGGCAAGATCACAATGTAAAATCCGGTCCTCGCGTCAAGATTGGCTGCCAGTACCCGCTGAACCTCGGCCTTGGTCGAGTCCTCCGAGCCGTCCTCGTTTGAGACCAGAAGAATGTTGACTTTAGTCTGGGGAACTTTTTCAAATATCTTGGGAACAGACCACCCAATGGTGTAAGGGGACATCATAACTAATGCCTCGCCGCCGGACTCGTGGACCAGCTGGAGGGGCTCATCATCCAGGATGACGTCTTGGAACTCTTTCCTGAAGTGGAATTGATCTTCAGCTCCGGCACCTTTGTCTTGTTTAAGTTCGCGGAGGAGCTCGACGGTATTAATCGGGTTTTTGATGACTGATTCAGAAGGAGGATGGGTATCGGAGTCAACTTGCTGACTCTCTTCAACTACGAATAGTTTTGAGACAAGGGAGCGGCTCAGGACGGTCGACGTTCGACCCTTGTAAACTGTCAGGAGCAGCGAGTAGGCTCCCGGTGCGATCTCAGGTCTCAGATTGATTTGTGTCGATCCAAGGTGCGTTGGAACATAGCGACGGAGAATGGTGGATTGGTTTTTGGAGAGTTGCATAAGTGCGATATCCATTGTGGCTTCCTGCGGCATCTTGGTTCTATCCCAGGCGACAGTGACAGTGGGTAAGGTTATCTCGAATCTAAATGGCGCAATGGCGCCTGTTGGGAGAGCATTGGCTGCAGTGTGGAAGGACGCGAAAGAGAACAGGGAGAGGAGCAACAGAAAGATGGACATTGGTATCCACGTTATAGTGATATCGTTGCAAGTGTGGATATAGGATATAGATATAGGATATAGGATACAGGATACAGGATAGAGGATACAGGATACAGGATAGAGGATACAAGATACAGGATACAGGATATAGGATATAGGATATGGGATATAGGATATGGGATATAGGATATAGGATGAGGATGGAGATGAGAATAATGAGGCACAGGGGGGGGGCAATGACTTTATATATGAATGTAGAAGGCAATTGTATAGCCAAAGAGTATATGAAAGGACGAAAGTGTGTAAACAACGCTGCCGGAACAGGAAGAACCAGGGTCAAAAGATAGTGGAAGCGTAGATCTCACATACGAGGCGAGAACAGAAGATGGGGTGTGCAGCTGAGCAGGAGTGGGGATTGGTCCGAGGGAGAATGATAAACAACAACAGAAGCGAATTGATGCCGCGGGATTTATATAACCTACGCATGGTGGGCTCCAGAAGGGGAGGAAGAGGAGCTGATGCGGGCGGTCTGGACCCTGTGCCTGTCTACATTCGCTGCGGTCTCGACTCCCCGCCAGTTGGTTGGCCAGAGCTGGGCGGGCTCTGCTAAAATTAACCTACACCTGCAAAGCAAAGAGGACACAAAGTGCACAAACACCACGACCAACTGCCAGGCAAGACAGGTCGCACTCGACTGCTCCGCCTTCATGTCTCTCATAAGCTTCTGTGCGGCTGCTGGCGGATGATGACTGCGGTTGCGTACGTGTGTGGATGTGTATTTGGTGGCCTGTTGGCAATGCAGGTCCAGCTATAACACTCACTGTGGATATAAACTATATAAACTTCGATCACAGCTGTCGGATCTGTTCCACAAATCTGTCGTAAATCACATGACTCGGCCCAATCGCCAGCAAAAAAGTGAACATAAGACATGAGACGAACGAAACCTGGGAACGCAGCTGATGTGAAGACAACACGGCGAGGCAGTGAAATGGTGAACCATAAGGCGGATAGGGGCTTGGTTGGAGCGAACGCGGCAAGCTACCCTGTGTCCCCAAGATGGTTGCACAGAAACACAGCAAATTTCGCTCTTGAAGGTGAATGTGGATAGAATGAGGCTGGGAGGAAGCCGCGCAAAATGTTTGCACAGGGACATGCGCTCCTGAAGGTGGAGGAGGAGGAGGAGGGGGGAGGAGCGTCAGAGCGGAACTTTGACTCCGGGGCATGGGCCAGGGGTTTTCCCTCCTTTGACATAGTTGTAGATTGTTCATAGTGTGCTATGACGGCAAGTTGGCATAGCTCAAGACCGTTAGGCTGCTTACAGGTCAGAATACGCACCGGAATGATGTATTCTTAGGGTTGGTGGCGACTCCGTCTCAGGAACACCAGAAGCATCACCTCCTTTTTGGACTAACGGACGTAGAATAGGACACAGCACAAGAAGTAGACATGTGTACTTCAACAAGTACCATCAACGGTGATACTACAAGGCTTTCATCGTCTACATTATCTTGTGCGACCACGATCTCCACCTCCCTTGGACTTGAGTATCGTCTGCAGTCTAGCGCGTATCTGGATAGTTTAGACAGCACGCGTAGAAGGATTTCATCGCCTGCTGTCAATCATCTCATCTTTTTTTTTTTTTTTTTTTTTCGATAAAACTATCGCTTCGAACTTGTGTATTGGAATGTGGAGGTAAGCATGTGCCATGCGCCCCAAGGTATCCCTTCAAGGTTTGCTCCGTTAATTGCTCTGTGTCATTGTTGCAGTTGCAAATTGTCTCGCTGTGAAAACGCGTTTCGCGTCAGGGGCGCGAGCACGATGTCTGCTGCGCTGTATATAGGACAAGCACGCCATGTGCCTCAGGGTACGTTTTACGAAGCGTACCTGAAATACTCCGTGTTTGTACATGCACGCGTGCATGAACTTGTACACATGTGCATTGATGCCAGGCAGGCTCTCGATCTTTTGCGCAGAAAAGTCCCAAAGGCATGCGCGTGCAAGTAAAAAAGCAAAAAGGCAGTTGAGCGCGCTCTCCTTTCCGTCTTGTTTTTCCGTTCCCCCTCCCTTCATCGCTTCATCGCTTCATCACTTCATCACTTCATCATCTCATCACCTCATCCCTCATCGTCACAACCGCATGCACCTCATAGACTATGCTGCCTCCGGTCGCACTCACTTTCGCTCGACAGGAAACTCTTCGTGGTCGAACAGAATCTTCATCAAATTTGTCCTGCGATCGTCGTCCCTGTGGGCTAAGCAGGGTCGCCAAGACTGTCGATCATGCCAATTGCAGTTCAGGCACCACAGCCACAAGTCTGATTACTGCGAGCACCAGGGTCCGCAGGAGGAAGAGGACAGGGTCGCATAGCGCCCTGGTCAACTGCCTGACCAATGTGACAGCAGCAGCAGCAGCAGCAGCAGTGGCAGCAGCGGGTGGTTGCACTAACAAGCATGCACATTGCTGTCAGGGCTGTCAATTGCATGGTGGCAAACCATGTCCAGTCAGTTCGGCCGCTTTGCTCTCCACGACCTCGCCACTGCCGCTGACCCTGCCCTTCTTCTCAGCCACTCCCTCTCATGCCACCACCGCCAATGCTCAAGCCCTGGTCCGTTCGCAGGGTCCGCGAGCCCATTCTTCTTTTGCCTCCACCTCCCTCCACACATCCAATTCATCCTCTCCCGCTCCCCCACAACAACCCGTAGCCCTTTCTGCATACTACTCCGAGCACCACAATCCTCAATTGTCCCACTCCCGGTCTAATCAATCACACCAGGGTCCAGGTAGGAATCATCCCTTCGTTGAACTCCTTTATCTGCTTCTACAGCTTCTTTCTTTCTACTCTCTCCTCTTCCCTTCCCATCGCATCCATCAGTCGAGATCAACGCTATCCCTGTTTGGCCTCACCACAGCAACACAAATGGAAGAATTTAACATGCCTTCGGCCTTATTTCAGTACCGCTACCTGTCTGGAGGATGCGATGGTGCCTCAATCACCCCTATCATCTACATACGGACATCCGTCGTCGCTTGCAGTTCTCTGCTACTTCACGTTATCGTCAATCTCGCCATTCTCACCATGATCGCATCAGCCCTGCCGTAAGCGGCCTTGTAGGGGGCACAAGGACCGCAGTTTGCATTTCATGCTACGCCATTTGGTCCGTGCTATCGTTCTTTTCCCTTCCCCATGGTTTACAATGCACTGTGCATTATTTTTCTTCTTTGCTGCTTCTTTGCCCAGCAGTTTTTGTCAGCTTTATTGAATTCGTATGGCCCCATGAGTCAAGTGGATTCTAATAATAATATCTGTATTTCTTGTTCTGTCGTCGCCACTATCGCCTATTCCCCAAAACCGCTGCTGTCAATATCATTGCACAGCGACTACCTCGTTCACGGTTCCAGCAGGAAGTCCAATTTGGCAAGGTAATGTTTGCACGTTATAGGCTATCAATCCGTCATTTCCATTCATGTAATCTTTGTCTCTCATATGCAAGCGTTTTTGCAATTAAGCTACGAGACATGCCCGATGAAGAATGGCCGCCAATGGATCTACTTCCATAGTTCACTCTTATCTGCTGTCGCCTGCCCCTGCCCCCATTCTCCTCGCTCTTTCTTCTCACCGTTTCATTTTGTGGTCGGGGTCCGCATTTGTCGAGCAGAATCACACCTATTCCAGACCAAATGTCGCTATTATACAATTCGACCCCCTTCATTTTCATTATTGCAAGGGTCAATCGTTCATAGCACTATTGTTCTTGCCTTCATTCATCCCTCATTTTTTAATCACTCACTCTCCGTTGAGTACACCGCCATATCTATCTATCCTCGTGTATGTGAGCGTACAAAGGAGGTTGTTACATGCAATGTGGGTAGCGATGGACGCCGCTATCTGCAGGGGCCGCCATAACGCTACAGGCATTCCCTTGTCTCTTCCTTTACATTCACTTTGGCTATCAACGCCCCACCCTTACTTCGGCAAGCCCTATCTAAAGAAGCGCATGCATGGCTAAGTCGGATGTATAGGTTGGCATGTGTTTGTGCAGCTCTCCCGTTTCAGGGCACGTTTATTTGATCAGTAATCACATTCTCTTCAGGAACTTTTGTTTATGTTCATGCCCTTCAGATTCGTCTGTCGTAGCCTTCTATGGCGAACGGCATCAGTTCCCAGGGAACGTCTTTCAGCGAACGCACAGATGGTGGACTCAAGATATTTCGTCAACAAACAGCGCACAGCACTAGTAGTGTGTATTTTTAGAAAAATAGAACCATCTACTGCATGGATATCGTACATACCACACAACGGCCTTAGTTTCCTTTTCCTTTACAAAAGCAAGTATCTATCCATGAATCCTCCCTTTCACTGGACTAATTTCCTTCCGCCAGCCTCTTTTCCAATCATTTATGGTTTATTACTGTACATGGTTTGCTACATGGTCCTCGTTACAGTCATTCAACAAGTGCGATCCACGGCGATTTGTGCTGCCCTGTGTGGTCCATGTGTTTGGGATACCCAAATAGGATGATAAATGGGATTTCAGGATTTCATTTCACAAGTCGTGATCGAACAGTGCACATACCCCCATGGCAATGTCAACAATAGGAGCGTAGCATGCCCAAAGCAAACATGCGCTTACCCATCAACAAAGCATGATTATCGATTTGCAATTCATTGACATCCCGTTATTTTCGACCTCCTTAGCGTACGAGAGTGTCAAAAACAAAATCATTGCGACACAGCAGCGACGGTGGCAAGCCCTCAGTGAATACTGTCAGTGGCAACTGTGGGATCGTGAACCTGTCTTTGTTGAGCACGAATACGATCAAGAGAGAGCAGCGCAGAGATCAATGTCTGCGACATTAAACACTACAGCCCCTACGATGAGCCTGCTTGTTCACTATCACTCTCCTTCACCACATGTGCCTGCAGGTGCAGGTGCAATGCACTCACAAGAAGTCGGACTTGAGTTCGGCCCCAGCATCCATAAACCCTATTACGCCCAAGGGGGGCCAATGAGAGCCGACAGTGGAGTGTGCAGCAACGTGAACAAGAAGAAGAGCCATGTTCGATCATCATTAACGGAGGCAGGGTGGACACCGACGGGCAGGGCTACGCTGAACAAGGATAGCCGAAGACGACAGGGAGGGGAGCGCTCAGCGGAGCCTAGACCGGATGCGGAGTTGGACCTGGCCCGTGAGCCAATAATGAAATCCGATAGGGCTGAGAGGTCCTCCTCTCCTTCTCCTCCTCCTCCGCCAGAGATAACGTTATCACTGTCTTCAAACACACAGTTGACATCTTGTGCAGCATCCATGCTATGCGTGCCTTCTTCCTCTTCTCTCCATTGCCCTTCTTCGATCAGCTCTATACCACATAGCCCTCCTCTGCCGCCCTCATCTTCATCCCCACCACCTACAGCACCAGCACTCAACTCATGTTTTATCGCCAGTCCAAGCATGCCAGTCGCAACACTCTCGCCTCCATGCTCTCAGTCGCTCACAGCCAAATGCTCGAAACCACACCCTGACTGTCCGCCGTCGCCGTCGGTCCTGGCATCGTCTCTGCAGACGGTGAGATATGCCAGCGAGCGTGGTAGGCACCTGGCTAGGCAGTCAAGGACAAGTCTCCACAGACTGCTAGACTCAGTCATGGACAGTACCCCGCCCTCACTGGCAGAGTCCAATTCCAGGCACTATTTTTATTCCGAAAATAATTGCTCGTCCAATATCAACACAGCCCCTGGATCGTCTGCTATCACCTCATCGCACACTGCAATCATATCAGCACACCGACCGACGATAGGTCCACGAGCGAGTACCAAAGCCAAGTTCTTTGTCTGCGACGAGGACAGTGAGGAGGAATTAGAGACAGGATCTTTGGATCAAGATATTGACCGGGGCACAGGCGCCCTTCAAGCAATGCCGAATATGGAACCCAAATGCGACCGTGGTCAGGAGCGCGTACATGGCGATCAGAGTGAATTCGAAGACGATAAAAAGAGCTTTCCCGGATTGGCGGTACCACATACTCACCACCGGATATACTTCCAGCACCCGTCGATTGCTTGCGCTTCTGGGGTGGAGGGGAGGAGGCAGTCGCTGCTCTCAGATTTGTTTATGGCAGAAAAACTCTTGGCGGCTCAGCGCGCAGCATTAAACAAAGGAGCACAGGGCATTGCGGCACAGAAGACTCCATCGACATTGTCAAATTCGTCCTCATGCTGCCACAGCACTGCAAATTCCGATGGAGAGGCTTCACCATCCAAGACTACTTTGCTTCACCAGCATTATCGCTCAACTCGGGAACAGCCGCACCAGACAATATCTGAATTAGAACATCAGTTCCTTCAATCCAACCAAAGCCAGCGTTTTGGCGATCATCTCCCTGCCCAGCAGCATGACGATCTGGTTGTGACCAAGGATGTAACCAGTTATGACAGGACGCCTAGCTCGCCCTTGAGGAGGACCAAAAAATCCATGTTCAAGAAGCTGGACGAGCTGGCAGTGGATACTGCGCTCACGGAGGACACTTCAGAAAGGGCGGCATATCTCTCGCCAGCATCCTTGCCACAGTTTGCGCCACCTTTATCCATTCCATTTCCAGTCGCGCCAGCAACAACTGCATCCGACAAAGCCATTTGTAAAACAAATCTTGTAACAACATTACCATCAGCTTCTGCACTTCCCCCATTCAAGTGCTCAACCAAACAAAATAATCTCTCCACTCCACCATCATCCGCAGTCAAGACCTGCCGCTGTACACCGGCGACGCCGACCACAACTACTGCCTTTGCGACTGCGACATCGAAATACACAGCGACTGCGTCATCAGAATCTGCCGCGAGTATCGCTGCCGCTGCTGCCAATTCTGTTGGCGGAGGGGGCGTGTTTTCGGGCTGGTCCCGAGTATATCATGTCCAGACACAGGTCCATTCGTTGTATGGACAGTTGACTTCATCCATTCAGCGCGCACTTTCGACTGCTACGGCAACGTAGGAAGCCATTCAGGAATAAACACATACAGCCACGTAGCTATTCAAAGACAGCTACATTACATTCATACTCTTTGTTTTATTAGGAATGGTAATTCCAGGCAGATAAAATTGCTTCCTGCATGAAGAAATGGCACTGGCATCAGAAATAGTACTAGAGCGCTCCGCAAAGTGAACAAAGGGAAATGCCATGGAGGAAAGATAGGTTTTATTGACCTAGATAGCCATACGACCAGCACAGTTTGCAGCAAAGCCTAGAATAGACAGCTTGATTAACGTGATGGGTAGTACCGAGTAAGAACTAGATGATCTGCCTGGAAGCAAGGTTCTACTTGTTATGAGGATAGAGACCGATGGAAGTGTAGCCGCAGTAGTAGTACGCGATCGTGCGAATGAAAGAGTGGAAGACAACGAGGTGCGAGATAGGGGACTCGCGCGGTAGTTGATACCGGAGTAGCATTGTGCTTATGGTGCCTACGTGGGTGGTAGGTTTGGAGAAGAGAGAGGCGGTGGGCCTTGGGGATGATGATAATGATATTATGATGATGGTATCAATGGACTCTTAGGATTCGACGAGGTAGAAGAGGTACCCCAGTATTCGGGTGCGCTGCTCTAGAAGCCATGCATCAAATCACAGAACTAATAAAAGCTGTCAGAAGCAGACGTATAAGAAAAGAAGCTGTGGGCAACAGCATCTAACAATCAACGGACACGATCATGGCTAGGCCGAGACTCTGTGTTCTAGGCAGCCTTGACATTTGAGGGACCTTGAAACGACGTGTGAGAACCCGCCGACCTTGGGGATAGACAATGCGACGACGAGGCAGTAGACACCGGCAATGGCGAATGATATCTTCCAATGCACGAAGAAGCCGAAGTACTTGGGGGGGGGGGGGGGAAGAGGATGTTGGCGGGTATCGGTGCTGGCTTGGATTTCGAGAAGCATGATGTACAATACATGTCTCCGGTCGAGGGAGTGATCTGACGAGTATCAATTGGAAAGAGCAGAAAAAAGCGAGTAGCAGGTGAATAGATTGAAGAAAAAGGGTATGTTCAAAGAAAGGATTAACCCAGAATACGCAGGTGCCGGTGCGGGTTGAAACGTGCCTTCGAAAGGTAACTTAAACGGTAATGACATTGCTGGTTAAGATCGGGTGTAGAATGTGGGATACCGACGTGGCGGTGAACCTGCCATTGCGGCGGTTTGGGTGCTTCATGGAATCGATACGCGCGTAGATTCCTCGCCAAGAAGTAATGCCCCAAATATTTTTTACAATAAAACCAATTCAAAAATTTCGTTAAGCCACTGAAGTTCAGGACGAAATGTTCCCCAAAAAACCAGTTCCTTAGAATTCTCACGATGGGAAAATTTTTTTGTTCCCCCGCACAAAATCCATGCAAAGCCTTTCGCCTGCGCAACTGCCTCATCAAGGACTCCATCACCATCATCTCCCCCTCAATCTCTAGACAGTTTCTAAGACGCGTAGCCGATGTCTGGACGGAAAGACGTGTCTACTCCTGCTGGATCCCCGGCTCCTGAGGAGCCAGTCGTCACGCCTACAAAGACCGCGCCCACCAAGACCCAGCTTCTGAATATTTCGCCCAGAAGAAGCACGCGACTTATTTCAATCTCCCCCGTCCAGAAAACATTGGACTTTGGCGACTCCCCCCATCGCAACATGGCATCGTTCAACAGCTCCCCTATCCGCTACGGTGGCAGACCCCAACCAATCCTCCACTTCGCTACGCCGGTACTTCCACTAAAGTCACCCCTAAGCACAACAAGCCTGTCACCACCTCTTCTCCAGATCCTGTACCAGGCCCAGGGGGACCGCCTCTAACAAACGACAACGATCCTCCTGTGGTTGATCAAGTCGGTCAAAAGGACAACCCATTTTGGAGCGCCGAGTCTTCCGCCGACGCCAGCATTGGCATTGATATGTTCAAGCATGGCAGTTCAGTCTACGTGCCCTCTGAGTACCGACTCCTGGCACATGTCTTCAAGAAGCTGACTTCACCTGACACTCCTCCCGCCGTTCAAGACTGGATGAAAATCCTTGGGAGGGGAACATCGCATCAACTGTCAGCTCTGACTGGTACAGGGGAGCGCACTTGCAGGAAGGCAGTAGCTTTCGCAGAAACTGGATCCATTGACAAGGAGGAGATTGACCGACCGGGACGACCTCTAAGTGAACTGGACGAGAACCTTGCAGCCAAGATTCGCGACATCATCACTCGATCTAACAAAAAGAGTATCCCCAACTCAGCTAGCCGTATTTCGAACGAATTGAGGATGGAATACAACATCAAGAGGTCTGCACGATCGATTACACGCGACCTCCACAAGCTTGGGATGTACTGGGGAAAAGGTGTGCGTCAGAACATGATGCACGACTCACCGGAAAATGCTACCTATCGGCTCGACTATCTTGAACGCCGCTTGAAGAACCTGATTGGCAATGATGGTGAGATCAGATCACGTCGTCCCGAGGTGTTTTTGGACGAGTCGTATTGTCAGCTTGACCATGCTGCGGCAAACCGATGGGTTCTTAAGAAGGGCGGCATGGTTTCGGAACCAGGTCGGAAACCGCTCCTTGTCATATTCGCCGCATTCGCTGTGTCATGGAACAAGAACAAGCGGCAGTTGCAGGCCCGATTTGTGCAGGACAGTGTCTACATCTGGCCTGCGATCGGGAAGTCCCACCTGGCGACGAAGCCGAAAGAAGGCAAGGAACAGTACGACTCTGCGCTGTGGCGCAATGTCCCGAAGGAGATCCGAGATTCCAAGGTCATTGCTGACAACCGCGATTATCATGGAAACTTCTCAGCAGATTTATTCGACAGCATCTTCAAACGGCTATGCATAAACCTTGGCAAAATGGGATACGGTCCTTGCAATATTCACTTGGACGGTGCTTCATACCACTTTCGCAAAATCAACAAAAAGCCTACCAGCTCCACCAAGGTGGATGATATGCTCAAATGGTTCCAGGACGGGGGCCATGAACTGCCGGCGACTACACGGCCAAATGGAAAACCAACCAAAGCGGAAATGTTGCAGCACATCAAAGACCATACCGATCGATCTAGTTATACCATTTATGACATTGCAGCTGGCAATGGTGGCCACTTTATATACAAAACTCCTCCCTACCATTGCGAGCTCCAGCCAATTGAGAAGATCTGGGTCATCGTCAAGCAGATGGTCGCTAGCCAAACCACAGGGAACCTGTCACGCTTGAATCTCAAGAGGATGCTTGATAGACATTTTGTTGACACACCTTCCAGTACTTTTATCTCTGTGTGGAAAGCCAGTGTTAGAATCGGAAGAGAGCAATATGCAGCCGGTAATAAACCAGCGCAAGCTTCCTTGACAGCAACGCCTTTAGTGGAAGGGCCTGAGGAGGATGAGGAGAACTATGAAGAGATGGTACTGAGTGTGGATCTTATGGGAGAAGAGGCATGGACAAGAGCCCTTGAGGTGGTAAACGCTGCTGATCCCTATGAAAATGGCAACCTTTTCATTATGGAGCCGTCATCAACGGATGATCTAGAGAACGACCGCGACGATGTCCACGATGGCTATGCAGGCATCGGGGATGATGGTGTTGAAATTTGTCTGGCCGAGGATGGCCTCAGGAAGTAGCTCCATTGAAAAATATATCACCTTTTGGGAGAAATTTTAAATTTTTTTGGAAAATAAATGTTTGAATTAAAAATGTATTCTATAAATATGGGGCGTTACTTTGTGGCGAGGACTCTATTCAATTCGATTCTGGCAAATTTTAGGATGGCACTTTTTGACGCACAATCGCCATGCAATCGACTGAATTAAAATTTATTATTGTAAAAATATAGGTATCGCTACTTTTTGAGGCGGACTCTACGCGTGTTCACAACCCTAGACGTCGTGAATGTCGTGCAGATTGGCTGGACCCTTTGGACGGAAATAAGTATTTTTGAAGGATGGCAATAAGGACCTTCAGTGTCTCTCGTACCGTCTTCGCAAACCACCTTTCGCTCCCCAATAAATACCCGCGTGGAAGGAAAAAAAATAGATCTTTCCACCTTTCCATCCCTCGATCATTTCTCAGTCATTACATCCTCCCTCTACTGTCTTTTTCCCATTGCCACTATTATCCACATATCCCTCGCCATGGGGGTGCTGAAACTTTGGCAGTTTATCAAAGAACAAGGATACATTGCCCTCCTCAAAGCATTCCCTACCACCCCTTCACCAAACACTCGTTATCACATTGACATTCTCGGTTCGTTCTTTTCAGTCATTCGCCGCTGTTTCCTTAACCCTGACACGACAGTCGCATGTATCAACTTCGAACGACATTTGATCGCCTGTCAGTTTCCCAAGGCAACGACGATTCTGCACATGGACGGACCTTCTCCTGCTGAGAAGAACGCCACCAACGAAGACCGTCAATCGAAACGCACAAAAGCCCTTTCCAAGACCAACAAGCTCTTGACCAACATGGAAGAGACCCTCGAGAACAACAGAAAACTACGGAAACAGCAGTTCAAGTCTGTCAACAAGGCCATTGTTGACTCCTTCTATTTCAATCATGATCTCCGCCAAGCACTTGTCCAGCATCTTGTCACAAATGGCTGGAATGTCTGCAGATGCCGTTCGGAAGCAGATACCTGCATTGGGTCCATTTGCCAGCAACAGGATATTATCATCACTCGTGACAGTGACTCGCTTATCTACAGCAACATCACCACAATCTGGAGACCCTTTAGCCGAAACCGGTACCTCGTCTATAATATCCCGGAACTATTACGCCACCTTCAGCTCTCAAGAGCAGGATTGACTACCCTTGGAGTCGTTACCCAGAACGACTACGGCAAGGGGATCCACAAGCTCGGTGTCAAGACAAATTTCATGATTATTTTGGCTCTGGAAAAGGATGGTAAGCCGAAATAGACTATGTATTCTCCCTTGTTTTCATTGCCTTATTCATCTCCATCTCACCTTTTTTATTTTTCTTTTGTTCAGTTCCGTCGACGGCTGCGAGTGTTCAGGGGCTTGTTCAGGCCTACTTGGTACACACTACTATATCTAGCAAGCACCCGACGGAGGGACTATTTGACTCGGCTATTCGGATCTTTACCGTACAGCAGTGTACGACTCTTACTCTACCCCACATTCAGGATCCCATTAACGAGCTACAGGAGATGACGCAAAGGGTCGCAGACATTCGCCTGCATCTCAAGATTAGCCGACAAACATCAAGGTACAGGCCCACGTTATGATAATGAACAAATTCAGGTTTCTTGACGGCAAAAAAAAAGGATCTTTTTTTTAACGGCTGTGTTGATGGATGCCCACCATTTTTAGATCCGTCCCTGGTGGTCAAGAAGAAGAGCGAACAACAGATTTCATTCGATACTCCACTGTTGATCGTCCTCTGAGTCAGTTACCGCCTCTGCACAGCTCGGGAAGACAGTACAAGTATCGGGAACGCTATGCGATTAAAACTCGATCACGTCTCATCCAGCACGAGAAGCCCGACATATTCAAGCAGTACGTCTGGAAGGCTCCAAAAGAGAATACCAAGTCAACCAACAATTCCAGCAGTACCATAAGCACCAGCACCAGTACCGAGGCGGGCCCCAGCACAAGTACCAACGTCGGCGCGACCAATCCGCCACCGAAAAAGAAAAAAAAGTCTACGCCCAAAAAGGCTCAACTTGCAGCGGATGAGATGACCAAGATTCAACTGATCAGAGCGATGCAAATAGAGCACCCTCTTCGAACCTTGGACATTGGAACCTTGAAGGCGAATACGTCTCGAGCACTAAAGAAGGAGGTTCCATACGACGAGGATCTACAGGACAAGCTTCTGCACGCTGTGACCACCTGTCTCTCTGATATCTCTAACCTGGCTTCGAAATCGGAACATGCGTGCCAACAGGTTATTGGTCAGTACCTAGAAAGCCTGTCAGTCGATCACCTTGACGAGGACGACAGAACCATTCTTAGCTACTTGACTCCTCACTTCTCGGTCCAGGAAATCGTGCGGCTAAAAAAGGCACCACCCCGAACCCAGAAGATAAGTCATCTGACGACGAGGACGACTCCGAGGCCAGCAACGAAAACAAGAACTCTCCAGTTGGATTCTTCCTGTCGCTTCTGATTGCCATCTACAAGGCCAGCACTCCTCGGGGAAAAAAGAAGGCGAGTGCAGCTGCGGCTGTGTGCTTGTTCTTACGTAAAGCCAAAGACTATTTGCCACCGAAAACTGGCAGTGGTAGGTTTGCCTCTTATAATTGTGGCAGTAATGTGACCTATTGTAGAACCAACTCTCTAATAGCTTCTCATTATCTTCTCCATTTCTTATTTACACGCACTACCTGCAGAATCTTACAACAACCCCTCAGTCTTTCTCCAGTCCACAGCGAAGCAACTCGCAACTGAGTACAGAAGGCACTTCAAGAACGGTTCCTTTGATCTTTCCAAAAAGGTAATAACAATTCAAATGGTTCGAGACCCTGATTACAAGAAACGTGCCTGACATTATTTCTTTTTTCTTCTCTTCATTTCCGCTGTAGATCCAGCAGCAGAAGAAGAAAGGACTCTTGCCCCAGAGTACCCCAGGTCGTGTCGATCCAGACAAGACTCCAGCGGAGAACTTTATCATTCCGAACAGAGCCATCGGAAGAAGTTGGCGACTATCACCAATGTCACCCCGCGGAAGCAAGTTCGTCAGTCTCTCGGAGGATGATCTGGTCAAGGTCTTTTGGAAAGACGAAACGCTACGGAAACAGCTCCGGCTCTATACCCATTCAACTGTCATCAAATCTGTCCCAGAATCTGGCCGCGTTGCTCAAGATGACGTGGTTGGGTGGCTCAAGAACCTCGACCCGGGAGAGTTGATCAACAGGCTTTTGACCGACATTGGAAGATTTACAAAGGAAGAGAGGAGGAAAAAGAAGCACTGGTCACGATCCGCGCACCGTATGTCGATTGGCGATATAACTGCTCACATCTCCAACATTCGGCACAAGGATTTCAATCCCAAGTTTTCGTATTCGGGAAAGGGCTATGCTCTCCGAGGATCGATCAAGACGGACGGATTTCGGATCCAGCTGCTCGCCTTCAAATTGAACGAGCTCAAGTGTGTCAAGTACCAACGATTGGATGAGGACAAGCTACCAGACCCGCTAACATCGACGCTTAGAGGCGCCGACCACTACCTCACCGAGATCCGAAACGTGGTTAAGTCAAAGGAGGACGTCAAGAGGATCTGGAAATGCGACCCGGAGGATATCAAGATTCTCGGGATTGACTTGGGAAAAGCGTTTGTTGTCGGTGCCAGTGCCCTCTTACCCTCGTCCGCACCAACCGCACCAACTGATGGAGTGGAACAAGGAGCCATCACCGAGATCGGTATACCCTTGTCAACACAATTCCACAACCTGGCAGTCAGTCAGAAGGCAGTCTACCAGCCAACATTCAAAAACAGAAGGTGGCTCGACCAAAGAAAAAAACGTGCGGCCGAGGGCGAGACGTCAATCGCTCACGTCGAGTCCAACCTGCCTCCACTCCGCGGCCCAGATTCATCGATCACCAAATTTGTCAAGGAGTCAAAGGACAAAGAGTCGGATCTCGATACATTTTACAACAGCGTTGTACTCAAGAAACATAACTGGGATGCCCGCAGAGCAAGAGACCAGGAATTCAAACTTGTCGCGAAACGTCTTCTGGAGATGGTGGGAGGTACCCCAGGCGCGAAACGGGATGACAAGAACAAGGTCATTATCGGCATAGGACTCGGAGAGTTCTCTTCGAACTCGCGCTTGTCCTCCCTTCACACAGCGTTTTCCACGTACTTTATTCAACTGGTAAGTAATTAAACGTGTTTGTACCCACTTTTTTACTGACGATGCAAGGATCCTAATTTTTTTTACTCTGCTATTGTTTTATTTAGGCGCGATCCTTGGGATATATTGTAGTTGGTGTGAACGAATATTACACTTCAAAGAGATGTCCGGTCTGTCACGAGTTTGTTGGCCAAGTCGACATCCGTCAGCTCTATTGCCCAACGCCAACATGCGGAGCCAAGATCCACCGAGACGTGATGGCAGGTCACAATATGTCCAATATCATTCAGGGCAGAGACCTGTGCTGGTTGATTTATTTGGTTAGACCTTGTCAACTACAGGGGGTTTGCTTAACAAAATATTCATAATTGACAAGGTCTAACCAAATAAATCAACTAGCACCTTCTTCACCAGCAGCGACCTCACTGTTATCAGCCGTACGACAAGGACGGAAATTACATTTGGGAAATGGAAGACTGCGGTCAGTCTGTCGAGTCTTTGATGGGACGATTAGGTGTCAAGGAGGCGGAACAACCAGAAGAATGGATGGCACTGGAAGAGGAGGAGACTGAGCCAGATCGGCGCAAGAGACCAGTGGCATAATTTTTTTTTTCCTCAAATAGTTAGACAGACCAATTTGTGTGTATAAGTCAATACATTGGTCTGCGTTTGGGTGGCAGTGTAGGGCGTGCAACTATGGCATTTCGATGACGTAGTTTACGCCTGAAATGTACTGCTACCCAACGTGCCTGAAGGCCCATTGTCGCTCCAAAGCCAAAAAGGACCTCTTTCCCTTCCTCTTCTCCATCCCTTTAACCCGACGTCGGTCATCATCATCGCGAAGGGCACGCCATGCACCCCTGTCCAGCATGAGCTCTGCAGAAAAGATATCCAGCTCGAGTCAGCCCACCGCTCTGTCCTCTTCCAGGCTAAGTTTTCCCTCCAAAAAATCCAGCTTCCTGACTATTGTCAAGGCCCAGGTCGCTTTCCTGCTCTCGACCCTATCTGATAACACCTATGCCCGGAGTGTTAGCGAGATCTATTCGGTAAAAATCCTTTGCTTATTCAGCAACATCTTCAAAATAGCGTTTGGGCTTGGCGCAGTTAAAGCGTCTGTCAAAGGCTTCGGCAGAAGAGTCGATAGTCAACAGGATCGCGTGCTTTTTACTCAACGGCGTATCATAATATCCTGGGCGTTTTTTTTTTTTTTTTTTTTTTTTACTTATATGGCCTTTGATTAATTGTATTTCCATAGCTCATCGAGGACAACGGCAAAGCGGTCTACTTGCACTTTATCAGGCGACTCTTGCATGCTTGGCAGACTAGTCAGGAATCAACTCAGTCGAGCGACTATACCAGGACCCCGATACACAAACTCTTGATCGAGCAACTGCACATCCTCACTAAGAGTCAGGAGTCGACCATATTCTTTTGCGAAGCCGTCAGTTCCACAGACAGAACGGACGCCTTGAGAAATTTTGATTTTGAGGCCTTTATCCAGAATCAATCGTTGACGGCTGTTGAAAAAGTACGTCTAGCCATTGCGGTTCTCCAGTCCCCCAAAGCTGAGCTCTCTGCGCAAGGTATGTTCCTCCTTATTTTTTTTCAGTCCGTTGCAGTCTTTTGTCGTGTTCCACACTGATGAGTGACGAGCATACATTGTTGATGACGCTTTTTAGGCGAACGTGTGATTAAGATGAATACAGCTAGTATCAAGGAGAAGCTTGCATCGCAAGATCAACTATCGCAGTTTGTTCAATCTCTCGACACCTCGACCTACAAGTCCTGGAATGAACCCAATGACGCTGTCGCCCATCTCATCAACGCTTTATACAGTAATAACATCCCAAACGACATTAGTGCCATAATCAAAGAAAAGCTGTGAGTGCCGTGGATGTCGCCGTTTCGCATTGATATCGATTGAAGTAGGTTTGTTTATTTGACCCTAACCAACTGGCTATGCATTTTCATTTTTTTCACATCCAATCCATTAGTGAGATGAATGACAGCTCAGAGACAACAGCCTTGGCGAGAGCCATGCGTGAGGCTGGGTCTTCTTGTCTCAGAAGCGTGACAGCCATGAATGATGTTTTGCGTCGTGCAGGATACGACAACTCGAGGATACCAAACGAGCAGGAGATAGCACGCGCACTGGGCATGATGGCATCGCAGCAGACAAAGTCCACCGCAGAAAATACATGGGATCTCAAGGTCTTTGTCTCGGTGTTGAGCAAAAACACCGTCGACTGGGTCAAGGTCATATGGGCCCTGGATTATCCCGACTTTAAGATTCCCAGTACCTCTGGACTCGAGTTTATTGTTGCTGTATTCAGAGCTGCTGAAAAGGTATGTTTGGATCATGTTTAGAGTCCAATCGTTCTCTTGCCGAGACGAGAAATACTCATCAGATTGTTACTTCTTTCGTCACTTTTCCCAATACAGAGTGACCGTCTGTTCCCATTGGAGGCCTTCTGGGGACGATGGAGCAATGTTGCAGGACAGATTTCGCTTTTGAGGGGTCTTGTCGCTGCACCCGTGACAATACTAGAGCAGGAGTGGGCATCATCTCCCCGAATCTTTGTCAGAAGCCAGTTTGCACAGTCGAGTCCTGAAGTTCGGTCGCATGCCTCTGCAGGCCTGGAGTCGAGTGTATGGAACTGCATTCCTCTGGTTGAGACGTTAATGGTACTCGCGGATAACGACTCCAATGACGATGTCAAACCCATCCTGGACCTGGACCTCAAATCAAATACGGAATTGTTGTTCTTGGGACTCGTCCAGCTGAAAACCCCCTGGAATTCGTTGCATCAGGATCTCGTCTCCAAGCTGCTTCATGTTTATCTGACGGGAATCGGTATTATTCCCCAGTTTGTTCAAACGCGTCTGTGGCAGGTCAATCAGGGCCTGTTTGTTTCTGGACTTTTGGATCTCTACGACCACGACCGGACATCGTTAATAAAGGTTCTCAAGATCACGGAAGATCTCTCGGTAGGGCAAGGCTACATTTGCCACCGGATGCGAGCTGGATATTCCCTTGATTACCCGTTCTGACACTATATTTGTACCTATAGATCCTTGACAAAGTCCTTGAAGTCAAATCATTTGCGTTTGCGATTGATCTTGCAGTACTTGCTTCCAGTCGGAATTTGTTGACTCTGGACACGTGGCTGCAGAATCGGATTCAGGCTGGTCAGGATGCTTTTGTCAGAGCCTGTCTGGATTTTCTCAGTGAAAGGATCATCAACAACGGTCGGCGGGATGTCCCCACAAGCAAGGAGCTGCCGGTCGAAACTATTGCCATCTTCTTGCAGGTCCTTCTGGCAAGGTAAGAGAGTTTTTATCACATCATAGACGCTCCAGTATACCTTAATGGCTACGATTTGACACGTGCTCCTCAATGGTTTCCCAATAGCCCCATTTCGCCAGAAAACTCGGAAGCATTTAAAAATCTACACAATACCTGCCTCCAGCTTCACCCACACCTTTCCAGCATCACTCCAGTTCCAGAAGGAGGCGATGCAGGAACCGAGACATCGTTTTCAGCAGAGGTTGAGGAAGCAACAAATGAATATTACAAGCGCATCTACCGAGGCGACATTTCCATTATGGATATCGTGGAATTACTCAAGCGCTTCAAGAACTCTTCCGATTCAAGAGAGCAGGCCATTTATTCGCGCATGATCCATAACCTGTTCGACGAGTACCACTTTTTTGCAACGCATCGGGAGAAAGAGCTGTCAATCACCAGCGACTTGTTTGGTGCCATCATCCAGCACCAGCTCGTGTCTTATATCCCTCTCGGTATCGCCCTCCGCTACGTCCTCGACGCTCTGAGGAATCCGCCTGGCTCGAAGATGTTCAATTTCGGTGCTCGAGCTCTGACCTGCTTCCAATCTCGACTACAGGAATGGCCAACCTACTGCACTCATCTCCTTCAGATCCCACATCTTATACAGGCCCGTCCGGATATTGTCCAGTACATCGAATCAATCCCTCCTTCGGTTAATGCAGGAGTTCAGGACAGCACAGCGTCACCATCTGTGCAAGCATCTGCAGCTATCCCGCAACTGCCCAGTCTGCAGGATGTCCAAAAGCCAGCACCTCAGCCTACAAATCTATCGACAGCCTCCCCTCGATCAGCCTCCGCGCCTGTCTTTACTTCACTGAATGTGGACACATTGCTCCTAGCACGAGATAGTATCGACTACGAGATCCCGAATGAGCAAGTGCAGGATAAGATACTGTTCATCGTCAACAACGTGTCACTGACCAACATTGAGGCAAAAATTGAGGAGATGAAAGGGCTTTTACGAGAAAGTGCCTACCGCTGGTTCAGCAACTACATTGTTGTGAAGCGCGCTTCCATTGAGCCTAACTATCACGGATTGTACCTACAATTCCTGGGCGGACTCGATAGCTCACTACTCTACCGGCACATCCTGCATGAAACCTATGTCAACATCAAGATTCTCATCAACTCGGAAAAGACGGTGCAGTCATCTTCAGACAGGACACTGCTGAAGAATTTGGGATCATGGCTTGGAGGCATGACACTGGCTCGTAACAAGCCCATCAAGCACAAGAACCTTGCTTTCAAGGTAATGGGCGTCAGCATTTTTAATTTCAGTCAAGGATTATCTGCAGCCGCAAGTCCTCTAACGAGCGCTTTGTCTTTCTCCTTTAGGAATTAATTATCGAGGGTTATGACAGCAACCGCCTTATCGTGGTCATCCCGTTCGTATGCAAAGTGCTGGAGCAGTGTAAGAAAAGCAAGGTGTTTAAGCCGCCAAACCCTTGGCTTGTAGCCATCCTGCGGCTTCTTGTGGAGCTCTTCCAGTTCGCAGACCTGACTCTGCAGCTCAAGTTTGCGATCGAGGTGCTGTGCAAGAGCCTAGAGCTGGATCTAAAGGAGATTGAGCCGACCAGCATTCTCAAACACAGACCACCGCAAGGGATGGCGAATCAGCAAGCGGCCCTCGCTCAGGACTTTAAGAGGCTCTCAATGACAGGATACGCTACGTCGGGGGGTGCACTAACTCAGTCCACAGCACAGCTTAATAGTACCATGCCCACTCAGCAGGACGTTTCGACTGACATGATCCCCAGCCTGGCCACCTTCGTCACCTTCAATCCTCCAGCGTTCTACAACGAGAGACCCGCCCTCAAGCGTCTTGTGCTCATTGCCATCGATCGGGCTATTAAAGAGATTGTGGCACCTGTTGTTGATCGCTCTGTCACCATCGCCGGCATATCCACTCGAGAGATGATCATTAAGGACTTTGCAATGGAGCCCAATGAGGAGAAAATGCGTAAGGCAGCCCATCTAATGGTCCAGAACCTTGCTGGCAGCCTCGCCCTCGTTACTTGCAAGGAGCCGCTCCGCGTCAGCATGGCCAACATCATGCGCACACTATTTCTTCAAAATGGGTTCACAGAGCAGACCCTGCCGGAGCAGGCAATTTTATTGACCGTGAACGACAACCTGGAGTTGGCGTGTTCTGTTATTGAGAAGGCCGCCATCGAGAAGGCTATCCCAGAGATCGAGGAGAGTTTAGCAACCGCCTTCAACAACAGAAAGAAACACCGCGAGCGTACTGGACAGCCTTACTACGACATGGGCACCTACCAGGCCTCCCGCTATCCTGCCAATCTTCCAGAACCTCTACGCATCCGACCAACAGGACTCTCGCCCCAGCAACTTCTCGTGTACGAGGATTTTGCCCGCATGCCACAGCCAGCACTTGAGCCTGTATTATACGATGCTGAGCATGGTATCCAAACGCCTCTCAACACCAAAGTGGAATCGGGTCAAGGATACCCATTCGATACAAACGAGGTTGGATTCGAGTCCACGGCACCCGTATACTCGTCACACCAAGCACTTGAGAAGTTTGCGCAAATTATCAACGAACTCGACAAGCTGGTCAGCCTTTCACCAAACGTCCCATGGGCTGTTCTGCCGCCCAATCATGACGTGAAGATGTTGGCGCGACTTGTACCGATGGTTCCTGCTCAATCGTACAACCCAGAAGAGACTGCTCTCAAGTTCTCTCAAAAAGTCGTCCAACTTCTGTACAAGTCTGAAAATATCTTGTCCCGCGAGCTGTACGTGATTCTTCTGGAGCAGCTGTGCGAACTGTCGAACAAGGTCGCTAAGGAGGTGATGGAGTGGCTTATCTACGCTGACGACGAGCGCAAGTTCAATGTGCCGGTTACAGCGATCCTGATCAGAGCTGGATTGGTGCCCTTGGTGGATCAGGATATGCAGCTTGCAAGGCTGATTGAAATGGGACGCCCTGGAGTGTTTGATTTTGCCATCAAGCTGATTCGGGAGTGTATCCTCAGTGAGCAGCCCTGTGCCAACCGCAATGAATTCATCAACTCGCTGAATGCACTCAATCGTCTCGCACAACGTGGAGGCAAGGCTGTCGAGCCTATCGTGTTGCTGATCGACGACATTCGAGAGCGATTACAGGTCTCTACCCAGTCGGCTACGGAGATGAATGACAACAGCGTGCTCAGGGAACAGCTGGCGTTTATTTTTGCCGAGTGGATTCGTTTGTACCAGCTTCCGACTTCAAACGAGAAAGCGTATGGCGCCTTCATTAACTCGATCCAGCAGCAGGGTGTCTTGAAAGGCGAGGAGATCTCATCCTTGTTCTTCAGAGTATGCACCGAGATGAGCGTGGAGAGTTATCTCAAGTACATGACAACGAACACTACAGCGGCGTATCAGGGAGTGGATGCCTTTGTGAAACTGATCGTGACCCTTGTGAAGCATTACTCGGACCCTCACGGAGTGAACAACAGCACCGCCAAGGTCACATACCTGACCACGCTACTGTCTATCATTGTGCTTGTACTCGCGCAGGCCCACGAACAGCGTCGCGAACAGTTTAACCAGAAACCGTTCCTGCGTCTGTTCTCGGGACTGTTGACAGAGATGAATGTAGCTTATGAGTCTAGCCCTGGCATGTACATCCAGATTCTGACCGCTTTCAGGTATGATAGGACGATCATTTTGTTTAACTTGAGCTTTTGAACGGTCCTCGAGATCCGACTTTGCTAACCTACTCTTCCTCATGCACCGATTCTCTCTAATACAATAGCAACACGTTCCAAACCCTCCAGCCGATGGTCTTCCCGGGGTTTACTTTTGGCTGGCTGTCGCTGATTTCTCACCGTGCATTCATGCCCAAGCTCCTTTTGGCGGAGGGTTCCAAGGGTTGGCCATTGTACCAAAAGTTGCTGATATCGCTTTTCAGATTTTTGACTCCGCTTTTGGTCAATAACGAATTGCAAAATACGACTCGAGCGTTGTATCAAGGAACACTCCGCGTCATGCTTGTGTTGCTACATGATTTCCCCGAGTTCCTGTGCGACTATCACTTCAGCTTTTGCGACGTGATTCCGAGTTCATGCATCCAGCTCCGCAACTTGATTCTCAGTGCCTTCCCTCGCAACATGCGTTTGCCGGACCCGTTCACGCCTAACTTGAAGGTCGACCTTTTGGCGGAAATTCATCAGCCCCCCCGCGTGCTTTCGGACTATACGGTTAACCTCCCTGTTATGTTTAGGCGAGATCTGGATGCGTACCTGCAGAATCGCGAGCAGGCAGCCGTCCTTGAGAATGTGGGCGAAGCTCTGACTGCAGACTCGAACGGACAGGATTTGATTGCTGGAGGATCAAAGTACAATGTTCCAATGATTAATGCGCTGGTTCTTTATGTGGGCGTCAATGGAATCGCACAACTCCATGTCAAGACGGCCGAGAGTTCATCGCCGATTGCTCAGACTCCGCCGATGGATATTTACCAGCAGCTTGCGAACGAGTTGGATGCGGAGGGTCGATATATCTTTTTGAGTGCGATCGCCAACCAACTACGGTACCCTAACAGCCATACACATTATTTCAGCCGAGTGTTGCTGTTCCTGTTTTATGAGACCAGCCAGGAATCGATTAAGGAGCAGATCACTAGGTAGGGCCTAGCCTTTTTTTATTGGGTACTGCTGGATGGCATCTATGGTAGACCATGGCACTAATGGTGTTTTTCTTTCTTCCGGTGCTGTTCGACTTTAGGGTGTTGCTGGAGCGATTAGTGGTCAACCGTCCTCATCCATGGGGTCTCCTGATCACGTTTATTGAACTGATCAAAAACCCGCGTTATGCGTTCTGGGAGCATTCATTCACAAGAATCGATCCGGATATCGAGAAGTTGTTTGATTCAGTCTCGCGCTCTGTGAAGCGATCTGCCTAGAATGCCTAGAGGAGAGCTTCAGCCGTGCGATCATGGATAGACCAACTTGGGTTGGGAAGGGGAGCTGTCTTCAATGCTTTTACAGGTCTGCAGCAGCGGACGATATTATTTCGTGTTGTTTATTGCATTGTTTTATTTTTTTTCCCTTGTATTTGTTGTTCTTTTTATCTATTTCCCTTACTCTTGTACCATACTATGTTGCTCATATTGAAAGAAAAAAAATACACGCTCGCATGAGTCCCAATAATTCTTAGTGTTTGTGTCAAGACCGCTGCCCATAGTCGGAAACAGGTGCTTGATCATCGTATCCCGAAATAAGGTTTCAGAAATGGTGTAGACAAGTCGGATCAGATCAGCCCTGGATCTTTTCATTTGCATTCATTTTCTGATCAGGACAACATGAAAAACATTGTTCTGCAAAATACACCAGCAGGGACCATATCCTGCATGGCATTTCATCCCATTATAGAATATTTGCTTCTTGTCGCATCTTGGGATGGAGTAAGTCCAAAAGCCTAGATAATAAAAGCCCTATAGGATACGCGGCCTCCTGCCAGGAGTGTGAAAAGAAAACTGACGATTCTGCAAATTGCCCTGCATAGACAGTCTCGCTTTACGATATCAGGACCAATGTTCGGACAGCGCTTTATCAAGGACACAAGGGGCCAGTATTGACGTGCTGCTGGGGACAGGGATATACGATATTTAGTGCAGGAGTAGACGGCAGGATCCTCGTGTGCGTTTTTAGAGCTTCTCACCTCGTGTTGATTGAAGTCATTTTTGTATCATGGGGGTTTACGACTAACATGGCATTTGGTCTAATAGGGGCAGCGATAAATGGAAAGAGAAAAGGTTTGGTAAACATGAGGATACGATCACTTCGTTGGCATATTGCCGTTCGCGCTGTAAGTCTCATTAACAAAAAAAAAAAAAAAAAAAAAGAATAGAATTGTCCTATGAAGAAATTTTTTCCTTCATAAAACTTCATGATGCTAATGTAGAGAACACTCTCTCCTTTGCTTCTTTGATGATCACCCAGGTCTGCTTGTATCAGGATCAAGCGACAAGACCGCCCGTATCTGGAGCGATTATACGTCCCTGGACATCATGCCAACAACAAGAGCACATGAATTTGTTTTCGAGGGTCCCGTCGACTCTTTGGATATCTCACATGATATGCTGGTGGTCGCCGTCAATCAAGAGTACCATATTTTCAACATCGGGGTCTTGAATGCTTCGGCAAAATGGGTCATACCATCGGCATTGACCTGTCGGACGCGTGTGATGAAGCTGTCGTACAATGGTTATTGGGGGGCGTTTGGCTCGGTCGAAGGACGGGTGCTGATGAAAAATATGCAGGACAGCACACGCGATTTTTTGCTCATGGTCAGTCGAAACGAAACAGTGAATCCACCGAGTATCTTTCCGATGAATGCTATTGCGTTCCATCCAGTGTAGGTGCTTGTGAACCCCTTCCCCCCCGTCAAAGTCCTCCCAAAGGGACGTATATGGAGATTAACGGTTTATCTTTTATTATCGATTGATATTCGATACAATACTTTGCTTTATTTACATGCGATGCTAGGTACCACACGTTCGTGACAGGATCGTCCAATGGCTGGGTGGCATCTTGGGATCAATTCAATATAAAGAAACTAGCGGAAATTGTACCGGCCGCCTCGTCCTCATCATTATCAGCGAACTTGGGTCCCGTATCCGCTTTGGCGTATTCTTGCAGGGGGGAGTATCTTGCAATCGCCACAGGTGACACATTTGATTCCGGTCCGAGTTTTGCGGGGCCCGCAACGGCAGCAGCGATGCCGAGGACGACGGTCGTTGTGAGACCGATGGTGGTTGAGAAGGAAGTGCGACCTATCACGAAGAATTGATAAAATAACCTGCAATATGCACAAAGCATAAGTGAGGTCCAGCTGTACGCGAAAAACATATCGCGTGCAGAAACATGCCTGAATTAAGGTTAAATTGAGAGGGAGGCGGTAAGGTCAGAAGGCAAGAAAAGCTTTTTTTTTCCCGACATTTTAAACGAAAACCATCGGCATTAACATTTCCTTCTCTTGCACTCGCTAGATCTACTTGTTACAGGACCGGTAGACAAAGCCATACGCTTTTGGCGCGATTCTCTTCTCGGTCACATCTTCAGAATCCATCTCCTTCCACGTGGAGAGGAGGGAGGGTATTGATGTTGCTGCAACAAGGAGTTCTGTGTATTTGATGTTCGAATTCTAAACGCTCTAGCCGTAACGGTCAATCCGTCAGGCTCTCATTCTCGAACTCCCCTGCAGAAATTCCCGTCTTCGACAAGGTTAGTGTGTGCTAGCCTTCGTGAACGGATGGATAGCATTGAAAGATAAGCTAAAGATCAGTCGAGTAGACAAAATTGATAAACTAGACATTTTCCCGGTCAAGGCCTTTACAGCTCATCCAAGGTAAGTATTTGGAAAGCAACTGGAACCCACATTAAAACGGCACCCATAGGTCATTCAGTCGCATCTTCATATCCAGTAAGGTGCCTTTTGTGCAATCTGCATAATTCTACACACCGCACTGCACCTTGGTGACAGGATCGTCCAATGACCAGGAGGAACCATGGGGTGCATACAATAAACATAAACTGTCTATACTCGAGCGTCTGCCTCGTCACTAGCAGACCGGGCCCCTGTCTCAGAACTGGCATATTCATATACAGAGTCACTTCTTAAGATCGCCACAGGAGACACATTTGATTCCACGTCGAACATTGGGATGCCAGAGAGACCTCAGTGACAAGAATTATTATCAGGAAGATACAGACCTCAGGAACGACGCAGAAACTCGAGGAAGTGAAATATACGACTCTTTTGCACGATCTGTATGAAGAGAGAAAAAATTGTGATTGTCGAGGTTCTGGTGTTCTGCGAGTTCATTTCTTGATCGGCGGGCGCGGACAGAAGCGCCTTTCTTGTAGATCAAACAGGTGAATACCATCTTCAGGAGCAATATAAATCATATTTTCTGTTGAAGCGGCGTTGCTTTGTTTATCAACCATTTCATACAGCATCTAACGTTGGCATGTTCTCTAGCCTACTCAGGTCTTTGATGTGTGTCACGATCTTGCGCTTCTCCTCTGGTATGGGTGCAGGGGAAGTACCCTGCGGAGTGCAATTCGTGGATAACGATGGTGACGACGATGAAGAAGGTCCCGGTGACAAGCTTGCAGACTCATGCATTCTTCTAATTTTAGTTGTGTGCCCGATACCAAGCTGCGGTAGTCCCTTGTTCAGGCCTTCGAGGAGTAAACATGCCTTACACAGCTCGTTTGAAGAAATGTATCCGCACCGTGTACAATTCGACATGGTGGGCAACTTTGTTGATTCGTTTGCCTGCACGGAGGCCGAGAGTGCCTCTCCAGAATGGATAATGTCTATGAACAGAGGGTCAGGGGTTAGCTATCATTTGCCACGAAATCAAGTCCTTCTGCAGACATGAACAGCAAGTAAAGCAATAACATACCAACGATGGCTGTCCGGCGAATGGCTTCCAGATCCTTGAGGAACACACGTGCGTAACCACGGTAGGCGTTGGGCGAATAGATGCACTCTGTTGAAAAGTAGTCCAGCTTCTTGAAGTATGCATACATGACGATCTCCTTTTCGTATGTGTATTTGAACGGCTTGGATCGCAGGATCTTTGAAGTCTCAATTTCTGAAGAGTCCTCTGAAGAGTCGTTCGTAATGATCGAAGTGCATCTCTGAAGGCGTGGAAGATCTCCACGTAGGACTAGTAGAGTCACATAGGAAAATCAATACGCGGAGAGATGAATCATATTAGCTGTCCTTATGTCTTTTCTTTGTAGAAAAAGGAGATGGAAAGACGAACCAAGCGCTACGTACTGTTCATCAGGACGGTCTCTGCAATGTCATCCGCGTTGTGTCCTGTCACAATATGGTCCACATTCAGCATGATGGCGCCTCGATCCAATGCCTGGCGACGGAAGACGCCACAAAACGTGCCTGTGTGAATTATCCATGAAGGGGTCTCGATTAATGGGATGCGGATAAAATTATCCAGCACTGTAGCATGGCGAAAACGCTCACTTACAGTTGTTCTTGCGACCGATTTCCTTGACAATGTCATCCATGCTCCATCCATAGAGATCCTTATAGCTGACGATCAATAGAGGAATTTGGTATTGGTCCCTATTCCTTTTGACGGTCTCCAACGAGTCATCCCTGTATCCAGTAATGCCTTCGTCGATCGAGAGTAGTACCAAGTCGAGGCCATAGGAATATCTGTCGTTAAGCAACTTCATGACATACGCCAGGACCGTAGAATCTATTGCACAGAAATCGATCCGCAGTAAGTATCTAATCCACAGTATATGTGGATAAATAAACGACGGATCGCTGCCAGTCGTACCTTTTCCTCCGCTGGCACCAATGGCGACTCTGTCACCTTTGTTGAAGAGCTTGTTGTCGACGATCGTGTTGTGGATCTCAGTCTCGAAGACATGAAAGAAGCACTCCTTGCATAGCTGCTGCCCAGTCTTTGGTCGTTTGAGGATAGCACGGACGCACTGGCATAGGTTGCAGGGGTTCCTTAGTGGTTTCGCTGCCCTTTCCCCCGGTGGCCCTGCTAGTCCTGCTGGTCCTACTGGCGCTGTTACTCCTGTGCTGAGTGCTAGTGGCGATGAGGAATGGTCCTGGTTCTCCATGGTGTCTATTAGTCTTCGTGCTGATCAGTCGAGGGTTCTTTTTTGTCTGCGAAGAGAGCGAAGCGCCTGCACCAATAAAAAAAACGATCGACGTCATTTTTCCGCCTCCCAGCTTGCCTCTTGACTTGTCCTCGCTGGCTCTTTTCCCATCCTCGACATCATCCCAAAACCCCTACATCCTCTCCTCTCTCTCTTCTCCCATCCCATTCCCGTCTTTATTCTCGACTTGGGGGACTTATCCGCTCCTGCCTTTCAGCCTTTCAGATTCCAAGAGAAGGCGCCATGGCCACGAACCAGACTAGGTAAGAGGGCTAATTTCTGTCATTTGCTGTTCAATGCCCATGGAGCTCCATTGTCTAATATCTTCTCTTTACTGTCTTGACTCTGACTAGGCGAACCATCCGCTTGACCGGTAGGCACACGACCCTCCCTCTCTTCGGCACTGGACCTTCCCACTCTCTCTCTTATTTACTCTCTTGCCATCTCACATCCTCTCACACTCACTCTATCGGCTCTCAGCGTATCATACTATACCACTGCAATCTTCACTACCCTTTCTTGCAAGCACCTCTCTCACGCTCGCTCCCGTACTGTCCCTGGACATTCAGCGCCGATATCGTTACTTCCCCCTCGACTTGCACTACGCTTTTTATATCGTCCCTACTCCGATATCTCTTTGCAACATTGAGTTTACTGCATTCTTTTGATTCCTACATACACACTTGATGCCCTTCATGAGCGTTGTTCTTGGACACATACATCAGGATTGATTGCGCAGTATAAACTGAATACTCCACAGGAACACCAGTGAATCTGTTCAGCAACCAACCTATCATTACTTTGCAGCCCCTTGCAGTTTTGGCGCCAAGCTTTTTTTATACTGCAGCGATGTGCTGGAATTATTTATTTTTCCCAAGAATAGCAACTAACACTATTTGATTGTCAACAAATAGTCATTGCGGCGGATGGTCTCTATAAGCGTGATGTGTTCCGTAAGTCGTCATATCGATGCCGAAAGACAACTGCCTTTCAATTACACTCACTTTTAGCATAGTGGAGAACTGAGTAAAAAGGCATGCACAGAAATTTAACCACTGTGCCCTCTTTCTGTCTTCCCTATAGGTCTTCCTGACCCATTTGCCGTGGTGACAGTGGACGGCGACCAGACTCACACGACGACAGTGATGAAGAAGACCCTGAATCCTTATTGGAACGAAAGCTTTGAAGTGTAAGTTGCCATTGCAGCGATAAATTCTCGCATCTAATTTTGCATATTCTTCATAAGGAGTATATGAAATCTCACGCCGGTCTCTGCTACTCCCGCGACATGTCCAATGATAATAGTGCCGTCACGAACAAGAGTGTTCTTGCGGTTCAAATTTTCGACCAGAAAAAGTTCAAGAAAAAGGACCAGGGCTTCCTAGGCACTGTCAACATCCAGATGGGCGACGTATTCGATGTGAACATCGGTGGTGATGGTGTGTAACTCTACCCAATGGGCCAAGGACAGGTCGTCAACCGCACGAGCCTCTCTTTCTGTACTTGAATGTGGATTATCGATCATCCCCAACTAACCTGGCTAATTTTTTTCTACTTCGGTTAGAAATGTTGACTACGGAACTCAAAAAGTCTGGATCAAACGACGTTGTTGTGCAAGGAAAGCTTATCATCAATATCTCGTCTAACACTGGAAACCAGAGTGCAGCCAACGGTCGTCTCCAGGCCCCATCGACATCCACATCCCACAATCGATCACCCTCCGTCATCTCAGCTGTCTCATCCAACGCAGGATCATCCTCCAACCAGCGCAACAGTGGTCCAGTCCCCTCCAGCCCAGGTAGCACAAATGCCATTGTAGGGACTACCTCCACAGCTCCTGCCACGAGTGCTACCACTACTGCCAATGGAGGACGACAGCTCTCAGCCTATGAGGATCAGCACGGTCCTTTGCCACCAAAGTATGCTGTGCGCCAGCCAGGAATCTACTTTATGAGTGCACCTCATTACCGCCCAATTTACTGACATCTCATCCTTAATTTCGAATGAATAGCTGGGAGCGTCGTGTCGATCAATTGGGTCGCACTTATTATGTGGATCACAACAATCGTACGACAACTTGGACCAGACCCAGGTATGGCTTGCACTCTATTGGTGTTTAATTTCGCTGTTTGATTCAGAGAATGTTGTTTATCAACCTCTTACTTCCTACGTAGTATGACGGCATCAACACCAGACAGGACTCAAGAGATTTCGACTCAAACAGAGTTGGAAAGACAGCGACATAACAATCGCGCACTGCCCGGCGAGCGATCTGGCGGAAATTCTCCAATGCCTGGATCTAGCACCAACCTTTCAGAGTCTAACTCGCCTGCTGTCGCCATCGCAGCTAGTCCCACGACAACGTCCTCCAATGCAGCTGGCTTGGCGCCCATCAGCTTGAACTCGACCACGGCAGGATCTGGACCACTGCCTGCTGGTTGGGAGCAGAGATTGACGCCAGAAGGACGGCCATACTATGTGGACCACAATACCCGCTCGACCACCTGGGTTGACCCTCGTCGTCAGCAGTACGTTCGTATGAGCGATCCTCGTAGTTCGACCAACCAAGTCGCAGTTCACCAGCAACCCGTGTCTCAACTGGGACCCCTGCCATCGGGATGGGAGATGCGTCTCACCAACACAGCGCGCGTGTACTTTGTGGACCATAACACCAAGACGACAACATGGGATGGTAAGTGTTTTGCGTTGCGGCGTTGTTGTACTATTTCACTTCTGTCGAATAGTATGTGCTGGATGTACTAACTCTTGCGTTTTGTTGCTGTTGTTGTTGTTGTTTTTGTCCGCAAAACATTTTAGACCCTCGCCTGCCCAGTAGTTTGGACCAGAGTGTACCACAGTACAAGCGCGATTTCCGCCGCAAGCTTATTTACTTCAGATCACAACCTGCACTGCGTCCAGTCCCTGGCCAGTGCCACATCAAGGTCCGCCGATCGCATATCTTTGAGGATTCATATCATGAGATTATGCGTCAGTCACCGACGGATTTGAAGAAGAGGCTCATGATCAAGTTTGAAGGCGAAGATGGTCTTGATTATGGTGGTCTCTCAAGGTAACTTTCAGTATTTAATTTCGATGCGATGTGATGCGGCGCAATGCGACGCGATTATAGCCTGCTTGAATTTTTATTCCTTACTGACAACTTTGTCGATTTTTGTCTGCTTCGTATGATATTACAGAGAATTCTTCTTCCTGCTATCCCACGAGATGTTCAACCCGTTCTATTGTCTTTTCGAGTACTCTGCGCACGACAACTATACCCTCCAAATCAATCCTCACTCGAGTATCAACTCTGAGCACTTGAACTACTTCAAGTTTATTGGTCGCGTCGTTGGTCTTGCAATCTTCCACCGCCGCCTCTTGGATGCCTTCTTTATCGTCTCCTTTTACAAGATGATTTTAAAGAAGAAGGTGACGCTTGCGGATCTGGAATCTGTGGACGCAGATGTGTACCGGAACCTGAACTGGCTTTTGGACGACGAGACCGGCGCAGAAACACTGGACACGACCTTCTCAACCAACGACGAGCGTTTCGGAGAAATTGTGACGATAGATCTGAAAGAGAATGGTCGCGACATCACAGTGACGGAAGAGAACAAGAAGGAGTACGTCGAGCTGATGACAGAGTGGAGGATCACGCGACGCGTGGAGGAGCAGTTCAAGGCCTTTGCGGAGGGTTTCCACCAGCTTATTCCTCAGGAGCTCGTCACGGTCTTTGATGAGCGCGAACTGGAGCTGTTGATGGGAGGCATCTCGGAGATTGACTGCGATGACTGGAAGAAGCACACGGACTACCGTGGATACACAGAACAGGATGAAGTTGTCCAATGGTTCTGGAAGTGCGTACGTTCCTGGGACTCTGAAAAGAAGGCGCGTCTGCTGCAGTTCACCACAGGTACATCTCGTATTCCTGTCAACGGATTCAAGGATTTGCAGGGATCAGATGGACCACGTCGGTTCACGATCGAAAAGGCTGGAGAAATCGGACAGCTGCCCAAGTCTCACACATGGTACGAATGCTAGACCGGAATATGCAATATGGCATTCCAATCTCTGTTAGGATCACACCGCTAACTATTCTCTACTTTTGTTCTTGCTCGAATAGCTTTAATCGTATCGATCTCCCACCGTACAAGTCGTATGATGTGTTGGTCAATAAGTTGACGCTGGCTGTCGAGGAGACGGTTGGTTTCGGTCAGGAGTAATAAACAGAAATGGAACCAAGACTCGTCGATCATGGGCCTCAAGAAGTAGTGGGCAGAACGCCTTTCTTTGAACTTTACAAATAAAAACTAGTTGTATCAAAACAACACAGTAGTCCTTGGACTTGCGAACCAAGGAATGCGATCGGTGGTGCAAGTGATCGATTTATTGTGTTCTCTGCAATGAAATCCACATTACTGCAGGTTTAGTCGCCTGTCGGCAGTTGTCGCTCGGATTTCCTGTCCATCGTACGATGAGCCCAATGTCTTAGGTGTATGCAAAGGTCTCCCATGAGTCTTTCACCTGCTCACTCTCCTCTTCTTGCTTTTTCTTTCTTTCTTTCTCTTCTTCGTTCTTCACTCTTCGCTCTTCGCACCATCGATTGCCGTCCTCTACCGACAAACTGCTACGACACCCACGAAATAGAATACTGAATTCTGCCACCATGATCTTTACACGCACCGGAATCCGTGCTCGCGCGTCTCTGGGAGCAACCCCGCTCCGTAGCGGCACTCACCACTACACCAACACTGGAGGCAAGGTAGGGGAAAGGGACACCCATGCCTGCTATATCTCTTCTAAAATTCTGCACACGCTCGTTCCTGACAAAAATTCACCCATGTCGCGCTCTTCCTTCTCACACTTGCCACCTTTTATTTCATTACATATTCCCTCTGTATGTATGTTAAGAACATCCCGTTATCAACCAAGAACAAGACCGCGCTCGCGCTCAAGATGACTATCTATTGCGGCGGCGGCTTCGCAGTCGGGTTCGTCCCTGGACAGTGGCAGAGCTACAAGGCTAACCGTATTTGAGATATACTTTCCTCGCACCCCTCTTTGTCCCCTTCCCCTTGCACTTTCGCTTCTGGCATTTACATACTCGGCGCTCTCGCGCAGGCATTGTTTCCGAACGGAAGTGTAACAAAAAGGGAAAGGGAGGGTACAGGGCGCAAACGAGGCAATTGAAACCATGCATCCCAAAACGAGAAAACCCGAAATAAAAAAAATCAAAGGTCAACTTTTGCATTTTTTGTCATATTCGAATCCCATAGACTATGAATTTGTGTGGATGAGGACAGACATCGGTGAACATTGGCACATAGGCAAGGTATATATAAAGAAGCAAACAGTACGTGTTTATTACCATCCAGCAGGCCTCAGCAGCAACGTACTCACAAACATCCTGTTAAAATATATTCAAATACCCTCCTCAATGATCTGCAAGAACTATTGCAGTCTTGTCTTCTCGCTCTCCAAGCGCGAATATAACAAATAGACAGCCATCTGGTTCGACTCTGGTGTTCCCGTAATCGTCACCAACCGCTCGTTTCCTGAACCCTGGTGGGAGTCTGCAATCTTAATATGCGATCCAGAGATCTGTCGAATCTCCTGGATCTTACTTCCATTCTTCCCAATCACCGTGCCGACCATATCATTCGGAATAAAGATCTGCTGCGCCTGGGTCACAGCGCCACCACCGCCCGCAGAGGTTGGTGCATAGTCCAGTCCATAAAGCCCATGCATGCTGCCACTGCTACTGCTACTGCCACTGCCCCCACCTCCGGAATAGGATGATGGACCATAGTCGGAATAGTGTGGCTGCGAATGACGCGAGGAGCTGTGAGGTTGAGGCGAGAACCCAATCGCTGGCGGGTATCCACCATAATCATTCCGGCGCATGGGTCTATACAGGACCGTCTGTACGCTCCGACCACGGCTTTCGGTCTCGTTGCCTTTCTCTTGCAGGATCTGACCCACATGATAGACCGCAATATGGATCGCGTCGGGTACACCCGTGATTAAAAGCGTGCGTTCTGTCGATCCGGGCAACATCTCTTCCGATGCCTTGGCGCGCGCTCCTGAGGCTTCCTGAATCTCTTTGATCTTGGCTCCGCCTTTTCCGATCACGAATCCCATGAGATGATGTGGGACAAGCATGGAGATCGAGGCTGACTCGGTCTCTGGGGCAACATCAGTGCCACCTTGTTCCGCGACCATTTTATGTCCGACGAGCGCGTACGCCTATAACATGCCACAACACATGCACGTTCAACATATTGTCAATATATTGGACTGAAAATCCTGTGCCAACTGCATAGATGCCAATTGAGTACCTTGGCGACTGTGTCCAGGCGTCCCTTGACAGTCAGAATCCGCTCCGAAGCTCCAGGGATGATTTCCGATATGCTCAACTTGGCTCCTGACTGCTCGCGGATCTCGTTGACGTTCTTTCCAGACTTGCCGATAATGACACCAGCCTCTTTAGTTGTCACCAAGGCTCGCAGCGCAATGTCCGTATTCATCAAATCGGTCTCCGCGTCGTCTATAGTGCTCATCTTGACTATCAATTTGATTGCAAGGAAAAAAATATTCGGTTAGAACAAAGGCTCATTTGTTGCAAACCCACATGTGATAGAACTTTTAAACAGTTGGCTTACCATCTTCGTCATCGCGACGGCGGTGTAGGGGCTTCTCCGGATTGTCAGAGTCGAGGTCCGGGACGGCAACACGCTTGTGGCGGCGTTCGTCAGAGTCAGAGTCGGGGCCCTCCAAATCGTCCAAACTTCTCTTCTTGTGCTCGTTATCAGACATGTTGTTATACGTACGTTCCGTGTCCTGTCCGTTGATCGCTCAATTGACCAGGTTATAAACGTGGCTCTTCACCAAGATTCAAATGGAGGGTGAGAGTAGTAGGAGAGTGAGACAACGAAGCAGCCTCTTTCCGCGAGATATTGGGCGTTTGACGAGCTGGTGTTTAGAAAGATAGTCGAAACGCTTTTGGACAAGGAGGGAGAGAGAAAAGAGAGGAAGTTTGTGCGTGAGAAAGGCCAAGCTGGATGCATATTGTCGAGGCAGAAAACGAAGAAAGCAAAGGCATTAAGGAAGAGAAAAAAAAGGATGCGTGCATTGGAAGGATAGAGTTGTGTGTGGATCAGATGCTTCGCCCAATGCCCAAGACAAGTACCCCGTATACCACTCCTTTACCGCTTCCGCTGAGGAACTGAAGGCGCGGCTGTCATCATATAAACAGTTCGTATCAGGGCAAGCTCCTTATTATTCGCGATGTGCATCATTCTACTGCTGTTGAGCTCGCGTTTTGGCATATCGTGAAACGTGCTCTCGCCACCAAATTCAGACAGAGTAAAAAAACGCGTATTTCCAGCCGCAGCAACGAATAAAAAGAAAAGGGCAGCTGTCAGAGGAACAAAGAAACAAAAAAAAAAACAAAGCAGTTGTTGCGCGTTGTGCTTTACCGTGGAGAAAGTTATTGGCTGCTCATCCGGCAGGTGTGGCGACAGGATGAAATGAGGGATCGAGATTGCAAAAAGGTCAAAGGGAAGGCGAGTGTAGTTTGTGCTTGCGAGAGCGCGACGAGAGTACAGGCCAATTCTTGCTCAAATACGTCACAGAATGTGATCTGAACGGGCGAGGCTGCTCGCTTGCATCCTTCAGCTCGTCCTTGTCCTTGCCCTTGCCCCACTGCGCTACTGCTGCTGCTACTGCCCTGGCTTCTGTGTGTAGTCTTGCATCTTGCATCCAAGGATAGTGCCCTTCCTTATCTACTGGCTGAAGATAGAGCGGCCATTGTTGGTGGAGTAAATGGCTGCGAACGACGTTACAAATGTTATACTCTACCATAATATCCCGGCGCATGAAAGTGCCGCAGGTTGAGCAGTATAGCCTGCGACAGACTTCTCGCACGTCGGGCACCTCTTCGAAGTAATACTCATTCACTCTAACTACAATGTAGTCTAGGGACCTGGCCTTGAGACAAAGTCAACAAAAACATAAAACGATTCTACATAACTTCAAATCTCTAGTAATAGCGCTCTTACTTTCTGAACGAAGTGCGACTGAAAGGACTCGTGCAAAGAGGAAAGTCTCGTCTTGGTCGAAAACTTGTCCAGACCAATCCCAATCACAACCATGTTGACTTCCTCTCTCTTTCTGCCGATCGATCCTCCGACCAACTTGAGTAGGCGATCCGGTATGAGTCTGTACTCCGCATCCCTGGCTCTTCTCGCGTCCCACTTATGTTTCTTGAACCGGTGGTTGCCGTCGTAAAATCATCAAGTCGTCCCTCTACTCTCTCCAGTTCCGTAGCATAGCTCGCAAAGCTAGCTCCATCACCGCGTAGTGGTGGCAGTTTAATCTCAATGCTGCTGATGGATTCTATTCCGTCACCTAGTACAATGCTTTGTTACTCCTCCATCCGTCTTCTGTGCTTGAACGTGGACTAGTACACAGCCTTCTACTTCACTGCGAGATTGTGATAAGTGAGAGGAACGGAAGTTGGTGTTGTATCCTTGGGAGTTGCTCATGTCGACATCGTCATCCTTTCTTCCTGGCTCCGGTGTCGTACTGCCGGGATCATCGTCCTTTGGTAGCAATGCGTTGGTTCCGAGTACACAGGCTGGCCGAGATCGTGCCCTAGGACCTTGATTTGATCTGGCGCACATCCCCATAGGCTGGTGACGTCCTGATGGGTCTTCACAATATTTCGGACCTCGACCAAATAATAATCCATTTATTCGACAGTGAATGTGATTCGAAGGGGCATGACACTCTGCGGGAATCGCCTGTATCGGACTGGCTGTAATTCTTTTAAATTGAAAGCCGACAGGTGAAGGCAGAAACCGTCTGTCCGAATGGAGCCCCTGTGAACATAGCCGCGTTCCTTATAAGCTATAGGATCAAGGTTGGTCTACCGAATGGATTGAAAATGTTCCCGCATCCTGATCAAGTCTATTACGGACGTCGAATCCTTGTAATCTCGGGGTCCTTTGCGTGGCTCACACCTGCCGATATTCGAAAGCATCTCTGTGATAAGGAACCCAAGATCCTTCTGCCCAAGTCAATTCATTAGGACCTGCTGAGAAGGAATGATGTCCTTGTTCTCGTAGTCCACCAGTACTAGCTCCCGGAGTTTTTTCTTCAGCGCAGCATTTTGCCAAAACAAGATACCGAGCTCACACTCAGAGAACGACATGAAAGGCTGCTCTGTGCCCGTTAGTAGGGCCGTCTGGTGATAACTCTTGGGACCAATAGAAGGCCGAGCTAAGAGTTTTCTGGTGTCGATGAACTGGTGTTTTCGTACGCGTAGCTTTTTACCCACACAAACCTCAAGCTCATGCATACATTTATCGGCACGTTCAACAGCTTTCTTGCGAAGATTTTCTCGATGCACTTGAGTAGGTTCTTTTTCGACCGAAGGAAGGCCGTTCAGGTAAAGAACCAAGTTCGTCCGTGTCCCAAGCTTCAGTATCTCTCGCACGACAATGCGGTGAGCATCATCCATAAGGTACGAGGAATAAACGTAGAGAATGGTAACATAAAAAGACCCAATGATATCGACTCGAATCGCCGAATCGTGGTCAATGGAACTGGGGAGATTGGATAAATGGGGGGACTGATAGCGAAGAACGGGTTCATACTTTTTCTTTTTAGAAAGGGTCACAGGCCCTCAATGCCCATGGTAGTCTACACGAACGAGGAATATGATACTTTATTTCAAGGGATGACAATGGAAGAAGAATGAGGATATGAGAGAGGGTTGACTACAGAAAGTGTGTTTGAAGGAAGAAAGAAGAGTGTAGCAAAAGGCGATGGACGTTAACGGACTACTTGGATACGCTTCGCTATTTTCATGGCCAATCAGAAAATTTGAGCGACGAGAGAGGGAAATAAGGCGCTGTACTGATCGCGTTTGGCTTAAAGTATGCTTAGTGACAGTGCAGACCAGCGTAAACCTCGTCTATTTTCTTTTCATCTCACGCATTGACTTCGTTATAGAAGTGATAACAGACTAGAAATAAGTCAAGGCGCATTTTCGAGCCTTGTCGTTAAAAGCTGACCTACTGGAGTCCGCCCACAAGGCCCTCAGCTCTTCTGTTCTTTTCACATTGCTCGCCTGCTCAGCTCACTTCAAACGCAATTGGAATTTTTTCAGTCCGAGTCAGGCTTCAGCCAAGCTTAGGCTAGATGGGGAAATGGTAGAGAGACAACAAGGACTTTGTAAGCTAGATGCCGTGATTTTGTCCCTTCGTGGTCTTCGCGCCAATTCCATCGTCTTCTACATTCACAGCACTTTTTGCCACGCGTTGTTTTGGTGATAAAAAGGGCTAATGAGCATTGGTGTGTGCACACAAAGATCGTTTTTTTTTTTTCAGAACGGCACATGCCCCGGAAATTCATAATTGCCTACCCTATATAGCCTGCATCCCGCTCGTTGGGGTCATGAGGGCCCCTCTTTGCTTACCTATTTGTTTACTTGTTTGTCTGCCTGCCTTGTGCCTGAGCTGTTTGCTCTGTTACGCCAAATATACCCACAAGGCCATGCGTGCGCGAGGTATGAACCGCGAGGCAGACACCTCTCTCTTCGACTATAATCGGCAATGGGACCAAAAGCACAATATATACAACACCTTAGTATGGCCACGTTGACCAAGCCCGCTTTCAGTCAGTGGGACAAAACGTTCGCTTTGAGGTAATTTTGGGGGCTATTGATCCCCCCAGAAAATGGAATGCATTACTGGTACGTTTCAGTTCGTTCTCAGTCACATTCCGCCTCTGCAAAGGACTGCAGCGCTATTTTGCTCCGCTTACTGTCTTTGAAAGAAATAACGATTTCAGTCGTACAGGAGGTGCAGCAAAAGTAATGATGAATCAGCAATTAGGGACATTGGGTATAAATGATTCGTATGTCACAGCGGGATGGGTCCTACCAGCGAGGCCGTGTGAGTAACTAGCTAAGGAAGGGAAAAGGCAAGTATCTTCTCCACGTACCAGGTATACACGGCGTCAAAGAAACAATCAATCCCCTTCCCGTTTGTCATTCGTAAGTGAACCGAACGATACATACCATTGCCGCAGAGCTGAAGGGAGTGAAGAGGAACGAACGGCAGATGGGAAACGGGAGTAGAAACTGGGGTGGGAACGATTGTCGAGTCATATCTGATCATGGTGAAAATTAATGTGCTTTTGGATCGGTACCAAGGGACGAGTACATAGCATGCGCAAACGCATGCAGTACCCGTAAATGCGCTCATTGATGGGGACATCTATGTCGCACAGCCAGCAAACCAGTCAATCGTGGCACATCGATCGCCATGAGGGCTGGGGGCCGTCATCTCTGGGCACAGTACAGAAGTTGCCTGCTCCTTCTTTCTTTCTTTTCTTTTTTAATGTTATCCTATCCTTCTCCCTCTCTGTATCTCGCTTTGTCATCTCTTTTTGACACCTCACTTGATTATTTGATCCACATAAGCATATAAGTCTCGCCACATTCCTCCCACCCTCACCCCTCCAAACTCAACGTCTCTGATCTCTAAGTGGATCGCTTTGGGTAAGAGACGTCTTTTCCAGCAAAAATACAAGTGGGATGACAACCATGAGCAAGCATATACAGTAGCCTGCATCTACCTCTTCCGCTGGTTCATCAGTCTTCTCTCAGGCCTCCCATTCTCTCGCTCTCTTTTCGTACTTATCGCCAGCGTTGGCTCTTCTATCGTTGAACATTGCCCTTAAAAAAAAAAGTTATTGTTTCTCCTTCAACTTCACACTATTCATCAACAAGCCTGGAGGCAACTATACTTTTTTTGTCTGCAAGTTACGCGTTCTACAAGAACGTAGTGTTTTGTAGCGTTTGGCTATCATATTTAAAGGCAAATGTTTATAACGTCTGTAATTCTGTATTTAGTGGCAATTTGCGTACTCGTCTGCTTCGCATCCAAGGCGACTCATTCATGTTCATTCTTACTTCCCCCGGTCCACTCCTCGCTTGGGAATGTCTTCTTATTGAACCGCAGATCTCGAGACGGTATGTTCCATCTGCCCTATTGTCTACGTTGAATAAGAAAATAAAAAAGACATTCATCTCCCCAGAGCTTACAGAACTTTGATCTGTTATCCATACAAACACTGCAATCTATCCGAACCTCCTTCAGCTTTCTGCAGGAATGTGTATCGATATATGCCTAGGGCAAACGTGGTCCGTGCATACTTCATTGGGCCTTTTGATCGTTATCAATGCATTTTGAGGAGTGTATAGACGCACCCGAACTCTCTTCAGCACGTTTGGCTCGTTTTATTTTATACAGTGGTCTCCATACGTATCCGTCGCGTCCTGAACGCGTAGTGAATATTACAGTGTTCCCTCGTTGTTCGTCTTGATAACGCATCTTTCTGTGTAACTTTCCAATCGATGAGGTGCTCTTATATCTTTCATTGCTTCTCCGCACGCGCGTTTCTATACTTCTACTACGCGTCGCGTCGGCCCATATGCTACGCGGCTGTAGTATTTGATTTGCATGCAATGCAGAATATCATGGCCGTTTTCGACAAAGCCCAAGAGGGCACCAAACATGATATGAAGGATGATGGAACAAATTGGGCACTACAGAGCCGTGGACCACCACCCTCAACTGCTGCATTTTTCTTTTCTTCTCGCATCTATATGTATTACTTCTCTGTCATTGTCTGTCCTTACTCCCCCCAGGAAAGTATTTTGCGCCCAAAACGGTAACGTTAACCAACAAACTTCTTTTACGTTAATCTTCACGTAGGTCAAGTCTTCGCGTACCTATATTTCTTAATCCCCGACTCAGCAAGAAGTCGCAGTTTTTCTTCGACCACAACTGAGGTGTACTCAATCTTACCAAACGATCACGCCCAGGCTTTTGCTGACCATAACTACAGCCTACGCACAGTTCCAAGCAAAAAGGTAAAATAACAACAGCTGGTACACAGTGCTGTAAAACTCCCCTTTCTTCCCTCTGTAAGGGTACAGCCCAGCCTTCATTTCACTGTAGGATCCGGGCAAACGCCCGACCAATCCTGTTCAGTTATTTCATAAGTAGGCTTACATTAGCTTCGAGTATTCGGCACCTTTCCGCTATGATCCACGGGCTCCCAGTTCCTTCGACCCCAGCGATCGTCTCCGGATGCAATCACATATCTAAGCAGTAAGACATGCACACACATTTCTATGCAAAGGCGCGCGGCGAAAACACCCAACAGCCGCATGCTACAGCCCTCAAATTATACACTCCTGGGAGAATCATTTACATCATGTATAAGGGCGGTCAGAAGAGGGTACTCAATATAAGAAAAACAGCTATAAAGCAAAAGAGTGGCCCTATGAGCAAAGTGGGTTTAGTATTACATTCAACGCAACGAATCGAGAACAGCCGAAGGTGGGCTTAGCCTTATTACCATTCTGGCCAGCACTGCTCCATTAGAAAACATTTAACGTTTCATTGTTCAAGTGAATAAGATGAGGTGGACCCAGGCGCTTGGTGGGGGTACAAATGCAGCCCAAAATTTTTATGATCGGATCGCAATGAACGCACTCAAATATGGAAGACAATATTTTTATTTTTTAATATTTCTTTTGGCAAGAGAATACAAGAAACAGCCCAAATGGATGTCCTACGGATAGACCTTCCACCATCCCCCGCGGAAAGTTTTTCCCATTTCATCTGCAGGCTAAAAGAAGATCCAAAAAAGGGGGCGGTGAGGGAGGCTGAACGTGCTCTCACAAGGACAGAGACTAGTCGATCGGCGTGGTTGCTCCATTCGGTTTGTCCTACCGAGAGTAGATTCGGCCGCTGCAGTGCCGTACATCCGTCATTGTTTAATTTTCCTTGGCAAGGATATTTCTGATTTGGCCGATCGAGTCTGAAGTGTGGTCGATGGTGGATAGGGAAAATGAAGAGAGTGCATTGCAGCTCCAATTGCTGTTATTCTATACACACAGCTTTCAGGTAGACAAGCGTATGTATTGTGATGAAGGTACGGACTACGGTGCTGTTGGGCATACTTACCGGAACCTCCCCTACTACAATACTCCTCACTCCCTCCCATTGTCCATAATCTATCCGTCTGTTTAAAAAGCAGGCGAATCCGCAGACGCGTGGCGGGCGCTCCTTTCTTATTTATTTCTCAACTACAAAAGCGTACCATTGTATTTTTATTTTTTTTATGACAGCACCTTGACTCGTCCTCTACCCGGGGTGCCATAGTTCCTCGAATTCCAACGCCACGACGCTGCGCCCCTTTCCTCATACTCTACTTGGTGCTCGCTACCATCAAAGCTGAACAGCTCGTCCACCCCGTTGTCCACTCTCTAGTTCTCTTTATCGTTGCGTTCCTTCAGCTCCAAATTCCTTCCATTTCTGGTCTTTGGTAAGGATCTTAATGTTTTTCTCCTATGGCCAAACCCCTGCTCCATACTACGTCCCACGGTGTTTAGTGCACAAGCTTACTCTGTGTTTTCCTCCTTTACACTGGCGCGTATACTATTGACTGTAACGCTATCATTGGATCGTCAATACAATCATGATGTTTAGTCGTCTTTGCGATATTTGAGGGCTTTTTTTTTTTGTCAGGTTTTCATATTCCTGGTCAATAACATGTATGTCTATAAGCTGGGACTAGCATGTAATTTCTTTCTACTTCCGCCTGTTCTCTCCCTGTGATTCTTTTTCTCTTCTATGTTGACGACTGCATCCGTGTCAATTAATCCATTCCCGTCTGTGGTATAGAATTTGTTTTGTTTTGTATTGATCTGCCATTGAATTACTTACACCCTCAATGGATTTGCATGTTTGTTTGGTTTCAACTGCAGTTGATGAAAATGGCCAGAAAAAAATCTGAGCTATATCATCGGCAGGATGGGATGGGGTCCAATCATTACATATCCTTCATTCGTCCCTGCTTAACCATGGTCTGGCAACTACCCGATGCAACATGTACTAACCAAAAAACTCTCTCTCGCCTCTTATTTCTCCTTCACTCGTGCATTTTTCCATGCTGCTGCCATGCTTCTGATCCCCGCTTCCTTCCCGCATCCTCGTCTTCATCGTGCATTGTCCTCTTTCTCTATTTCTTTCTTTCCTTCTTTCTTTCTTTTTTCGTTATCCCGCTCTTTTTCCCATCCCCTGTAAACGCATCTGCTTTTTTTATCGACCGTTAAATGATTATCAGCGCCCATTGCCCCTGTTCACCTCCTCTTACTCACAGAATAACTATCGCCATCCACGTTGACCACTGCGGAGGAAAATATTTTCCCATCCTTCACATTCTCAGTGTCGTTTTGTTCCTCTTCATTCGCGCTTCCTGAATTTCACGCTTTTTCATTTTTCAAAAGAACCTGAGAACTACCGCCTACAGTGCTTTCACTCTTCGTTTTCAAATTCAGAGAAAGCGCGGTTGCAACGCAAATATCCCATTGCTTGCTTCGGCAATAGTATCAGTAGCCACATCCGCTCCATCTGCAACCATCATTCCTTGTACACTCCTCAGTATCGCTTTTCTTTCCTCGTTGCAATTTCTCTACAATGGACGCTTCTTCCGCATTTATTCAGCAGCAGCGCCATCCACAGAATCATCCTCAAAATTCTCTCCAGAAGATGTCACTTGGGAACATTGAAGAAGAACTGCAAGACCCTACTTCAATCGACGCGGTTTCCCTTGAGACCATTGGGGGGTCAAACAATTCCAGTAGAGCAGGTTTTCAGCTGCATGATCCAACATCGAACAGCTCTGCCTCTTTTGGCGCCTCCGCGTTTGACCGTTCAAGTATCATCGCCGCGGATAGTCCCGCCTCCTTGTCGGCTGTGGTACCACATCAGCGGCCACAGCAATTTGAAGCGACGGCCGATTTCCCAAGAATTGGATCAAGCATGGTATCGATGGGTCAACCAGGCTTTACAGTATCCCAACAACATCACCAGCAGTCTTCGCATATGCCACTTTCGGCATCAGTGAACCTGTACCCGGCCCCGTTATCAACGCCGGGTACCCTATCGAATAGCAGTAACAGTGGCAATAACCACGCGCCTGATCCAGTTATCCCTGGTACATACGGGCAACAATCTTCGTGGCTGTGGAATGCCTACCAAGTAGAATATGTTCCAGGACTCGTCGACTCGATGCTTCAAACGCGGCAGCAGCATCAGCAAACATTACAGCAGCATCAACAACAGCAGCACGTCCAAGCTATCGAACACCCGCAGTTTCATCACCAAGGATCTATGGAGACCGGGTTCTGGCGCCCCCCGAATCAAATGGATATTGGAATAGACGCGTTGAGCTCGGTACCTGCAACAGTATCAACCTCTTCCTCCTCTGTCAACTCACAGAACTCTCCGTTATCCTCGACGCGCCAGGAGGGAGAGGTCATGGTCCGTAGACGATCTTCAAGGGCCAAGGCGCTGTCATCTCCATTGTTACCAATCGGCCATAAGATTCATTCGCCGCTTGTTGGAAGTGGAGCCATGCGCAGACCACGGGCGCGTTCGACCGTAACATCGCCCATCTTTACAGAGACAGCACTCTTGAGTCCACGCTCATCCTTCTCGTCTCCAACCTTGACCACCTCTGGAATGCAAGGGGTCGGAAGACCTGAGGTCAGTGGAGGGACCGAGATGATGGGATTCCCAAATCAGAACCAGCAACGGATCCAGAGCCAAAGTGGTGCACATCCGTTGTCGCCGGAGATAAACTATCCCACCATTGGAGACATGCGATCACTACAGTACTTTCAGCAAATCCCTAACAACAACTCGACAATATCTGCGCCCGATACTGTTCTGGCCGGGGGAGTTCCCTCGATCCTGGACTCACGATTCGAACTCGACTTGGCGAGTCTTCTTTCCAGTGATATCAACGCATTGGGTTTCCAGGATTCTCTGTCGCCTTCGCTCACACGTTCGGCCACATCCTCGCCTTCGCCTTCGACATACTCGTCTCCGTCGCCATCTCCGACCATGCCCGCTTCGACCGCATCCACGAATACGTACGCGATCGCCAGTGGAGCTCAACACCATTCGCTGCTGTTGCCGCCACTGTTGCCTTGCCCTGCCACCGGATGTCCCAAGGCGTTTTCACGTGTGCACAATCTCAGCGTCCACCTCACCACGGTTCACAATATCAATGCGCAGGATCTGGATCTGTCGTCGCTCTCCGCTCAGCTCTCCCCATGCCCCTCGCCTTCATCTCCACCCGGTTCTATCGCGTTTAAATCCTCATCCATGTCGCCTTCCCCCTCTTCATCTTCGTTCGCGTTATCCAGTAGTACCGGTAGCAGCAACGCTGGAGTGCCTACGCAGCCAAAGCCCTTCCCATGCCATTTGTGCACACGGATCTTTTCTCGCAAACACGACCTTCAACGACACATCCGCGTGCACACGGGTTCGAAGCCATTTATTTGTATGAGCTGTCAAAAGGCCTTTGCAAGGACAGACGCGCTATGTCGCCATTACAAAGTCGAGGAGTCCTGTCGAAAACTCCTGGCTCAGCTCGAGGCGGATCAGGCAATAAAGAAGTTGCAGGACAGTCAAGTTCAGCAAACGTTGCAGCTCGAGGCCAAGGAGCTGCAGAAGGCACAGAAGCTGAGGCAGCAGACGCAACAGCAACAACATCTTCAACAGTAGCAAGAGCAGCAGCAGTACTAAGGTTCATTAGATTATTTCTTGTAGATCAATTTTCTGTCTTGTATTTCCTCCCATCTCAATTTTGCGCATTTACATCACCTTGTACAACTCCTCTTTCCATAATACATTATAGAAACTCTTTTGAAAACAATCATTTATTCACTCCGTGCTACTCATGCATAAACTTTACAAAGTGCTCGCCCTAGATCTGGCGTGGACCCTTGTCGTAGATGGCCTTGACAGTTGGGAACCGGAGACTCCAGACTGCACCCGCATCGTCGGTCTGGACTATCACGCCATCTCCCTCCGCTGCCGCGGCTACCGCTGTACCCATCGGCTGGCTCTCCTCAAAGTACTGGACCGTGATGGTTTTGCCAACGATCAGGCTGGGATCCTTTCCGAAGCGGATGCGATCTTCAGCTGAGAAGCCCGATCCGACTCGGACACGGTTTCCACGATGGTGGATCACGACGTTGGTGAGGACATTGTCACGCTCCTCAAATTGGCCTTGTAGAGGTAAGCGCATCGACCCAAGCATGGCTTCCTCGACCACGAACTCTGCGTCCTGGAATTGTTTGATTTTTAACAGATTGCGGCTATTTTGAGCGAGAGAGAAGAATATCGGCGTTAGATCAAAGATCAAGATCGCGATAACCCTGAACGCGTTCTCTTCGATTACTTTTTAAAAAAAAAGAGCTATACCTTCGTTTGCCCTCATATCCAATATCCTTCCGCAGCATCACACCCTCCCATCCACGCTTCATTCCCTTATTGACCATCCGTTGCAGCTGCTCAAAGCTCTCGATCTTCGTCTGCTGTAACACTCTCATCAAACCTACAACACTGCCTCCTTTCTGTTGGCTAACTTTAGAAAGTGCATCGGCGATACCTCGGATCCGCTGCGAGAATGGCCTCGTCCCTATACGTTCCCTGAACTCCTTGTCCGTCAGGCAATCAAAGATACAGTACACAGGCATCTCAGTCCCCCCCAACGATGATCCAGACGTGCTATCTCCTCTGTCGCCTCGTCCCTGAAGATCCAAGGATTCCTCTGCGTCTTTATTGGTGCTGCTCTCGAAATATGCATTGTCATCCTCGTCAGTCATCCCTCGTCGGACAAAACTAATCGCCTTCAAGAAATTCTCCCGCCCGAACCCGTCATCCGTTCCACCTACAACAACGGCCTTTACGTCCACTGCGGCCTGTGCATCCTCGACCGCCGCCGCTGGACTCTCATGCAAGGGCTCCGTCAAGAACATGCACACCTCTCCATCCATTATGAGCTGATCCGGCAACTCCGCTCCTGAATGACCATCCAATCCTAGTGCTCGTGCAAAGAACCCATCCCAGCCCTCTTGTCCCCCTTGATCAGCAGAATATCTCGTTCTGACGACGTCATGTAGCGCGTCCTGTATTAAGGTTAGGCCTTCAAACCCCTTCCCGTTCCTCGATATTGTCTCGATCCCACCTGTGAGGCGATCCACACGGACCAAACACCGTACTCCATCCAGCTTTCGAGACGCATACCATTCTGCCACTTGATCTGTCTCCACATTTGAATCCGTTGTCACCTTCTTTTTCTTCTTCGCCTTCGATTTTGCCTTACCGCTCTCAGCCTCCGAATCTGCCGCCGCCTCGTCCTTCGCAAACAACGGCTGTGCGGCCTCCACGGTTGGAAGGCTATGCCCCAGCGCCACATAGAAGCCGGGAATCAGTGTCGGGAACACCTCCCGGAGCATGCCAACGCTGCATCCAGCCTTCAGATTTTTGTCCAGAATCTTCATCAAGACTTTTGATCGGGGCATTGTTAAAAGCTGCTCCATCCTGACTCCATAACTCAGTCCGTTCCCTTGACTCCTGCTCTTCCCAGTGGTAGTGGTGATGGTCTCATTTCCACAGAACCTCTCCATGAAGATCAAGATCGCATCGAGCGCTGTATGTCCCGAAATGGCTCTTGTCGAGAGCGCGTTTAGAAGCTGCGATAAGGTCGTGTACCCTTGTCCTAACGCCGTCGCTCGTGCCTTAGCCTCAGATCGCTGCCTCGTCGACATGTCCGGATGGTTCATCCTCGTCACCAGTCCGTCCTCCTTCTCGAAATCAACTGCTTCTCCGATGCCACCTGGAGTCAGAGACGAGGCCGCTTCATCCTGTCGTTGAGTGCGCGCAACCGCATACTTGATGATCCGAGCCGACGTGACATGAAACTGTCGTAGGGGATCATAGATCCAACCGAGCAATGGAGCCTGGTCTGCATGTTGAGCCAAGATCTCGCGTTTTTCAAGTGAAGAATTCGTTAGCGAAAGTTCTTCGATCAGGACTTGCAGGGCGTCAAGTTCTTGAGACGGTGGGATCGTTGAGTGCTTGTAGTCGGGTATCTCAGCCCGGTGTACAATCCCAGCAGCCGTAGCGGCAGTAGTAACATCGTCACCTATGAATGATGTTGTTGTTTTCGAGGACTTGGTCGCCGTCTTTCTAGGTTTGACTGAAGCTGATGTGGCAGTTGTACTTGATGAATCTGGAGTATCCTGAGGGACAGCCGCCTTTGTGCTCCTTGGAGGTCGGTTACGACCGCTGCTGGCGCTGGCTGACGCCGCTTCACCGTTACTACTGCTACTCTTGGTGGTAGTGCGACCAGTGCTCTTGCGTGTTGAGAGTGTTCTGAACTGATACTCGCGAGGCCCTTGCACTACCACGATTCTTTTTGGACCACCCGCGACATTCCGAATCAGATTCGCATGGAATGCCTCAAGTCCTGGCAACCGATGAAGACACAGTGCATATTGAAGACGTCTTCCGGAGAGCATCTTGCTTATGGTCTTAAAAGTGCAGGGATATGTACGAAGGAAACAGCGGGATTTAGAACTAGCTATGATCAAATTGGTACAACTACGCCGTAGTGGACATAGAAAAAAGTATATTTTCTTTAGCATTTAGACTGGAAAGAGGTGTCTATAAAAAGTAATCGTCGTCTTCATAGAACCTATCCATAAGCTCTGTCAGGACCTCCCCGGCCTCCAGGATCCTGAACCGCCGGTCCTTGATTTGCTGCACCGCCCAGTCTAGGTCTTGCGTCCCGTTCTTGGTACCATGTTGCAGCCGCATTCGATGCTCTGTCAGTGCACTAGCAGAACCAGAACTCGTTGCTGTTGCTGTTGCTGCTGTTGTTCCAAACCTCCTCTGGGTCGCCATGAGTCTCTGACCGGAGGAAGGAGCGCCATTGGGTTCAGACATACCTGCAAAGTGCAATAAAGATCCTGTGCTATCGTCCCAACTGCTCCCGCCCAACGAGAACCGAGAATGATGCCTCTGGAACGACAAGCGTTTGCTCGACTGGCTGCTCGTCTTTCGTTCCCTCAGAAGCGGACGCGAAGAAGACCCTATGAATGATGAAGACGGCGATGAAGATAACGGCCGTGGAGGCGAGGTAGCGCTGGTCGATGATAGCGAGGGCGACATGATCGTCTTCTTGACAAGGTCTAGAGGTGAGGACGCCAGCGCTGGAATCATGGACATGGATGCGGCAATTGCAGGAACCGTGATCGCACTACTCGTCGTTGCTGCTGGCATGACAAAAATCGCAGCATAATCCTTGTTTCTGGCCGGTAATTGGGCTAAAGATTCGATCAATGACACACTCGCATCCCTGCCAGTGCTCTTGGTATCAGGGGATGGCAACCCGGCTCCATCAGTGGTATTGTATCTTCCCTTACGCCATGCCAACACACCACCGCCTGGGCCGTTTCCTGGCTGGATCGAGATGTTCTTGTCTGCGAGTCTTACGACCACATAGATGTAGATGATCCGGACCACCAACCTAAACTTCGTATCGAAACTGGACCGTGTGCCCATGCCAATGGAGCTAAGCATTCCTTTCGTGGAATCTCGATCCTGATACCAAACTTCCAGAGTTCTGCACACCTGTTTCAGCGAGCTCAAGAAACGGCTTTGCACAATGCTATAACACGTGGAATCAAAGTCAAGCAATAAAAAATGTCAGCAGAGAGTAACGAAGCGCTGCTCATAACTAGGCGTATACAGCAATACGTCGTTTGGCGACGGAGTGTACCTATGAACGGACTCCTTGGCCACGAGGGTGAAGAACATTCTCAGCAGCAGCAGGCTCTGATACGCCTTCCACGGCTCAATCGCCATCAGATCCAACTTCGAAATCACCTCCGCCAGCTCCTGTCCCAGTCCTAGTATCTCATCAAAATCAAGACTCTGCTCACAGTCCTCAAGTCGCTGCAGAAACCGTCCGTAGATCGTCAAAATTGCACCCTGCTTTAACGCCTGCTCCAAGAACTCGTCCTCGCTTAATTCCGGTGCCTGTATCTGAGCCTTGATCCTGCTCCACGATTGTCGACCTCCATTCTGCGGATCACCAGAGCTACTACTGTGCCGATGCATAGCTCGCGAGTGACCCATTATCTGAATTGGGGACACCATCTGCTGCACTGCGGTATCCTTCAGTCCAAAAATAGATCCAGAGGTGACAGAATGGCCTCCGGAAGCTGATCCATTGAAAGATGAACCCTGTTGTCCATCCCAGAGATCGAATTCGTGTTCGATAGCCTCCTCCAAAAGATTGACCATAGCCGGAATCGAGTTGGCCCTTTGGCAAACGACTTTGACAATATCCAGCTGAATCACCCCTACATCTGAGATCATCTTCCGGAGCCCACACTGAACTGTGTCGAATGACTGGACGTATGATGGTGGCGATGAGGTAGCAACAGAGGGTCCTCTCTCGGACTGGTTCAACACACTGATAAGACTTAAAAGTGGTCGGTAGATCGCAGGATGCTTTTCTTCGTAGCGACTGCCAGCAATGCGGTCAAGGACCTGTCCAAGGTGAGCAATTACCAGCGGAATTGAGTCCATCTTGTAGTTCACGTTCTGAGAATCCTCCGCCGAAGACGCCAAGCGGGCCTGAAGCAGGCGCAGGACATACTCGAAGTAGACCATAACCCTCTCCTGACTTAAGCGAGTGCCACTCTCAACGCCAGTATCGTCGTCCAATTCGTTCAGATCTGTGCTCTCCAGACCTACGGCGATTCGCATCCAATAGAGCAAGAAGCCCAAGGGACTGGATAGATCATCCCATGTTCCGGCACGGTCCCAGAGGTCCTTGAGTGATTCCACTTGAGATTTCAGCTCGTCCGTCGAGAGCAAAGACCAGTCACCGGCATCAAAGATCGTTTTACAAAGCCGGTCCAAACACTGCTGTCTCATTTCCGCGTCGTTACCGGCAATCAGATCGATATCTTGCAAGATCATCAGACCGAGCTTCAAAAACGCCGCCTCAGTTTGATGCCACTCGATCGTACCCCTGTGCGCCCCGTCTTGCAGTCCCTGTGGCCGCAGATCAGAGTCCGCCTTTTCCATGACCATCGTGGTCAGATAAGTCCAAAACTCGAGCATGACCTCCATATCCAGTTCAGCTGCCACCTCGATGATCCTCTCCACGCGCTCCTTGGATAACTCCAGGCCCTTCCACTCCAGTCGATGGAAATGCTGGTGGATCAACATGATCTGGTTGATGCAACCTTCGCCCTCGGAGCTTTCATACATCATGTCCAGCCAGTAATCGAAAACCTCCGCCAGCATGGGGCTGGTATCGTGGTAATGGGACTGGAGAGCACCCATCATCTTGGATACAACACCTACAAACGTGAAGAGCAGGCGGCTGGCGCCGCTCTGCTGCCGCTGGAACCGTTTCTCATCCACGGAATGTTTCGTCAGACATGCGATCCAAGGCTGGAAGACCATCACAGTATCATGCCACATCCTGCAATGCCTCGGGTCCAGATGCTCTACTCCTGACCGCTGTACCCCGCCAGAATAGGGTCGATCCTCTTGAGCGTAGTGCACAGTCGAGTATCCAATGCACTCCAGAGACGGTTGCATCCACTTGGTTAGATAACGTTCATCACAGAGCACGACTGTCAATAGGGAAGCAATCGACACGGCATATCCACTGTACCGATCCAGCAAATTACTCCTAGCCATTGTCTCCTGGCACCCGTTAAAGTAATCCGCCAAGAATTGGACCAAGCGATTGAAGTCGTAATCTTGCAGCCCGATATTCGTATATGCCTTGCTTCCCTTAATCAATGACCCGGTATCGTCTACAACGTCTGCCTCGTCAAGGAGGGCAGGAAGCAATCTCGGCTCAACACCCATGATCCGGATAAAGTCCTCCAGCACCTCTGGCTCGAGACACATGGTGCCACAGGTGTCGAATAGAATCCTCAGATAGTCGATATAATCCCGCTGCAAAAAGTTGAGAAACAACGTTCCTGCTAGCTCACGATGTGATTTGATGATGGCCAGCCGGTCGCGTGTACTGAGCTCCGTCGCCTCCTGAATCTGGTTGTCCTGCTTCTGGAGTCGCTGTTGAGCTACCATTGCCGTAAATGCAGCCTCATAAAACGCTAGTCGATCCATGATAGATGGTCCGTCGTGTTTATCCTTTTTCCCGGGAGCAGAATGTTTACAGACCCAGGCTTGAACATCAAACTGTCTTAAGAGTAGATCCTTCGATGCCAGCCCATATTCCTTGCATGTCGCTATACGCTGATAGAGCTTCACAAAATCAGATGAAACGGCAGCTGGATAGAAGGTCTTGTAGAGCACCGCAATGGTGAAATCATCCATCCCCATCAAATTCAGAATCGGCTCTGTCTGGGCTGGGTCCTTTGCTACGAGCTCCATTCCCAATGAATCTACGACTGAAGCAAGTACCATATGCGCTGGCGGGTATGTACGTGCGTCGTCTAAAAGGCTCCTGCAAAGGTAATAAAATGATTGAACTAGCAGGTCATAGAGCCCACTGTCGTCAGGACGTGAGTTCAGATGCTGCAACAAGACATCGGTCGTCTTGAAGATTTCTAACGCAGCCAGGCAAAGTCCGTGCTCGACGCTCCCCAGTCGAAGTGCTCGGGCTCGTTCACGATTCTCGACAATGGATCGCTTGATTTTATCGTTAAGCACGATCTCCTCGTACTTGAGCTCGATCACCGCGGGACGTTGACAGCGCGTGTTCGGGGTTGTGTCGCAGGCAATCTCCAGGTTGGTTGTCTTGATCTCGTTGTGATAAAGCGCGCTGAGCTCCAACAAGTATGATGCGTCCAGGCTCTCATAAGTCTTGATGGAAGTATGAGACGCCTTGCAATATTCCCGAATGGCCTGGGTTGTTTGATTGAAAAGGCCCTGCGGACTCGATGTACTACCGACAGTGGCAGGCTGGACGAGCATCCGTGGTATATAAAAGTCGGGTCCTGGCTTCGACTGCTGAATAAGGCAGTTGCTGATCTTTTGTTCCTGCCACGCCTGGCTGTGCTTCCGCATGGCGCGTGCTTGGTCGTAACTCGCGGTCCTTGGACGTGGCGATCCACTAAGAATCTGCGACGACGGTCGTTGATGAGGAGATGACGACGGCGGTGTACCTGAACCCGAGACTGGCTGTGAAGGGGCCTTCCTTTCGATGAGAAGATCCTTCCAAAGATCCGCATTGCACTCAAGTGGATCAGGCAGTCGACAAGTCATAAGACGACTCGCTATCAGATCCTTACGAATCCTCTTGAGATCAATTTCTGCAGTCAGTAGGAGCGGCTCGCTGATCCATCCATGAAGGGCGATATAAAACTCGTGCAGCGCCGTGAGGGACGATGCTTTATTCGTGTCCAGTTCCTGAATCGCCTTCCGTGCCTCCTGCCCAAAGTAGGCGTACGTATTTTGCAATTTGTCCCGAAGCTGCTCCACAATATCCGGGCTCGTTTCCAGGAACTTGTAGCCATAAAAGAGATCCCGCTGCTCGACATGCCCAAAATAAAGATAGAAAAACATCTGCCAGAACAGGGGCAGCAGATATGTGTCGTAGGGAAGAATAAGCAGGTGCTGCGCCCAGCGCCAGATCGAAAAATTGTGTAAAGTCTTCCGAGAAGTGATCCCTAGCGTCTTCATTACCGACTTAATGTTGCCATGCGCCTTGAGCTCTCCCAGGTGCTGTTTATAATAGTTTCCGATTTTTATCCTCATATCTTTCTCCAGGGTGGTCTCGATCGACAGGACATAGTATGCGAACCATATCGAGGTCGACTCCACCATCGCCTGCTGGGTAAGCAGATTCATCGCGAACGACCTAACGGACCATGTACCCATCAGCAGACTAGGGTCGTTCGATCCCTGTGGAACAGGTAACGTCTTCAACAGGCGCTCTGGCAGCATGTCCATGACACGATCCAATCCTGGCTGAGCGAGTCCCATCAGCTCAGCAGACATGCCCGGCGCTCTCCGGAAGTCGATCGAGAGCAAGATCTGTTGTTCCATAAGCGCGTCCTTAATAAGCGCATCCAGCCCCAGCTCGAAGCACCGAAGACAGACAACGTCCAGAAACTGAACATACTCCTGGTGGACCATCCAATCTTTTTGAGAGAATACCGCGGACATCCAGAATTTTAGGACTTTTGAAGGATCGTCAGATCGGGCTCGGCTGTTCTCGATATGGAAGTTAAGAAGGCACCATACTCCCACAAGCTCCTTGGGAACCATTGCCGGAAACAAACCCCGTGATTCAACGAGATGAGCTCCAGCCGCAGCAAGAAATGGGTCATGTTTCCAAGTTGCCAGCTCATGCAATACCTGACCGAGCCGCCTGGCATGTGCGTCCATGTCGGTTCCTGAGGCAATAACCAAAGGAATCAGCTTTCCTGCCAGCTCCAGAAACACAGATCCCGCTCCTGTCTGCAAAATCGCAATCAGAGTCGTCCAACCCTCCTGAAGAAATTGCTCTGCATCTCGACTGGCCGGTGTCAGCAGCAGGTGGATTGTGTTGATTAAGGTAAGCTGGCCTTGACTGAAGAGTGGGTATTTTGCCAACCCTGAGTCCTGTACGTGCAGTCGAGAAGCCTCCACCAAAGACAGAACTGGCACTTCTGTCAAATCCAGTTTCCCAAGCATGCCCCAGCACCATTCCATGAAAGTCTTCATTGAGATCTGTTCTGCAGAACGGTGGATTCCCGAATGAGCCGCGAGGTTTGTGATCGCATGAGGGAGACTCGAAGCAAACGACGAGACAAATTTGTTGTCGGATGATTTGGTCCGCGAAAGGCTGTTTGTGAAATCTTCTTTAACATCCTTGCTGCTTTCCGTGAACTCTGCCTCGCTATTGTGGAAACTGCTCAGGTTCTGAATGCATATATCCGCCATTGCAAGAGCCAGATCCTTTCTGAATACAGGCGATATTCTCGCTCGATCATCCTCGTCGGACGTAGTGTCGTCCTCTACTATCCGCAGAACAGAATAAAATCAAATCTTAGTAGATGTGAAGTAGCTGTCAGGGCTTTAGCTTACGTCGTATTACAACGTCGCCTGCTTCATACCTGAGGTCCAGCGTAGCGAGCAAAAAACATAGCGGGCGAACATGGATTGTTGGCTGCTCAGCGGAGATGTAAGGAACAACCGCTTGAGTGCTAAAAAATCGCCGTCGCTTAACTTCCATTCATCGAGTAGCAAGCCGCGAAATAGGTATTGGGCCGTATCTCTCATCTCTGAAAAATTCGCCTCCACGAAGCAGAGGATTGAGGAAATGATTGCGGGACGGGAATCGCACACAGAGCTCAGAATCTCACGAGCCGGCTTCATGAGCTCCCTGCGGATATCATGGTCCAAGTAAGCGACGTCAAGCAGAAGAAAAGACACAATTACAGCAATCTTGTGCTCCAAGGACGTATGATCCAGATAATGAGAGCTGGCTTCGTGCTGAAATCTGGATGTCGCCATGTTGGCCAGGGCTGTCAGCATGAATACTGCCTCTCCTGGATTGCCACCGAGTGTATGTCGCAGCTTGTTCGCCTTTTGCGTAACTGAAACCAATGTTGTAGGGTCCCCAACCCACTGCTGAACATTGTCCAGGGCAATCTCTTCCAGCACCAGCAAAACAGTCGGACTGGACATGAACTTGAAAGGGAGCGAGGGTATAAATGTCCAAAAACCATGACCAGGCAATGCAAGCAGCGCTCTCGTAACGTCCACTAATATATGATCAACTCCGATCTGGGGTGTCATTGTTAAGTTCCTATATTAGGGCGCAATTGCAAACGAAAAAAAGTTAGGCGTGAAAGTCATGTAACACAGGATGGTCCAATTGGTAAGGAGCGTACCTGTCCAAAGATATTTGCATGTTTGCCTTGGTGGCGGGCTGCATCGGTCCAAGAACCAATAGGTGATCGCCTAGGATTTGCGATAGCTGGCACAGGAGCTGGGAGATCCGCTTCGAAACAACAGCGAACTTTGTCAGACGCTGCAAGCCATGCAGGACAATATCAAACAAGCGTCGAGTCGTAGTAAGGAGCCGTATCGCAGCGCGCTCAGAAAGCTCCTTTTGAAAAATCGAACCATCATTGTTATGCATGTCCTTGTGCTCTACCAATAACCGGTTGAGGAACAGCGTGATGCCTAATTGATCCAGAATGCCTAGATAATCCTCCTCCTCCAGCTCCGGGCTAAGCACGAGTGCCGTGTCCAAGAGGAAATCCGTCGACCTCGCTGAGGATTGTTTGTTTATTGAGGTGCTGCGCAGTACGAGCTCCAGCGCTGTGATGTAGTAATCCTGGAACATGCTCGTCCAAACTGCCGGCACACTGCATTGAATAAAGCTAGTCGCCCAGCTTGACACTTGGCGCGTACGCAGCACTTGTATGGTAAGGTATTCGTAATCCAAGAAACTGCCGTACTGCAATATAACCGCCGCCAGAAGAGATATCCAGTCCTGAATAGATCGTACAAGTAAATTCACTCTTGTTCCTCCAGAGTCACTGCCAACGTTGTCCAGTGGCGAATTAGGGCCATTTATGTCAGTGTTCAACCCGTCAAGCTCGGCTTCGAAATCTGGTTGTCGCCGAACAGCCCGTTCAAATTGGAAGAGAATGTCGAGATAGCTCTTGACGCGCTCCAGGTTCTGCTCGTTCGAATGACTCTCTGCCCGCGGTGTCCTGCCAACATTCTGCTTTGCCGCAATGCTATTATCTTCTTTCCACGAAATATTACTCAAAAATGTTGCGATATGGTCTTGAATCCAGAGACGGCAGGTTGTCTCTTCGAACTGCATCTGAGTCAAGATCTTTGTTCTCTGCTTGACATGTCGACTCAGCATTTTCTTGAGTTTGACTGCAACATCTGGTTCGTAATGTCCATATCGGTAGCTGTAGTTGTGAGAAATGGTCGCCCCATCGCCGCAATTGGCCTTTGCCACCCCGGACTTTGTCTGCACGGTCCATAGTTTGCTCGCGTAACCCTTGGCCTTTTGCTGTAGTGTGAAAATCGCCAGCCTGGTTTGCTGAGCGGCTTCGTGTGCAGCCTCATAGGATTTCATGCGTTCAGAGAACGCATCAGTCTCTCCGTCCTTGGCACGGATGCTCGCATACTCTGCAAGTCTTCGAGAGAAGGTCTTCAGGTAATTATTAGTGTAAAGCTCCCGAAGACGGCTTGAAGATTGCTCTGCCTCGACACGAAGACCGTTAAGATTGAGATCAAGATCAAGTCGAGGTTGATGGAGCTGATGACCCTGTACCCGCTCAAGGACTCGGTACGGCTGCAATGCCTCATGAGGGTATGACTGATGCTGGGCCTGATACGGAGGCGAGCCAAAACGTGGTGGTCCTGAGGGCTCTAAGGGATAGAGTCGCTCAGTTTGAAGATCTGCCGCAATGGGGTTATGAGACGGAGCATACCATGGCTCCTGAACCGATAGGGGAGTGAATGCCGGTCTTGGGGGTGCTGAGGGAGAATAGGCGATATTTGGATAGAGCGCAGAGGATGACGGTGACGCAGAATGCGATACAAAAGTCTCAGGTGGCGCGGAGGATGGTGCTGAAGGCGGTGCTGAAGGTGGTGCGGATGGTTCGTATGTATAAGATCTCGAGGAAGCTGGTGGCACTGAGGCGAGCGAGTAAAGGCTTGGCGTTTCTGGGCTGTCCATGCTATGATATTCATGGGATTTGGGATGCGGAATGAAGTGTTAGTTACTATGCCAATTCCAATGGATTCCAGGTATTGAATAATTACTTACTGGCTGTGCTTGGCTGCCAAAGACCGTTTTACAGTGGAAGGCGATGAGAAGAAGAAAAGGTCGATGAAGGGGATTGCAGAAGACGGTGCGAGGTGGGAAGAAAATTGAACTCAAAGGTCGAAGTCGAAGTCGACGAGGAGCATTGTCCCGTGGACATCCATGCAAATAGAGAGGTCTATACACCAAGCCCAAATGGAGGGGAGGGATGGATGTGTAACAGGGTCATAGGTCATAAGAGGACAAACAGTTGCTTCCTACAACTTCAGCATCCTGTCCCTACTTCCTCACTCATTCCTTCCTCTTGTCATCATATTCCCGTCAGTGTCAGTCTGTCGCCCGTCCGCAAGGAAACCAAAGAAACAAACACCAGGACCGAGAGTATTAGAACAACAACACCATGGCACGATGGGATCTGGACAATGGACGGGCACGCATTTGCTTGATTCCTATGCCAAGAATCCCTCATCTTAGGGCCAAGGCACGCGACGCAGCCGTCTATCTCGCAGGAGCATTGGTACTGTGATACAAATGTAGTAGAGCCCAAGGAAGAAGCTCAAACAATGGACAGTACACCGTAGAACAATCTTGAGCCATGATCACTGATATCTCTCTTGCATGCACTTTCTTTTCCGCTACTAGTTTGCTCTTGGATGGTGGTTCTTCATCGATGCTGCTGCACTGTCTAAGAACTTTGAAGGTGACGAAAAGTCTGTCTCTGTCGAGTTTGTTGACTGGGTGCCTGGTATTTGCAGCACTCTTGGCATGATCATGTAAATCAATAGTCGTTGCTTGAATCTGGTCAGGACTGTAACAACATAGTAGCTCCCATTAATCAACTTATTGTTGACGTGTTGTTCATCGATTGCTTTGCTTGCAGTATCAATTGCGTGGACAAGGCATCTCTTCGAGGCGACTCGTTCGCGTTCTCCAGTGATGGGGGCACCAGTGTCGCCTGGATAGCAAGAGCGTTTTTATTCATTGGGTTCGCCTTTATGGCCGGAGGTCTTGCCGGCTCGATCGTACGTCCACTATCCAAACATACGCTCTTGAACTATCGCGTTTGTCTTTGCCAACTCCATCTGACACGTCTTTTTACGTCTGTTTACTAGAGCGTGATGTGCATAAAGTACTTGATTCCTGATTACGGGGAGCCCTTTGCATTCTGGGGGATCTGCAACGTGGTCCAAAATGCGCTTATCATGATCAGGTACAAGAGCTCCTTGTGGGATGTCATATGCGTACAGCTAAGCACATTTTCTCATCCTTCCTTTTTCTTAATGATAGCGCCGCGATGCTGTGGGTAGCAGAGAACACTGAGTCCGAGTACGAATACAATTTTGCGATCTAGAAGAAGTCTAGTGAGCACAACGTGTGCAAGCCTAGTGACAAAGAACCATAAAAACCACCGTTCATAACGTTCGATCGACTTCTCCTATTTGGAAGCGCTCAATGACAAGAGCCGCCGATATCCCTCATTTTGATGGCAAGTGCGATCAAACAGCAGAAAAAGGGAAAAAAAAAATCAATAAGCCAAGGCAGGCTTCATGCGGATGATGATGATACGGGCCAATAAGTCCAAGACCATTCGGTGCTGCGCTGTCCACACATGCGCCGAAATCGGATTTTTTTTTCACTTGCTCATGCAGGCTGTGCCAAGGTCGTCAAAAGAAGTAATTAAAGCAACATGCTTTTTAGATATAAATACTAGAAGCATTTCCCGCAGAGAAAAAAAGAAGCAGCCCTCTATTCCGCTTCAGCCTCTCTTACCGTACTTTCACAACCCTTCTTTTCACGTCGTTCTGAACCACGGAACACACATAGACGGCTATATCCATCACTCACTTCATAGCCTATATATCACGTTCCGTAGAACCACGCGAACCTCACTATCATTCCTCAACACGCAGCGCAGACCACACGCAACCATCAACTATATACCATTGTGACCAAAATAATGTCCGCACCTCTTCACGTCGTCTTTGAAAAGCGCCTCTCCATGAAGCCCACGCTGCCCTCGCCGTCGATAATACCGCAGTCGATTCTGATCAAAGAAACCACAATTCCATTTCACACAAGCTCAGATGCAGATCTTTACGTCCGACGCGGTAGTAACAGTAGTACAGCATCGTCTCGCTCCCTCACGCACGACTGCTACACGTGCGGTCTGCATGGGGGCAAGTGCGAACCAAGGCCCACTGACACGTCCAGGAGTACCTCCCAGTCGTCTTCTCCAGACTCTTTCACACTCGATGCCTCATTCAGACATCGCCGGGTGCAGTGGGTAGACCGAGTGTAGTAATAATAATAATAATAATAATAATAATAAAAAAGGGTGCCGCGAGTAGAAGTACCGTTATCAGATCCAGAAATCGTTATATCCAGATTAATCTACGTCAGAGGTAATCATATCGTGAAATAAGGGCCGGACCCAGGATTTCCGAGGGCCAGCACGCCCAAACGCCAGCTGGAGACAGATCGCGCCTATCCTCTCCCCTCTTCCGTCTCTCTGTCGTTCCCATTCCTCCACTCCGTTATTCCTTTTATTCGTCTTCATTCGAATCTTTTTTCTCGTCAAGGAGTCAGGAATAGAAAAAAAAAAAAACAGAGACAGGACAAGACATTTATTCATCGGCAATTTAAATCCGACATATTCACAGATCACAATGTTCCGCCTCTCCGCCCAGTCCACCCGCCAGGCTGTCCAGCGCCTCGCTGTTCAGGTACAAATATCCTCCCGCCTAAATTATTGTTATGTTCAAGAACGAATGGCAGCATTTCCGACAGTATCCCCTCATTAACGACCTAATTGCGGGATCAGCATGCAGCTTGTGGACGCTTTCAAAATGCCGGAAAAGCTCGAAATGCAGATCACTTTTCCTAAGCCAATGTTTGCTACTCAAGGATGTCCTTCGCTTCAATTCAACCTAACTAATCTGATTGTATTCATCAAATCAGATCCGTTACCAGTCCACCAGCTCCTCTGCTGCCGCTTCTAGCAAGGTATAATATCATCGCATGCTAAAGGATATCCGGATCGCCCTTTTTATACTTTCCTGCCTAACATGTCTTTCAATTGACATTCGACGTGTTGAAATAGAGCGCCATGCACATGTCAATGGCCGCTGCTGGTGTCGCCACTGTTGGCGCTCTTGCCTATCTATCGATGGAATCTGTTGATGCCAACATGGCTGCCGATGGTCTTCACCCCCCAGCCTACCCCTGGGAGCACAAAAAGAACCTTGTTACCTTTGATCACGCTGCGTAAGGGTCTTTAAAAGCAGATCATTTCACACTCAATTGACGAGGAAGACAACAGGATCGTGACATGGATTAATTGACGGCAATTGATAACTGACAGGAGATGGCAGGATGTAAGGATACAGGACAAGGAATTACGACCAGTTCATTGAGCGCGGAGCCAATCTGGAAGGAGTTTCCTATTCAGCTCGACGCGAGTGACGCGAGCAATTTTGGCTGCAGCAACACGACTATGGTGCACATCTTGGCAACGCACAGTCTTTACTTCAAGACATTTATTTCAGGACAATCATCTTCTCATCACCAACACTGACATCCTATATCCTTCACTTATCTGTTCAATTGATCCGGAACAGTATCCGCCGTGGTTATCAGGTTTACAAGGAAGTCTGCGCTGCCTGCCACTCACTCGACCGCATTGCCTGGCGCAACTTGATCGGTGTCTCCCACACCGAGGCCGAGGTCAAGGCCATGGCTGAAGAGTTCGAGTACACGGATGGACCCAACGACGTTGGAGACATGTTCCAACGCCCTGGAAAGCCTTCGGATTACATGCCGCGCCCCTATGCCAACGAGGAGCAGGCGCGTGCTGGTAACGCCGGTGCCTACCCCCCAGATCTATCGTTGATGATCAAGGCTCGCCATGGTGGTGCCGTAAGCTGATCTCCTTTTTGCAGTTCCTTCATGATGGATGAATACTACGCCGTGAACATGGATCCTTACCAGAACCGCAAATGTATGCATTTTCTTTCGCCATAGGACTACGTCTTCTCTCTCTTGACCGGTTACCAGGATCCCCCAGCTGGTGTTGAGATTCGTGAGGGACTTAACTTCAACCCTTACTTCCCTGGCGGTGCTATTGGTATGGCTCGTGTCTTGTACGATGGTTTGGTTGAGTATGAGGATGGTACTCCTGCTACGACCTCGCAGATGGCCAAGGATGTCACTATCTTCCTTAGCTGGGCTGCTGAGCCCGAGATGGATGAGCGCAAGATGATGGGTATGAAGGCCCTGACTATTCTGGCGCTCTTGACTGGCCTCTCGATTTACCTTAAAAGGCACAAATGGGCAGGCCTCAAGACCCGCAAGATCCTGTACAAGTAAGTAGTATGCTGGTACGCCTTTTCGCCTTCATGATGGATGGTTGTGTCGATCTAACGCGTTGCTTCTGTTTCTTCTACGCGTGCTAGCCCCCCTGCACCAAAGAAGCACTGAGAAAGGAAAAGCATAGACACAAAAAATAAAATATCGTATAACATATTCAGCTTTATACATTTAGCTACTCTTGCTGAAGGTAGGTTTTAGCCTGAAGTATTCATTCCAATTGAAAAAAAAAAAAAAAAAAAAAAAAAAAAAAAAAAAAATTGTAGGCGACAATGTATGTTTTTTCTCACTCATACTTCAGCAATCGAAGCCTATCCTACTAAACTCACTACTAATTCTACTGATGCCCGTCCATCTGTCCACCAGTCCATCTTGGTGGTGTTCCATAAGCGACGGCAAAAAAAACATGTCAGTGGAAATGTCTGCGAGTGTCCGCGAAGAAGAAAAGCGTAGGATTAGTAGGGTTAGTAGCGGTTTCAGTAGGATCAACACACCACCTGCAGAACCATGCCATGTGCGCAGGTGTGTCACAAATACCCTAAGACTATGATGTCGAGTGTACCTTTTTGCTGACCTGGAATAGAGTGTAAGTGGCATACGGAAAGACCTACGAGGCTATGCCTTTGGATATGGTTGCACTTCCTGGACCTTGTGCCAAAAAAAAAAAATAGCTCGGCTCGCTCATGGCTTTCAAGAATGACATAAACCTTAATGGCGGATTGATGGTGAAAATTACAGCCGCTTTGATTCATTTGAAATTGCCAGCTTTTTTTTTTTCAATTTGGAGCGACATCTAGGGGATACACATCATGTCAGCAGCATTCATGTTCAACAGTGAATAGCAGTATGTCGTTTTATTTTTGTGTATTTCGTTGCAATTTCATGCTTGCTTCCAACAAGAGAACGAGCAATTGATTGCTCTAATGCTTTGTAGAGTAGAGGAAACGAATCGGCAGCTGAATAGCCTTGAGCAAATATCCCATTAGCATGACAGCAAATTCCATCTCTTGGGTGGAGCGTGGCGTCTTGGCTCAGAGCGATGGTTTTCTCCTATCTCGGGACGCAACGCTGTACGAGAACAAGGTTAGTAGAATTAGAAATTAATCTGACCCGACATGTATCATGAACAATGGCTACTTATCTTCTGGCCAAGGCATTGTGCTAAGCAGCGACTCCAACTCTTCCGCCTCGTACTTCAGAAATCCTTTCTCTCTTGTGAATTCCAAGCGTCCAAAGTCGATGAAAAAGAACTGCGAGTTTTCACCATCGCGCCGTACCACAATGTTGTACGGTCGAATATCACCATGCAGGACTCCTAGCCTGTGGATTGCTGACAGTGCCGCCCGGACCTTGTCCCGATCAGATGAATCCAAATGTTCATCGCAGAGGTCAGTCCCCATAAATTCCGTCGCCAGAACCATCTCCATTCCATATGCTATTCCAGCTGCCTTCAACTTGGGTATCCATTGCCCTTGCAGCTTCTGCAGAACCTGGTAAGCCCTTGCCTCATGCTCCAACTCATGAACAGCCCTCGCCGATTATATACGTCGGCTTTCTTAAGCACAACGTCCTCATTTGACCATGACACCAGGAACGTACGGGCACCTTCTTCACGTTCAGCGATAAGCTTCATGTTTTTGAAAACGGGGAAATCGGTAAGCTCTCGTTTCGTGGCTCTTGGCTGTTCTCTGACACTGTATTACCACCTAGTATGGGACGGTTAATCATCTATGATCAAAAAAACCTTTCCAACCGGAATGCATCAACCTATTTGTTTCTTACCTGCTTCGCGTACAAATTCTCTTCATTCCTTGTTCAAAGCTTCAGCTAGGTCCTGGCTCCCAGTCGTGATCACGTTTCGCAACCCTGTCTTCAGGCTGTTTGTCTGTGAGTATGTTGTCAACCGTAGGACTATCGAAACTGTCCGGCTACCATTCATCGTCCATGGCTGCCGTCCTGATCAACCACAAGTAACACTAAAGTAATGTTGGCTCTCTGCCATCGAATTGGATTGTAGGTGAGACTAAGATGTCGTCCTCATGCTCCTTGACTCTCTTGATAAACCAAGTCTGGGTGTAGGTAGATAGTACGCCATATCGAAACCCGTTGAACCGCATGTATCCGAATATTTGCTCTAGCGCACCAGCCGGGCCTTGTGTCTGTGATCCTTGTGCCAGATAAGCGGCTGGATAACTGGTGCCGCCATCCAAATGCAAGTAGGAGGGCTTTTTCATTTGGATCGGAAACAATACCGAGTTGAAGTCATTCTGGCGCGAGCATACCAGGTCGGGTGTACCGTATGGCAGGCTAACAGAACAGAAAGTGTCTGCAAAGGGGGACAAGCTTTGGAACTCAGCTCGGCTATAAATCTCCTGTCTGATCGAAACCTTGGACATGGATGGAGTAGTTCAGTCTCAAGTGGCATTTGGCGCACCAGGGCTAAAAAATCGCCCCACCCGGCAACTGACGCAGGGGCCAACGGGTATGTACGAGTCGAGTCGGTCGTCGCTCCATGCGCCCTTTGGCTTATGTCGGCGACAGGTTCTAAACCACGTTGCACGAACTCGCGCTCCAATATAAGGTCTGTATATTGAATTACAAGAGAAGGAAAAGTGACAAGAAAAGATTAGGTCAAGAATCAGTATTTCGCACAAAAAAAAAACAGATGCAGCGGGTAAGTCCATGCACCGTTAGGAATGTAACTCGCGATGTATTACCTGGTCGTGGTCGCTGAACAATGATGTGAACTGTTTTCTTGGCTGGCGTGTTTGGGAAGACATCAGAGACGTCGTTTGTCGGACTGAGCTCCGTCTTGGAATCAATCTCGTTCAGGAAGACCGCACTGCGGATGCTGGCAGCGACGACAGGAACCGAGACACGCCAGAGCGTGAGATTGTCTGCTGCGAGGTCGTCAAATTTTGGCGTTTTCTTGGCCTTGATGAGGCTCTTGAGGATATACACGGTTTCTGTCGAGGGGATCTTGACGGAAAATTCATTCGACGTGGGTTCTCCATCGGTGAGACAGAAGAGAGTGAGGTCGGGCATGGCCGAAACTAAGGGTGATGGAGTGACCAGGCGGCGTGGTTTGTTGGCGCATGGAGGAGGACAGGAGCAAAGAGAAGTCGAGTGAGGGGCGCCATGGCGGAAAAGAGGACGAGGAGACTAGGGGAGAAGAGAGAGCCAGAGGAAAGTGATGGTGCCTGTGTGTTGCCGCCGTTTCAGGGCGTGTGACTTTTGCCTTTTGTTCATTTGCTCATTTGCTCGAAATGGGCAAACCTTCTTTCCGACACGACGCGTCTTAAATTGCTGTGTTTGCAGTTGTGGGGGCTGGCACAAAAAATCCATCTAAACTTTTCATCGTGGAGACATTTGGGTAGCGCCAGAAGAGAAGGCGACTATAGACCCACAACCCAGAGTTAGAATGTTGGTACGTAGAAGAACGGAAAAAATGGACTCGCAATAAACAATGACCGCGCGTGTGTGTCTAGCCATCGCCAAAGCCGCAAATTCGCTGAGGAGGCCCCTGTTTTCCGCTTCTCTCCACCATTTTTTTCCATCGCTCTACCTCCCATTCAGAACACCACCCATCTCCATTTCCCACACATTCACATACCCTTTCTCCCCCCTCCACTGACGCCTCCGTAAACCTGCCACGCAAACCCTATTTAAAAGCCTCAATTTCTTAAGCCAGTCTCCATTTTTTAAAAAGTCAAGCACTTTTCACGCGCGCAATTTCACTAACGTCTTGCCTCGTTTTTCTTTTTTTTTGGTTCTCTTAGACTACGTTGATGTGCCCGTTCTAGGAGCTGTTTTAGGAAACGGTATTACAGTGTCATTATGGTGGAGCGTCATGGTAAGCAGGCGAATGCATTCATTGTGGATGACTGTGCCAACAAAGCTGTCATACGCATGTGTTATCTCTTATCTATTCTTCTTATCTCTCCTGTCTAACAGGGAAGAGACAGCAAAGAGAGACTCAGGAGGAGAAGGACGGCTCGCAAGCTGTCCATGAAATGCGATTGCAATGGGATAAAACGGAGGATATCGCGGACGACGACGACTTTCAGCTCGCTCAAGCTCTCTCTATCTCTGCAACTGAGGCAGCCACATCCGCCTCGGCGTCGACCTTTCAGATAGAACCCCTGACGGAAATCGAGAGAGTTATTGGATGAGGTGAAGGGAATGAAGCGCCGCTCCAAGGATTTGGTTCACCAAGCGAAGCGGTTGCAATCTGAGCTTGAGGGAGCGCGCAATCTAGTCGAGCAGCTTGTCTCTCTATCCAGGTCGCTTGATGGCACTGCCTTCCGCATCAACCAGCTCAAGCATCGTCGAGGAAAGAAGCTGCCTGAGGATGAACTGCGAATAGTTCTTCATTGTCTCGAGTTATGCCGTGAGGAGAAAACAAATGGCAGGACTATCTCAACAGCGGATCCATTTTTGCGAATGTCCACCTATTGTGTAGTATTATCACAAAACACAGTCAGGGACATTGTGGCCGGTAGGAGCAAGGTTGACAAGCGAATATGCACAACCGCTACAGCTTTTTGCGTCTTCTGGCTTCTGATCTTCACCAACGGGCTGCTGAACTGAACCTATCTGGACGTGTTGCCACTCTTAATCGGCTTCATAAGTTTGTCAAAAACACCTAACCGAGTGATTACCCCATTCCAAATCGAGGGACTATTAGGAAGATGATGTGTTCTATGGGGTTTCAGTACAAAGACTTCGGAAAGACTAAGAACTTTGTTGATACACTTGAGATACAGAAGCTAAGGCACAAGTATCTCAAACGACGGCACTCAGAAGAGTTTAAAGATGCAGTATTTGTATGGCTTGATGAGTCTTAATGCAATCAGCATCATGTCAGTAAAGGTCTGTTTCATTCATGTTCGTGTTCGCATTCGCGCCTGTGTTTGTGTTTGTGTTCGTGTTCGATTTTAATGAAAGGGGGGTTTTTTTGATAGTCATGGTTCCTTCCTGAAATGCAAGAACGGGGGCAAGGGACGGTGATACATTATAGTGCATGCTAGCGGCATTAATGGGTGGATTGGGGGGGGGCCGCGTATGGAAAGCCAACAACAGCACCAGCGACTACCATGAAAACATGAATGCAACAATATTTGAGGCCTATATGGAGGATTTATGGTGAGGAGGAGGATGATGGACTAGCTGGGAAACGTGAAACTAAGGTTCAATAAACTACATCATATACTATAATACTATATGTCTATGATGATCACTCACTCGAATGAGCGAATGGGAGCTATTCTTGTTCTGATTTCAATTTCGACGTCCCATTAAGAGGGTCCCACAGAATCATTTCCAAATGAGCAGTCAAAATTGGCTGCCGAATAGCCCGGAAGCAGTCTCCATTTTCCTATAAATTATCTCCCCCCCTGCGGCCATTTTAAAAACTCATACTTACCTGGTTGGAGCCTTTCCTGATCATGAAGGGGAGGGGCTCTGGTAGGATCGTCTGCATTGCACAGCGCGGATGAAACTGCCAGTGAATGTCCTTCGGGACATCTCAACAGCTTAATTTTTATATGTGGGTCATGCTTCGTTCGCGAGGTATGGCCCTTATTTCATTAAAAACAAAACAAAAATACAAGAAATGATCGATGGCCATGAAAGTGAAGGAAACTGCCTTGCATTTGAGGAATGTAGCGGATGCTAGGACGCAAGTAAAGTGCTGCTATAAGCCCCTGTCGCGTTTTCTTTTTCTGCATCTTCGTCTCAACTACACTTTTGTATTTTCTCTTCCTTCCTCGCAACCTACTTCCACCCCCTCTCGACCTTGCTCACCCAGCAACATCCACTTGCTTTGCTCGACTCCCATCCTGTACTCCATTTCACTCATCCACCTTACGTATAAAGAAACCAGCATCTATTCACCTCTACACAAGCGCCACCAACCTCGCTCTCTCTTTCTTCAGTCTCCAAATAAAGCCCTTCAGTATATCGCAGCTATGGACAAGAACGGCCAACACATGCCCGAACATGACTCCAGCGCTTCTTCTCAGCACCAGCAGCAAAAGTAGCAAAAGCAGTTCCGCACTGTTACCTTTGCAGATTCTGTCATACCCCCCATGTCAAGGAGACTCTCCCGACCTCCAACTCCTATGCCTGTGACAAGCAGACTTGGATTTCCTCTTAAGATAGTTGAAATGGTAACCGATGATGAAATCGAGCCGCAGGCCAATTCAGAGGAGCTGGATGAGGTCGCTGTTATGCCTGATTCCTCGGCATCAGGAGACCAAGAGTCCACGCTGACTGCAGCAACGCCGCCACGCGGAGATAACTATGACATGAATGCAGAGGATGATACAGAGAACGAAAAGATTAAGGAAATTGAGCTTGCAGTCAACATAATAACAGCCCCGCCCTGTAGCGATTCATTTGGTGCGCACCAAATGCCCTCCAATGCAAATGTCAACCCTGCTGAGGAAGTCAGTATGATCTCGAGGAACATCCCTCTACCTTCCTCCAAAAATGAGTGCGAAACGTCACCAGAGCAGACGATCAGCGGTCCTCGTTTCATGTCCAAGGTTTATACCAGCCCTAACATCACCGCTTACCAACTCTAGCTCAGGACACCTGCTCCAAGCGAAATCAGCGCCACTACCCCAACCACGCCCACCTGGCGCTCATCCGCGCCCAGAATTCCCTGGTCGTCTGTAAGCACCTCTCATCGCCGCAGCCTTTTGACGCCCATGGGTTCAAGAATTCCTCGATACCGTCACTCGGATCCGGACAGGAACATCGCCGATAGTGTGCTTCAACCACCCAGTCTCCGCTTTGTTACGTCTCGGTCTTACTCTTCATATCCCAGCCGCGTGATGACACCTCCCTCTATTTCAGCAACGGGTTTTCCAGATGCAGATGATGAAAAGGAGCCTGTTCAGGATGAGGCGATTGATGGCGATCAGCTTCACAAAGAGGATACGCCTCATCCGGACACAAGCGATTATCAGAAGCAGGGGCATCTGTCCTTGAGAAGAGAGGCATTGCTTGAGCCGTTGAGATCGCCAAGAAGTGCTCGAATTGCGCCTTACTATGTCCCGCGACGGTAAGTCATATGCGACAGTGTGCATTTCAAACAACGGTTTTAAAGTTGCTAACGCGTTTCTTTTTATTATGGCGGCCTTATCGATAGTCTACTTAAGAGTCCTACGGATATTGTCCGATCTCCGTGCTCAGAGATCCTGCGTCATGGTTCCATGAAACTCGCAATGTATCTCAGGTACTTTAAACTGATAACTTCTTGTCGTCCGTGGCCATGCGACCGTGTTTCTGGATGCTACCTTATACACAGAGCACGTTCATATATTTCTGCGTTTTGTGCAAATAGATCTTCTGCGCGTCCCCCGCCACTTCCAGGATTCGATAGGGTTGCTGGCGCCTATGACGTGGATAAATACCGAAAACGAGAATAAGGGATGGCAGACAGACTTCGATGGCCTATAGGCTGGACATGACCTGTCTTCTTTCGATTTCTGTTTACTCATTGCATGCGTATTTCAATCTCCTGTGTTTTATTTAGTGACATGGTATCTTGATGAACATCCTTTGCTTACACCGCGCTAAATAAACCCGTTAGGCTTTGCTTACTTTTTTTTTCGTTTCTTCCTTTGGTGATATTACTCATTTAACTGCTATTACTGTGCTTTCAAATGCACGGAAACCAGGAGGCGCATGGAAGTGTGTACTCCTTTTTCTCCACCGACGAAAGGGCCATTGAGGCTGTGAAGCATTGAAACGACGATATTGTAACTAAACAATGCAACGCGAACCTAAAAAAAAGGGAGGGGGGGAGAGAGTTTCTCGTATGTATGTGCGTGTATTTACAGCAATATCCAGCGGGATTATCATCCGATTTAGGAAACATACGTCCTTCAGACCCCAGATGATTTGACCGCAAGCGCGAACGGGGACTCGAAGATGATATTGAAGCCCAGCCGAGCCGGACCCTTTTCTGATTTCGTCGTGCTTAAAGCGCGTGCTGACTTGTACCCCATATCGTAGTGGCTCCTGGAATGAAGGAGGGCCAGTTATGCAAACGCGTAACCGCACTTCGTCTGCAAGGCATTAATCCTGTGCTCCTTCTTCCCCCTCTCCCCCCATTAAGGACAGAATTGGGACTAATGAGTCCAATATCCTCTGCATTACTGCGGTCCCCATCCCATGGCCTTGCATGTGATGGAAGACAAAAGAGAGAGGATTCCCATTACGCCGATTAGCCTACCTCATCTACCCACTTATCCATCGATATAGGGTATGGCCTACTGCAGGGGCACTCCATTTCTGGAGCAGACCCTTCTGTTCTACCTGCATCTATTCCTTTTGAGGGTATGGCACCCTATTCACCAGCTGCTGTTGAGATTCTAACCCATGTACACTGCAAGTTTCCATCATGGTGATCCCGATTGCTTTTATGGCTACTTTTTTTGATGCTGTATATTGCCACGAAATGTATGTAGAAAGAAGAGGGTGGGGAGTTTACTAGAGGAGATCGAGGCTTCGTTGCATTGCGCGACTTTGTCCTCGGAAAGGCAGGTGCGTTCTTTGTATGTGTGCTTGTTGCTGTGGAGTGGGATTGGGAATGAGTCCAGCGACCGCCAAACCTGGCCCCTTTCCTTTCTTTCTCCTTTGTCACGATGATGATGGTGATGATGATGATGCCCCCTCTTTGCTCTGTGACAATACCGTGAACATGTCATATGAGGTGTATGCGGAGCACTTGAGGTTAGAAGTTTCTTGTTTTTGGCTGCGAGGATGGATGCGATGATGTCGATGTCGACGGACAAAGTTGGGTTAGCTACCCACTACTCTATTTCTCTGTCTCTATTCGTCTTGGGATAGGCAGCCTAAGGTCGGCAGTCATATCCCTATCTTTCTCCTACCCTCTATTCTCTCCAGGGGTGTCTGCCCCACCCACTTATCCCTTCTACAAGTTGAGCCTGCTCTTTTTTTTTTTGTGTGCGTGTGTAAAAGCGTATTATTTCCTAGGGTTAGTGAGATGCCCTTTAGCCCAACTCGGTGCAAATATCCTCTTCTGATCAGGGACTAGAGCCTTGGGTCGACAATCCACTGCAGCTCTTGTGTCTATTACGCCCATCTTCTTCCTTTCTCTGCCAGCATGAAAGACATCATCATATACATATATAAGGGGCGGTCCCCGCCCACCCACCCCTAGTATTTCTTTTTTACGTCTTTGGTCCTATAAACCCCACTTCGACACATACACAAATCTAAGAGGGTCAAATTCACACTAGCACAAAGCAGCCCTCTCTCGCTCTCTCTCTTTCTCTCTCTCGGGGGACTCAGCCATGGAACCGCCAAAGGAGGGTCGTTTTGACCACACCGAGTCCTACCACACCGCCCCAGAAATCAGCACAGGATATCATTACAACAGCAGCCCATCCACAGCCTACTCACCGCCCGTCTCGTCTTCCCCAGACCCTCATACCGACTTTGTGCCACCAACAGACCACTGCCATCACAGCTACAACCAAACTGACACGGCAAAAGGTGATGATATGGAAAAGGTTGACATGCCAGTGGAGCAGATGGATAATGTAAATGAACCCGGTGGACTGAAGCGCGACTTGAAGCAGCGGCATATGGTTATGATTGCAATCTCGGGAACAATTGGAACGGGTCTCTTCTTGACCTCTGGAAAGACCATCGCTACAGCCGGACCTCTTGGTGCTCGTGAGTATTATCCTTGTTTTATTTTTTAACAGACAGTGCATTGGGCTGTCGACACGGACGCTTACAATTTAATTATCTATTTGATCGTTTAATGTAGTTCTCGCATATATGACGATTGGTGTCTGGCTAGTGTTCGTATGCCAGGCTATTGGAGAGATCGCAACTCTGCTACCCTTGCCCGGAGCCTTTACGATCTGGGGAGCACGCGTCTTTGACGAAGCCTTCGCCTTCCAGATGACATGGGTTTATTTCACAAACTGGGCCCTGACGATCCCGGCGGAGCTGTCGGCGTCCTCCCTGGTGGTGTCGTTCTGGCTGGGCGAGGGGTCATCCTTCCCGACTTGGGTTGTCCCAGTGATCATTATCGTTGCCCTCGTCATCATTAACATGCTTGGTGTGGTAAGAATGTTTGCATCAATTGAATATGATGAAATATATTGCTGTGCTATTTTTTTTTTTTGTTGTTTGTGCATAAACTCAAATCTCACGTCGATTTTTTCTTTTTTTACAGAAAATGTACGGAGAGGCAGAGTACTGGTTCAGTATCCTGAAGGTGGTCACCATTATCGTCTTCATCATCACGGGCATCCTCGTCGACGCCGGTGCAGTCGGCGGCACACGGTATGGAGTCGACAACTGGCACATCTCCGGTGCACCCTTCAAGGGCGGCTTCAAGGCCTTCCTCTCCGTTCTCGTCTCCGTCGGTTTCGCCTACGGAGGCACTGAACTCTCCGGAGTTACCGCCGCAGAATCCCGCAACCCCCACAAACATGTCCCCAAAGCTGTCAACACAGTCTTGGTCCGGATCGCCTTCTTCTACATCCTCTCGATCTTCTTTCTCTCTTGCATCGTCCCCAATAATGACGAGCGTCTACTCAACCCGGATGGAACTGTGGTGAACGCGCCGTTTACGATCGTGTTCGTCCAGGCGGGGATGAAGGGTGGGGCTGATTATATGAACGCCGTGATCTTCACCTCGATCGTCTCAGCCTCGAACTCGGATTTTTATGTCGCGACAAGGATGTTGCTTTCGCTCGCCAATAACGGATGGGCACCCAAATGGGTTGGCAAGACCAACAGGCGTGGAGTGCCCTATGTGGCCGTAGGCATCACGACCTTGTTCTCGTGCATTGCCCTCGTGATGATCTACGCAGGTGCCTCTGTGGTCTTTGACTGGCTGGTCTCGATTATCGGATCAATCATCTTCCTGATCTGGACCAGTATCCTGTTCCTCCATTTCCGATTCCGTCAGTGCTGGAAGGCTCAGGGTCACACACCGGAGGAGCTCCCGTACCGGTCTTGGGGGTACCCTTATGGACACTATTTAGCAATGGTGGTTGCGGTCTGTTGTGTGGTCGCGAATTTCTATCTGTCGATCGATAGTAAGCCCTCGGTCGATGCCTTCACAGGCCCAGAAGATCCGGATTATATAGCGAAGAGGAATAGGTGGGCGCAGGGGGTTTTGGGAGCGTGGTTTCCGTGGTTCCAGGCGATTACTCTATACTTTGGATGGAAGCTGATTAAGAAGACGAAGATTATTAACCCAGCCATGGCGGACCTAGACACGGGGCGATGGATACCAGTACTGAAGGATCCATTGATGGGAGAGAAGCCTAAGCCCAGGTGGCGGCAGATCCTTTCAAACTTTGTCTGAAAAACTAAAAAAAAAGAAAGTGCCGACACCTTCTGTACATCTACTCTATTGTTACTCTGTTACTCGAAAAATAAATAAATAAAGCTATGCTGAAAGGCAATGAATGATCCTCAAAGAAGGAAAAAAGAGAATACTGGGACAAAAGAATGCTCATTGCAGGGATCGAACCTGCGGCCTTCGCGTTATTAGCACGACGCTCTACCGACTAAGCTAAACGAGCATATGAACCTCACTAAAGGGTTGTTGAAACTCTTGATTTCTTACTCTATATATTTCCATTATTTAATCGTAATATGTTATTTCTATTTTAGGCTAGTTAACCTCTGTATATGTAAGTTCGAAAAACAAAAATAAAAAACTTTGTATATGTAAGGCCACCATTGCTCGTGAGCGAGAATGGGGAATCACAGCCAAGATGAAACGAACTCCATACAAGGGACCGAGAGGGACTGGAGCGATGGATATGAATACATTTGCGACGACGACCACTGTCCGTGTTGCGTGCTACTTGCCGACCATTCAAACGGGAGCTGCCCTGGCCCCGTGCTCGACCCAGACGCAGCGGATCGGACGCTGCTGGACTGCCTGCAGGGGGAGGAGACGATTGACAACCATGGAGGGGATGGGACGATATCATTTTTGTAACGAGAAGTTTCAGCTTTTAACACACTGATGAGGTGTGGCAATTGTTCCACAGGCCCTAGGAGCAGGCCCGGGGAATGTGACCTGTCAACTGGCGATTATGGATCGGCTCTACATTGGTGGAAAGGACGACTGTAGTAGATCATTGCTAATTAGGTCTGATAAATTCGCAGGGTCAATCGACTCGAGAGACAAAAAAAATGCTGTTACTTGCCGCTATAAGGGTGTGTGTGGGGGGATAGTGAAAGATGGACTATACCCATTGTTGCTAACCAAAATGCGGCTCCATTCTCCGTTGTTCTCTTCATATTCAACGCCAGGATCCAATTCTTTTACCTACCTCCTCAGCTTTCTTTTTATAGTTCATGATGATGGCTGCGCTTTGTTGACTTCATAATCATCATCGTCTTGTCAATCCACGAGGCTTCTTATTCAAGCGCGACAGCTGGCCAAGGCACTACACGCGTGAATAAATATATCGAGATGACCAAACAGCTTGGTTCAGCCTGGTGGTCCCTGAAAAGATGAACCGAAACGAATAAAGTACGAATGCGGTATCTGTCTCATTTTCCCCGTAAACTTCACTTGGAGTGCATGTACTTTGCCCACCGCAGAAGACACTCTGCACCCAATTGCTCTTTGGCTTTCCTCATTCTACCTGCACCTGCACCTGCACCTACACCTTCACCTCTGCCTCCACCTCCACCTCCACCTCCTTTAAAGGGCCTCCCTCCTTGTTCTTGTTTTCCTCCCTCTCTTTTCTTTCTCGCTCGCATTGTGTGTGATTGATCTCTTTTGCATCGAGTGTTCTTCTCATTCTGCTTCCCTCTCTTTTTCATTCATTCTTTCTGCCCTCGGCGTTCCTCCTCCTCAACCTTGTCGCATCCCACACTCTCTTTTCCCTCCTCCCTTCTCCTTCCCATCCTCTCTTACCGCACACATACCCTTTCGTCCATATCGTCTGCATATCTCGCCTATCTTTTTCTCTTTCTGCCATACCAGCAACCAGTTGGCCCAACTGGCAACACTCTAATCCTCAGCCCCGCCTCTGCCTCTGCCTCTGCCTTTGCCTCGGCTTCTGCTCTGCTCTGCTCTTTACCTCTGCTCTGCTTCTTCTGCTCTGCTCCGTCCCTCTGCCACTGCCTGCCACTGCCTGTCCCCACCCTCCTTCCTGCCCTCGCACCTAACCTACCGCCATCATCTCCCTCCTTCTCTCATACCTCCACTCCCATTCCGCCTCCCTCCATCGACTCTCCTCAACAGATTGAACCGACATCATCATCATGGCCATGTCCAACTCACCCATCACTCAGGTCTCAGAGTCGCCCATCACCCAGGTCTCGCAGTCGCAGTATTCCTCTGCACCGCCCTCGCCCGGCCAGGGAGGGTTCCCCTCGAAGCTGTTGCTTGACCTTCGTGGGACCAGGTTTGAGATTGACAGGGAGGTCCTCGTCAGCCTACCAGAGAGCATCCTCATCGTCATGTTCCCTAACGGTCTCATCCTCGGACGCGGCCACTCTGACTCCTATGACGACGACGACAACAACTCGGACGAGTCACTCTCCTTGGATGACCAGATCATCTATGTCGACTTTGACCCAGCCTGCATGGACTACGTCCTCGACTTTTATCACGAGGCCCAGATGGCCGGGGAGGCCCAACGACTTGCCAATCCAACCATCCCACACAACCTCTCTTCCCAGAACCCGCTCCTGAATAAGCAGGCGATCATTGTCCTACGAGAGGAACTCGACTACTTTGCGGTTATTCCACCAAAGTCCGGTTTCCCTGCCAAGGAGGACATGCCTGCAACGGGACCGGTCTCTGCAGATCCAAGCAAGGTCAATGTCAAGACACTATGTGGGACTCATCTGCTGGAGCAGCGAAAGATCTTCACGGCACTCCAGCGCAATATCAACAAGGAGAACAATGTTGCGGAGCAGCATCTGATCGACATGCTCTGCGTCTCGGGCTTCTCGCGGGACGATGAGTGGGGTTATCGTGATATCGAGCCCAAGAAGACCTCGATTGTCAGTATCGCGCTCGTCATGCTCAAGACCACAGGAAGTGGCAACCAGATGGCAACCGCTCAAAAGCTGTTGCTCTTCTGGAGAAAACCAGCGGTACGTTCAATTTCTATTTGCTATTCTGATGCCTCTCCAACGTGCACCTATTTAAACGAGACTGGATGAAGAAACCAGCCAGCCACTGGAAGCGGACGGTTACATTGGACTTGACTCCAGCAAAAGAACAGCACACTCGATATTATCAGCGCTCTTCAACAATAACAATCGGTGTTTATCCTAACACGGACGATAATGAGGAATGTCCCGGTCATGAACCATGGACTCTAACCCGTAGCGATGGCAATGACAATGGCCCAGCTCCTTCAAAGGCGATACACAACACCAAAACTATGCATCATTGCTCCACCCTCTTCTGCATTATTATGCGCGCTTCTTTTCATTTTCGCGCTTCAACCCCCCTCTCCGTACACCCCCCCGCCTCCGCTATTCCGCCATGGTTTAAAAATTCTATGGACTGAACAGAGCTGAGGACAATCAAAAAATATCAACAACTTGTTCAACCATAAGAGCAGCAAGCGAGCGCATTAAACGGCCAATTACTATTTAATGTCATAAGCAAGCATTGAATTTGGCAGGAATATATATTGCAGAACAAAAAATGAAAAACATGGGCTTTAAGAGAGGGAGCACAGGACACACAAGATGCACTGTGGTTCCACTCACGCCGCAGAGAAAAGATGAAAAACATACCCGAGAGCCTTCTTTCGTTTGTTCCTAACTTCCTTTCTTTCTATTCTTTCCTCTGCTGCTGCTGTTGTTGTTGTTGTATGAAAATAGAGAAAATGCTGGTGGGATGGTGTCGAGGTTGAATTGGATCAGGAAGAGCATAAGCTGCCCATCCGCCTGTGGGCCAGACGGACATGGACACTGGAACTTGTGCTCGTCTAAGAAGGGCCTACCCAGCACAACACAGACGGAATCAAAGATAACGGAAGGACTTGTTTGACAGGAACCGCAACAGAAAGGACCTCAGCGTAATTTCACAGACTTGCAATGGATGGACGGGTTCATGTTTGGGAGGAATGAAAGGAGTTCAGGAAACGGAGGGGCGCAACCAGTGTGAACGAACCAACAGGCGCGGGATGACCGCACTGTTATTTAATATTCATGTTTTTCTTTTTCGTAATGACAACCATCCGGGAAACCAAGGAGATGATTTTTGGGTAGCAAGGGCAACCTTGATCTGTTGACTTTGCATGACCTGGGAGCTTGAACTAGAACCGAAATCCTGAACGGAACCCTGGCGTCAGGACTCGTTGTCGCCCACTACTTAATCTCTCTTTTTTTTCTTGGGCACTCATTCTTTCTTTCATGAACTCTCCAAATAACACATCAAACGGACGCTACAAGTTTATTTTATTTTATTTTTTTTGCGGTCTCTTGAGTTCTTTCAGTATCTTGTTTCGTTTTGTGCTTTCTTTTTGCTATCAACTTTGCCCATCTTCTTCCTCTTCAAAAGCCAAAAAAAAAAAAAAAAGAAAAAGAAAAACAAAAAAAAATACGTATACAGACACCCTCACACTTTCCATGATACCATTTATTATCCTTCTTGGCTTCTTTTTTGATCACCATCTCGTGGCCAATATACCTTCCCCTCTTACCTTTAGCCCCCCACCTACCCTTCCCCATCCCCTTACTCCTTTATTTATTTTTTGTCTTGTCTATACTATTATTTCCCTCAAAGTATGTTATTATTATTGACCATTAAACCAAAAACTCTGTGCTAATGACAAAAAACCCTTGTAACAATGAATGATGTCTAAGTATCTGACAAAAAAAAAAAAAGTATGCCAGTGGTATGGACCTTGGTTTGACAATGTGTGTGGAGCAACGGAATTGTATCGCTCTTCTTTGGCGGCGCGTAGGAGAGAGGTCCAAGCGTGCAGCATGGCAAACCAAATTGTTGCAACAAAGGTCCGGATTGCACCAAAAAACCGAGCGCATCTAACTATCCACAGCACAATTTTGATTCTCTGCAGCTTCCACTACTTCAAAAGCAAACAGCGAAGCGCAGATTTCTGTAGTTTTATTTTTATTTTTTATTATTTTCTTTATTGATGCCTTTGCCCCTGGTCTTTGCTTCCCTGCAAATAATTGTATCCTTTGTTCCGAACAAGAGAGTCACTCATTTGTCCACCTTGGTTTCCTGTGCTGTCCATGCGTGCGATTCTGCATTTAGTAGCACAGACGGTAACTGACATAACGACCACTCGTCTCGGACGGCCTCATAATCTTCACGACCTGCCCACGCGCCAATCCGTAGTACCTTGCAATCGGATCTGAAGGTTGAATGCGAGGCAATTGAGTCTCTTTCAGACGGCTATATAACGCATCATGAAATGTAACGTTTTCATACTGGAGTCAATATCACAATCCCAATGGTCTGTTTTGTTTTTCTTTTTTCGCATTCTTGTTCCAGCGATGCCAAAAAAAAATAAATAAAAAATGTCGACTTACTATCGCTTCAAGAGAGTCTCCTTCTCCTCGGGCGTGAGAACAATATGTTGTGGGACCAATGTGTGTTCTGTGATGTTGACGAGCAAGTCTGCCTCCTGGAAGGATTCGAGGTGGTAGCTGTGGCTCACTTCGCTGATCACCTTCGCAGCCGAGGGCGTGATCTTGTCCTGGTACACCACAATTCCGCGTCCCACTCCCTTCGCCACCATCAACTCACAGTACCTATAAAGTCGCGAAAAAAAAAAGATAGTTAAGATAAGTGGGTGGAATAAATATCCAGTTCATTCAGTTCGGGCTTGTCCAAATTGGATTTTGTTGATGTCGTAGATCACATACTTCTTGATGGTCTTGATACCGACTGAGGCCTCATCGGGGAAGAAGACCAGCATCTGATCTGCGGGATCGTCCTTCTTCTGAACCATGAACATCATCGCATTACGACTACCAAAGACAAACAAAGACGGAAGGAGAAACAAAAAAAGTTAATGAAAATGATTCGTGATCTATGATCCATGATGTTCTCCAGTCCCCAAAACACAAATGAGTGGGCTCGGATAGCGCAATATAGTCAGTTTTTGGTGTTGCGATGTCGCCTCCAGTGTTCAATTGGGTTCCAGTATTTCCTCCATGATGTCCCAGCCCCATAGATCTATTCTGGCGTTCCTTGTTTGAGCAACATCCGTGCACGGGGCCTTCCTGCGGACTTACTCAACCTTTCCATGGCTGGCGAACGAGGCTCTGAAACCCTCGAGGTCCTGGTCCAACTCGGCTTGAGAGATAAGATATCCCTATCGAAGGATACCATAAAAAAAGAATACACAGAAACACAGAAAAGGTGTCAATTGCTTGTCGATACAGCGAGAGAACGCTCCTCCTGTGATAAATAGTTCTGCACGCGCGGAGGTCAAAGTTGATCCTTTCAGTTCCATGCTGGTATGTCGAGTGGGGTGCCACTAAAAAAAAAGACCATCCTAGTTCAGACGAACAAGCTTGAGGCTCAAGGAGATAGGTTGGTGGGGTCCTTACTCTGTGGTTGCAAAGCTGATGCACAGTCCTGTAGACTCTCCAGAGACGGACGATTTCTCGAGACTCGTTATCCATGGTGAGGTGTATTATATTATATGTGTTGTTGAGATGTTGATGAAGAGTAGGGTCAAGAAGTGAACAGAGACTAAAGGGAAACAACGACAGTTGATGCTGCTCCAGTCCTCTAGTCGCAGCACATAAAAAAAAAGTCAAGCACAAACAACATACCAGCCACCAATAGAAGGACCTATGTATCACCTGACGACTGCTTCTCAGAGTTCAACCCCAAAGAGATCATCCCCCGTTCTCCATCAACCATAACCTCGAACTCCTTCAGGACAACCAGGAAAGAGCCACCATGTCAGCAACAGCAGAATTGCAACGAAAGCTCGAGGCCGACTCGAATGCCTACCAGACTCTTCAGAAAGGTACAGCGAACCCAACAGGGAAAACTTGGCATCTGAAAGGTTCCTTCAGCAGGCGCACGCGATGTCTCTATTTTCGTCCTGGACGTGCCTCCTACCCTCCACCTTCAACATCATCCTGGTGCAGCTTCAAAGCGCGCAGTACCTCCGGACCGGATAGTCGCCACTGAAAGCTCAGTTCAATTGCTACTGATTTTAACACCTATCGATCCCCATTCCTCCCACTTGTTCACCTACATGCAGACTACGCGAAGGCGGTCGAATCAAGGCAGCGACTGGACTCTCAGCTTCAGGAAAACAAACTAGTCCAGGATGAATTCAAGTTGCTGAAGGATGACGCCAACATCTACAAACTCATCGGGCCCGTCCTCACTAAGCAGGACAAGGTTGAGGCTGTCACCAACGTTGACAAACGTATCGACTTTATCAACGCCGAAATGTAAGTACCCGTCTGATCATGATAACAATGGACCGAAAGAATCTTAAAGGGCATTCTTAACATGTATCGGAGGGGGGGTATTTTTTTTTCTTCTTGTCTTTATTGCTTTTCATAGTGAGCGCGTTGAGAAGCAGCTGAAGGATTTGCAGGAAAAGACGGAGAAGAAGAGGATGGAGTTGGTCCAGACACAGACAGCGCTGCAGCAACAAGCAGCAGCATAACAACAGAAATAAAGCTCAGATCTGGCACAGTTCAAACATGGACATGTCGCATATGTGCATTGCAGTTCTTGTTCCAATATATTTGTTATAAAGATTCAAACAACAATGGACATTAGCAAGGATAGATATGAAAGTATATTGCATAATTCTTTTTAATGAAGTCTTTTTGGTATCGAATGGTGTTGAGAGTGTGGATGGTATGAGATGATGTACTTGGTCGTAATCGCCAAGAATATATTAAAACGATGCATCCTTGTGGAAATAGAAAAGAACGGCTACAAGAAACATAAATACTGCTCAAAGGAGAAAATGGCAGTCAATGCAGATATTTGTTGTTCGCTTATTTCGATTTGCCCATCTTGGAAGCGGCCTTGGAGACATCGTTCAAACGAGAAAAGACCTCCATAGTTCCATCGATCATGCCCGTGGTGTGGTATCTAACACCGTACTTCTTGCACAGGGACTCGACCGCGGGCTGGATCTTTGAGAAGCTGTGGCGAGGCATCGATGGGAACAAGTGATGTTCGATCTGGTAGTTCAGTCCGCCCGTGAACCAGTTCGCGAACAAACCGGGATGGACATCACGGCCAGTAATAATCTGTTTCGTGAAGAAATCCATGCTCACAGCCTCCTCTTTCGAGATCACAGGCATACCGTTGTGATTGAGCGAGAAGACCAAGGCCAGCAAGTTACCACACACTGCCTGTGAGACCAAGAAATAGATCACAATCTTGACGGGATCCTTAATGAATAAGAACATCGTCGCAAGGTACCAGGTCCAGTGCATCGCCAAAGACAACTGTTCGACCAATGAGATCGGGACACGGGCGCCGGAGGGCTTGTGGGCTTGGCCGTTGGGCAGAACAAACATGATCGACTGGAGGCACCAGGAGAGACGGGCGAAGGAAAGAATGGGGAAGTAAAACCAGCTCTGGTTCAGAACCATGAAGCGGCTCCACATGCGGGCGAGTTCCTCATCTGGCACATCCGTGAACATCTCCAAGGCGTGTTCACTCCAGGTCAAAAGAGGGTGCGTATCGATATCGGGGTCCTCGCCGTGAACGTTAGGCGCGGCGTGGTGAGTGTTGTGCTTGTCCTTCCACCACGATGAAGAGAATCCCTGGCAGACGCCTCCCAAGAAGGCGCCAAACAAATCTCCCCAGAAGCGATCCTGGAAAACCTGGTGGTGCAGGAAGTCATGGGCCAACCATCCGCACTGCTGCCAGAAGACGCCGAGGATCGAGGCCGAGATCACATTGGCAAGGGTCGAGGTCTGGCCCCATTTGGCCACAATGAACGTCGACAGAGCCCAGAGGGAGAGGTTAAACGAGACCTTGAAGGCATAGTACGCCTTTGAGGAGTCGTAGTAGCCCATTTCCTGGAACAACGTACGCAGCTTGCGGACTTCAGCAGCGAAATCGTCGTTCTTGATTGCGCGATCCGAATCGGCAATGTCTCCGACGTAAAAGTTGGCGAGGGTCTCCCACGCAGCCTCGGGATGGAAGGTCTCGAATACATCTAAGAGCAACAATGTGGGATAGAATGCATAAGTAACTGATATATTCCTTGGTATTGACCCTCCTTCGAGAATACAGTGGGAAGGACAATAAGCCCGTGATCTTCATATGCTCGTGTACTTTTCTGAACTAGCGTGTGAGTGTCTGTCCCGATGCGTTTTTAACTCATGTACGTTTTTGGGGGTCGGGACTAGCTCGAATGAAAAAAATGGGCACATCACACCATACGGTTGGGATGTCTGTCTCCAATTGATAGGGAACCAATTGAACAGAAACAAATAAACAAACAAATAAACATAAAAAACGTGGCCAAACCGAGGCATGAGATGATAAGGGTTCTGGTCCAAAGGAATGTAAGCCCCTCGGATTTCCATATGTCTCCGGGTTGGTTCCTGGAAATAAAAAAGGCCGAGTCCTTGTTCATATCTTCAAACGAGGTTGCTTGTGTGCATCCTCGATTTTGATTTTTTTTGCTCAGTTGCTTACCAGTGCCGTCCTTGCCGACGTGGGTGAGGATGACGCTTCCGCCGGGATGGTCGGGCACGAATTCACGGACATCATAGACTTTGTTGTCGATGATCATGAGGAAGGGTGCCTCGGCATCGTCCTTGCTCTCGCTCAGAGCATTGGCATTGATAATTTCAGCCCGAGTGAAGGTCCTGACGCCTATGTCACATAAAAAAAAGAGGGGGAGGGATAAACAGGCGTAACATAGACAGTTAGTTATCAGATCGATGCCGATATTGATATCGGATGTAATCCAGCGCCACGACCACAAAACCAAAGTGGTCGACAGGGAAGAGAGCACAGCAGAGATAAAGACAGACACATACTGGGAGTGGCCATGGCAGACGGCGGATGGGGGATGAGGGATGGGGGGAGAGGGGATGAGGGAGAAAGGGAGGAAGAGAGAGAGAGAAGGAGAGGAATGAGATGAGATGAGAAGAAGAGAAAAGAAGAGGGATGGGGTCGGCCGGAAAGATGGGGGCGAAGAAGAAAAAAAAATAAAGCCAGGACAGGACAGGGCAGGGCGGGGACACAGTAAACAATACCAATAATACAGCTAGTCTAATACAAAATACAAATCAAAAATCAGGCACGACCATTTTATTTTACAGGAGAGGCAGGGCCACTGCTACTGGATACTTTATTCTAACTCAGATCAGGGAGCAGAGTACACCTTCAATGGGATGGGATACGATAGGACATGCTGCACTAGACTACACAGTGCCAGCAGACGGCCTATGCAGCGTATGTAGTCTATATCGTAGCTGCACGTACACGGGACCTACTAGTCTTTACTATAAAAACGGATCCGAGTAATTTATCTTCGTGTGCACGTATAAAGAAGTCTCTCCTCCCACGCGCATCGCGGTTATAGAAACCCTACCGCATGTACATGTACTCTTCCCTGAAACACAGCTGCCATCCACATAAAACATATGCAGACTAACCATATCCTCTGTCTGTGTTTATGTTTGCGTGAGTGATTGCGTGTGGTGCCACTCTTCCCCTCGAGAGCATGCACCGCATGTTTGTGAGCCATTTCCCGAGAACGTGTACTGATACTCCCTCCAACGCGCCTTCACTCGGAGAACTGAAAACACACACACATGCTTCTACCTGTGAAGAGCACATGCGAGCCTTGATAGGAACGGTCAGATGACAAGCATCTCCAACACCCCTACTAGTGCTTTTGCTGTGTAGATCATTCACTTTACTACGCATCATACAGAACAATGTGGCCTCCATCGAGATTGCTGGTTCATTTCTTACGATTTTTTATTTTGATTCTTCACGCATGCTGAAATAACACCAACGGAAAAGAAAAGAGATTACGAGTAATAATAGCAAGAGAGATAATAAAAATAAAATAAAAAAGACGATAGAGAAGAAAGAATATTATCTGTACAGGGAGACGAAGAGGAAAAGAAAAAGAAATAGAAAAGAGATGGGAGCATACACAGAAAGTTCGTCTATGGTGTTTGTTGGTGAGGAGTATCAAAGGGTAAAAGAAGTGGATGAGGAGGCCAAGGCAAATTGTAGATCGACCCTTGGATGAACTACTAATGAAGATCATGGAAAAGAACAGCAGTAATACATACCATGATGATGGCGAAAATATAACCATGGCATTGGGGAGCAAAACGCTCATCAAATGTTGAGCAAGTCCTTCTCGTCCACGTCCACGACCACTGAACGCATTCTCCATGGTTTGTGTTTCTCCGGATCGTCTGCAGATAATCCCCGTGCTCTGTAACTACTGCTCCTTTCCTTCTCCGCCAGTAATCGCCTTGACTCTTCCTCGCCTCCCTCTACTTCCCCGCCTGGATACTCATTCACTCCACTGAAGTGGCAAGAAATGGGCGCAAGAGACAGAGGAAACAAACGAAAAACGAGGAAAGAGAAAAAAGACAGGTCAATCAACTGGATGCTTCCATCTACGTCTGGTATTTGGTTGGCGGCGGAATGCTTTGCCTCCTAGAGCGAGAAAAGCAGTACGAAAAAGGTACACAAGATGGTTCGTAAAAGTGGGCAACAAAAAAAAAACACTGCGAAGGATTAAAAGGGGTGCGCGAATTTCCCCAAGTGGAGCACGAACTTACTTTTTGGTTGGACGAATGAATGCAGGGATGGGCGAGTCGGGTCGGCCGTAGATATACGTTGACAGGATGACGATCAACGTTCCAATTTGGAACTGGATCGAAGGCTCGAAATCGAAAAAGTAGACAGAGATGATTCCAGAGATGATGATTGACAGCGACGTGGCAAAGCCCTTGAGGATGTTGTCTGCGTACTTGACGACGATAGCAACCAAAAGTCCTCCCAACGCCTGGTTGGCGACCACCAGCCACGTCATGAGAGTGTAGCCCTGAAGAAATCCGCCCTCGTAAATCTTTTGACGGTCGTAGAACATGGCCAAGAAGCTGAAAAGCGCTCCAGAGATGCCCAATTGGATGTTCCTGACCCACATGTCGGCCTCAGCTCCCTTAAGAATCTTTTCAAAGTAGCAGCCTGCAAATCCGGATGACACGCATGAAGTCAGCACAGCCAACAGTCCGATAAAAGGGTTCTGAATAGGGCCCGATTCCTCCTCGGCTCCTCCGTTAAGTTGGTTTGTTGCCTCGGCCACGTTCTCGCTCACAGCCGCATCCAGTACCTCGTCCTCTGACACCAGTTCATCCTTGGTTTCGACCTCCACCGTGGATTTGGCCGTGCCCACGTTCTGCAATTGCACCAGGGTGACTCCGACCATGAGTAGACACAAAGCAAACCATTTTTGACGAGTCAGCCTCCGGTTCAGCATTGCGACTGAGAACACAGCAGTTGAGAGAATTTTCATCTGGTATGTGACCTGGAAGGTCGCCGCCTCAAGATTCGAAAGAGCAACATAGAGCAGGTTGTTCTGCAGCGCATACAGTCCCGAGGGCACCAGCATCTTAAGGATCTCTTGAGGTTGCTCCACGATGTCCTTGCGAAGAATGTATATGGTCCTGGGGATCGATTTTGTCTTGTATGCCAGAACGGCCACACACGCAAGCAGCTTGATGATCTCTGCAAAGAAGACGGCTGTTGAGGCAAGATACATGGGCAGATCGGGATCGACGTTCACTCGAGAATAGCGCATCATCAGGACCAGGGTACTGTTCTGGAGCAGAAGCACGACTAATGAGAGATGCTTCATGGAGACACCCATAAATGTCGAACCTTCATCTATTTTTTTATTATTATTTTTCATACAAAAAGAGATAGATGGGTCAGTTGATATATTCTGTAAACCGAGTCGATCGGAGACTGGATCCCGGTTCTGTGCAACACACTGCGCATGCTCCGTATGCATCCACACATGCATTCATAGGACAGGGAATCGGTATCGGCCCTTTTTCAGGCTCAATTGCTCGCCCTTGCACTGCCGTTTCGTCTCAACAGACAATGAGAAACCATCCCTGGTAAGTGTACCACATCATTACCGGTCCAACAATCACTAGCAGACTGAGCGGTACATTGATGCTGATGTCTTTCTTTGGGAAGACTGATTTCCAGAGCAGCTTTTTTTCCCTTTTATCCCTGCTGTTGACTTGGTCGGTCGGTCGGTCGGTCGGTCGAGTTGATCCACAGTCCAACCAACGCTACAAAGAGTGGGGGTGCGGAGTGAAACCAATAAGGTAAATCATGATGAAGAAATCATTGGATAGGAACTTACGTCGGCCACGACCGTTCTGGTGGTGTATCGTCGGGAGTGAACCCTGGTGCTTTTCTGAGCTCATGGCGGTGACTTGTATTCCTGGGGCTCCTGGGGTTCCTGGAGGAGTGAGATGAAGACCTTGGGTTTGCGCTTGCTTGGTGTTACCAGACGATGGGAGCAGGGGAGAAAAGGAAGGGGCAGGTGTGGGTGAGGAGAGAGAAGAGAGTGGGAGAAAAACAACAACAGCAATAACAACAATGACAACAACAACAAAAAAGCCCAGACAGATCTGCGTGAGATGATGAGACGTTCAAGGCAAGAAGATGCAATAATAAAGGAGCTGGGACGGATGTGCAGGACGAGGAGGGGGAAGGGGAAAAGAACGAGAAAGAAAGGGGAAGTAGAAGAAATCTCTCCCCGGTGGAAGATGAAGATGATGAAGGCTAGGTCTGCCTGGCCTCCAAAGAGATGTGAGCAATTGACTGAGGTCGTAAGTGGCAGTCCGTACTTCGTCCCCTTTTCCTAATCCTTTCTTCCTCGCTGCTCACTCTCACTCGTCCCCTTCATTGACTTGCCCTCTTTCCCCACTACACGTATCTTTCTTAGCCTTCTCCATCCTCCTGGCTCAGAGGGTCAATGGGTCAACGAATCAATGGGCCAATGGGCCAGTGTTGTGAATGCTCTCAACTATCAGCAATGACCCGTGCATGCGCTCGTAAGGTCGTACCTGACCATCCGAAGCGTCTGGATTAAAGGCATCATCGAGCAGCACGGGGGAGGAGGGGGGATTGTCCCACCTGGCGTCCTTTTTTTTTTTTTCTTTAGTCCTGAGCAATGGTTTCATTTTGAGTTGCAAACTGGTTGCTAACCCATCCATCGACTGATAGGTCCATGCTCTCGACCAATAGATCCAGTGGGTTTGCGATTTGAACTCACAGCTGCACTGCACAACTGCACAACTGGACAGCTACACAACTGTTTGGGTGCAACGGGGCCCATTCTTATCAGGAAGGTTTCTATCCTCCCCAATAGAGCATCCATTTCGTCCATGCGGTCCCGCATTTATTTTAGTCAGGGCCAAGGTCAAAAAGTCCATGGGCATTATCAGGCGCAGGAAAAGTGACGCCATGCGAGTGCATTAGCGCTATGTTTCCCACCAACCACCTAAACACGCATAAAAAGACGAAGACGCGTCAAGGAGGTGAGACTACCAGACAATTGACTGGTATACAAACGGGTGCATGCAAGCATGCGCCATACACTCCATGCCGTGCCACGACTCTATTGCCCCAAGAACGCTATTTCCACATCAGCCTGGCTGTCAACACTGATAAAAAGGGCATGGATTCCATCCACCGACTTTCTCTCTCTCTCCACCCTTACTATCTGCATCGGCTTACACTCAACTCCTTTTTTCCTTGTTATAGCTGCTGAGGTTGCATAGTTGATACCCTGGGATCTTTTCCTATTATTCCGGAAATTCAATACCCGTGCAAACATGCTCGCATTTGTTGAGTGAGACACGAGTCTTGGACGGGCATTACCCGTCTACCCTCTTCGGAGCGAAATCACCACGGTCCACAGCATCTCGCGCCCACCTTCTTTGCACCATTGACCACCCATTGAGCCTCAGAATGCCGCCGTTAAGACCTTACATTGATGTTTCCAAGCCCACCACGCAGGCCACTACTTTCAGCATCAAGGGTGATAGCATGCAACAAGGATCCTTAGTCGAGACCCTTGATCTCACTTCTTCATGGCTCAACCTGCTCGGATGCGAGCACACAGCTGTCACAGCGATTGGCATAATCTACGGCTCCAAAAGTATTAACACGTCCTTTGCGAACTTGTACGTTTCTTCTCTTCCTTTTTTGTCCCCTAGACGATTGTTAATGTTTGTTTTGATACCTTTAGCCGATCGGACACTGTTCGTTAGCGTGAGCATTTCAAGCAAAGCTATGCTGTATGGCCCTCCTACGTAAAATTGAGAGGATGTATCGAGACGAAAGACGGCGAGGAGCGGTTCCCTTGGCTGATGCCATTTGCGCCGGATAGCTGCTGGCAACTGGACACCGAAGCTGCATCAGAATACAGACTGAAAGCCTCTTTATCCTCCATCAACGCCTCCAGTGACTTAGACAGCCGGTCTTTTTTTTCACTCCTCGGTCGGACAAACCCGTTGTCAAGGCAGACTTTGTCTATAGCCGAAAGGTAAGACTCTGTGTGTTCCTTATTGCCATAGGCTGCTGATTAGGTGCAGCAACTACCGCACGCAGCAGCCAGGGAGCCAGGGCTCCGTCCTTCGCCATGCTCATCCTGAGAGCCATCTCAAGCAGGACACAGCCCCGTGCATCTTTTGCATATCTCTGACTACCAGCCTAGCATGCCCCGAGGCGGGCCACTGGATTTTTACATGTCTATTGGAATGCAATAAAGTTGAAACTAAATTTGGTGTTCGCGTCGTTTCCTCATTCATCTGTTCGTCGTTGCGCCGCCTGGAGATTCATCACACAAAGCGATGAAAGAGTCGGCCAGCTCATGTCCTTTCAGGCCTGCTGACACTGTTGCCTTTAACATGGCGAACTGCAGCAGTACGGGAACTGGGCGGCCCAAACGGAAATCAAACATTGTCATCGAGATCCCCCCTTGGCTCCCAACAAAGAAGCAGACGCACGCAGGTATATACATCTTCCCTTCCGCGTTTTTATTGTACATGCCGTCTATCGAGAAGACTGGGGTGCAAAGTGAGGCTCTGATATGCTTTGCTTTCATTCAGCTGCTCCATTAGTGGCAGAAACCCAACAGATCGCTATCGAGTCAGAGGATGAAGCACTACCTACAGAGCAATTGTTGCCCGAGCAGGCGCAGGTCGAACAAGGGAGCGATCCATGGGACATATCTGATGGTAGTTTCTCGGACATATCTTTAAACGACCTCAATGACCCAGCTCCCAAGAAATTACCACCTCCGCTCGTCATGGACGGCCTTGCGACTCTGGTACCGGCACTATTTATGTCCAGTAGCCTCTACGGCCATGACTCTGTATTCAGCGAGCGCTCCTCGATGCAGGCGCTACCATCATCATCTATAAGTGAAGAGGGCGCTATATGGGCAGATAATATTGTCCGACATGACGTGCGAACTGGACAGTATCGGTATGCTTATCTGGATCCAGAGGAACCGTCAATTGAGCGGCATCAGATCATCCTCGAGGAGGCCTACAAGGCATACGAACACCAGATCGACCAGTTAGAGGATGAGGATTACGAGTTCATCGCGGCAGCCATAGGGATTACAGCAGCCATAGCGAAGTCCTGGATGTGGGAGCGGGCATCATATAGCTCACAGCCTCAGAGCCTTAACAACATTGATAAACCACTGGCCACGGACCATCTATCGATCAAGCGACGATCCATAGCACAATCTGATAGTCCTAAAAAAACTACAAAAGTGCTCGACAAGGAACACTCCATAATTACCACAACGGCTAAGCGGATACAGAGGAGGGCAGTCGTCAGGACCAAGATACCTTCCGAAAACCGAGCCCTGCAGTCAAACAGGTGCGAGCACTACGCGGAGAATCAGCCACAACTCGAGCAATGCAATGCCTGCACCAACAGGCGAGCGTGCGCATTTGTGAACTTTCGACTTTTTTATATCAGATCGCAACAAGATGTCCATTCTTTTGACAAGTACAACTATCGACATGGTCCAGATTTTTATTCGGATCCGGATCCAGACACAGAGTTCCAGTTTAACAAGCGTGGACTCTTCTTTCCGACATCGTCGTACATACTGGCGTATACGCATACCCTTGCCAAACATCTGTTGAAAAGCGAGATCGACCATGCGTTGGGAATTTCGGGGGATAGGGATAACGAGAGCGAAAGCGGGAGTGAAAGGCATTACTTCCGAAGACCTTTGACGGATCGACAATTCTGCGACGTTTGCAAGACGTCGATGGCCAGTGGCCACTGGATGTGCTGCATCTGCGGTCAGGATATGTGCATGGATTGTTACGAATCCTTCCTTGTGACAACCCATTGCACCTATAAGCGGATGCATGAGGCAAAGCAGTTTATCCCGTGCGGCCGATTTCATCTCTCAACCTTGAGACAGAGCCTTGGCGCACTGGAAACGAGAGTGGAGCAGATTCCGAAAGGTCTTCTTAACGCACCCAACAAGGCCGCGGATGGGTCGATCAACGCTTCATTGAACAAGTACGAAGGCGATGGCTTCAAACATCGCGAACCTGTGAAGGCGGATTCTGAGAGCTTTGGAATAGACAGTTTTCGGGCAGCATGGCTACGCGGAGGTGCGATCGTCCTATCAGGAGTACATAAGAGGCTGAGGAGGGACTGGTCTCCGGCATACCTCAAAAGGATTCATGGCAAAGCGACAGTGACGGCGGTAGATATTGCAACACGTGAGGCTCAAGTGATGACCCTGCAGCAGTACCTTGACCAACACTTTACGGGCAAGACTCGACAGGGCGCTGAAACTGCCTGGAAAATGAGCGTAAGTAGCCAGGACATTGCCTTTGGTCGTGCTTTGAAACTGTCGGATGAATAGAGTACTCACTGTTCGTTTCTATGAACTATTGATTGTAGGGTTGGCCGCTTGAACCCTTTCAGGACGTGCTGAAAGAGCTCTTTCATGATCTCCTGCGGGCCCTACCTCTGCCTGAATACACGCGACCACACGGAGCCTTTAACCTGGCGAGATATTTTCCAGTGGATCAGGTTGGCTTGGACTTAAGCCCGAAGTTATATGCATGCCAGGGTCTCGGGATGGACCTTCAGGGTTGCAAGTCGATCCCTATGTCATGCGAGATATCGGACTCGCTCTATCTCTGTGTCTATACACACGATCCACACCAGCGGCCTAAGGTCGACGATGAAGGTGATAGAACAGTGAGAAATTGTATGACATATACTTTTGTGCAAGCATTAACCAGCACACCATTTAATCCAGATATCGACGCCAGCGCCTCTACATCAGCTGTAATCTGGGACATCTTCCGAGTGGAAGACCGACATCTCGTACGAGAGTTCCTCCATAGGACCTATGCCTCAAGGCTTGGCTGCAACCTGTGGGACGGTTTTTCGGACCAGCGATTTCATATGACGCCCTCGCAGCAACGCCAACTGTTCGAGGAGAAGGGCGTTCGAGCGTACCGTGTTATACAAAGGTATGGAGACGCTGTCATGATCCCGGCAGGATGTCCCCGACAGGCACACTACATCCAGGACTCGATCTTGGTCGGACTCGACTTTGTATCCCCGGAACGGATATCGCACACACTGCACCGGAGTGAGGAGCTGAGGGGTTTTAATTTGGAGAAAAAGGCGAAGCGCGTGCCAGACGTGTTGATGGCCAAGGATATCTTGTTTTACAGCACGCTGGCGATGCTGTGAGGAGTATCCGTTCACTTGGTCGGACTTTTTCCTTTGGTTTACATCTAATAAATCATCGGCATATTTATTTAGCTAGGATGCAAGTAAGTCTTGGTGCAGCAATCCAAAAGGGGAGATTTTAGGAAAAAAATAAAAAATAAACTGATATGAATTTTTGTATCGCTGCTCTGTAGGCAATACGCTCACTGAAGTACTGCGCCCAGGAGTTGTCGTTCCGCGTGGATCATTCGGGAAATGGGATACTGAGGCTTGAACGCGCTTGGTCGTACATCGGAGAAAATTATATGGATGTCAGTTTTACTGCACGGGGATCGCATCAGAAATGACAAATAATACAAGAAACTCATTTTGCACACTACTCCTTTTCTTCCTTCGTCGTCCCCCCCCCCCCCCAGATTGTATGCACTCCTTCGTGTAGATCGACAATAAAGGTCAGGGCTTCGTTCACTCTGACAACTGGAAACGTAGTTTCGTCCGGTTTAAGATGGGCATCTCCTATTTGTAGTAGTGTGTATAATTTCATGTGCCACAATGTAATCTTCTTTGGTCGTAGTTACCTCTGAACTTGCAATAGCAAACCAAGTCTCAGGTTATTAAGCCCGTGGCGACGTCGCCCCTGTCTGCATCAAGAACCCATGTTGACGAACAAAAGGTTGTTCATCTCTTTGGTAATATGAAATGTTTCCATTAACTGTAGCTTCTAATAGATAGACCGTGCCTTTATCTAGGGCCTTGACCTCTCACCTTCTACTGCCCTCTATGCATTCAGGGCATTGTATGGACTGGGTCCAGACACGTTTATATTCAAAGCGCTCTAAAAATTAGGAAGTAAGGGTACGGGATTCAGATACGTTTTGCTCGTGATGGAACCATATCACTGGAAGTTGATTAAGGGTTTTACACACAGAACATATTGTTTGCAATTGAAGAATGGGCGTGTTCTGAGTGTAAAGCCCTTAATCAACTTCCCTTTTCAAAAGGTCCATTATTTTTTTCCGGTGACTAGGAAAATCCTGCAAGGGCTTGCATGGATATAGCAATTTATTCGTTGTGGTCTTTCACATGCTGCTAAGCCCAATTTCAGGAACACGTTTAAGGGAGGTTTTCTTAATCGTCGTTCCGAGGACTAGAGCGTTGGGAATGACTCGGTCAGGCCAGTACATCTGTCTTTTCAGCTCGCCATGTTGGTATCTGCAATCCATCCCGCGCCTTCATTGATTTTGAACTAGCGACATCTCTCGACACAAAACTCAATGCTCCCGAGGATACGGCATTGACCACATTCACCAACACCAAGCCGATAATGTGGGAGGATGATCCTAGGCGGATGCTAGATAATTGAAAGGGTCTGGCTTGATTTCATGGCGTACCAAACCATCCCTACAGTGGACTGAACCGTTCTCAAAGTCATTTTGAAGACTTTTCCGAGACTTCATATTTTTTTAGGTGGCGATGTTGCACCCCTCAATGTCGTGGTATCACGTCGCAGATCGCCCGGTACTTTCCTTTATTATATTCGAGAAAATGGCATATGGCAATCATATGTGTTGCTGTGCTGAAGAGAGCATGCAACTCTCTTCTTACACGCACTCTGCCGGGTCCCCTATCAAGCCTACAACACACATCCTCAACGTACCTAGGGCGCCACGCTGCCATGGTAATGCGGTGAAGGATTAAGCACTGACGAGTGCAAGATACAGGAAAGCTATTTTATTGCAGAATCAAAGAACTAAATCGGTCGTTCTACTCGACCTTCCTAGAATTGTTGTTAACAGCACTAGCAGACTACTCGCTCACCTTCGAAACCTACTCGCTGCGGATTCTTGAGTCACATTATCCTGCCCGCCCCCCATTAATAACTCTTTCAGTCAGGCTCATGCCGTCTATGTAGGCATTGCTTTGGGTCCTGCCCTGGGCTATATCCCGTATATATCGACCTCCAATGCTGCTCTCCCTTTCCGTGCACCAACTCCCATCCGTCTCCTTACACTCGCTCAGCAACTCCTCCCTTGACTTCCTCTTCACTAAATTTGCCTCGTCTTCAACGCTTTAGTTGTCATCCCCCATACGCGCCATTCATCAGGAACGCACCTCAGAACGATCATTCGACTCGGTCCACTCCCTATCATGCGCCCATTCCCACTCCAGCATTTCCTGCCTCATCCGCATCGTGGTCCTTCTCTCGATCTCCAGTGCTTCTTGTTGAAAGGTATGGATCTCCTCCTGCATGAGCTCGATCTGCCTCAGGACGCGATCTTGGAATTCCCAAGGGTCTGGGCAATAGCACGCCACCAAGAAGGCCGCCTCTCGGCCAGCCCTGAGTTTACCGTCCTGACTGGGCTGTAGAAGCGCACATCTGCAGCCACTTGGGTGTTGCTTCTGTCCCAGATGTGATTGTCTCCTGCTGGCGCTAGTGCCGGTGTTAGTGCTGGCGCTGGCGCTGACACTGAATTGTTGTGGTACCGAGTCCTTCAAGGCGCCTAGTAGTGCTGCAGGAGTGGGCACAGACATGGTCTGGACAACGTGTGACAGGATCATGGTTGCCTGATGGATCTGGTGCTTCAGTGCTTGGATTTCGCGTTCCAGAACCGCAGGGCTATGTCGCGATTCCCAGGAGTGGCCTTCGTCGTCGACTTTACTTCCCATGGTTCCTGCCCTGGCATTTGGGGTCGTGCACCTTGAATCTCTTGACGGTTGTGGATACATCCCAGCGGAAGAACCAGCCCTTGAATATGACCTTCTAGTGTCCTGGCAGACTAACGTTGGCAGAGCTGGCGAGGGAGATCGCAGGGTGGAGTTGCGGACAGAGGCGGTGGAGTCATGCTTTCGATGAGGGTGTGGTTCAGTGGGGACATTGTTCAGGTCCGACTGGAAGCTGTTGTTGCTGTCCTGCACATCGTCCAAACTTACGCTGTTGATGCTGATCGATGGCGATTCCGGCCGTTTGACCTTCAACGATGTCGAGCATAAAACCGAGGTCGAGGCTGAGGACAACGAGGCTGAGGACGACGAGGCTGAGAACGATGAGGCTGGCGCAAGCAGGTGTAGTACCTCGCTACCGTGTCCAAACGTATTCACGCTGCTGACGCTGTTCCTGTTACTGCTGCTAGCAGCAAAGCTGCTGTTCCTCCTGTGTAGCAGGAGGGCCTGTTGTACATATCCATTGCCGAGTGGAGGTCCCGTGGCGGGCCCTTGAACATCCATCTGCGGTCGTGTTTCTGTGGGTCGTATTGAGTCGGTACTGGCGCAGTCGTTCATCCGGGATTCTGTAGCATCAAGAGATAGATCTGAGTAACCCGACGGCGATGGATGATGCGATGTTGCTTCAGACTTGATCGGAAGAATGAAGGCGAGGATGCGTGAGGACGATAGAGGGAGAGGGGGAGAAAGAGAAAGAGTTCAGAGAAGGGAATGAAACGAACAAAGTATCGAGGGGGTGTATGCAGCCGTTAGGCATTGCTTATAACTAGACGAAGCAACGTACCCTCCCTCCCCCCCCCCCCCCCCCCCCGCTCTCTCCCAGCCCATTTCGGAAATGACTGAGTCCGCTAATGGCACTCGCACCTCGGCCCCCCTTTTTTTAAATTCTTCCTCGACTCTCATTCAATGCCTCGGACCAAATTCAAGGATCCAGCAATTGAGACTTGAGGGGAGGGCAAAACATGGATTTGAAGTCGACGATGGAAATTGGTAAAACGACACTCATTGAAGTGGACGTGGTGAAATGGCTTGATGAAAGATACTATGAACAGCACCTGCATTTGCCCTATTTTGACCTGTATTTCTCTGATATCCATGTTATCGTGGCCCTGAGTCTTCTTCCTAAGTGCACAACCCTGGACTTATGGAGCTGACTTCTCAAGATGTTTATCCCAATTGGGCTGTACACAACCCGCCACCAAAAAAAAAAAAAAAAAAAAAAAAAAAGTTCAGGAACGCGTTTCAAAATGCAAGACACCCATTGCTGCAGTTTCATACCTCAAGGTGCCTGAAAATCCCCATGGACGCGGAACGCAAAAAAGATGAGCCGGGTTGCGGAATGATCAAGACATAAAATAGGGATGAGTGGAAAGCATGAAGAGTAACGGAATGAAATTTGCAGCTTCATTAATACCATTCCCATGCCATGCTGTACTGTCGGAAGTCTAATTTGCCGTTAAATGCAAGATAAAAAAAGGGGGCAATCCGCGACTCATGTTCTCCCTCATTATAGACTATCTGCGAGTGTAATTGCGACTGAGACCTACATCTCTCTCTAGACTCGAACAATAGCTTTCGGAGTCATGCTTCATCCACACAGGAACGGCATGGTTAAGGTTGATGGATCAAGGCACGAATGTCATTCTAGACTTTGAACACTTCTCAACTTAACCGCATATGGTAGTGAAAGACATGATCAAAGACAAAGAAAAGACATCGTACACAGAGATGGGTTGTATTTTGGGGGAAAATTACATTAATAAAATAATATGAACTATGCAAAAAGAACACAGGAAATGTAGGATGATAGGAAAAAATGACAAAATGTCAAGTACTGTGCTTGGCCCGCGCGTTTAACGCCGTAAGAGCCATAGTACAAGGTTGCAGGGTCCATGCTTTGCTCAAATAAGTTTGTGGCACCATATCATTTCGCCTATCACCCTCCAAAGCACAGTTATCATCATCATAATGACAGACATCCAAAACGAAAAGGCTTGAAGTGGCGAGGTTTTTTTTTATGAAGCAAAAAAAAAAAAAAAAAAAAAAAGAAGCTAAACCTCGACCATGACTCCTCTTCCGTACACAAGCATATCCATGCTTGCTGCCTCTACGTAGACACCTTGGCGCCGCCCTCCGGTATGATTTGTGGATTACGCGCGAGCGAGTGCGCATTAGCGTAATCTCCGGCCTCGATCTTTGCGAACTTGTCATACGTCTCTCCTGGAGCCAAGGCTTGCTGTTGCTGGTGAGGTGTTCGAGGAGATGTTCCTGCAGCCGGTGGTGGTTGAGGGTACGACTTTGGTGGTGATGCAATTGTGGAGTGGGTCATCGATGGCGATCCAGTTCCGTAAGACTGTTGTTGATACTGTTGCTGGTAGGCCATTTGTTCTTGCTGCAGATTGGGCAAGTCTGAGTAATACCCTGCTGACGGAAATTGAGTACCAGACTGTGGAGGCATGGGCTGCTGGTAATACGGATCATACTGGTCATACTGATCCTGGTATCCGCCATAGGGGACTTGCTGGTATCCTTGCTGATAATCGTAATTGTCGTATCCATCGCCGGCGTGATGCATGGCTCCTAATGCACCGGCACCTCCTGCAGCGGCTATGGCGGCCATATCGAGATGTGTCGACGGCCTGGCGGCAGAGCTATGAATAGAGCTCGGCCTGGGTTTCCCACTGGCATTTGACCCTCCACCGAGTCCCAATGCATGGAACTGATCCTGTCCCTGTCCATTTTGGTCCAACAGGATGTCGAGTCGGCGCTGCCTCTTCTTGTTCTTCTTCCGGTACCGCATTACGAAGACCCCAACCAGAAATGCAACAACCAACACGGCGGCAATACCACCAATGACAGGACCGATGATGGACTTGGATTCAGTGGGAGAGCTGCTGCTGGAGCCATCGACTCCACCGGTGCTGCCTCCGCCACTACCACCAGTACTGCCGCTGCCTCCGGGCAACTGTGTAGGTTCGCTGCCGCTGCTAGTTTTTGAGGTCGATCTGCTCCTGGTCGAGGTCTTAGTGCTACTTCCCCCTCCTCCGCTTCCTCCTCCTCCAGAGCCTCCACCACCTCCAGATGATGGGTCAGGAGAGGGTGAAGGGCCGGGGTTAGGACTATCGGTAGTGGTATGTGGTGGAGGCTGGGATGTGGTTGGTGGGGTATGGGTTGTTGTAGGTGGTGGTGTTGGAGTATCGGTAGTAGTTGGGGGTTCAGTGGTTGTGGATGGTGGAGGGGTTGGCGACGAGGTTGGAACAGGAGCATCGGTTGTAGCTCCTGTAGAGAGAGCTGCAGACATGTCTGGGGGTGTAGTGGATGGAAAGAGTGAGAGTGAAGTATGGGAATATTAAGCGGTGAGGAAATAATATGTGTGTGTGTGTATGGAGGGAGAAGCAAAGGACGAGAGATGGTCGGGAGAGGGGGGCTATCGAGGGGACCCAAGGATGTGGAGCTAGCGGTGTGCAGAGTGAAAATGGGGAGCAAAGGGGAAGAGAAGAAGTGGAGGAAAGAAAGGAGCGGAGATATGGGAGATATGGGATGAGGACTGTTGGGGGCGGATGATGACAGCGCAGATGATCTGGGAGGGAACTACCGGTGGGAGCACCATGCTAGTCTACCTGACTTGCAAGCAAGCAGATCGAGAGAGGGGAATTGCTTTAAAGGGATAGCTCGCTATGCGTGCTAGTCACAGCCGACCACAAGGAACGACCAGAAGGCCCAAAAGGAACAGGAAATAACCCCCGCGCGCCCGAAACACGCGACAAGGCGCTTTTGCTCGCTTGCTTGGCCGACAAAGTCGTGGACGTCAGGAATAAAGAGAGAAGGCAGGGACCAATGCCAATGGGATGGTGGGATGTGTGGTCTGCCATCCATCCATTCGCCCTGAAGCCTTTTGACCGCTCGCACTCCATCCTCGCCTCTCCACCATGGCCCCCTTCTTCTCTCACGCAATGCGATGAAGTTATTTTTACTTTCCCTTGTTTCACCCATTTGGCGTTCCTATTATTTATCCACCACCCTCGCTCCGCAGATGACGCCCCTCCTTTCCCTCTCTATCCATACCCTAGCGCACCCTCTAGTCCCCGTGGAGTTTTAAACAACACCATACACCATGGACCATAACCATCTCCTGTACATGTACCCATATAAGTACACGCATACTTATACAGCCAGAGCCATGGCTCAATCCACCTTTTTAGCCGAGCCCCAATACTCACATAAATAAGTTACGGCCACGACCATGGACATGCAGATGTCCAGAAATATACTAAAGACTATGGCACATGCATGTACACCTGCTCCCCTCCTCATTCCATCCTTGGCGAGAGTTATGTATAGACGTACACCTCCTCCTTTTTTTTCCTTTCCAGCATACGCAAATATCATATCCGATGTTTATGATGCCGCGATTTGTGGCCATTGCGATCGCCCGGCACAACTGACGCTGGCATAACTAATTTGGGCAATGCTTCCGCGACAAAAGCTCTAGGCGTCCTCCAGGAGAGTGAAACCACTGTTCCCGTAGGCGATAGCACAGGTTATATTGCTGTCCATTCCATCCCATGACAAATGTACCATGGAACCAACATCCAAAACAAATAGCCACAGGATGGCTACCCGAGGTGAACACTGTTTTTGGAGCCTCGAACTGCCCCTGCAGAGCCATTGGGGTCCCTCCATTGCAAGCCAATGATGTATATCAAGAGGATAACTAAATGAGCGAGAGGAATGGAGTGCAATTCGGTTTTTGAGTGGGGGATGAGGGGCTAGACCAGCTATCATCAACAAAATGAAACGAAAGAGGGCCGGCTAGCACGCTGTGTCTCCACCAGAACACCAAAATAAGCCATGCCAGGGTCTGCAGCACTGCCCTGTGTTACATCCGTGGAAAAATAAAACAGATAAACATCCATTTCTATCCAAACGGTTGAACACGTCCCAGAATGGACTACTGCACCATGTTCAATGAATCCCCGATCAGACATGCACACGTTTCTCCGCTTCAGCCCATAGCGGGGTCTTTGTGTTGAGCACTAACACCTCTGCATAGAACTTCTTGTTAACTGATATTACTTTTAGCCTGTATTAGGCGTCTCATCCCCGCAGAATCGTCATAGCGGCATAGGGAATGTAGGCCGCTCCTATGTCCATCGTGGCCATCGAGAATGTCCTGCTAACGTGTAGTTAGTTACCTTAGAAATAGGACCCGCTGAGGCGGCTAGGGCTCGATTTGTGGACCGAAAGCATTTTCGGCGTTCAGAGAAAAGTTGCAGGCGTCTATGCAAATCAACAAGTCCAAGTTGTCTGCATTCACATCTCTACCTTGAATTGCATTTTACTGTTCAGATCTCGTTTGCCTGGCTTCCCCCGCCTACTCGAACGCGTCCTCTCTGCTTTATGCCTACCTGGATCTACGCTACTTCCAACCGACGTTCGTCTCAAGGCCTTATACAGCTCAACAGATCCAGTCTTTAGTTGTAGATCCCATTCATACTCTCATATTTTAGTTTTATGTCTGCTCTACTGCACATTGGTGTCATATGCTGTCCCGTATAAGCTATTTCGCCCGTTCGTGACGCCCAAGTCCAAGATTCCATCGCTCGGCCCTGTTCCTGGCATTTCTTTGTGTGTGACAAAGCGAATTGGAGTGATTCATTTTACTCTTTCTATGCCGCGCCACATAGCACGGCCTTTTGCATATGCAGTAACAACTTCGTTCACTGCCACTGCCTTGAAATCATCTTTAAACGACCATCGCCACATCTCACACTTCATCCTTCCTTCCTTCCCTCCTTCCTTCCTTCCGCCGCTCCATCCCCTCTAGTCCTCGCCTGCTCTTCCTCGTTCCTCTCCATCCAACAGCCTAACTCTTCTTCTCCTTCTCCAGGAACGCAAACCTCCCCTCTCTCCACTCACTTGCCTCACATTTACATCTCCCACGCTTACCCCCATAACCCCATCATCAGATCATCACCTGACCACATGTCAAACGCACCCCTTCAGAACTCACCGCCACCACTCGCCGTCGCTGGCATCCCCACTGTCGTTGCTGCAACCCCTACGCAGGTTGCTGTCAGGAAACCCTCCGCGGTGTACGGGTTCATAGCTGCTGGTATCGCCGCCTGTGGAGCTGTTACTATTACTAACCCTGCAGAGGTACCCAAAGACAAATATGAATCATGAACCTAATCCGGCCCTGACAGTCTCCCCCCCCCCCCATCAATTGTTAATTGACACATGTGTTCTTTTTTTTTTTTTCCTTCTTTGTAGGTCATCAAAACGAGACTTCAGCTTCAAGGAGAATTGGTACGCCAGGCACCAGGAACGGCCAGGATCTACACGAATTTTGGGCAGGCGTTTGTTCACATTGCAAAGTATGAGGGTATCCGAGGACTTCAACGTGGATTGGGGTGTGCGTACATGTACCAGATTCTGATGAACGGCACCCGATTGGGACTGTATGACCCGATCAAGCACTCGATCCACTCGCTCTTCAAGACAGACCCCGGCACGAACAACAGCTTTGTTAATATTGTAGCGGGCGGAACCGGAGGTCTGCTCTCTGCTGCACTGGCGAGTCCCCTGTTCTTGATCAAGACCCGGTTACAATCCTATTCGTCGCACGAGGCTTCCAGAGTCGGACACCAACATTATTACAAACACACGTTCGACGGACTGCGACACGTCTTCAAGACGGAGGGCGTTCGAGGTCTCTACCGCGGTGTGGACGCATCAATGATGCGAACGGGTGTAGGATCATCAGTCCAGTTGCCTCTTTATGATGTTGTCAAGCAGAACATGATCAGGGTCGGCGGTCTCGAGAACGGAGCCCTCTGCCACGCACTGAGTAGTTTGGTCTCTGGATTCTTCCTGGCCCTTGCCATGAACCCGTTCGATATCATCGCCACGAGAATGTACAACCAGGCACCGGATCCAGTGACGGGACGTGGAGGTATGCTGTACAAGAGCCCCATCGACTGCGCACTCAAGACGGTCAGGACTGAGGGAGTGAAAGCGCTCTACAAGGGCTTCACGGCGCATTATCTGCGCATTGGGTAAGTCAGTAGCTCTGATTGAAGCTTCTGGTCGAGGCTTCTGGTTGTGGGGAAATAGGGGCACTCGGTATTGGGTCTAAAGTGCGGCCGGGAAATTGAGGGCCGCAAGAAGAATTGAGGTTTTATGTTTACCCATACTAAAGTTTTCTGGTGGTGCTCTTTTTCTTTTTTGTCCGCATCTAGGCCCCATACTGTCTGCATGTTTGTGTTTATGGAACAAGTGAAGAAGGTTTTCGAGCGGTTGGATTTGCACTAAAGGCGGGGAGAAGGGAGGAGCAAAGACGGTCATATATATTATTATTTTCTTCTTCTGGGGGCATCATGGACACTTGTATATCCCCCCAGTAAGGATTGATACCAGGGTAAAGGGGCATGGCCGCATGCAAGCAGGCATATTATAATAAAGTCAGCATAGAATTATAGCACCGCTACCACCCTCGAAATATATAAAGCTGAAGATGAAACCGAGCTCAATTGTACGCGCTTTTCAGGGTCCTTTCTGAGTCCAGGTAGTCCAGCATGGACAATAGTGGCCAGTGTTGTTGGAGACAGCAGATTTGCTTTATTAATAATATACATGTGCTGTGAGGCGATTGCTTGGTTGTCTAGACGTCTGGATCGTCGTCTACTGTGAGGAGATTGCTAGCCAGTCTAGATCATCCTTGCGAATTCCTATTGTCGTAGGAAAAAAAGGTAGTTTAGTTATTTTGTCATTACGTGAGATGACAACGATGGCTAGAGGGTCAGCTGGCAAAAGCGAGGAGTTTGTTGGTTTACCTCACGGTCGATTTGGTTATCACTAAGACATCGAAAGAAAGTAAACAAGAAAAAATAAAATAAAACATTCCGCGTCAGTCCTGGTAAATCTACGTAAAAAGGCAAGAAAGAACGAAGGCGGACCAAAAACGACCCAGAGACGAAAAGACATGGCTTACCCATTCAAGTCTGCAGTCTTGATCATATCTTTGATCTCCTCCTTGGAAAGATGTTCGCCTTGCTTGGCAAGAACCTGGCTGAGCTCCTGAGCAGAGATGTAACCGTTTCCGTCGAGATCAAAGTTCCGGAAGATGGCATCGATCTCCTTGGCGGACTTCTTCGTGGGCGTGCCCGTGGCACATTTCTCGCGGCCGAGACCGAGGTCGTGGCAGGCATCCAAGAACTCGTTGAAGCTGATCTTGCCGTCCTTGTTCTTATCTGCCTTGGTGAAAAAGGTCTGGAGATCGTACTCCTCGGGGTTGCGATTCGAGTTCGTGAGAGCCTCGAGGAATTCTTGTTCGGAGATGGCACCATCGCCGTCCTTGTCCATGGCCGTGAACTGCAGCTTGATGTTTACGATCTGCGATTCTGTGTAGTTGTGGTGGGTCTGCATTGTTTTTTGTTATAAAGCGAAGAACACAAAGAATTAGTATGGGTGATTGTCCGCTGCGTTTTTCCATGAAACCATTGGTGACGAGAGTTGTTGCTGTTGTTGTTGTTGTTGTTTTTTTTTGTTAACACTTGCCATTTTCTGTAGAGTGAAGAGAGAAAGATGGGGATGGGGAGGTGTAGTGTATGAGTAAGTATTGGGGATGTGGTATGGGCAAGGTGTGAGATGTGAAAGAGGCGCTGAGGGGAAGGGGCCCTCTTCCTTTTATACGAAACCCGCAGAATGAATTATGAAAGAATTAAAACACCACGTTCCCCACACAACACTAAGACCCTCAAGGCTGTTTTTGTTGGACTTTTGGGCCTCCCTTTTGCCGTCTCACACCCAAAAAAGGCCGCGTCTGTGCGGTGCAACCGATTGAACCTTATGCAGTATATTTTTGCGGCACCTTTTTGTCCTTCTATTTAGAAGCACGGAACGACCAGAAAAGACGGGCCACTCGCTGTCCACACACCACACGCCACTACCACAATTCGCATCTGACACTGCTGGATTCCACAATGGAAAAAGTGGAATTTCGCTCTTTTGTCGGGGCTGAGCAAGGCTCAGCAATAAATGAAAAAAAAAGATGAAAAGATGGACATTCAGACAAGGCGATGAAGGGCTCAGCCTCGAGGTTACACCAGCTTGTCGCTAACAGCTTGTTCGAGTCGATTGTCCGATCTTCGATTTTGTTTTCAAGCACGCATGTTACTGTTGCGCCATCCAGACCGCAATCTGCAAGTAATCGTAAGGCAAACCTCCTTTATTTTTTGTCAGGATAAAAATGAATCCACGAGGCAATGTTTGGTGTTTGAGTCAGACAAGTATTTGATTCATTCAACAAGTACCAGAGTTTGACTCTTTAACCGAGGATATTTCCATATACAACTGCCATTGAGGAGAATGCTCACAGGCCTGCATATATTCCCCAAATTCCACAGCGATATATCTATATCATCTATATCATCTATATAATCTATGCCATCTATATCGGTAAAACAATTTGAGTAAGGACATAACAAAAACTGAGCAGTGAGCATATGGACCCAGCAATAGACCCAGCAATAGACCTTAAGCGCCGCTATTTTTTTTTTCATTTTCTAGAAACTGTTCCATGTATTTGTTTGGCCAGTAGGTCTGTCAATAGACATGCAAACTTGAGCCTACTGCGCTTTAAAGCAAAAGTCTTCATCTCTTCATATGCCATGGAGAAGTGAAGCGGCGTTTAGCTTGCGAAGTAACATCCGGCATCAAACAAAAAGTCGAAGAGGAAGCTTTTTTTTTTTTCCGCCCGCGAGCATTGAGAGAATGAAGCACGTGACTAAATTGCACGTGACTTAAAGAATTAAAAATAAATTAGATCTAATCCTCAAACTTTCAACAACAGCAAAGTTTGTATGGTGTAGTTGGTTATCACGTCTGTCTAACACACAGACGGTCCTCGGTTCAAGTCCGAGTACAAACACTTTTGTACCTTTTTGATTTTCGCAACAACTTGTTAGAACGCGTCAAAGGATGAAATCGTTTACGGATGCCATCAAGCTATATTCATTTATTTTATTTTGTCTTGGCGTACTGGGTATATTGGATGGAGTGTGGGGGAAGTTCTTGTCCTTAGAGTGAAAAGAGGTATTACGAGGATGATAAATGATAACAAAAGCAAGAAAAATGTTGTTCTGTTGTTGTTGGGCTGTACTCTACGCCCACGCTACTAATCCTGAGGCAATTGATCTCCAAGGGAATTGTGTCTACTAGACGTGTGCTGTAGATGGAGGCCCTTTCTTCTTCTTTCAAAAGAGAAGGTGTGAGAGAGAAGGCATGAACAGAAGGATGGGATAACGCGTCATTTGAAAAGTGAACAATGGGCCGTAAAAGATGTCTGTTAGCAATGCAGCGAGCTGGCCCTAGTCCATCCCAGTCACCTCTTTATCCAACGACGGATAGATGGATAAAATGTCGGCGCTTGCTTTTGCTGAAGGAAGAAGGCTGTCGGTGAACATTGTACAATCGCAGATAAATTCATTGTCGCACTGCTACCCCGCAAAAGTGTCTACAACACAGATCACAAAAAGATAAAAATGGGAGCCCCTACAACAGGAAAGCTACAGCACAAGACAGCAAGACAGAGGACAGCACACGACAAACAGGTTTGTGTACGGATTCGATGGAGGACTGAGCACTCACATTCTGTTCAATCGCAGAGCGCCAGCAGTGTCAGGTCTAATGCCTTCGAGAGTAGAGTAATAGCCATTAAGTGTTTTAAAGAGACTTCAGCCCTGCTCTCTAATGGCTGAAGCCAAGCAAAATCGGCGGGCAGGATGCAGGTGTAGTTGGCCAAGACAATTCCCGTGGATAAGGGGAAGAGTGGTGGTATTCTCCAGCGCAGCGCGCAGCAGCAGAAAAAGAAAAGGAAGAAAAGGAAGAAAGGGCAGAAAGGGCAAAAAGGGATGAGTGCACTGGGGAGGGAGGATAGCCCTCTCGGCTGTTGAACTCTATGCCAAGGATAGGCAATGAAACAGGTTTCTGTCTGCCCGGCTTTTATCCCGCTTAAGCTCATCCTCATCAATCCTCCTCCTTCTGTGTCGTCTTTTTCTTCTTTCTTTCTTTCTTCGACTTCTTCGCCTCCTCCTTCCTTCCTCCTTCTTCCTTCCTTCTACTCTCTTTCTTCTTCACTCCCACTCGAACGAAAAGACTAAAAAAGACCCCTTTGCATCCTTGCACGCCTGGCAATTGCTCACTCTCTCCACTTTGCTCTCACGATTCGATTCTCGCCCACTTATTTCTTTTAATATCTATCTCTTCCCTTGGTCTATTCTCTGAGTCGCGTGTGGGTGTGCATGCTGCGTGTATCTGTTCTGGCAAGCTACCTTTTCTTCACGCATCCTCTTCTTTCTCGTCTTCTTCGCTTTGTCTCCTTTGTCTGTCCCCCTCACATCTCCCCTTCGCCTTCTTTTTTACACATTCACCCGTTAAATCGACCATCTGGCTCTGAAGGAAAAAAAAAAGCAGAAGGACCAAACGAAGGTTGCTGTGCACCACACTCCAATCTTCAGTAACTCACACTGGCCCATTAAAGAAAGTACATCTCACTTCGTAATGACATCTACAACCACCACCACCATCGCATTCGCCATCAGGACACTGCTGATCATCTCCACCTTCCTCACTCTCACCACCGCACTACCCACAGTAACAACAGCCACACACGCACGCAACCATGTCCCTGTGTCTGCCTCAGCTTCAGCTTCAATACAGTCATCGTCGTCGTCATCATTGTCGTACCTGACCAAGAGAGACACGCCAGCGGGAATGCCCACAGCCTGCACCAGCGACTTTGACTGTCTAGGCGCAAGTCGTCCTCCGCACTGGCCACAGGACCATCCCACAGTCCAGTCAGGAAACTATGCCTGTGTCTTTGGTCAGGGGTCCAATGGGTCCATTGGTATCAACAGCACCACCACCCCAGGGACAGGGTCCTGTCAGTTTGTCGTCACTGCAGGTACGAGTGCTCATACATGCCGATGATGATTCAATTGTATTACTCGCACTCTCCACAACTACGCAACTACGCACGCGCCCTCTCTGTCTCCTCTCCTCCTATTTGCGGCATAACACATACACACCATCACTAGCGTCCTCACGACCATAGATAATTCCCGACAGCGATCTGATCGGAAGAAAAAAAAAGAAAAAGAAAATGACGATGGCGTTGTTGAGAATGCTTGGAAATACTGACTTTGTTGAATCGCTCTTTCTGTACAATTGTCGACTGACCATGATCAATAGGCGAGCAGTGCAATGCGCCGACAGACTGCGCAGCCTTTGCGTTCTATACCCAATTCGGCCTGACTGTCCCGAGCGACCTGTGTTCACCACAACATTGTACACTCGAGTCAACCTGTGGTAGCCCCTGGCAAGACAACAATGCACCCTCCAACCATACCTTCACCAATGTCAGAGGTGGCGAAATCAGCTGCTGTGGAGGACAGCCTGTCAATTCCGTCTGTACCCTCGTCGGATCCAATGTCGACAGTTGCGAATACCACAGCACCTGCAATTTTGATCTCGATGAACATCAATCGGACGACCCCAGCCAGAACAATGGATTCACACTGGACCAGATGAGGCAGCAAGGGCTCGGATTCTGTCAAAAGATCGATCAGCGGAATCATGTCTGGATCGGTGTTGTCATCACTCTGATTTCCTCTACGGTCTTGAACGTGGGATTGAACGGACAAAAGTACGCGTTGCGCAAGCATGACGAGAAGAGGGTCCTCAAAGGACTGGAAATGGAGGAGGAACATGAGCGCTGGCGCCAGGAATTCGGATGGACGGAGGAGCAGGTTCAAGAGGAGGCAGATCGCCTGTATGAAGAAAAGGAGAATAGGAGGGGCAAGCTGTACCGTCGTTTGAAGCCATATATGTTCTGGCGAAACATCTTTGTCTCGAAGGTAAGGAGAGTTAATCTGCAATGGGACCTTGTTGTTTTACGACAGCGGTAATGGATATGTGGAAAATTCGTCGTTTTCTCATTGTTGCCTTTTTGCTACCACACCTTCTAGCTCTGGGCAGCAGGTCTCCTTGTCTTCATCCTCGGCAACCTAGGAGGGTTTATCGCACTTCGATTCGCACCACAGTCTCTGACAGCACCCCTGGGATCAATCTCGCTCATCTCTAACGTTATCATTGCGCCGCTGATCAACAAGGAGGTGCTTGGGAAATGGGATATAGCTGGAATCTTTTTCATTGTTGCAGGATCCGTCATGGTCGTCGTGTTTTCAGGCATTGTTGCCCAAGGTAACAAAAGAGCCTTGGTTTATTTCATGCGTCATGGGAGTTTGCTCTTAAATTGGATCGAATACAAGCGGTAATATGTGGGATGTTGACGGTTGTGCCATCACTTTTGTTCGCATAGACTACAAACTGTGCGTGCTCATCAATCTGTTCCACAAGCCTGCCACGATCGTCTACCTGTCCTTTATCGGCATCTGCATCATCTTTACTTTCTTCTTTATTCGCTTTGTTGAGAAGAACGTGGAGAACGAGGCCGATGTGGCCATCGGAGTGTCATCTGAGCGACAGCTACAGCAGGAGGGACGACTCTATCGCATCCATTCCAACGCCAGTAATTTCAGTCTCGCAGCCAAGGAGCGTCACTCAACATCAATGCACGGAATACTTGCGTCCAGTTCACCAGCAACAGCAACAAATTCCCCCAAGGAGCTGGACGCTGAGAAAGCGGGCGAATCCTTAAGAGATCTGGAGACGCCTGTCAAACCGTTTTCGCAGGAGTCTGAGATTGCTCTGAACACTAGCGACAGCCGTCAGACCATCACCAGCGATGAATCAGGGACTGCCGTGGGAGCCTCGTCAGCAGCCGGGACGGATCATCCGCATGACCAGCGGCGACCGTCGTTCGGCTCTAGCAGAAGCAGTAAGACTAGCAGGCTATCTATTTTGGGTCTGGAAATGAACGCAGAATCCTCTAGAGTCGGCAAGCATGAGACACATTTGAGGTTTGGAGAACCGCCAGCAACAGGAAAGAAGTCGGGCATTGCGGGAACAACACCGATTGCTGAGGTTGATGCAGGACCATCGAGGCCAGGAAATACCCATAGTCAGTCCGGGGCCTCCTCTGTCATATCCAACACGCAACCAGTCCGGCGGCGTCGAAACAGACATCACACTGATAAGCACGAGGATGGGGCTCCGTTCACGATCTGGGAGCGCATTAAGCGAGTCGAGTTAATACCTTCTTTGCCAGAGGACAAATTGATCCGTCGGAATTCCCCACTGCTGCGGTTCTGTCTTCCGCTGTCGTACGCTGCACTGGGAGGCATGATGGCGTCATACACGGTGCTATTTGCAAAGTCTCTGATCAATTTGCTGGTGACCAGTATTTTCGATGGACAGAACCAATTCACGTCAGGACTCGCATGGGTGATCCTGGTCGTGACAGTGGTAACGGCGGTATCGCAGGTATACTGGATCAACATGGGACTGAAGAAGTACGACGCGCTGCTCCAGGTCCCGGTGTTCTTCACGATCTGGGTGCTGCTGGACATTGTCGGAGGCGGGATCTACTATGGGGAGTTCACGGGCTTTACGGCGAAGAAGTATGTGCTGTTCTGTCTGGGGGTGCTAATTGTGTTCTTTGGGGTGGCATTGTTGGCGAAGCGGCTGGCGGTGCTGGCGAAGGAAGATGTTGGAGAGTCGCAGCCGACGAGTGCGGCGGCCTTGGGGAGACAGTCGCCACAGCCCTCGATGAGCGATGCTACTGCTGATCAGGACGAGCAAAAGAAGGCGGATTAGTCTCTCAGACATAGATATCGTTGTTGACATCATTAATTATAAAGAATAAGAAAAAAAAAAAAAAACACGTACAGGCAACCAAGCAATCAAGTAATAGTAATGGTAATAGTAATGGTAATGGTAATAGTAATAGTAATGGTAATGAAAAACGATCAGCCGTGGACTAGGCTAGCTCCTTTTGCTCCTTTTGCTCTGTAAGTGGAAAAAGTAACAAAGCAAAGAAAAGGGTCCACGTGAGTGAGGTTGGCATGCGGCCCTTTGGATTTCGGACGAGACACGTCCGCTCCCTCGTCTGGCTCTGGTTCGAGGTCTACAAACCACTACCCCGCTTTTTTTTTTTTTTTCTTGACTTCTTTCTCCACACACCCACACACCCACACCCGCTCTTTTTTTTTTTTTTTTTTTTTTCTTACTGCACACTTGCTTGTTTGCACTCCACTCCCTCTTCTCTCTCTCCTCTCTTATCCTTCATTCCTCCAGCTGCAGTACACTTGAAATCGACATTCCTCTCCCTCCCTCAACAGCTGATTCCCTCTTCATTTTGTAATGGCCCCTCCATCCTCCAAAAGAACTGCGATCGCCTCGGTCAAATACCATGTCCAGCAATGGGTCAACCTCGTCCTCGACAACTCCATCTATCAGAACCTCGTTCTCCTCTATCTCTATCGTGTCTTCAAGTTCATCTATGGCCTTTTTAACAAATCCACGGAGCTCTCGCGTATTTGCGGCGCCAATAACTGGCCCACCCCACTGGATGCGCTCTGGGACGACGACGGCAATGTCACCTCGAGCCTCGTCAACGAAAAGAATCTCGGGACTATCGCATACTCCTCTGCCGCCACCGCAGTCCATCTCCATGTCCGTAGTCATACTGGACTTGGTCCCGCTGGCTGGGGAAGACGTGGTAGCATGCAGAGTGGGCAAAACACAGCTTCATCAGCAGCAGCGGTGACAGGCACTACGGCAGCAAGGAGGACCATTAGGACTTCGGATGATTCAGAACGCTCAACACAATCGTTTCATGACTCTGGAACGGATGTGGAGGAGCGCAATCTTGTCCATAGCTCCGGTTTGTTCATGCCGTCGTCAGTGACTACGACTGTGGAGGATAGTCAAGAGCTGTCGTCGTCCTCGACGACTTCGCTTGTGGATGATCATGCAACGGAATTGAGGCACCGTAAGAAGAGGAGTGTGTCCATGGCGAGCAGCATCAGCAGCAGCAATAGCTTGGCAGACCGTACCAAAATGGATCTGAGACAATCAAGAGCCGCGGCTGGCATGGTGTACAGAATCGGTGAGTTACTCTTTTCCAATTGGAGGAGGGGGTGGGGGATCATTTCAGATTATTTCGCCTCTTTTGCCACCAAAGAATCCGACCGTTACTCAGACAAAACTGCGCATTCTCTCTCTCTCTCTCTTTGTTGTTTGATAGATCGATGCATTCTTTTTTCAAAGCAGCTTACGGTAATGAGCACGACAGTGTGCTATAATGCATTCCAGTCGCACGGATCTTTTTAATGACGGGATGCTAATGACTCCGCCTGAACAAAATAATAATAATTTCGTATTACAAACGTAGTTGGAGAGACGTGAGTTGGAGGCGGCCGAATGCGACCCAGTCCAGATTATACACCAAATTCTTCGCAAGAAGCGGTTCCCCGACGGAGGATCGCCCAATACGTAAGTTTTCCGATCTCATGACACACCGCATATCGCATATGCTCATATTTATTGGGGGACGCATTATGCTCGCAGCAAACAAAAAAAAAAAAATCGAAGGAGGGCAGGGACAGCAGCAGAGAAGGTCAAAGTCAGAGAGCACGCATCATCAAGCGTGAGGAGAACGCGACTGAGAAAGAGTAGAGGTGTTGGGTTACCACATGCATCCGAAACACGTTAAAGAAGACGTGGGATTATTGCAGGCGCTGTTCTCTCTCTCTTTCTCTCTCGATCTCTTTTTTATTTAATGAGCAGCTGAGCCAGGATACCATTTTCAGCCAAGAGTGGTCAATTAGAATAAATAGGATGAGACAATGCCGAGGGCAGGAATAGGACTTGGCCCGACTGGACTTTGACTCGATGCAGCCATGGCGCTGTTGGCGTTTCAAGGCATTAGGACACCCAGGATGCAGGACCTATGGATTGGATGAATATTCAGCATTCTGTACCAACCCCAAAGGAAATTTTTTTGGTGTGGGCCACACATTCCTGCTTGATTGACATGTGCACGCCTAAAAAAAAAAACATGTCTTCCTAGAGTCGTGCCTGTGGTTGATTACTCCACCCCCAAAATATAGAATCATTTTGAGAGGGGGCGCGAGACCAGAGAATAATGTGTATCTCTGATGTTTAACACACTGGTCTTTCCATCTTTCCATCTCCTCGTTTCTCTTTTCTGTTTAGACCCGCGGCAAGGAAACTGCAGTATGCACTGGAGAAGGTGGCATCGACACATCAGCTCGCACGGGAAATCAACCAACGCGCTCATACCAAGTACGATTCCACGAATCCCGCCCATGAGCGGAAATTAATGCTGGTAAGGCAACAGGGGGGATGTACACGTTGATGAATTTGCGCGTATTTATTGAGGTCAGGGAACTAAATGTGGTCAATTTATGCTCTTATCGACTACCCCCCTAGCTCTGGGACCTTCTTCAACCTCAGGAAAAGCTCAAGAGTCGATACACGAAGCAGTGGACAGAGGTATGGAGGGCCCATGAAAAAAAAAAAAAAAAAGAAAAAAAAAAAAAACTGTGCTCCACAGCTGCATCACGAGTTTCGATGACTGATGAGGAGCTTTTTTTTTGGTCATTGTGCGAATAGATTGGGTTCCAGGGCAAGGACCCAGCAACGGACTTCAGGGGCATGGGTAAGAACACGTTTGTGCAAGCAAGCTGCGACTTGACTGGCTGATCAGAACGGATACTAACGGTGCTTGGTTGTGGTGTGATTTGTGATATCGTAGGCATGCTTGGACTGGACGATTTGATTTATTATGCGAGATATTACCCTCAGTCGGCAAGACACGCATTAGAGTGCTCACATGATGAGAAATCTTGGTACTGTGCACAGCTCTATTGTGTTTCATCTGTTACTTCCTTGGACGAATGTTGTGGATGGGATGCTGACCTGTTTAAATGTATTATGTCTTTGTGTAGGTATTCGTTCGCGATTGTCGGTATCAATATCACAGCGTTTGCGGTGCAAACTCTGCGGACTAGACAGCTGCAGTACTTTTTGTTTCTGAACGGCACAGATCGATCCATTTATCATGAGCTATATTGTAAATTTTCAGGCGCATGTTATTAAGAGCTCAACATGAACGCGACAGCGACGAGGCCTTTTTTCTTTTTTACCAACACGACTTTGTTTCTGTTACTCTCAATAGGCTATTTGTTCCATCGGTTCAATGGATATTGGACAACACTGGATCCGAAGCCGAGCATTATGGACTTTGAGAGGGTGTTTGCGGATTTCAAGATTATGATGGAGCGACAGTTAGCACGGCGCAAGCTGATGATGATGAGATACGATACGAAGGAGAGCTTGGATGACCAACATCTCCGTCGTGGCCCTGCTGAGGAGAAGAGCAGTGACGGCGAGGCGGTTGAGTTGGAGACGAAAAAGGCAAAATGAGGTGGACCCGAGGAGAGGGTCTCCGAATAGGGATGGATGGTCACTAGGGGAGGGTGGTTTCCTCTGGTGATGATAGATAGAGAGATTGAATAGAAGACAGAAGGAAGTTGAAAAAAAAGAAGTATTAAACACGACTCTTTCAACAAAAACCAAGAAAACCAAGAAAAAAAAAGAAGGCTGGGTGTGAACAAGAAGGCATGGAGACAGGGCAACTGGTGGTTTGGATTGAAGTACACTATCTACATAGTAGAAAGTGAAGCTTGATGCAAGGTTCAGGTTCAGAAATAAACGGGATATTTTTATCGCTCTTCGGCTGGGCTGGGCTGGGCTGGGCTGGGCTGGGCTGGGCCGGCTGGACAGGGCTATGCCAAATCGAGGCACATCACACGAGCAAACCTCTGCGCCGTCCTTTTGTGTACCCCGTCCTGTACCTGAATGAGCCCGCATTTTCCGAGGAAGGAGGGAAAGAAAGAAAGAAGAGGTGTCGGTTTAGTCTAGCAGCTGCATTTTTTGTCTATTAGATACCGGGTGTAGGCTCACGTTGAGTCCACACAAGATACATCAGTAGAAATACTAAATGCCGGGTAAACTTGTGTAAGAGCTGCACGCACAGAAGCACGATGGAGGGCGTGGTAGGCTAGTGAGGCGGGATGATGGCAATGCTGAGAGCCAGGAGGTTGGATGAATGGAGAGAAAGAGCAAAAGAAAAGACACAGGGAGGGAGGGGGGGAAAGGAGACGATGGGAGAGATATTGACTCGATAATGCTTTCGCGATCGAGCGGTGCATGGAGGAGGAGGGGGAGGGGGAGGGAAGGAGAAGAAGCAGTGACGGAAATGGTGAGAACAGGGTATTAGTCGACGCGATCCATTGTGTGTATATCTTGATACAGTAGAATGATGGACTTTGGATATTTGTAAGGGGGCGTGCCATTTTGCCTGCCTAGCCGACCGGTAGTCTACTTTTGATCTTTACGCGTCAGATAATAGCCTGCAACACGCGTCCGTCATCGCTTACCTTACAGCACAGCACAGCTAACAGAAAGAAAGAAAAAAAAAAAAAAAGAAAACCTCTTTTTATATCGCCAGTTCTCTTCAATGGACCCGGTCCTATCATTGGACATGGGGTTTTGGTTTGGGACTATTAGTGTCCTATTCCGTTTCTACCATCTGTCATTGCTTTCCTTCAGGGAGAGAGAGAGGAGAGAGGAAGAGAGGGAGAGAAGGGGGAGGAGGGAGGGGGTATCTTTGGTTTGGCATTAGCGACACTAAACACGACCTAAGGCGGATCCTGGTAAAGGAGCACATGGATGGGATGAAAGGGTCTACAGGTTGGAGTTAGGTAACGGAGCATGAGACATGTCCCGGGTAAAGATAGTAAGCAAAAGTGAGGACGTGAGGAATCGGATTTGGCAGGCAATAGGGGACAAGAACTACTGTCACTGCAAAGATCTGTTTGGGAATTGGCACAGGGGTTGGTTGTTGCTTCATCAGGACATGAACTCTTGGAGTGCCGAATGGAGAGAGGGAGAGAGCGCGCGTGGGCGTAAGTTAGAGTGTTCAACATTAAAATCGTATGAGTGCTCCTCCACGCTAGTCATTTTCATTTTCATTTTTTTTTTTTTTGCCGAGTGAAGAGCATAAGGAGGATGGAGGGGGGGTACTGCAGAGCGAACGAACGAGCGAACAGACGGACGGACAGATGAGCTGTGAGAGGAACCGGTGGGGATGCTTTGGGATCGCCTGCAGATCGCTCCTTTCGCATTTGTTCTTTTGTTGTTTTCTCGGAAGAAGCGTGCCGAAGGAAGAGGCGGATAGCGTTTAGTCTAGCGCCCGGCGCTGCTAGTGTCCCCCAGTCGGTAAGGTTTCACAAGCAAAGGTCTATCCCTGGGTGTGGGCGAGTCGTGTTCACCGAGGTTTAGCTTGAGGAGAAGTAATCATAATACTAATGGGTCCTTTTTGATTGACGAGAACGAGCAATGTTGTCACGGATTGTTAGCGCCGATCGCGGGGGGCACTGACTCGCTGAGAACAAAAAAGTGCCGGCGCCCTGTCGCAGTCTTTTTCTATTTCCTCACTTCAGCACTAATTTGACGAAGGTTTTATTTGTTGTTGTAATGGTTGTTCTGCTCAATGCATTGTTGTTGTGAAAAGTGGCAATGCCTGCTTGTGTTCGGATAAACAATGCAAAAAGAGGATCTGCTGGACACAGAGGGATTGTTTTCGTGCCCTCGCCGGGTACGCCGCCATGGGCTATTTTTATCAGCTTCGGTTTTTGTACCTGACCGAGGATATACAATAAACTGTACATTAGGCTATTCATATCAAATATCGGCTTCATATCTGATGATTATCTGGCACGGCGTACCTGGGTCTAGTTATCTCCTCGACAACGCCTATATAACAGGTGCCCGTTCCTCTCTCACCTTCCGTACCCATTGTTTCCTATCTCTTCTTCTTCCTTTGTTTCCTGCTCCCCTCCCGCCTCTCCGCTAACCGCCACCCTTACCTGTGCCTTGAAGACTCGTACTCGGGTGTTCAGCACACTACACCAACAACCAGACCTCACGCATTATCCTTTCCTCTTCCTTCTCTAGCCTCCATCTCTCTTTTTTCTTCCTCAACCTCCAAAAGACCTCCACTCTTTCTCCATTAATTTGACACGATGGTCAAGCTGTTCACTTCCTCGTTCACAGTCTTGGTGATCACCATGGCCGCGGCCGTCCAGGCACAGCAGTCAGGCAGCACCTCGACGACGGTAGCAGCAGCAACACCCTCTAGCGCACCTGGTACGATCAACCCCAGCGAATATCCTGCACCGGACAAGATCCCTCCAATCAACTCTCCCGAAGTCCAGGCATGGCTCAAGGAGATTGATTTGACGGGAGCACCAAGCATCCCGCTCCATACTGGTCAACCGCCTTCGTGCCCTAACCCTCCCATTGCTGATGAGTACGTGTGTAACACTGTTTTGGTTTTCTTGAATGTTTCGCGCTGTGTTTTATGGGGTCAATGCGAACGCAAAAGCAAAGCAAAGCAAAGCAAAACAGCAACAAGTTACCCCATTGATGAGCATAATTGAGCATCAAGTAGCAAAAGACAAGTGATCTGACCTCTCCGTCCTTCCTCCTTTTTTTTCTTTTTCTTTATTGCCCCCCCTCTTCTTACTTATTTACAACAGGTGCTACTGGACCTGCGACGGCTGTGCTGCGGACGACATTGTGGCCTGCAAGCGTCCCAACACCTGGGGTCTGACCTTTGATGACGGTCCATCGACCGACACGCCGACGCTCCTGAACTATCTCCAGACCAAGCAGCTCTCCGCGACCTTCTTCCTGATCGGCTCGAACGTGATCCAGTACCCAGAGACTGTGAAGCGTGAGGTGGCGGAGGGCCATCATCTGGCCTCGCATACCTGGTCCCATCATGCGTTGACGACGCTGTCGAACGAACAAATCGTGGCCGAGATGAAGTGGACGGAGAAGGCGGTGATGGCGGCGACGGGATTGAGGTTGAAGTACATGCGCCCGCCTTATGGAGACATCAACAACCGTGTCCGGTTCGTGTTGAAGAAGTTGGGATACATTCCTGTGGACTGGACCGGAGATGAATTCGACACGAACGATTGGCAGATGCCGACGATGAGCGAGAGCCAGGTGATCGCGACGTTCACCAAATCCTTGGACACGTACGCGGCCTCGAACCGGTCCTCGGGATTCTATTGTTTGGAGCATGATCTGAACTCGATGACCGTGGGTGCTGCTCAGAAGCTGATCCCGTTGGGAGAGGCCAGGAACATCACGATCGCGAGTGTGCCCGTGTGCGAGAGCGATGCTCAGCCTTATCAGTCGGGCGGCACCGCACCGATGCCAACGACCAGCGGAACGAACACATCGGCGACGGCGACGGGAACCGCCACGGGATCGGCCTCGAAGGGTTCGCCCACGAGCAAGCCTAGTGGTGCGGCCGCTGCTGTGGAGGGAGGTCTGAAGGTGATGATGGTTGCAGCAGTAGCTGCTAGTGCTGCGGTCGCGGGACTTGTCCTGGCGTAAAATGAGAAAAAAAAAAAAAAAAAAAAAAAAAAAAAGTTGGCAGAGTAGCCTCGTTCGTGTGTGTGTGTGTGTGTATTATGATTATTCACATAGGCATTTCAGCATTAAAGCATAGACATTGATTAATGAATCAACTCGATAGTATTTTATTAAGGACGCGTGAGGCGCGTTGAGCGGTACGCGTTTTGTTTGGTGTCTCTGTGTTGTGGTGGAGCCGGATTGTTGGGTTTTTCGATAATCTAGAGTAATATATGTGTGTACCCTAGTGATTACGTTCTCCAGGATCGCGCTCAGGACGCGATCGACGGACGGACGGACAGATAGAAGGAATGCTCTCTTGCTCTCATCGGAGACTTTGTGATCTGGGCGCGTTTTATCTTTATCTTTCTTTATATCCCCGAGGCAGTATTTCTTGATTCTACGACGTTGCGCGGGAAATCGAGCTCTTTTGTGTGTGTGCATTGCTGAAAAGTGTGTGTCAAGGTGGTCTGCGTCCGTGTTTCGTAATTTTCTTGAGACTCGTCCTTACTCCTTTCCATGGCGTTCCTTGCTACAGCTACAGCTATATTTTTTCTAATGGAATTGCCATTTATTTTCGTGTGGAAATGACACCTTGGCGGGGACACAGCACCAACAATAAAATAAATAAAGAAACCAGGGGCACAGGTTTGCCAGCGATGACTAAACAAAGGATCGCGCCGCATTCGATTCTCGCGTCCGCATCTCCGCGTTACATCTCTAGTTCTCTCATGACTGGCGCTCATAACCGAGGAAGGAAAGCTCCAATGCGCTATGCAGAACCAGACAGTGGCAACAAAATGCACATCGCCTTCAGAAAAGACCAAAAAAAAAAAAGAAAAAAAAAAGGGAGTGCACAGAGATGTGTTTTGAAAGAACCACAGGCGATGGCGACAGACCGCAATGGTCAATGTCCAGGCCTGAGTAGACACACACTCGTCTCAGAAACTGAACCGCATTGCCGCGGTGTGGCCCAGGTGACCACTTTCCTCCCTCACACACCCCTGCTTCCTCTTCCCCCCTCTGCATGCTCTTCTTTTGGGCGTGCAGTAGACCAAGGCGGTAAGATGTAAGGTCAAGGTTGTTCTTTCCGTCATCCTGTTTATTTTTGGTGCCCTCTTGCACCACTTTGTACATCAAGCATTGACCATCTGATGCGCTTACACAACGAAGAGCAAGAGGGCGCGCGCGAGAGTGAAGGAGAGTGGGCGAGAGAGGAGGCGAGGGTGTGTTGCCGCCAATTGTACACTTCAGGCACATTATTTGATTGCTCTGATATTGTGTTACGGTATCATGTCAGCATTTGTATGTTTCCATGTCATCGTCAATGCTGTCGGAAGTAATTGAATAAAAGAACTCCGTAAAGAATAACACTCATCTGGAAAATGTCCGTGTGCGTGCGTGTTTCCCATGTTTATGTGTTTGTAAACGGGATTGGGGGTGAGTCAGGGCTGCAATAGACCTGGAAGCGCTGAAGTAGCCATGAATGTAGTGCCGATGCGTTGAAGACCTTGCCTCCCTGTTTCTTTACTTGCGCCGGCTGTTTCCCTTTACTCCCTCTTTTCACTGTTCCATCCTCCGCCGTCCTTCCTCCTCTCAGCGCGCACTCTCCTTTGACACACTCTCACCCTCTCCCAGACAGCCATCAGCCATTATTTTCTGTCTCTTTCCTGAGTTTCCACCTTCACGACCACCCGTCAGCATTGCCAGCACCACCGCTTTATTCAATTTGCTCCTACCATTCTCTCCATGCCCCCTGGCCAGCCCTTTATTATCACTGCCCATTACCACACTCGAGCGTCCAGGGTCGTTATTGCTATATTGGCATTGCAGGAATAGTATCTACAGCAAGAGCAATATCTACAGCAGAGAGCGACAAGAACAGAGGACTCCACACCGACACCGAGACGAAGGACAAGAACAAAAGAAGGTAGGAAGAGTACAAGAGCACCTTTCTTTTCTCTCTCTTCTCTCCCCTCTGCAATCCCTCTCGTCTTCCCTGCTCTGTCCGCTCTCTTTCCTTTCCTTTCCTTCTCCTCCCCCCTTTTTTGCCCTTGAAAGTCAAAGGAGCACAGACGCTGCAAGCCCTGGGACACAGTCTCCCCTATGTGCTGGACACAAATAGCTTAGCACCCACAGACGTATTCGGACTGCAGTCGGTTGTCAATTGGGAGACAGCGAATCGAAACAGACTGCAGTTCCAGGCATCGCAGCCTCGGCCTCCACCCCGCCCCGACCAACCAGACATAGCTAACCCTGTCTGGGCCAATCGCAGCAGGCCCCATCGCAGCACAACACCCCTGCCCCTGATCCCTTATATTTAACAGGTGCCAGCTCCTGGATACCCGCAATCTGTCGCCATCCCGTCCACTCACCCACCCCTGGGCCTCCTCCTCCCCCCACATCTTACCGTGCCATCAATCTCCCTTCCTCCTCCTGTCCTTCGCTGTTTCTCACTGTTCTCTACTTGCAGCCATCCCTACCATCCTACCATCCTACCATCCTGCTGCACTCTCCTACCATCGGGAAATTGCTCACCGATACTCACCGTCTTCCTCTTTCTGTCCTTCCCATAAACGCCGTTCGTCTTCTCTTTTTTTTTGGGCATTGCACAGCACCTAGCTCTCACATGCTGTCCTCGGCCTCCACCACCGCCCTGTCACACCCCTCCCCAAAGTCGCCTGCCACCATCACAGGCAAAGGCACGAGCACAGGCACGAGCACCGCAGCAACCGGAAGGACATCTTTGTCATTTTCCTCTTCCTCCTCCTCCTCCTCCTCCTCCATAAAGGTAGATGCCGCAGGAGGAGGTGCAGGAAGAGCCACAGGAAGAGGAGCAGCAGCAGAACCCACAGAGGCTTCTCCAACGTCATCCGTCCTTGCCGCCCCCGCGTCAGCCTCCTCACCTCCTTCTCCCCAGGCACAAGCAAAAGCAAAGGCAGACGCCCATGCTCATGCCTATGCGTCCCCTTCAAAACCAAGGCCGATCATCTCCTCCCCACACTCCCCCTCATCCCGGTCTCCCTCCAGACCCTCACGCTCTCTCTCTCTCATATCCCCAATCACCTTAGCCATCCTCTCCCAGACCCTGTCTCCACCGCTACCCAGCCCTCCCCCCCCTCCTCCTTTTCTTCGTCCCCACCTCCACTTCCTCGTCAGCACCTCCGTCAGCACTCTGAAGAACACGCCAGATCCTCGTCCACATCGATGCACACTCCCCACCAGCACTATCCATTCTTCCACCGAAACCACCAACGCCAGTATAGCCACCCCCAATCACCACCAGGGCCTACATCGACCACCCTTGCCCAGTCGCCGCATCGCCGCCAGAGCAAACCAAGCCCGGCTACATCGTCCTCGACATCTTCGTCTGCACCGTCGTCTCCTGCCTTCTCACTCGATTCCCCACCGACCTCTCCCCAATACCGCATCGATAACAGCAGCAACGCCGCAACAACTCTGCCCCCACTGCCGTACTTTCCCCCCCTGCCCTTTCCCCCTGAACTCGAGGACTTTTCGACTGTTGCGTCAGAGGAGGTACAACAGGAACAAAAACAGGAGGAACAACAACAACAACAACAACAACAGAAGCATTTTCAGGACCTTCTTCTCGATCCTGCGAACTCGAACGCGAGTACAAACGCAAACATAAACGCACAAACAACAACAACAAACACGGCCAAGGCGTCATCGTTCTCACCACCTTCCACGCCGCTGCTGCCGCCCCTGACAGGAATGCTGGCAGCTCATTCAGCAGGAGCGAATGGAGGCTCACAAGCGATTCCGATCCCAACTCGTCCTGGGCTTTACAACAATCGCAGCAGTATTAATAATAGCAGCAGCAATAATAATGATTATAACAATTGCAATAACAGCAGCAATACCAGGAGCAGCGGCAGTAACATTAGACCGGTGGTTAATCAGAGCAACAGTTCAACGGGGATAAAGGAGAGTGGCTTCGACCATGGGATCGATACCAGGATTGGGAACCAGAACCGCCCACGAAGGGACAGTAATGGACAACATCACCATCTGGGCTTCCAGAACAACGGCCAGGCCAGCCTCAGTGTGGGCAGCAATAGCCGGACAGCCTTGGTCAGCCCTAGTTCCTCGGGCCAGGGATCGTCGTTGAAGAGCGAGTCAAGCTACCTCAGCTCGCGACGCAGTTCCAAGGATTCGTGGTAGGCGAATGGTCCATCATTCCTCCTCAGTATTGCTATATTACTATTATCATTGTTGCTATTGTTATTCTATCCTTCTTCCCCTGATTCCCCTCCCTTCTTTAAAAGTGGTGGTCCCTGCGCAAAGAAATATTATGGGAGAGGGGGGGCTACCAATCACTGGGACGGCGCATGAAATGGCGGCAAAACACAAGAATGCAACAACAAGAAGAAGATATGCGGTTGTTGACAGGGGTGGAATAATTGGTCGGGTCAATTGTTGCTGGCGAGCCTATTTCCGCTCATTGTGCGATTATGTATTGTGTTCTTTTCCCGCCATTCTCTCCTTTCTTTTTCTTCTTTTTCTTCGACGTTCTCAATGTACGGTCTTCTCCCCTTTGCCTCCGTGTATGTGGTGCTTTTTAAAGAGTGTGATTGTCCGATTGTCTTGCTGTTCTATTGATATCTTTTTTTTTTTTTCCTCACTTGCTCTCGACCAAGCCTGTATAAATACCTCTGCCTCAGTGGAGCCGCTCCTCTCTCTCTTGCTTCTTTCTACTTTTGTATCCTCACTAACTATATTATGGCTGTGCGTGCGCCCATGGAACAATGCTCCGATTTTTCTTTTCTTAGCGAGTCCGCCCCCGGCACCACCGTCGATGATCTCGTAGACCAGCTCACCATGCCCGATTATGCAAGCCTGGATGGTAAGGACGCTCTCCCTCGGCGATATTTTTTTTGCGTTCGCCTTCTGTTCGCTTCTGTCGCTTTATTAGTAACCAACAGTTTCGAACTCCTTTTTTAGAAAAAAACAAGAAAAACTCTTATCTGGAAATGCATGACCCGATAACGACAGACCATATTGCACGGACAAAGGTGTTTCTGTTGATCTACCGCAAATTCATGCGTCCGCGCGAACTCCTCGAGATGTTCATTGCGCGTTTCGACGCGCTGCAGGACTCTGCCGATGACGAGGATATGGAGGCCAACAAGACACGACTAAGGTGTGTGCTATGTCCCAAAGGTTCTATTTCTGTGTTCTGCCTCAAACGCGTTGACTGGTCAGCTAATCTTGGACAACCTTGGACCACATTTTTCGTTGTTATGCAAAACGAAATCGGGTTTTTTGATGTGCATTTAGGATTTGTTCGTGTCTTTACTATTGGTTCAAGGATCATCCGAACGATATTCTCCATCGCCAGACTCGGCAGCGCGTGGTTACATTCCTACGTGAGCGTGTCGCGCTGTTTCCATATCTAAACCAGTACTACATCCAGCTACTATCCCTATCCTCGATCCATTATTTCAACACCTGGCGATGGCCACACCCGGACCATGGTGATCATGCCAGTGTGTCCTCGCGTGCGTCCTCTATCTCTGGCACACATATCTCGGCCTCGGTCTCGTCGGTCTCGGACGATGACTCGGATTCGGGCTTCCCGGACACGGGCAGCGTCCATAGCGAGGAGGAAATGGACGAGGACCGCGAGTGGGGACTGGTGGACGAGGATGAAGTCCCGTTCGAGCATATCGAGACCAACGGGAACACAGGTCCTGGCAGCAAGAAGAACTCGATGAACCTGGACAGCCTTACGGCGCTTGTGCACCCGGTCTTGGTGGGCAGTGGCGCGATTAATAGTCGGCCACATTCAAAGACACTATTTCCGAATCATTATGTGCTGGGTCGGGATCGTCGATCGAGCACTGGATCGTTTGCGCAATCGCCGTGCGCTATGGAGACGTTTGTCGCAGGACGCAGGGGTTCGGCGTCGTCGGTTTCGTCAAATCCGGGACCGTTCACGATCACGTCGCCAATAGTTTACCTTCAGCAACAGCAACAGCAACAGCAACAGCAGCAGCAGCAGCAGCAGTCGGGGCCATACGCGATGACAGCGATGGTGGGGTTTCCGGAGGGCGAGGGGTTGCCACTACATACGCCGCCGATGGGTCCGATCCCGCTCATTGGCAAGAGGAGTAGCAGCCAGTCCTATCGTCAGCAGCGGAATATATTGGTCAACCAGCCAGGGGTGATCACAACATCGCCATCACCGGGATTGGTTCAGTCCGCGCCTATGCCTATGCTCGGAAGTGTAGCGCAGGGGTCGTATTCGACACCGATGTTGGCCTCTGCGCCGATCTCGACGCTCGGACCTGCGGCACAGTCGACGTGCACTTTGGTAGGGTCAGAAGCACAGGGGCCGATTGCTGCGGTGACGAAGGCGGCGTTGAGCTTCAAGGATACGATGGACGAGAAGATGTATCCGTTTACTCAGCAGCAGCAGCAGCAGCAACACCATCATCATCATCATCATCATCATGGAAAGATACCGCATTGTTCATGGCTGCACTTGAGCTCTTCGCCTATGGATCATCATGCATCGGTAGTGGCGTTCTTGGAGATCAAAGATACGACGATTGCGGATCAGCTCACTTGTATGGAGTACAAACTTTTCAGGAAGCTGAAGGTACTTTTTTTTCACTAGTTTTGTTATCGTGATGAACAACGATTGATTATGATCATGGACTTACCTTTCCCCCCCTTCTTTGCACTAACGAAAATATTTGATTATTTTTCTCTTCGATCTATGATGGTGATGGTGGTGGTAGCCGAGAGATATGCTCCGACAGGTGTGGAAGACCAAGAAGGGATCGGTAGCGTTTCAGGGATGTATCAAGCATTTCAATTTCATCTCGTCGTGGGTTGGCACGATGACCCTACTGTCGCCGAAGGCCAAGCACCGCGCCAGGATGATGGAGAAGTTCATCTCTATTGCCAAGGTTCGTAGAACAAAAAACATGTCTGCGCTCCAAAAAAAAAAATGGATTGGTTGACTGATTCTGTAGGTTCAATGTATAGTCTGGATAGTTTTGCTAACGATTTTTATTTTTTTATTTTTTACCCAATCTGTACAGATTCTGCGCGACATGGGTAACTTCAACACGACGATGGCGATTATCGGCGCGATGAACTCGTCCTCGATCCACCGCCTCTCCCAAACCCGGGAATTACTCCAGAGCAAAGAGATCTGGAACACGTTCAAGGAATTGGAGCACCTGATGAGTTCCGAACGCTCGTTCTTTGAGTACCGAGCCGCGCTGCGCACGTCCAGGACCCCATGCATCCCTTATCTCGGGGTCCATCTCGGGGATTTGTTCTCGATTGGCGAGGGCAACCGGGACTTTCGACAGGACGGGACATTGCATTGGCAGAAATTCGTGTTGATGACGGACGTGATCTCGATGGTGGTCTCGTTCCAACAGGGGTCCGATCAGGTCTATGGGAAGATCCAGTTCGACCCCGAGATCGCCAGGGTGATCGTGGATAGGCAGGTCTTGGACGATGAGGCCATGTACACGAAATCGGTGGCGGTGGAGCCGCCGGGGAACGGGAAGTTGAGTCATTCGAAGAGTCTGAGCAAATTCGCGTTCTTTTGAGAGACGACTCGAAGGAACCTCCCCCCCCCCTCCTCTCCCCTTCCCTCGTTTGAACGACCTTTTTTTTTTTTGTGCTTTTACTTTGTTTGATGACCGTTGTATGCTTCTCTTGGATCGGATGCGTTTCAAAGGGAAGGTTGTATATAGTCCCATGTAATATTTTCCACACCCTCTCATTCATCTTCTGTAATATATCCGCAATAACGATACGACAATAGTAGTAGTAGTAGTAGTAGTAGTAGTTAGTAATAATATTCGCCGAGAAGAAGTCCCGAAGCGCGAAACGTAAAGTCCTTTTGTGTCTGTGTCTATGTCTGCGTATGTGTATGCGTTGGGATCGGCTTGTTTACTGAGGTGCAAAAGACCTACAGAGAGGACAAAGGACGTGTAGAGTTTTTTTTTTTTTGTTTTCTTTATTTCACGATTCAGTTAATCCGGGAATAAGAGACAAGCGGTGCCAAAAAAAAATAGATCATTGTAGTTTTAAAATAGCATGGCGTGGTGTAGTGTGGGTGTGAGTGCAATGAATAATGTAGAAATATTTACAAAAAAACCTTCCAGTCTTTTTAAGCAAGGTAAGTAGTCGAAGCGACATTGCCTCCACGACCAGTCCAGTTGGTGTGGACCCACTCAGGGTTATCGAGACGCTGGTAGGTGTGCGCACCAAAGTAATCTCTCTGGGCCTGGAGCAAGTTCGCGGGCAAGACAGCGTGTCTGTAACCATCAAAGAAGGCCAGGGCCGAGGAGGTCGCAGGGGTGGGGATTCCGAGCAAGGCCGACTGGGCAACAACGTTTCTCCATCCGGGGGCGGCCTCAGAGACGGCCTTGGTGAAGAAGGGGTCGAACAACAGGTTCTCGAGTTCGGGGTTCTTGGTGTAGGCGGCCTTGATGTCACCCAAGAAGACGGAACGAATGATGCAGCCACCGCGCCACATGAGCGCAATGCCAGCATTGTTCAGGTTCCAGTTGTTCTCCTTTGCGGCCTCGCGCATGAGCATGAAACCCTGGGCGTACGAGATGATCTTGGAGGCATACAGGGCCTTGGAGACGTCATGGATGAACTGCTTCTTGTCGCCAGTGAACTTGCCATCGGGGCCACCGAGGATCTTCGAGGCACGGACACGCTCGTCCTTGATCGCGGACAGGCAGCGCGCAAAAACGGCCTCACCGATCAAAGTGACGGGCATGCCGTTGTCGAGTGCGGAGACGACAGTCCACTTGCCGGTTCCCTTCTGCTCTCAGGCAAAGCAGGTCCATTCAATTGAAAATCAGACAAGACGGGAAGCGAAAAAAAAAAAAAAAAAAAAAAAGACTTGTCAGAAATTTCAATTGAGCGGGTGTACAATGTCATCTGAAAGAAACAAATGATGACGCGGGAAAGAGAATGCTACCGGCTGGGTAGCTTGAGCCACACAACTGCGCACGATAAAACATCGATCTGGCAGAGGAGAGAGAGAGAGAGAGAGAGAGAGAGAGAGAGAGAGAGAAAAAGGGTATAAAGACAAACACAATCGTAATTTTACCTGTCCAGCAGTGTCCTTGATATGCTCGACCAAAGGTGAGCCATCGGTATCCTTGAACTTGAGGATATCGCGGGTAATCTCGATGAGGTATGAGTCAAGCTCGCCCTGGTTCCACTCCGTGAAGATGTCAGCGAGTTCCTCAGCAGAGAGTCCGAGGGCCTCCCTGAGGATCTGGTAGGCCTCGCAAATCATCTGCATGTCACCGTACTCGATTCCGTTGTGGACCATCTTGACGTAGTGTCCAGCACCAGTCTCACCGACCCAGTCGCAGCAGGGCTCGCCATCGACCTTAGCAGCAATGGCCTGGAAAATGGGCTTGACATGGGGCCTATCATGTCATATCATCCGATCGAAGAAAAGCAACCAAAGAGATGGGTAAGTGGTTTGTATTTTTTTTGAAGTGAGCTCGTAATTACCACGATTAGCCATGCGTATTGACAGATAATACGAATGCCATGGTACAATGTATTTGTCGCAAAGTGTTGGAAATGCAGTAATAAAATGGACATCCTTAAGCACACTTTGCTTTGTTACTTACCATGCTTCCTTGGAACCACCAGGCATCATGGAGGGGCCATGACGAGCGCCCTCCTCACCACCAGAGACACCGCATCCGACATAAAGGAGTCCCTTGGCCTCCAACTCCTTGGTGCGACGAATAGTATCGGGGAAGTGAGAGTTTCCACCATCAATGATGATATCACCCTTCTCGAGGTGAGGCAAGAGCTGATCAATAAAGTCATCAACGGCCTGACCGGCCTTGACGAGCAGCATGACCTTGCGAGGACGCTTCAGCTTCTTGCAGAGCTCCTCGACCGAGTGAGCACCAACGATCTGAGTGCCCTTGGCTTCGTTCGCAAGGAAATGATCGACCTTGGAGACGGTTCTGTTGAAGGCGCAGACAACGAAGCCGTTGTCGTTCATGTTGAGGATCAGGTTCTGACCCTATTTGTTGTTGTAGCCATGTCATTTCATGCAAAGACGATTAACAGGACATATGGATAGCAAAAAGCGCAGGAGAAGAAAAAAACGAGGGAAGAGGCGTGAGAAATGATTTTCTTCAAGCGTGGATCGATGACTTTAGTTTCGCCCTTCCACAATGATCGAGAGAACACGTACCATGACGGCCAAACCGATGAGACCAATATCAGCGCTATACGGATCAAGAAGAAGGCGAGTGAAGGGAGTTTGTGATCTGTCAGTATATCCTTCCAATGGGTTCTCAAAGTAAGAAAATAATAATAGTAAAGAGCAAAAAAGAACCGGCTGCGCGATCGATCGTATTAAAACGCGTGCCGCGTTAATTCATAAAGAACTAAAAAAAAAAGAGGCGATAGATAGAGACATACACTGCTTCGGTAGACATGGTGGAGAGTGGTGTTGTTGTTGTTGTTGGGAAGGAGTAGAGTGGGAAGGGTGAATGGGGAAGGAGGGATGGGGAGCTGAATTGAAGAAAGAAGAAGAAGAAGAGAAGAGAAGAGACAAGATCGCGAGGGAGGGGTGTCTTATCTTTGCAGCATCCAGCCAATAATCTCTCTCTCTCTCTCTCCTTTGCATCTCATACATCCCCAGCAAAAAAATAAATTGACAAGGACACAAAAAGCGTTGATTATTAAGGGCCCATGTATCCTGCTGCTCCCTATACACACACGCTGACAAACAACTCCCAGACTTCCCAGGTTTCTCTTTGGGTCTTTTTCTAAGCAGTGGCTGCTGAGCGGAAACAAGCCATGGGGGGTCCAGTGCGAGCACACACGCACATGTGTCAGTCCAGTCTAAGCACCGCTGCCTCTCCTTTGGCGGTGTATCTGTAGCACTTGGCAACGCACACAAGGACACGGACAGGGCTTGGCTCCCCTCGACTATGTATGCAACTTGAAGCCATCGAACTTCTTAGAAAGTAGCCAACTGACCTGTCAGCGAAGCCAACCAGTTGAGCGCCCTAAGCCGGGTCCAATGTCCAACAGCGTATGCCTGCGCGTGAACAAATCGCCCTGGTCCTCGATACTGTCTGTCTGTCTGTCTGTACATGCGAGATGTGGTAGTCACCCAAAGAATTATTTTTTTGTGCGCTCTGCGCTTGAAAACTCAATTTGTTATCTTCTAATGGCAATCCGCGTTATTTCGATCTGTCTGATCTGACCAGTTACTGTTGTTGTGCTGCAAGAGCGCTCAAGATTACAAGCCCGACAAGGAGGAAGCATTGAATACGACGTGGTGTGTGTATCGTCAATCACGCAAGATCTCCTCACCCCAAACTCAACTCGACAACGCGTTAGATAGGATATGAGGTTCCCTTTTTTGGGTCGAGGGGGATTCTGGGGGTGGGCTCGATGCAGGTGAGAGCGGCAGAGCGAATGCGAGGGAGGGGGCACACCGTCTACGTGATCGAAAGTCAATCTGCAGTCAGCGTTTCATTTTCATTTGTTTGGCCACTTCTGCTGGACTTCTCCTTGTCTGCAGCCTGAAGACTCGCTCTTCCATAAGGAACAGGGATCTAGTCCACTGCTAGGTGCTATTTCTCTTCAATTGCGCGGCATTGGTCTGCTTGTCGTTGCACTTGTAGTGTCCCATTCCACTTCACTGGTCTTGGTTCCTGCACGGCGGGATAGACATTTTTCTTCTTCTTCTAGGCATTGGTCTCTGTCGCCATTCAGTTGCCCAGCAATCTGTCTACGTAGGCACCTGCAACGTCGTAATTCGTTCACAACGACCCCTTTATAGCTTTGTTCCTGTGTACTATGTACCACCGTTGATTGTCACAATGCCGGTCCGTACAGTGCAGTTGCGACTGGTATTTCACTTTGCGGACGAACCTAAATCCTTGAAGAGACATTTTTTGTTTGGGCAAGAGTCGACTGGCATGTTCGCGTCGTCGATTCAAGGACAGCACTTTAGCCGTAGGGCAATTGCAGGCAGACACAGGCCCAGAATGATCCATGATGCACACGGGTAGGATATCCGAGTGTACATGCACAAGACAACAACACGGTTCTCTCTTTTGACTCTGCTCTTCGATGTTGCAGTTGGTTGTCATTCCCGTTTGAGGCGATGCGCAAAAGAAAAATGAGTCCGTGTGTTTACGCGGGTGAACTCCTCTTTTGTGGACTAGGGTTGAGGACATGAGCGAGTTGCATTGGGCGTCGAGTTCTCATAAACACTGTTGGCTTTTGACTTTTTCGTACAAATGATGTCACCATCATCATGACGCGCACGGCAGAGATGTACCTCAGTCCCCTTCCATGGGTGATTTACCCAGCAGGGTGCCTTGGCCAATCGTACGCGAGAGGATATGCCCTTGCCCTCCCATGGCCACCCAAGTATAAAAACGACCGCCCTGTGCCATTGTCCCTTTTGTTTTTTAAACACCTTTACACTTACGCAACTCAAAACACATACAGCATGAGCACCCACAACAACACCCATATCGCCGAGGAGAATGCCGCCGTCACCCCCTCGACGGTTCCCACGACCTACTCCACAGTCGATGCCTCCGGTTACCCAGCCAAGCACGATGGTCTCGCCACTCACAACGCTCCTATCGTCCTCCAGGACCCACACGAGCACCACAAGCACAACCAGGTCGCCGAGAACCCCCATGCTCAGAACCAGCACCACGGACACACTCACATCCCCCCGCCCGGCGAACACGTCCCCGGCGAGTCTATGGTCAACAAACCCATCGTCGAGGTTGCAGAGGTAATGAGGGATCCCAAGCTGCACCATGCCACCTTTGTCCCCAACTTTATCAAGTAGACGACATGATGGGGGAGGGGCGATCCCAGAAGTGGGTACCAGCGCGATAGTCTTTTAGCATCGAACATAATAAAATCTTATAATTTAATACAACTATTGGAGAGCTTGTGTACTGTGATTGCCTTTGAGCTGATCATCGAAGTGGCTTACCATGTTCTCTCCCACACTTTCCTGTAAAAAACGCATCGACCAGATCTCCTCCTCCCTCTCTCCAACATCACTCTCTTCTTCCATTGGCCAACCATATCGACATCTCCACATCGCGGAAACCCGACTCGGAAGGACTTTGGAATTCGCTGTTAACAATCAATAACCCAACAACACCGACATTGACAGACTCAAACATCAATCATGCCTCGCGATCGCAACGACAACACCGTCTCGTTGCACGTCAGCGGATTCAAGGAAAACACTCGGTAGGAAACAGCTTGCCATTGACCTGAAAGCGATGGCGAGCTGAAGAAAAGTGCATCACAACCAGACATCGACTCTTGTTAACCCTGTCTTCCTTCATTCTCTCATCTTCAACTGGCTACTTTAGTCCGAGCGATTTGGCCTCTCTCTTTGAGGCTTTTGGGCGCATTGCCGATGGTAGATAAGCTATTGCTGGTTAGCGTTGACGCTGTGCGATGCTGGCGTTCAAACTCTCTCTAACAACTGTATTCCTCTCTTCATTTCTTCACTCTTGCTCGATATGAAAGTATACATCCCTAAAGGTGAGAGCGACAACAATGGTTTTTTTTTTTTTTTTTTTTTATCCTTGCACTGAGCGGGCGCGTCATTCTTCTGGGTGGTTACGGCGGATCCTTCTCATTTATGTGCATGATAACCAGTTGTTTGGCTTTCGACTAAATATTGGATATTTCTATGGTACTCATTGCCTAGATTACTACACCGGCCAGTCCCGCGGCTTCGCATATGTCCAGTAAGTGATGTGAAAGAACTGCAAGGCATGAAAAGAGGGGGAGGGGGGCATAAAGGAGATCAAACAAGAATGCAATAGATGATACGAGGAGTCAACGCCTTTTGCGCGACAGGAAGCACCAAAGAAAGAAAAAAAGAAAAATGGCGGCATTCGGCACTCCATCAATTGCATCCATAGCAGGATACAGGACAGGGACACTACCCAGCAACCAATGTGCACTTGCAGCGCCTTGATTCGCTCGACATTCTGCTCGTATCCTTTCTAAAGGACTCCTCATCGTACTCTTTTACCCGATTACAGTTGCTCTCATTTTTTACGCACACATCCTCCTCCGATATTTGTACGCTGCTTGTGCTGCTGCCCCTTCCTTCATCCCTTCTCCATTTCACTGCTACGCTTTAATTTATGTCTTCAAGTCAAGTCAAGATTGAACATTGGGCTGGCAAATCCAACACGAACACACGAACACACGAACACACGAGCACACGAGTACACGCAGATCAAGCGACAGAGTCGATGTGGGATTGAGCCTGGATAATTCAAGTGGCATGCAAGCAACATTCAAGCACCATTCAAGCAGCACTCAAGCAACATTCAAGCGAGTCCAACACTATCAATACCAACCTGGTTATTAGCCATCGGCAAACCTCCTTTCCCGTCCCAAAGATGAATTGACCGCTCATGAGAGAAAAGAAGGATTTTTCCTCCTCTTCCCCCTCCACGCTATCCTATTGTCCTTTCTCATTCAAGAACAAAAAAAAAAAAGAAGAGAAGGAGGTGATGCAACGAAAAGACTATCCTTCCTGGCTCAGGAAGCCATGTCCATGAGACAGAGCTTCACAGCAAGTTCATTATGTTTGCCGGCTCGTTGACCCATCATCTCTCCATCACTCTTCTTCAAAATAATTGTATTTTAGGTATCAAGATGAGGACGATGCGCGACGCGTCCATGAAACCAGGGAAGAATTCGTTCTCGATGGACGCAAGCTCGAAGTCCAGTTCGCCCAGGGAAGAAGAAAGAGTAAGTGAGCCATTGAAGCACTGCAGTAGGGCACCGTTGGATATGATATCAGGAATTGACGAACACTGACCAACACTTTCTTCCTATCTTTTTATAGCCCCTAACCAGATGAGAGGGTATGTGATCGGATTGGCTTGCCTAGACACCATATCGAAAGGCTCGATATCCTTACTGACATCATTCATCATCAACACCATTGATCATTAGACAAGGGCGTGGAACGCGCCGCTCCAGGTCTCCGGATCGCTATCGCCCAAAGTAATTAACAACACTTTTCGCGTTCACAGTGATGCTATACCTCCATATTTTGGTAATGTACTAAACACGAATCGCAACCCATTCCCTTCATAGCCGACGCTACTCACGCTCGCGCTCTCGCTCTCGATCCCCTGCTCGCCGTGACCGTCGCCGCGATAGCCGCAGCCCTGTGCGTCGTGGACGTTCCCGTTCCAGGACACCTCCTCGCCGTCGCTCAGTTTCTCCCAGACGTCGCCGTTCGCCATCGCCTCGCCGCCGTTCTCAATCTCGTTCGCCTCGTGGACGCAGCAACTCTCATGCCCATCCTAGTCGCTCCCGTTCTCGCTCGCACTCCCCTAGACGCACCCGTCGTTATACACCCAGCCCTGAGAGAGGCGCGCCCAAGATGAGCAATGGAATGGAGTCAATGGACGTGCCAATGCCTCATGCGCGCCAGGAGCATGGAGAGGGTGCAGAACAAGGTGAACTTGTGGAATTCCAGTAAGATACATACGAGGAATTGAACCGGTCGTTGTTTGTAACCGGCTATTATTTTGCGCCTGCAATAGCTTGGTTTTTATTTCTTATATTTTTTCTTGAGCTGTTGAATAAATAAAACGAGTTGTGCCTCCGGCGCCCTTAAATTAAATATGTCCAGGTAATGGTGGATACGGCTCAAAGTCGACCTTCCTTGGCACACAGATTTCTTGTGCGCTAAGGAGGAGCCAGTTTCGTATTCAATCCATATCGTCCAGAGCGACCTGAAGGCGAGTCTTCAACAGAAGATTGTAATTGGCTTCCTGTATGTCAGCGGCGGCAGACATGGGCTCGTTTGAGAATAGACCTCATCTGCGTAGGGGCTTGAAGGTACTGACGAGAATCCCTCGATGGGAGCCTCCTTCTCGACGGTGCGGTTGCGGAGAGGGATTTCGACTAGCTGCGTCTCTTGGTCACTTACAACTGACTTCGGGTCTTCGTAATCCAGGTTAGATTTGTCGTCGTCGCCCCACATATTGTTATCAGAGCCTTCAGAGTCGTCCTGATCCACGAAACCATTCTCCTTCAGTTGCTGGAAAGTTTCTTTGTATTGCTCGCGATCCATCATCTCGGTAGCGATCTCGACAATTGCTGGCAAAGGCCCTTCGCTACTGATCATGCTGAGATAGTTCAGGATAGAGATGTCCTTCTGATTGACGATAGTTTCCTCGTTTCCTGCATATTATTCCCTGAGCTCTTCTTGAAGACGACTGACTTGATCTGCCTTTGTCTTGACTCCCAGACCTAGCAACCGAGTTTTCTGGTACCCAGAGAGGATGAGGACATGGATAAAGCAATTGCGGATGCAATCAGAGGTTACCTTCTTCCAAGAGTGGACCAGACACGCCTAGAGCCTCCTATTTGAAACTGTAGCCGTGGATGATCCTTTTCGAACACAACAATTGCAGACGACTTCGAGCATCTCTTGGCTGTAGTGGACCTTGAAGGACCGGATAATGCCAGTATCGAGCGGCTGGGTCATGGATGGTATTTGGAGGTAGCCTGATGATGATGATATTGAGGAACCCCTGTTCTTCGAACCTCGCGTGTCCTGGCGCGCTGTTGATCAGCAAAGCGATCTTGCGTCTCTTTGTGTACATGTCCCAGTCTAGCTTTCAGAGCCAATCGACAAACAATTCGCGTCCCGTGTAACCGCTTCCTTGAAAGTTGGCATCGATAGCCTTCAATGCCACTTGCCTGCTGTTTATACCAGGTATAAACGGTCTCTTCCATAACCGCCATTGGCCTTGGCCTGTTACGTATAATCGTTCTTGTTGCCACAGGCGGCAGCGTCGCCACTGCTTGACGGATCTTGTCTTCCTTTTTGAGTATATCGGTGGCTGTCCTGAAGAAAGCGACATGGGAGGCATATGGATTGTGTTCTCGCTGTGCGTTGATATTTTAAGAGGAAAGGATGGGCTCGGGATGAGTGTATGTGGGAACAAAAGTGTTGAGATTCATGATTCTTTAATGTTTACAATACCAGTTTCATATGGAATGGCTTCTCCTTAACGCATGAGAAATTTGTCTTCGCTCGCGCCTGTCTTAAAGTGCACTGCTACAAAGTCGTTGTTCTCGGTGATAGAGGAGTCGGCAACAACTCGTTAACGGTTCAATTTTGCAGCTATCATTATATGTCGTCCTATCAACCAACCATTGAAAATCTCGACTCGAAGAGACTGGTCATTGGCAACGATTCATATCTCCTGGACATACTGAACACTGCAGGAGAGCCGGTTTACAAGATACTAAAAGACCGGTGGATCCAACGAGGAGACGGATTCTTGCTGGTATACTCCACTGCCGATCTAAGAAGCTTTTGGAAGATAAAGCTCATCTGGGATGATATCTTGGCCTTCAAAGGTGGACCCCAACCACCTATGATACTTACCGAGCACATAAAATGGCAAAGCAGGAGTGATTCCCTTGGACCTCAGGAATGTCACCCTTTCCTTCCCCTGAAGTGGGCGTTTGATGTCGCACAATCAATGGCGAAGCAAAATGAACTCTGACTCCAGCATCGCCTCTCCATGAACCATAGTTACACAGGCCCAAAAGCAATTCCCTTCGCCCAGAACGGTATCACGCCCGCCCTTATCCTCCCCATTTTATCCGGATAGAACTGGGCGAGGCTTTTGAACTTCAGAAGCCGCCTCGCCACCGACTGCCTGATTGTCGGCCATAAAAGATCAAGAGATTGCGTGTCCACCCAGCTCTTAGGTCCTCCTTCACTTGCCCGTTTCCTTGTTTCCTTCATTATTTTCTCCAAATGCCTTCAGACCCTGCACTCTCCATTTTCAGCAACAGCCTCATTTTCGAGCGGGTCTGCGACTACCTTGGCAACATTGGCAGTATTGCCGCCATGAGCTTTTCGAAATGCAGCCTTGTTAACAAAGCCTGGCACAGCCTCTTCCTCAGTAAGCTCATCTCAGAATTGAAGACAATTCTCCTCAAGCGAGGCTCATCTGTTCGGCAATTGTTTCTCGACTTCACAGTGCCACTACAAGCCTTTCGCGACCTAGCGGTCAACTGTCCCAGACTCATCGGGCTCAATCTAGTGCTCGGCCCCACTGAGTTTGACCGAGCTCGCGTGCAGTCGACCTTGAACTGCTTTATGCCTGTAACCGTGCCCACGCTTACATACGGCGGTCTTTAGGATGAGCAAGATCTTCTGCCAAATAGCTCTCGAGGAGCCGCCATGGGAATCCCCAATGCATCGTATCGCAGCTTCCGTCAACGTTGGAGGAGCTTTATCTACCGATTCGTGACTTATGCGATCAAGTCTTTCCAGCAGCAGGGGAAGTACCCTGGAAGACGAACCCATGCTTGAGGACGGTCCGAATGCCTATGGCACTCTACGGAAATGAAGAGTCCATTGTCTTTCCCTTCCTCAGCCACTGCCCGTCTCTGAAAATCCTCTATCCTTGTGACATCGACGAACGCTACGACGGCAAGATGACTCGACACCTTCAAAATCATTGCCCAAACCTTTAAGACCTACTCTTTCATCATCGGGACTATCTTGGTCAAGAAGCGGTACTGAGCTTGATCCGAGGCTGCACGGGACTGGTCCACTTTCAATATACCACTGTGCCATATAAGGAGGAACTTAGTGCAGGCTTTTCAGAGATCGGCCCTGATTTCACAACGACTCTGCTGAGCCACTCTTCCTCGTTGCAAGTCTTAGAGCTGAGAGGAGCATCGTTTTTCATAAGCAAGGAGGTCGTGTTAGTGCTAACAACATGCTCAGGATTGAGGGTACTCTCGATTGAAGATTCTCTTACGCATCTGGATCTTGCCGATATGGACGAAAGGCGATGGGTCTGTCATGGACTTGAGCAGTTGAGCCTGAGATTATATAGTCGACTCAAAGGAATGGATCAGCGTCGTATGGTCCAGGATGTGTATCGACAGATTGGGGCACTGCATCGATTGCAGTTCCTACGATTGGTCTGGACAAAGTGGTGGGGTGATGAGAAATACTGCAGCGTGGACTTTTCATTAACGTCTGGACTTGACCATCTCAAGAACTTAAAGCAACTAGAAACACTGGATATTAGTTATATCCAGCACAAAATCTCATGGGATGAAGTCCGATGGATCGAGGCACATTGGCCGAGATTGAGAAAATTGTGCGTCTCGGACCTAAACCTTAATTGGGGCAAGCCAGGCAGGGTTCCCGACAAGCCTCCTCATTTCAATTGGCTGTTGAACTGTTGAGCCTTTGCTTAAGGTAGGTAGTCGAGTACTTGTCTACCAATAATACATATGAGAAAAAATTGCAGCTGGACACATAATATTCAGTCTTTTTTTTTTTTTTTTTGGAAAAAAAGAAGAGGCAGTGAAACTCTCAGAATGTGCGACCGCCCTCATCATAACCCTTAGAAAAGGATTAGACAAGATCATCAATAAGCAAACAAGAATGTCTCCAAAAGGAGGCAGACTCGTGCTTCGCTTCCCTTTACGGGCAGCGCACTTCAGCTCATCGTCGAGAGTAAACTGTGTGTCTAAGTTGGAAAACGAAGACTAGAGATGTACTAGACAGAAATCCTGTAAGTACAGTCGATAAAGAGAAAATTGCTTCACGGTTGGAAGGTTCTTTTATAGTGTCCTGGGCTCAGTGACTGTCCAAGAGCTGTAAACAAAGGCGCACTTTTTGCTTCAGTGGGCGGGGTTTGTCTTGTGGGAGCGCAAGTTGGAGGAGTCGAGTAAAAAATCAGGACCAAATTGAAGCGGGAACGAATGCGGCCTTGTGGACTAAATTGTGAAAGACAGTCGAGCGGAGACTGATGCTAAACACCCCTCAAGGTCCATTCAGCATGTTGTACATACACAGTTCTCGCAGCAAACTTTTTTTTTTACTCATCACTTGTTTTTCTGTCTCACACCAGCGCTGAGAATCCTACAGATAGTGTCTATCGACCCTCCCTTAGCAATGTTGCCCTGAGCACCAAGTTGAAAATTTTTCTCTGATCAAACGGTTTATGTGTCATAAAATGCGTCGAGCATCCATACTACGTTGAGAGTTTTCTCCGTTGCCGATTCTTTGCAGGGATGTGAATTACAATTGATCTCGGACCTTTTGCAACAAGAGAGACCACTTCAGCAACTGTTTTCGAGGAGCAATTGCTCGCTGACATCAAGACATTATATAGCTTTTGATACAGTTTTTTTATTCGTTGTTTTCATTATCATCATGCACTATAGGTATCAATGAACTGGCTATGACCTTCTTGGGGGGCACAATGACAATCTAGAGGGAGATCTGCAGAAACATAAAATAACGCGCTATTCGTTAGTTATTTCAACATTGTTATGATAACAAAAAAAAGGCCCTTGACAGATAGAAAAAATGTCAGAACTTCTTAGAGATGTATACGGGTCATTGGATGGTTGATCCTGGTATAGTTATGTAGGTGTCATCATTCATATTATTCAAGTGCAGGTTTGGTGGTGGATGAGAATCCAAAAGGATTACTTACATGAAGGAATGGATTAAGGTGAAGAGATCAGAAAGCAGAGATCGAGGTGTGAAAAAGAGAAAAGAAAAAATGTTTGCGTTTTGTACTGCAGTGCCTGGGCGCCAGTCACCGCCACTTCCCCCCGATCAGATAGGGCAAGTCAGGATATGTGTCAGCAGCGGGGAAGGAAGCTTTTTAGTGAATCTATTCTTCGCCAGCAGAAACGACCAGGAACATAGCCAACCAGCACGCCATTATCCTCTTTCTTTTTCTTATTTATCATTCCTTACAAAACCAACCCGTACTCTCTCATTCAACCACTTTCAAGAATCATTCAAAGCGAATGCCACGACTGGAACAACTCGTAGAACTGCAGGGTCAGTTTTATTTTATTTTATTTTTTACCAAGGACTCATCTCGCATGAACAATTTCCAATTCAATGCAACCCAACTCGGCTCAGCTTGACTCAACCCACTACGATTTTCTTGACAATCCTTGTAGGTCATGAGGACCGTGTATGGTGCGCAGCCTGGCACCCGACCAAGCCGATCCTGGCCACCTGTTCTGGCGACAAGACCGTCCGGATCTGGCAATCGACGAATGCACAGGACCCAACGAAATGGCAATGCACCAATGTGCTCGAGGGTGGACACAAGCGCACGATCCGTAGTGTAGCCTGGTCACCAGACGGTCGACAACTCGCAACGGGATCCTTTGACGCGACCACAGGAATCTGGGAGAGGGACGAGGACGATAGCGGTGGTAACGTTTTGTGGTCTTGTACTTTTATTACAGCGGAGGCTCCCCCATGCGGGGAGGAGAGAATCTACATGGAAGCTGTGAAGACGGATCAGACCGGGATAGGAAGAGAAAGGGAGAGAGCGATTTGAGTTGGCTAACTGTATCTACTTCCTCTTCGCTCCATTTTTCTTTTTCGTCATGTTTACTTTGTAGATTACGAGTGCGTGGCGACATTGGAAGGACATGAGAACGAGACAAAGTCAATAGCCTGGTCGAAGAGCGGAGCCTTGTTGGCGACATGTTCTCGAGACAAGAGTGTCTGGATCTGGGAGGTCGAGGAAGACAATGATTTCGAGTGCTTGAGTGTCTTGCAGGAACATACCCAGGATGTTAAGATGGTTGCCTGGCATCCTAACGAGGAGGTAAACGGGAACGACAAGCAAAGCAATTGATCCGCCATGCTCTCTTTTTTTTTTTTTTTTTTTTTTTTTTTTTTTTTTGCTAGGATCATTGAATACTGACCATGAAGTTTTTTTTTTTTTTATTTTTTTTATTTTTTTGGCAACGTGTTATGATAGCTCCTTGCTTCAGCCAGTTACGACGACACAATCAAGATCTGGAAGGACGACGATGACGACTGGTACTGCTCCGACACACTCCAGGGCCATGACTCGACTGTCTGGGCGATCGATTTCTCACCCTCAGGCGACGAGCTCGTCTCGGCATCTGCAGATCAGACTCTCAAGATCTGGAAACGGTTCCAGCCCGGCAACCCCCTGGGCATTATGACACCTCGTCGTGGAGAACCTGTCTGGAAGTGTGTGGCGACAGTAGTAGGAAAACATGAGCGATGCATTTATTCAGTCTCATGGTCCAAGGTCCATGGATTGGTTGCCTCTGCGGGAGCTGATAATGTGATTAGGCTGTTTGAGATCCAGGAGGCTGTCGGGGAGAATGTAGTGGGGAAGTTGACGGATGAGCAGAGGAAGACGTTGAATGAACCGGGTGTGCTATTGGAAGGCAGAGAGGTGGCGGAGGTGAGGAATGCGCATGGGACGAGTGATATTAATTCGGTGGCATGGTACCCAAATGAGGAGCATGGAGACTGGTTGGCCTCTGGAGGAGATGATGGGTCGGTAAGGATCTGGAAGATTGTTAGGGATTAAAGGCAGATCAAGGAGCAGGATTGAATCGACATAAACAGGCGGACAGTTGGGGTCTTGGATCTGCTAGAGTCGTAAAAGGCAACAAATGACACTTCTTAGAATAAACCTCGGAGGACAAGATCATCTCCTATGCTGACCACTACCACTCTTTATCTCGGTGTCCCGTTCATTGCCAATTACTTCCTTGGACGAGAGTGCTTATGGCCACTCAAGTGGATTACGAAACTGCGATCGTGCTGACCACCGAAGAGCGCGCCTTGGATGCTGTTACTGAGGGTCGAGGAGATCGGACATGGCGGTTGAGTATGCCTTCTTGATCTCGATGTTACAGGCTTCTGTGCTCAGAGCTGATAATGAGAAAGAGAGCAACAGGGTTTAACCGATGACTCCGTGAATGATCTGGCGCATGAAGGATGTCTTTACGAACGAGCTATTGAATGAGCTGGATAATGGACAGTAAGGCAGTGAATTATGGGTTGAGCTGCATCATCGGCAAAAGTCCATCTCTATTGCGAGTCATTGGCCTGCGGCTTCAAGGCAATCTCGTATGTCAGCGGCGGATCAGAAGCAGAAGCAGAAGCAGGACCGAGGTGTCGCCAACATCACAGAAGGCGAGAATGAGGTTTGGGGTCCCAGAGTAGCGAAGGGTTGTCGTCGAACAATATTCGCGGTCGAAGGAGGTCCAAATAGAGTGGTGTCTGCGCCGATATCATAGGGTCCAAGGATTGAGAGTCGAATGACGAGGTGGATCACCAACTTCCTTTAGAGGAGTTATTTACATACAACCCCTGTGGTGTGAGATTCTCCTGAATGCTGAATAAAAGAAGGGTCGATTGATAGAGAAGGAATTGCGGCAGCAGAGAAAGAACATTCTTGGACAAAACGGTAAAAGTTAGTCATTGCAAAAGACGACGGAGAAAAAAAAAGAATTATTCCAAGCATGCATTCGGAGAAGCAGCCTCTGTCTATCTGCATGTAAGCATGGGAACAAATGCGTGCTTTCCCACCTTCTGCTGCGAGTGTGTTATCGACTCCGATTTGTAAAGGGGTACTGTAGCTTTCTCGAGCCAATATACTGCAGCATTACGCTTGCGCCTCCCCCCCCACATGTCGGCGCCACCTGCATGCACATGCATGCATGCCTATACACATCGACGAACGTGCGTCAGGGGTAGAATCGAAGGCAGGAGATGTGGTTGGATATAATTATGAGTAACAATGCGTGGATTTAAGGGTTAACCCCCACCAAGCCCCTAATAAAAAGCTTCTTTGATGAATGGTCCAGGGACAAAGTGTTCCTTCGCTCCCTCCTCCCTCTTCTTTGTTGCTTCCACCCCAACAAAAGAACCCGCTCCACACCATGTCCGAACCAAAGGTACCTTGACTAAATTCTCTCTTCCTTTTTCACCACCCTATCGACACTCAACAGAGAAGAGGGCTGTCGGATAGATCTTCTTATCAGCCGCAGCAGCAGTTTTCAAACTTCTGATCAACTCTCTTTGTTACTGATTGCCAAGGAAGGAATCAGACCTGCCACTAACTTAATGTGTCTACCGCTCTCCATGTTCCTTCTCTATTCTCATTCAACCGACCTGTTTGCGATGTTAATGACAATCCCGAACACCAGACGGCCAAGCGCGATTTCTTGATCGAAATCGAGAAGCAATCCCAGAAGGTCTGGGAGGATCACAAAGCCTTTGAGGTCGACGCACCGACAATCGAGGAACATGCTGATATTACGACTATCCATGAACATCACCCCAAGTTTCTGTCGACGACCGCCTACCCCTACATGAACGGACGCCTGCATCTCGGACACGGATTCACGTACTCAAAGATTGAGTTTGCAACGGGATACCATCGCTTGCAAGGAAAGAGGGCCCTGTTCCCTATGGGATGGCATTGTACCGGCATGCCCATCAGAGTAAGTGCACCCATTCAACCTGCCCTCCCTTGGATACTTTGTTTTTAGGGCGCTTCTGCTTTGTATTCGTGGCAGTCTCGGATTATGAAAAGGAACATTCGAGCAACATGCAGTGAATCTTCCTTCCAACAGAGCAGTGTCTCACCATCGCTCTTTTTTCTAGGCCTGTGCTGACAAGTTGGCCCGCGAGATGGAGATGTTCGGCAAGGACTTCGTTATCCCTGAAGGTACTATTCTTGGAGCCAGCGTGGCGTTGCATGTGCACCTGTCCTATCGATCAACTGCATACTTACTCGCTTTTATTTTATTCGAGCAGGACATGAGGAGTCTCTTGAAATTGAAAAGTTGAACTTAAAGGAGAACGAGAAGGTCGATCCCACTAAGATCGTCGCCAAGAAGGGCAAGGTCGCTGCCAAGAACACTGGTCTCAAGTACCAGTTCCAGATCATGGAGCAGAGCGGTGTCCCTCGCGAGGAAATTCCTAAGTTTGCGGATCCTCTTTACTGGTTGACCTACTTCCCCCCAATTGCCACTGTAAGTCCCTCTGTTCTTTTATGACATTGTCGCCTCCAGTCGACCAAAAATGAAGATCTTATTGACACTTTCTTTCTTTTATCTCGACTTGATCGGACACAATGACAGGCTGATCTGAAGTCCGTTGGCTACAAGCTCGATACCCGTCGCTCATTCGTCACCACCGACGCCAACCCTTTCTATGACGCTTTCATTCGCTGGCAGTTCAACAAGCTGAGGGCTTTGAATAAGATCAAATTTGGAGAGCGCTACACCATCTACTCTCCCAAGGATGGTCAGCCCTGCATGGATCACGATCGTCAGAGCGGAGAGGGCGTTGGACCCCAGGACTACACCTGCATCAAGCTGAAGGTCTTGGAATTTGCACCAGAGACCAAGGCTGCTTTGGCTGGAAACAAGGAGATTGAAGGCAAGCAGGTCTTCATGGTTGCTGCCACCCTCCGTCCCGAGACCATGTACGGACAGACCAACTGTTTTGTCGGCGTCGATCTCAAGTACGGAATCTTTAAGACCAACAACGCCAACGAACTGTTCTTGATGACTGAGCGCGCTGCCCGCAACATGGCCTACCAGAACTTGTCTCCCTCAAACGGCGAGGTCGTCAAGGTCGCTGATTTGGTCGGTCGTCAGTTGATTGGTACTCAGGTCAAGGCTCCCTTGACCACATACCCCTCTATCTACGTCTTGCCCATGGATGGTGTCCTGGCCACCAAGGGTACCGGCGTCGTCGCCTCGGTTCCCTCGGACTCTCCTGATGATTATACCGCGGTCATGGATTTGAAAAAGAAACCCGACTACTACAAGATCCAGCCCGAGTGGATTGCCTCGTACGAACCCATCCCCATTATCAACACCCCCACCTACGGCGACCTCGCTGCACCCACAATCTGTGCTCAGATGAAGATCAACTCTCAGAAGGACAAGACTCAGTTGGCATTGGCAAAGGAGGCCGTTTACAAGGATGGATTCTACAACGGAGTGATGGTCATTGGCGAGTATGCCGGCAAGCCCGTCCAGGAGGCCAAATCCTTGGTGCGCCAGCATTTGATCGACAGCAACGAGGCTGTTCCTTACAACGAGCCCGAGAACTTGGTCATGTCCCGCAGTGGAGAGGAGTGTGTCGTCGCCTTGATGGACCAGTGGTATTTGGACTATGGTGAGCCCGAGTGGCGCAAGTTGACCGAGGAGTGCTTGAAGGACATGAACGTTTACACTGATGAGACCAGGCACGCATTCGAGAAGAACTTGGCCTGGTTGAACAAGTGGGCCTGTGCCCGTTCCTATGGTTTGGGAACCCGCTTGCCTTGGGACCACAACTTCTTGATCGAGTCGTTGTCGGACTCGACTATCTATATGGCCTACTATACCATTGCCGGATTGCTCCACAATGGATCGATCAACGGCGCTGTTCCTGGACCCTTGGGCATCAAGGCCGAACAGATGACCGACCAGGTCTATGAGTACATCTTTGCCGATGGACCTCTCCCCACCGATAGCGATATTCCCAAGGCCTCGTTGGACAAGTTGCGCCGCGAGTTCGAGTACTTCTACCCCTTGGATGTTCGCACTTCTGGCAAGGAGCTGATCCCCAATCACTTGACCTTTGCACTTTATAATCACGTTGCTCTCTTCCCCAAGAAGTACTGGCCTCGCAGCATTCGTGCCAACGGGCACTTGATGATGAACGGCGACAAGATGTCCAAGTCGACCGGTAACTTCCTGGGTCTTGCCGAGGCCGCTGAGAAGTATGGTGCTGATGCCACTCGCTTGGCTTTGGCCGATGCTGGAGACAGTGGAGAGGACGCCAACTTTGAGGACGGTACTGCCAACGCCGCAATTTTGAAGTTGCACACGTTGATGGAGTGGATCCAGGAGACCTTGGCGACCAAGGACCAATTGAGGACCGGCGAGTACAATTTCTACGACCTCGTCTTTGAGAGCCAGATGAACAAGTTGATCAACCAAGCTGAGGCTGACTACGAAGCGACCTTCTATCGTGAAGCTGTCAAGTCCGGATTCTACGAGATGACGACTGCCCGAGACTTTTACAGAGAGGCGTGCGCGTTGATGGAGATCCCCATGAACCGCGACTTGATCATGCGCTACATCGAGATCCAGACCTTGGTCATCTCACCCATCGTCACGCATTGGTCTGAGCACGTCTGGAGCAAGTTGCTGGGTAAGAAGGGCTTGGTTGTCAACGCCCGCTGGCCCAAGGCTGGACCAATCAACGATACGGTCTTGCAGGAGGTCGAGTACTTGCGTCGTCAGGTCACCAACGTCCGTTCCACAGAGACTCAGGCGAACAAGAAGAAGAAGAAGGGAAAGACTGATGTGTTTGACCCCTCGAAACCCAAGAAGATCACGATCTTGATCGCCGCCAAATTCCCCGAGTGGCAGGAGGCCTCGATTGCGGTCTTGCAGGACGCTTATAGACCTGACAACACGGATGGAAAGCTGTTCGATGATGAGAAGGTCAAGAAGGATTTGGGCGCGAAGGGCATGATGAAGGACAAAAAGGTGATGCCATTCTTGCACGACTTGAAGAAGAAGGCCGAGCAACAGGGAGCCGTGGTGTTCAGCAGGACTTTGTCGTTTGATGAACCTAAGATCTTGGACGAGCATGCGGAGTACTTGAGGAAGATCCTTGGTTACCAGGACTTGAAGGTCATCAAGTCGGACGAAGTTGTGAAGGCCACGGAGGGCGATGCAGACCAGGAAGACTATGTCCGTGCAGCTGAGCAATCGGTGCCTGGACAGCCCACTTTTGTTGTCAAGAACATTGCTGCCTAAATCAGTCGTCGTCGTCGTCGTTTTTTTTTTTTTTTTTTTTTTTTAGTTCTGTCATTTGCTTTTAGATGCTTCTTTTATTTACCTATTCCCTGCTATTACTCTTTTTTTTTTTTTTTTTTTTTCAATAAAACGTTGTGTGTGCTTCAACTGCCGTCGCATATCAATCATATAGTTGTTGCGCATATATATCATAGAAAAAAGATTGATGTCTTTTTGTCTGTTAGATTTTATTTGGTTTGTTACATACAAATCGAACTCAAATGGCTCTAAGGACTGTTTTTTACGCGCGCGCGTATTAAGAGAAGACAAAAGGAGTTGCTACATGCATTCCGCATTGGTATGCAAAATAAGAAAAGACCGGAGGAGAAAGCGCAGGAGGAGATGCGGAAGCAAAACAGCGACAAGTCCTCGAGATAACTCGCCATCCTGTTCACGTTCACTCCATACCTTCCTCCAATCGCCTCTTCCGATCGCCGTGCATAACAGGTCCCGCCGATGGTGCTGATCCCGCTGGAGGCGTACTTGTGGGCGCTGCTGTTGCTGGTGGTGCCGAAGATGGTGGTGGTATACTGCCATAGGGCGGTCTAAATTGTGCTGGCGGTACAGCGCCTGGTGGTGGGAACTGACCCGGTGGAGGGAATTGTCCTGGGGGAGGTGGTGCAAACTGTCCTGGTGGCGGGGGGAAGGGGGCTCCTGGAGGTGGGAAGGGAGCACCCGGAATAACGCCTGGGAAGCCGGGAGGTGGAGGCGGGAATTGACCAGGTGGAGCGCCAGGAGGCGGACGCATGAACATGGAGGGGTGAGGGGGCATAGGTGGACGGGGTGGAAGGCCGTTGGGACCGGGTTCACCAAGACGCATGGGTGGCATGCCAGGAGGCATTCCTGGGAAGCTTGAAGGTCTATATGGGTTGAAGCCGCCTATTCGGAGAGATGCGGAAGGGAAAAAGGGGGTTAGCGTGGACGAAAGTGAGCCGGATAGAGTTGGATGAAGAATGAAAGAAGAGAAAAAAAACGCTTACCAGGTGGACCTCCGAAGCCCATCTGAGGGTAGCCAGAGTACTGGGGCGGAACGACTATGGTGCGAAAGAAAAGGACAATAGACGGTCAGAGACGTTGTAAGGATTGATTTTTGAAGCAAATGATAGAGTGGACTCCTGGCTGAGGTTGAAGGTGCGTGTGTACCTGATCCTGTCTCTGCGTACGCCTTTGCGATGGTGTCGACCACAGACTGTGTCGTTTGAGGGCTCAGCTCTAATTGTGAGGTATTCAAGGTATAAGACCAAAGCTGTTAATCGATGCTCACATTCATCAGGAGCTATAGCACAACATTGGTCGCTGGTATGAGGGGTTGGTACCTGAGTAGTAGGTCTTGACGTTGATCAAGTGGTTACGACCGGCATTATGTGATTTTCTTACGGACGAACTGTCATGCGTCAGAAAAATATCGCAGTAGTCTAGAAGGGCGTAGTGTCCAAAAGAAAAAACCACTGTCGTCAGTCCATGTTGCTTTGTTGTCTTCGGTCTCCTTGGTAGCCCTTCAGCTGTTGTCTGGAAGAAAAAAAATAGTCATCTCTCTTGCGAACTGATCCTGTCATCTTATCCCAAAAGTATTTACCGCAGTAGTATTTCGGCATGGCAAGATTACGCGTCCCTTTTGGTACTGAACAAAATAGCAAAAAGGGTCGAAGTCGAAGTCAAGGTCGAGGTCAAGGTCAAAGTCTGTCCTGGCTGTCCTGTCCTAGTCCTGGTCCTGGTTCTAATCGAAAAGTTGATCAACAAGAAGCGAGGGGCGATGCTCTGATCGCGGCCCAAATGTGAAACTGAAGCCAAAAAAGCCACCAATCTATATTTGACCAAGCTTTCTCTAATTGCATGACTGAAATTTATAACTATATAAATATTGCTATAACTAAAAGAATACAAGATGACAAAGCAAAGTCGCCCAGAGGAAGAGCGCTGGGCTCATAACCCAGAGGTCGGTGGATCGAAACCACCCTTTGCTACATCTTTTGCTCCCTTTCTTCTTTTAGTTAAGGGGAGTTTTTTGATCCCTAAACTCGCCTCGAAACAGAGGGCCAATAAAGGGAGTGATGCACACAGCACATTTTTAGAGTACCATTCTTGTGTGCGTCCTCTGGATGGTTCCTGATATATTTCCTTGGTTACGACAATCACAAACACCATCGTTGAACTTTTGATGTTAAAAAGTATTATTATTATTTATTAAACGAACAATTACATTCATCCCGCTATACGGCGGCCATCAGTGTTGAGAAATCGTATTTTTTGTTCAGTTTCTCGCTTATCAGTTTCTCTGTATACGCCCACACCTTTTCTTGCAACTCCACGCTCTCTGTTAACTTGCTTGGTCGCAACTCATTCGCAATTGGGATAAAGAACTTGCCCCTGATTCCGCTCACATCCGAATCCTTCTCGGCCTTTTCCTCGATCTCTGGACTCGTTGCACAATACAGCGGTGTGAGTGCTCCCTTTGCCGGTGTGTAAGCCACGGTCTTTGCGGTTAGGCGCATGATCTGTGTGAGAAAACATCCGTAGGCGTCGGCGGAATGACGACACATCTCGGTATCAACGATGCCGGGATGTGCAGAGTTGACATAGATTTGTTCAGATGCAAGGCGGCGGGTGAGAGATTTCATGAACAGCATGCTGGCGAATTTTGAACGGCCGTAGCGACTAGTAAAGACGAGACGAGAAGAAACGAAAAAAAAAAGAGGATGAGCAACGGGCTCTAGATGCAGTTGTCACTTTTCTTTCATCCAGGAGTGATTTCTTTGGTCGACTGTGCTTCTTCTGTTTCGTTATTTACGCTGATGGGTGCCCTTCGGACTCGTCGTTGATCCTATCAATGTTAATGCCTCCAGATACGGACATTTCATGTCCAACGGAGCTACCGCACAGAGCAAGAAGAATAAAGTTAGTGCGCAGCTGCATTGTTTAAATTCATTCGCTCGCCTAAAAAGAAACCAACAATGATGTTTTGATTCCTTACTTTACAAGGACAATACGCGATGGTTGACTCTCCTTCAATTTGTCCAGAAGCCCCATTGTGAAAACAAATGTACTATTGATAATAACATATCAAAGAAAAGCGAGCATTGGAACATAGGATTAGCTTTTCAAAGTGCTCATTTCCACTAAGAACAGCCCAGACAGACAGTGAGCCTAAGCAAACAATTGTACTTGCTCTGTGTTTGGTCAACACAAACGTGCACATGCAATCGAACGAAAGAAACAGGGGTGAAAACTTACGCAAGATAGTTGACAGCGAACTGCTCCTCGATTCCATCCGCACTCAATCTCCAAGGTGTCCCCATGATGCCGGCATTGTTGATTAGGATATGCAACGGCAGCCCTCGGCTCAGAAATGTCTCCGCAGCGGCCTTGACCTTGTTCAGGTCATTCAAGTCCAGCTCCAGAAATTCCAGTTGAACATCCTTGGGCGCATCTGGAAACTTTGCTTTAATCTCATCCCGGATCTCAGCCATTGCTTTGGTGCATTTGGACTCTGATCGGCAAGCCATGATGACATGAGCACCGCGACTGGCTAGTCCAACAGTGATGGCATATCCGATACCGGCGTTGGCACCGGTCACGATGGCGACTTTGCCACTGAGGTCTGGGATCTTGTCGTAGGAGTAACGGTCTGGGGTGAAGAAAGTCTTCCAGAAAGCACTGTTTCCGAGGTATGTTGGAAACGACATAGTTTTTTTTTTTTTTTTTGGTTTTTTTTTCACTGGAGCACTGTTAGGACCGAAGAAAAGACGAATGTGAAGACAAAGTGGAGTAAGTTGAGTGAAGAAAAGAATGAAGGGCAAGTGGAAGGGGAGAAGGAAAGAGGGCAGGAGCGAGAAAGAGAGAATGAGAAGGGGGCCTCTGTTTTCTTGTTGTCGTCGCTGCATTGTGAATTAGGCATGGCGTGTCCAACATGTGGGCTCACTTCTGCTGTGAATGGATCCTCGATCACTTTTCATAACTGCATTGGAACAATGCAGTGGTTCGAAATCCTAATTTCACTCGCTTCCCCTGTGCTCGTGCAACCATCAACAAATACCTGCTCATGCTTCTATACATCCATCTGGAACCCCTTCTTCGCATCCCTCACCAATGCCTTCAGGACCATTCGCATTTCTCCTGCATTTTCGACCTTACAGAGTTTGTCGCGCGTTAATGGAGTAAAATGAAAATTAAAATGAAAATGAAAAGTGGAAGGCACATAAACACGAATAGGATACTCAGGTGTTGATAAAGGGTATACCTCTTGCGCAGCGGTTTGCACTCTATTCAGGTCGTTCATATCCTCAGCACTTAGTCTTAGGTCAATAGCCATACGAATGCGAAGTTGTAGGCGGCGCGCAGAGAATACTGCGAATCAAGGTGAGGAGGTATAAGTGGTGGGGGATAAAAAAAAGTTAAATTCTTCTGCCTTTATATACTTCGGACAAAAGCAGAAAAAGTTTCCAGCTGTCGGACCAGTATACCCGCTACAATACCTTGCGGGTCAAGATCGATGCAAGGTGCCAATTAAAACTGAGTTTTGGCGGTAATCTCAATTCAGTCTTCTGAATAAGCACAGCTTTATGTCGAAAGACCGAGAAATCCGGGTTGTTCTTTATTCGGGAGTATATACGAGGGCAGACGGTTTTTTTGCTCAAACATTAAAAATACAGTAATACAAGTTCCTTGTCAACGACAAGATAGACGCCTAGGCTTTTCATTTTTCAACAGATGCGACGCGACTTTTAAACAGCTAGCATCCTGTATAAATCTCTAGACTGGAAGTAAACTGCCTGCCATACGAGAGCCCAGACGAATCGATCCGGTTGAGAATGGCGAGTACGAAGTAAAGAAGTAAAGCAGGGCAAAGATTTCGACCACTATTCCAATTATTGTTAGGATATAGCTCTTTTCCTATTGGGAGGAAAAACAAGTGATACTATTAGCCGCCAGTTCATCAGAGTTATTTTGCATCCATGGATTCGTTGACTTACGATCAGGCTTGAGTAGAGTACGAAGCTCATGGATCCAACGTAGATTACAGTAAATGGTAGCCGTTCCTTGGACACCAATGCCTTCAAATGTGCAACGGGACCTCTCAGCAACGCGAAACTATCGATTTTCAAGTATTTGGAACAAATACATGTCGTCAGTATGATTGATATGCGTGTCCATTCAGCTTTCGATAGGAGAGAGGTGATCGGGACAAACCTGGCCATGAGCAGAATGCTTCCTAATGTGAAGCTGGTCGCGAACTTGCTGGGCTTGAGCACAAGCAAAGGCAGGCCAACAAAAAAGGCGATCATGAAACAGGCCAGGCCTCCGGCAACGCAGATCGCAAATCCTGCTATGCGCTATGAATTTTAGGACACTCGTTAATGCTGTCCCTCTTAGAATCCGATCTACGCCTTGTCGATCAATAGCAATGAACGTGACACTGCCAAGAACAAATGTGCCTGCTGTTTTAAAAACCACGACCATTGGTTAAAGAAGAGATAAAGACGAACCTGGAACCAAGAGAGTCCCAGCCAGTCCTCCTCCTGTGGTTGGGCGCCCCCGCCAAGCGAGACGGGCACATATCCCGAGACCTGGCTCCTGACTCCGCCAAACCAATCTGATGCCCGACTGAAGGTGCCATTAGAAGTTGTTGCACTGGCGTTTGTGGCGGCAGAGACACCTCCGCGGGCACCAAAGTTCTTAAAGGCGTTCCTAAAGTTGGATTCCGTGCTGTTGGACATTGCTCCTGTGTGTTCAATGAGGGCTGCTTATGGAACTGAGTGTCTGAAAAAAAACAAAAAAGGATCAAGAGAGAGGGGGATGTTGAAGAGAAGATGGATCGAGATGAAGAGGGATAGAAGGATGGGGGGATGCTCTGCATCAGTGCAGTGAGTTCCCAAAGTGGCATCACGTGTAGTTTCGTTCTTGGCACTCTCTCGAGGACACGCGGTCGATCGGATTTGTGATCCAACGATTTGATAAAGCACAGCCTCAATACACAGTCGATTAGACTGAGCGATTACGCTCTGGCACAACTAGTCGCATACAGAGAACTGTACCGTCGTCTTAAGATCAACCTTAATGGTTTCAGATTCATTTATAGCCACCGAACTATTCACAGTTTTTACAGTTCATAACCTCCATTGCTTTCACACAACCTCAGCTTAATTAAATCAAATTGGTTTTATTCATTTCAGGAAAATATACCAGGCGTGTTTGTCGTGATGATAATACCTGTTGCTTCCTTTAAACAAAAGGGAGCCTCACACGCAGAACATTTGATTCTTGTCATCATCATGGTTCGTCATTGACAGAAGCCTGGTATTTTGTAGAAGTCAGACAGTCGGGTCGAAGCGAATGATACTGATATTGTAATTGTGTACTGGGGTCCTCTGCCTTCTTTCTCTAAACAAGATCTTCCTTCTCGAAGTTGCTGTGCCAGAGGTATAAAGGGAGTCACTTTCTGGCAAGCGCATTTACACCGTGCAGCACTGTCGAAACTGATCCACTACGCCCAACACTACTCATAAGTGTCAATTGAATCGACTTTGAAAGCGCGCCTGGAAACAACGAGGAACTTGGCAAGGAAGAGGTTCGCGTGCTGTGGAGAGGAGCAGCATGTCCTCAGCGGCCATAAGTACAGTACATCATCAGAGATTGCTAACGGTGACATTTATCTGGGGCGCGCCTTTTTTTTTTTTTTAATACGGCTTGAGTGGGGTAGCAAGGATTGGACGGTAATTTTGGTAGGCTCGTTCCCAGCCTGAGGACTAGACTCGTCACCAGCCTGACGTGAATGACATGTAAATTGCCATCTATGGCAATCACTTTATCGCATTTTCCGCGCGCAAACCTGCAATAAAACCTTAACTGGGGATTGAATTGAACCTCTCTGAACGAGCTATTCTAAAGCCGAAAAATACAGTCACATATTCAGTCACATGCTCTGCTGTTGATCCAGAATTCTTTTTTATTCTCATCCATCTCTCAAAGCACGTACCAGTGGCTTCACTATCCGTCGAATATCCACTGTATTCTTAGACCTCTGCTTCGCTCTCTGTCTCATTTGCTTGAGGCCTTCGATGTTTACAAGGCCCCCGGCCAGATCTTCCAGCGTTCGAGCAGCTATGTCCCATTCCTCGTCTGCGATCGGTGAGCTTGAGTATCGTCATGACTAACTTCTTCAGACTGGACGCTTTCTCCTTCATCTGCATTCACCAGCTGCTGCACTTCCTCAGCCAGCTCCTGCACGTCCTTGTTTTCTACTACTCGGAAATTCCAATTGTTCTCCATAGTAGTCTCGGCGATCAGATGCTCGAAGTATACCTTCTCCTGCTCTTCGTATTGGTCGTGCCGGGAGTATTGAAGTGGATGTTGCTGTTCAGCATGGATTGGCCGTCGTCGTCGGAGCTGCTCGCACATTTCCGTCGGAAGAATTGGCGTCTTGGCGAAGCAGTTTCGCAGCGTTAGAGTCTTCATTCGACTACATGCATAGGGGATCAATGTCCAAGCGAGTTCATTTGAGATACATTTCTTCTTTTCGTAGTTGCGAACGAGATAGGCTTCATAGCTGAGCATCTCCAGGAAAGCTCGTTTGAAACACTAATCACCCCTGCGTCGAGAGCTTGCGTTACTGATGTGGTGTTTGTCGGGAGCCGTCGTATGTGAAGATGCTTCCAAGGCGTGTTAGCTCGTGGATCACGCATGTCGATGTTGTTGTGCGCACCTGCAGAGTCATGAAGGAGAAGAGTTGACTCCGAGAGATCGTCATTAAGCATTTGTAGCCACCCTACGAATAGGTCCCTGTTCATTCATCCCGAGTTTGTTTTTTTCATGAGCATCCTTTTCGCCGAATCTTTCTCAATATCATTTGGAATGCTTGTGCCTAAATTAAAGAGCATCACAGAGTCGTAAAGGTCAAGAATGGAAATAAAAAACACGAATAAATAAGAGATGATTGCAACACAAATCATTCATTAAACGTATTACCGATGACCAACGGCTTCAACGAATCCTTGGTGTTTGCCATGGCGAGAGAGGAATCAGAAGCATTAATGCAGAATAGGATGGAGACCTTGCAGCTCCTGTTGGCCTTGACGCCTGACTTTGATCCTCGAGTTGTGTAAGACTTGTCGTCTAGCTCCTTTAAGTAAAAGCCGGTCTCGTCGCAGTTGAATATGTTGTCCGGAGTGTACTGGGCGCAAAACTGACGGATGTCGGTAAGCTCCGGTTCAATCGCCTCCAGATCGACCGATCTGCTTCTCCATGAAGCTGGCAATAGGTTATCCCATGGCGTTTCTTGAAGTGATTAAACCACGAGGCTGAAAATGATAGTGATGCCTCAGACACGGTATCGCCTGAATTGTCCTGAAGATCGACTAGAATCGTACATGTTTTCTTGATCATCTTGCCGTTGACAGGGACATTCTGTCTCCGCTGGTCTTGTAGCCACCGGTAGAGGACCTCCTCAATCATTACGCTCTTGCCTTCGACGATGTAATGAGCGTCCGGGGGGTGCGTCTTGACTGCAGCGCGTAATTTGTCTTCTCGTTTGAGCATGCATTCAAGGGTACATCTCGGAAGATTGGCTCCTATCATGCGCCCAAAAGAGCTGTGGGAAAGCTTGATCGGGAGGTTTTCCTTCCGATCATGAAGATAATGATATATGTCCAGTAGTTCGACTTGCTGCTCCAGGGTGTACGAGACTCTGGCCATTGGGACCTTGAACTACTCGGCGTCAGGAAACAGAATGAGCACCTTCATATCTCTACACCTGGCATAATACAAAAGCATGTTGTATTGTGCTTGACGAATATGCTCGGCATCCTCAAGTTCGTGCTTGGTGTATTTTTTGCGATTCTTGGCAGGAAGGTGTTGAGGAGTTGGTTTTTGTTTTTTGCTTGTCGCCGCTACATGGGTCGAGAGCGACTCGTACTGTCGTTTTAGGGGAGAGGTTGTAGTCATGGTGTTGAGGAATGTAGAATGCAACGTGAGGAGGTATGGTTGAGGCAGAACATGTGACTGAACATGTGACTGTATTTTTCGGCTTTAGAATAGCTCGTTCAGAGAGGTTCAATTCAATCCCCAGTTAAGGTTTTATTGCAGGTTTGCGCGCGGAAAATGCGATAAAAACGAGTTTCGACTGTAATGTAAATTTGGATCTTTTTTGCAAAATATCGTCACAGTCCTTTTTGCAGAATAATGCATTTTTTCCACTGAATTGAAAATATAAGGGGTGTTATTCAGTTTTGTGATGGCGGTGACCCTACCTTATATCCTCACACTTTTTCCCTCTCTCACTTTTCCCCGAAAAGCAGCACGATTGGTGATCCGTAAGTCCAAGCAGAAATAAAGATGGACTGAATAACATCCCTTATATATTTCAATTCAGTTGACAAAAGTCGATAAAATGCATCTTTGCTATAGTTTTAAGGCGTGTTGAACCAAATTGGCAGGTCTTCAATTGATATGTCAATTGCTCATCCAACTGTCCCCCTTAAAATTGGTGGCGTTTTTATTCAACTGTCTCCCACTTCACTGGCACTCATTCAGCCTCACACTCTTTTCATTCCATTCTCTTCGTCATGCCCATCACACCTGCAACGCCTTGTAACAACAAAGATTATGGCAACATAGACAATGAAAATTGTGATGGTTGGGATTTTAAACTGGCAACGCTGTTCTCGATTTTTGAGTCTACCTCTGAAGATATCTTACAGCGGGCCCTCACTGATGCCAAGGGAGATCTCGAGCAGGCCATACCATTGATTCTCAGCATCAACAGCGATTCGTCTATTTTATCTTCATCGCCACTCGAGACTACTTCAGTACCGTTTTTCAGGAGCAGCAGCTTCAATAATCCGAGCAGCTTCAATAATCCGAGCAGAGGTGACGACCATTCACAGAGGAAGAGGCAAAAGCTGATCCAGCCTCGATTGTCCGCCTTTCTGCCCTCTTCAGCGCCCTCCATCACCAATGTATCATCCAGTTCAGCACCCCATAAAAGTAACACAGAGATCAAGGCTTCAAGTTTGAAAGAACCAACCATACCGCTCCCGTTCCTGAACGACCGCCTCCGCTGGAAGGACTCACTGAACGACTCTTCATCCTCCTCATTCCGAGCACCCAAACCCCTGGCCCTCTACAAGCCCGAAGACGTTACAAAACATTGTCCATGTACGCTCATCTTCAATGTACTGGATAGAGATCTGGCCACTCGATTGTTACGGGCCATGTTGAAGGATTCGGAAACATGGAATCGGAATCGGTGGTGGCTCTTCGAGCGGATGGTTGAATCCCCGCACAAGACCTCGTATTTTGCAGAGCAGGAGAATGATATGGAGGAGGTCTCCGAGTGGACCTATAATGGAATGAAACAGGATCCCCCGAGACGGTTTTTGCCAGAGATGGATGAGGCCAAGGCGGTTGTGCGCCGGATTGTGAACGAACTACGAAAGACGCGGACAATGTATGGACCAGTGACTAGTGGGAATGCGACCGTGATATTTGTGCTCATGTGCAGGATGGCAGGCACTGATAGTAAGCTCTTTTATCTCGAACAATAGACATCCATACGAGGTTCAGGGTAGCTGGGACTGTAACGTCGCTGCGGCCAATCACTACGCACATTCGAAAGAGTCGGTTGGGTGGCATGCTGATAAGCTGACATACTTGGGACCAAGGCCGACCATTGGATCTCTTACACTTGGAGCGACACGCTTCTTTCGGATTCGAAAGGTCGTGCCTGATGCTAAGCGTCCAGATACGGCGGGCCAACTGATCAGCATTGCGTTGCCGCATAACAGTCTCTGTATAATGTGGCCTCCCATGGTAAGAATTCCTGCTCCTGCTTCCAAAAACCTCAGGCGAAGGAAATAAGCTGTGATTCTTAAACTGACGCGGATATGGTCCTTTAATACCATTGTCAATGAATTGTAGCAAGAAGAATGGAAGCACGATGTACCACCTCAAGCGACTGTGACACCCCATCCCATTAGGTAAACTATCCTAAACATTCCTTCCTTTGGTCACCCCTCTCTTTCAGAAAAAAAAAAAAAAAAGAAAAGCTGCGGACAAAATTATTGACTTACTGACCTTGTCCTCTGCATGCATTCCATTATAGTGGCATGGCTCGTATCAATATCACATTCCGGTTACGCCGTGAGGGATTCACGCCAGAGGATACACCGGTGTGCAAGTGTGGTGTCGCCATGGTGTTGCGCTGTGTCTTCAAAAACAAGGCAAACTACGGCAGGTACTTTTACATGTGCTATGCAGCTGGTTCAAATGAGGGACGCACATGTGGAGCCTTTCATTGGGTTGACATGGATGAAAAATTAAAGCTGGTCACAAATCGAGTTGAGGGCGAAGCAGTAGACGCAAAGCCAAGCGAATCTCCACAAAAGCAGGATCGAGCGCTAGATTTGTTAGAGGAGCTGGACGACGCTGACCTTTTGGATCTGCCGTTAGGCAATATCAATGAAGATGACCATGTGGAATAAATACCATGTGTAAAGTGTAAAAAAAAAATAGTTTCTTAATGTCGAAAAAAAAAAAGCTTTCTGCAGTTATAATGTCTATCTTTCATTTTGCTCGCCTTCCCAGTTGTACTATTTCCGTTATCCTTCCCTTATGCTTGTTCGTCCCCTTAAACCTAAACTTGGGCCTCTTTCTTGAACTGCGCCATGCGGGCCTCGAGCTCTGGGCGGAAATGGCGAATTAATCCCTGGACAGGCCATGCTGCAGCATCTCCCAAGGCGCAAATGGTGTGTCCCTCAATCTCGCGAGACAGCTCCTCGATCATGTCAATCTCGCGAGGACGAGCCTGGCCGTACTCAAAGCGGTGCATCATATTAGCCAACCAGGAGGTACCTTCACGGCATGGTGTACACTGTCCACAAGACTCGTGCTTGTAGAAGGCAGAGAGACGAGAGATGGCCGAAACAATATCGGTCGACTTGTCCATGACGATAACGGCCGCAGTTCCCAAGCCAGACTGGACATCACGCAGGGCATCAAAGTCCATCAGCACATCGTCGCAAATGTGGCGAGGCAAGACTGGGACCGAGGATCCTCCAGGGATGATTCCGAGTAAGTTGTCCCAACCGCCCTTGACACCTCCGCAGTGCTTCTCGATCAGCTCCTTCAGAGGGATCGACATCTCCTCCTCGACTGTGCAGGGATTGTTGACATGTCCCGAGATACAGAACAGCTTTGTTCCAGCATTGCGGGGGCGACCGAATCCAGCGAACCACTTGCCACCGCGTCTCAAGATGGTGGGTGCGACGGCGACAGTCTCAACGTTCGCGACAGTGGTGGGGCATCCGAAAAGACCGACATCAGCAGGGAATGGGGGCTTCAGGCGGGGCTTACCAGCCTTGCCCTCGATTGACTCGATCAAAGCTGTCTCCTCCCCACAAATGTATGCACCAGCACCGCGGTGAATGTAAATATCAAAGTCGTATCCAGATCCACAAGCGTTCTTGCCGATCAATCCGTTCTTATACGCCTCATCGATGGCAATCTGAAGGTTAGAGGCCTCGTTATAGAACTCTCCGCGAATATAGATATAAGCTAAGGAGACAACAAAAAGCAATGTTAAAAGCATGTTCACGTAAGATCAGAGCAAATGAACGCCGTTGAGGTAGTTCCAATAACGCACCAGCGTTGGCATTCATGGAGCGACCAGCGACCAGGCATCCCTCGACCAGCTTGTGGGGGTCACCACGCATAATCTCGCGATCCTTGCAGGTACCGGGCTCGCCCTCATCAGCGTTAACAACCAAGTAGCGGGGACTAACAAAGGTTTGTCGAACGAAAGTCCAGGGTTAGAGGGCCATTTGGGAAAGCATTTAGCAGGCGATTGGGCGACTGCGTGAACGCGCTGTTCATAAACGATGTGGTTCCATCCATATCCAACTGATATCGCACTTGCGCATGATCCGATCATTTCTCGAATACTGTTCCGGTGTTGTCCTTGTGTTCCTCCTGTATTTGAGAAATCCTAGTAGCGAGAGTCAAATGAGATTCTTACCGGCCATCCGCGGGCTTGTTCATAAAGCTCCACTTTAATCCTGAAGGGAAACCAGCACCGCCACGTCCACGAAGACCAGATTCCTTCATCTCATTGATGATCCAATCGTGGCCCTTGAGCAAGATTTCCTTAGTCTTGTACCAGTCTCCACGCTTAAGTGCGCCCTTCAGTTTGAAATCATGGCGACCGTAGATGTTGGTGAAAATACGGTCCTCGTCCTTGAGGTTGCCAAAGCTAGTCCTGGCGGGTGGTGCAGGTGGGACGGGTGCCTCGGTAGCGAAAGCGCGGACAGCGGATCTGGTGATATGGGGACGTGCCTGACGCGCGCTGGCCAAAAGGGCTATTGTAGTTATATTGATTCAATTGACAGTTGGTGGTGGGGTGTGTGAGAGGATGAAGAGAATGCGGTTAGAACCCCCGCTATAAAAGTATTTCCAGGGGTATAATGGCGATCGGGTCAATGCGGCTACACTATTCGGTATCAGAACCCCAGGATGCAGTTGACATGGACAGACTGATCAGGTATATGCAGGCGTCGCTTCAGATATTGTCTGCTGCCAGGTTAGTCCTTGTAGCATTGATGATCTGTATGATCCGGAGCAGAGCTCCGAGCTCGGAATTCTGTTCGGTTGTGCAGGCAAGTGTCCTGATTCTGGTTGGCGCTTGGCAATGGGGAAGTGAATGAGGATGATTACCCTTTGAGACGCCGATTGACTGCAACATAGCTGTATGTGTATGTGTTGGGTTAATGGAAGGAGTGGAGAGTTGAAGCGACGAACACGATCCGGATCCGCCTACGATGAAGGCGAACTGCCGAGCCTTGCTCACACGGGCCTAGCACGAAAAGATGAAGATGACGTCAACTTATTTTACCCCTTAACTACTGCTACTTAAGATGGACAACCATAGTCAGACACCGCGTCTTCGCGGTATGAAGCAGCATTAACTATATCTAAGTTTGACCTTTGTTTCCCTGATTGTCGTATTGAGTTCTTTTTACCATAATCCTTCTTCCATGGATACTAAGGGTGCCAGGTTCAATTGAAGTCAATTACTATGGCGAATACCATTTTTAAAGCATGTTTGTGCCGTAAAGACGAGGAATATTCCAGATGGACCCTATAGCAGCTTGGTAGATCATCCGCCCGTTTCTTCTTTTCCGCGCGTCGGATGATGCACAAATGTCCTCTTGCTGTTGTTTGCTGTTTGCTGCACCCTGTTTCCCTTACATTTATATGCATAGTTATTTTTTTTTTCCGCTGTTTATCCTGCTCGTGTTCTATTTGTTCATGGGGTATGCAAATGCAGAAAGAGAGAGAGGAAGCAGCTGGTAAGAAAGTGTTCGATCCGACGGACGGGAGAAGGGACTGAAAAAAAAGAGAGACATATGCAGACAGATTCGATGGATTGGATTGCAAGGATGAATACACTCAGAGCCATAATTTGAATATATTGGTTGGTGGTAAAACTAGGGACAATTGCTAGACAGACAGGTAGAACGTACAATGACGACGATAACTTTTTTTTCTATTCTTTCTTTCTTTCTGAGTTGAAGATCGCTCCCGCACGAGCTCATGCGATGCGAAAGAGTTATGCAGTTGAATGGATAGACGGATAGTGCTGTGCCTCCCATTTCAATAATAGAGTGCCGCCTCGGTTTGCTGTGTTACGGACCCATTGGTCGATGTCTAATTGAGGGAAGTGAGAAAGCAATTACCAGATAGATCGGACGGGAGCAAAGGGGGGGAATGAAAGTGGTGGGTGTCATTGGGTGAATTCTATATTCATTCATTCACTTCTGTCCTTAGTGTCAACTTTGTCGGGAAATATCTTTTCTTTCAGAATACATGTACATGTCTTTTTTAACTCTCTTTCTCTCTCTGTCTTTCTTTCTTTCTTTTTTATCCATATCCACACCCACATCACACACACATACACCCTTATATACTTCCAATTACACTTCTGCCTTCTCTTTCTCTTCACTCCACCCCTCAAACCAAGCCTGCGGAACTGCCTATTTTCGTCAAAGCTTGCTTCGTACGATCCCTCTCTGTGTCCTATCTACCATATATCCCGCCTCTGCCCCATTCCTTTATTGTCTCCTGGGTTACTCTCGCACTCTCCCCACTCCAGTCACTCCCGGGCTGCTGTTTCCTTTTCCCTGCATTCCTGTCGCAAGTTAGTCAGTCAACCACCCATTCATTCAGCTTTCCCCATCCAGTCAGCCAGCTGCAACCCCAGCCCATTCCTCTCCATCACCCCCTTTTTCTCTTCCTTTTTCTCTTCCTTTTTCTGGCTGATCATTCGATCGAGTTCCCCTTACATCCCATCCACCCCGCAGTCCACAACAAGAAAACGCCTTGAGATACCTTTGTGCTGACCTTGACCTTCATTACCATTCACTATCACCAGCCAGATACACAGATACACCATTGATCCTCTAACAGAAACTCAGACGACTTCAAGTAAACTCAAGTATACCTGTCAAAATGTCACAAGAACTACCAAGGTAAACAAGGCGGACACCCTTGCAGCAGAACCAGTATAGATCGACAGGAGACAAGGATCGGGGCGAACATTGAGGACAACATCGGAACAAGCACGATGGGAACTCGTATACAAACCGATACCCTACAACCATACTACACGCGGAGTGCATTCAGTGCCACCAATCTCTCTCCAACCAACCCGACTTCTTGAGAGCCCTCGGTAACAAAAAAGCACCAACAGCACCGGCTAATATTTCATTGTGCTCTCATCAGAACATGGGTCATGGACCAGAGACTAAGAGACAAGGACGACCCTTTGTTCAGGAAACAAAAAGTAAGGAGAATTGAAGGCGCTATGCACCTGTACCCAACAAGTATCGGCATGTAAAGAGCCGCAGTTCAACTATAGGATCAACATGGATAAACAGCAAAACACATCAACAAAAGACGCAAGCGACAGCCTCCATCATTACTGCTATTAACAGTGGTGCTGGACAAAGTTGCAGCATACGATATGACAACAGGAGACAGGAAGCGAATGAGCGGTTGGAATCAAAAAAGGGCTGCTCGACCATTTACTCATGATCCTCAGAATAACTAACACGGTCTGTTTGTACTCTCCATTGTCCATCCTCACTTCGACTGCTCATGCACTTCGCTTCGTCCTCTTTGAACCCAATTACCCGACTGTGCTCACTACGATAACAAAACTTGAACTGCTCTTTCGGCTGACCCCGACAATGTCTCTTCTACTGCCTCGTGCGCTCTATTTTTATGGGAACTCCTTGCGTCTTGCTTGTTTTCTGTTTCTTGTTTTTGCCCATTTTCTTCCTGGTTATCCGTTCCTATCCTGAATTGCATTCCCTTGTCTGTTTCTGTTTTTACGTTGGCCTGTGTATTCTTCGTTCCTTGTGCTACTTTTGATTCATTATTTTCCGTCTTCCTACTTCTCTTGCCTCGCGACCGGTTATTTGTCTCTAATCTATCCTTGCTCGATGTCTTCGACACCTCCCAGTTTTGACAATATCAACGACGAACTGGAATATTACAAGAAGCATGCAGAGACACTTGAAATAGACCTGGCAGAAACTAGATACGCCCTTGAGGAATTCCAACTCTCGTCCAAGGAGCTTGAAGAGGAGCTGGAGAAGGAGATCGATTCGACAGAGCGACGATACAATGAGATCAAGATTCGCAACGAATCCCAGAGACAAGAAGTAGAAGAGTGGAAGGTACAGCGCCAATAATGATATCTTTGCCACTATGTAGACTAGTGGACAGACAGCGAGATCCTTCACGCAGTAATGGACTTCAACACCAGTGCCGCAAAAGAGGGGGAGCCAAGGCGAAAATGACATAATAACGCATCGCTGCTGTGTCCCCCCTCATACACTTCAAGACCAATGACTCACAGGGCGCTTTCGTTGTTCTATCTGCTTCTTGGATGTATAGGAAAAATATCATCAGGCCTTGAAGGATTCCAATGTGACTATCAATCAATTGACGCGCCAACTCGAGGAGTCGAGACAGCAGACAGAGATGTTTATCAAAAAGGAACGGGAACTGGAACAGAACAACGACGACCTGGAGCGTACTGGAAGGTAATGATGGCGCCCTTTTTCAAGTTTGGCTCTGAAATATTTCATGGGTCCATCGTTGTCAGGGTGCGCCCATGTCATCACAGACATGTGTTGTGCAACATGACATTTTATTAGCCGTCGATTTGGCTGCTGTTTAGTCTTCTTTTTATGTTGACAATTGCCCGCTGACATTTGATTGTGAACAGCCCCACCATAACGCAGGAAAAGTTTTGCCCGCCCGCCATTCATTAATCATGCTATTGTCATTTGCACGATCACTTGTTATCGACACAACGTAGGGCTACGCAATGGTCACTGCAAGAAACGGAGAGAAAGTACAATGTTACTTTGGAAAAGGTGGCAATGATGGAAAACGAAGTGGCTGCCAAGGCTGTATTGACCGAGGAAGTCCAGAGATTAAAGGATGAGCTGCGAGGTAAGTTACAGCTTTGCACAGTTGCGGATCAAATTACTGGTCATCTCCTGAGCGTGAGCAATATTTTTCAGCGAGACTTTGATCTAACTACTGAATTTCTCTTAATAGATGCGAATGTGGAATTGGCTGTGATGAGATCGAATCAGGCGACACTGGGTGGTTCAGCAGCAAGCGTCAGCTCTATCACTGGAAGCACAACTTCCCTTTCAGAACGGGAGCGTAAGTTATCTGCCATTGGAAGCCACGAAGCCATGCCCTCAATCCGCGCAAGATTGGCCAAGAGTGGTGCATCACGTTCCCCAAGCATGGTGCGCTCGGCAGCCGGAGGGCCCAATGGTACATCGGGATTCTCAACGCCGCATCAGAACCCTGTCCAAATGGTCCAGGAAATGGTTGGACGCGTCAAGGTAAGGAAACGAGGACATGATGCCCAACTTTCCCTATCCGCCGTATGCTGCAAGGACACGAAGGATTTTTACTAACGCGGATATTTTTCTTCCTATAATCTACAATGCTACTAGTCCCTGGAAGCACGACTGGTCTCATGCCGTTCTTTGGTTACCCCTCTCCTGCAACCACCACCCTCGTATTCGACGACAGTCCCACCCTCTTCTCGATCCTCACCACATAATAGCCAATCAGGATCACGGCCAGGATCACGGTCAGGATCACCGAACAAGTCATCTTTGAGCTCCAAAGTCAATAGAAGATCGTCATCCATGATGCATCAGCAGCAACGGTCCATGAGCGGCTCCTCTGGCATGATCACATCCTAAATGTCAAATGGAGTCCGACAAGTTGGAGGAATCGAGACGAGAAACGGAGGACGAGGAGCAGGAAGGCGCCCATCGATTCGCGGCCAGTTATTGTAATTGAATCGTACATTTGCATCTATATCTTTCCTTTTTTATGTTTTCGCCAAATTGTGGCTACATCCACAGTAGCCCCCTTCGACTTTCCATTGCTGGCCGGGCCATGCTGAGAGCAATCGAAGAAAGAAGCGAATAGTATAACATTTTAAAGTACCCTTTCACGCCAAACGACATGCATAACGTAGCAAAAAATGAAAAAGAATCCTTTGTAAGCAGCAAAAACAACAAAAACAGCAAATAACAATAAAAAAACCAATAAAGAAGTATCCCAATATGACGAGTTGAATGATACAGTCGAGCTAAGGTGGCTCTGGTTTTTAATCTTTCTCGAGATTGATGGCGTTGCCGAAGCGGGCATAGAGCACCTTCTTAAGCTCGTCCATCTTTTCGACCGCCTCGTCCATCTGCGTCTTCAAGACTAAGATCTCAGAATCGAGCTCTTCCTGTGCTTTTGAAATCCGTTCCTGTGCAGCCTCGAGCGACAATGATACGAATGTCTCGCCAATGCGGTATCTAAAGTAAAAGTTGGCTCAACCAATTAGCCCACTGTTCCCTGTGTGGTCGAATCAGCCATCGAGCCATCGAGCAGCAAATGGCATTGGCTTAAAAAGGACATACCTGACGGGCTCGTCCTCGTCGGCCAATTCAAGCTCTGATGCGAGATCGTCGAGGTACTCTTTCTCAGTCTGTATCGTATTGCAAAGGGAGCCCGTAAAGACGCTGTCAGTTCATTATTGACCTAAAGCCAGCCAAATCGAGGTGCTTCAATAAAAAACAGAGTATGTCGAAATCCATCACCTTCTTGGCTTCATAGGACTCCTCCAGATCCTGGAATTTGGCGTTGTATTTACTGAATGTGTTGATATTCTGCTGATCTTGCCATGAGACCTGGATATCTCCCTCCTCCTCGTCTTTTTCAAGCTATACCACAGGTTGTGGTCAAAGAAAAGGATGAAGTTGATGAGTACTGGGCGTGAAACAGATGTTGAGTGCCCCTGTATTCCTGGTCAACGGATTCGCTATCAAAAGTGTCCTTTGCTTGTCCTACTCCATGGAGGTGCTTCTTAAATTGCATTCATACCATGCGCATGGTCGGTTCTTGTAGGTGGTAGTTGCCGCTGGTTTGTTTGAAGTGATGAGATCAAGACGTGCTTGATTACCTTCCAAGCTTTAGCTGAATCTCAGTGACGTAGGCTTCATTTCAAAGGTCGGGCGAATGCCTATTGCACACGTTATTGACCTTCAGTGGTCGCGCTCTTTTCTTTTTTAATGCCTAAATCTCTATTCTTTCCATTCTTACGCTTTCGCATTCAATTCTTCTCATCTCGACAACCTCAACACTCTCAAGCGCAGGATACAGTTCGCTCCACATAAACCAGCAAAGGATAGCTCGGGAAAAAAAGACATATATTTTCAATCATGGCAGAAAACGAGCTACTTGCGGCCTACAGGAGCGTGCCGGTCGTTACTCGGACGATGCTCACTGCCACGATCCTAATTTCTGTCGGTGTGGCCCTCAAATTCATCCCATTTGGGCTTGTCTATCTGGACTGGTCCTTGATTGTCTACAAGTTTCAGGTACGGATAACTCCTTCCTCTTTTCTTATGATCCCAGCTTGAATGTACTTTTCTGTTATTCAATCGACAAAATCAGGATGGAAATGGTTACTTACAAATGCATGTGCTTTTTATGCTATACGACTCTGAAATAGATTCATCGACTGTTTACATCCTGCTTCATCTCGGGCCTGAACTTCAACATGTTGTTTGACCTCTACTTTATGTACACATATGGATCCCAACTCGAGACGACGACGTTTGCGGGCCGGACTGCAGATTATGCATGGTTCGTCATCTTTACTTCCCTGGTCACTGCCGTAAGTGGAGATGGACTTTTTCTTTTTGAGAAACACGACGTTGTGGGACGCTGCCTTTCAATAATGCTGAGGTACTAATGGGGTTTGCTTTTTTTTTTTTTTTTTTTTTTATTACTTTAAATTTGCGTTCGGTTTGATGCGAATAGGCGGTATCGTCGTACATGAACATTATCATCCTTTTTCAGTCCGTGTTGATTGCAGTGATCTATCTGTGGTCCCGGTCGAATTCTGAGAGGATAGTGTCCTTCATGTTTGGGTTCCAGTTCAAGGTACGTACATGACCATGGAGTTTGTCCATGTCTTTTTTCTTCGCCTTGGTGATGTGTACTGACTGCACTTTTGCCATTATTCAACTTTCTTTATAATAGGCGGTTTATTTTCCATGGGTGTTGATTGCCTACACGTTCGTCCTCTCAGGAGCAGCTATCCCATGGGGCATGCTGATTGGAGTTGCGTCTGCGCATCTGTACTACTTTTTGGATCATGTCTATCCAGCAATGGGTGGGCCTCGGCTGATTCCAACACCGTCCTTGTTATACAGGTTTTTGCCTCCTCAAGAAGTCGCTGGAGCAAGATTTACGGGCAGTGGTGCAACGGCAAATGTGTATCGGCCTCCGGCCGCAGCAGCAGCAGGAGGAGGAGCAGGTGCATCGGGTCATCGGTGGGGTCAGGGCAATCGGCTTGGATAAGATATGGTCGTGGGATCTTTGATCCTTATTTCTTGTTAGCATTGTCAGGATAAATAAACCATAGTACTTTTGTTTTTCCGTCATAATCTGTTTACACGTTTTTGGCGTGTTGTTGTTTGTGGAGAAGATCAACCCTTCGTGTTGCTCTTGCTCCAGCAATTGGGGACGGTTGGGCGGAGAGATGAGGTACGATTTCATTTTCATAAACCTTATTCTTCATTTGTGAGACCATTCGCTCTCATGCATCACTTTCATCATTCATCTTTCCTTTGCCCTTCCTGTCGCATTCCCTCCTTCTCTTTGTTCCTTCCTTCATTTCTCTCTGAAAGCAACCGCAACACATTGAATCACATCCATTTCGCTATTCGTAAAAAAAAAAAGAAACGAGGAAGCGGTGCTACCCCAGGACGCTTGCAACTCTTAGGGCCCTTGGTTTCTATTTTCAGGAGCGCAATTCAGGAACGCGCGAGATATTTTTAGCCCAATTGCACACAGCGACGAGGACAACTCGACACACTCATTCAGTCATGATCAGCGCATTCTTCATCTACAACCAGAAGGGTGAGGTTCTCATCTCTCGACTTTACCGCCATGACCTCAAGTAAGCCCTCAGTGTTTCCAGCTGTTGTAGTATTGCTATCGGCTGTGCTCCTTAGGAAGAACAAAAAAAAACAATTCAACCTGACCAGGCACCCCCCGCCTTCCCCTACCTATTTACTATTCCGCTGCGATGTGATCTTTTATTTTGTTGCTGTTATTGTTGTTGTTGATAATGTTGTTGTGGGAATTATGGAACGCTACTAGACGCTCCATCGCAGACATCTTCCGTATCCAAGTGATCTCGAACACGGACGTGCGCTCGCCAATCATCACCCTCGGCTCGACCTCGTTTTTCCATGTCCGCCACGAGAACTTGTATATTGTGGCACTCACGAAATGGAACGCGAATGCGGCGTTGATCTTTGAGTTCTGTTATCGGGTCATTAATATCGGGCGCTCGTACTTTGGAAAGTTGGATGAGGAGGCCGTCAAGGCTAACTTTGTGGTCATCTATGAGTTACTCGATGGTATGTTATGGACTGGATTAAATTATCTGCAGGAGTCCTATCATGCATTTTTTTTTGTTTTTTTTAGTGAGTTCAATTGAGTGTGTACTAAGATGTCTTTTTTCTTTTCTTTCTTATTTGCCATGTACCATACAGAGGTGCTGGACTTCGGATACCCCCAGAACAGTGAAACGGACACGCTCAAGATGTACATCACGACCGAATCTGTGAAATCCGAGCGGGCGATTATGGAGGATTCCGCACGGATCACGATCCAGGCGACGGGAGCAACGTCCTGGAGGCGAAGTGATGTGAAGTACCGAAAGAACGAGGCCTTCATCGATGTGATCGAGTCCGTGAATCTGTTGCTGAGTGCCCAGGGAAATGTACTGAGGGCCGATGTGGCGGGACAGGTAATGATGAGGGCCTATTTGTCGGGTACGCCCGAATGTAAGTTCGGATTGAATGATAAGGTCCTCTTGGAGAAGGATCCCACGAACAGAAGGTAATGGCCACCAATTAGTGGTATACCAACGTTGCCTCTCGACTTGCATTTTGATACCCTGAGGTGCTAATGTATGGATGCCCTTAACATCATGATGATAGGCGAACTTCGAATACGGTCGAGATTGACGACTGCCAGTTCCATCAGTGTGTCAAGCTGGGCAGGTTTGACAGCGACCGGACTATCAGCTTTATACCCCCAGATGGCGAGTTTGAGCTCATGCGGTAAAGATAACCCTTCATCCTGTACATGGTCTGGAAAAAAAAAAAAAAAAGACTTGTCATGGGGTAGATGGCAACAACGACCAACTAACCGTTCTTCGTTACATCTGATTTTGGCTTTGACAACAGATACCGCACGTCCGACAACATCAATCTGCCGTTCAAGGTCCACCCAGTGGTGGTTGAGATTGGGAAATCCAAAATTGAATACCGGATCATGATCAAGGCTAACTTCTCGTCGAAGCTGAATGCGAGCAACGTGGTGCTCAATATCCCGACACCGCTCAATACCGCAGGCGTGACATGCTCGGCCTCGGCGGGCAAAGCCAAATATGTCCCTGCAGAGAACTCCATCGTCTGGAAGTACGTTCCTGATTTCTTTTATCTCTTCGGATCTTCGTTGCTTACTCTCACTATTGTGTTCCTTGAAACGGACTTTATCATGAATGCTAATACTTTGTGGTGTGTCTTTTTTTTTTTGCCGCTGATGTCGCTGTCGATTAGGATCCCACGATTCCAAGGCCAGTCTGAATACATGCTGACGGCAGAGGCGGATCTGACGGCGATGACGCACAAGAAGACGTGGTCTCGACCACCGATCTCGATGGATTTCCATGTACTGATGTTCACGTCCTCGGGTCTGCTGGTCCGGTTCTTGAAGGTGTTTGAGAAGAGTAATTATCAGTCTGTAAAGTGGGTCCGGTACATGACCAAGGCGGGTAATTATCAGATCAGAGTAAGTAGGAGGGGAATACATTTTGTCCGCAAAGGAGACGATGATGTTGCTGGGATGATGGGTTGTTCAGGTTCACTGACGTGTTTTTTTTTAACGCATTCTTTTCGTGTGTTTTTGATAGTTTTAAAGCTGTGCGCGCCAGGGCGATGGACGAACAAGCGTTTCGTCTTTCTTCGTTCTCTAATAACAATAAAAACATTAATAATAATAACAATAAATAAAATACGGCTATGATAGACAAATGAACTATCGGTATGGCGACGCAAAGCATTGACTTTCAACATGATTTACTGTTAACTAATGTACATCGTTCTTAACGGACGGAGACGAACTATCTCCACCTTGCCACTTTCTTTTCTATCCCATCAAGGGCTCATGCAGGACCTTGGCAATATCAAACCACTGCATCGCACGGACGACCTTCTCTGACCGCAACGTCGGTTGTTCATCATGTCCCCACATCATGAATTCCTTAAACTGGGCCTTGGTCCTCAAGGCCTTGCGCTCCTCCTGCATACCATTTAGCATGGCCTCATACTCTTGGTCCTCATCCATGGCTTCGTCCTCATCTCGATTGTATTTCTGAGCGTGGGCGGCGGCAGGAGCATCGTAGGATTTGTAGATGGTGCCGATGTAGCCTTCAGGAACGGGGATCACAGTGCCCTTGAGAGTCCGGCCGCGGAACGAGACCTCGGGCACGGATGTAGTCGTTGCTGCTGTTGTGCTAGTGGAGGTGGAGGTGGTTTCTGAGACGACGGTCGTGGTAGTCATACCGGTGATGGTGTCCGTGGACTCTGTGGTTTCCGTGGTCGCTACAACAGTTGATTCTGTTGATGAAGACGATGTTTCGGGGGCCATACTCGGAGCTATTGATGCAGACACTGTAGCAGAAGATCCATTGATGGAGGAAGGATATGCTCCGTCAACAAGAAAGAAGTAGTCTTGGATATTCGCTTTGCCGTCGTGGTGGATCCCGCACGGCAAGAGATGCAGAGATGTCTGATCGAGGTGTGCGGAGGACGGCAGGGCCGCCACGGGTTGTTCGAGGACTGATTCCATCTCGTCAAATCAGATTCCTTGTCCTCGGTACTACTAAAGAGAAGGCGATTTTAGGTCCTGAGATTCCTGGAATGAGCTCCTGAAAGACGATGGCGCGTTTGTTGTTTCTTTCAAACGGTTTTCTCTAAACAGCAGGCATCATTTAAGGTTTTGCTCGCTTGTGGACAGCAGCTGTGCTTCGAAAGCCAGCTCAGATCATAAAATGCTCATAACAGATACCATACCGACAAACGAACATGGGGCATCCCAATGTTGGCTATCAGATGTTTCGGTACTGGTGGACTCCATAGGTTATTAGTGGTTGCTTTCCTTATGTTGTCAGCATGCTCCAGAGGGGTGTTCTTGCCAAGGATCGTTTCAGATCTCGATACGTAAGCCAGCCCACGAGTTTAGCTAGAGTCTGCAGCTGAGAGGTTAAGTGAGTAAGCACATACACCCACATAGCAAAAAAGGTAACTCCTCGGACGTACTCTCGAAGAATATTAAGAGACGCATGCGAAGGCGCGCTATGGGATTACGGACACATCGCTCCTTGGCACCAAATACTGCATTTCCTAGCCTGTTTGACACCTCCAGCCGTGCTATCGGCATATAATTTCCTGAAATGAACGGCCAGGGGTTCGCTCTCAAAAGACCCTTTCATTAGCAAATATAAAGAAGTTTCATAATCCCTGCAGTGAGACAGACGCGTGGTCTTAAGGTATTTTATATCCAAATAGACACAGAATACAGCGTTACCTGAGCCAATGCCCCCATTGTCAGCAGGTAGACTGGTGCACTGTACTACGGCTTAAAGGATAATTACCGATCTCTGAAATGATGACTCAAGGCAAAAGCCCACGCGAACCGTCGAAACAAGACTCTCATTGATCGGTTTGCTAGACTACTTCCAGACTTCTAATCTCGCGTCAAAAGTGTAATGGAGATAAAGAGATGCATGGGCTGGAAGGGCCAAAACAAGTCCATCTATTGGTATCCAGTCCACTTGCATGTACCCTATTCATTCTCAGTCCTGCGCCCGCGTGCGCATGGCGCTCTTCAAGCTGCTGCAAGGGACTGAGGACACACAGATAGGTACCTCCCTGCCCAACCAGGATGCGACCCCGACTGGACAGCCAGCGATTTATCATTCAAGGTCAGTAGGTTTGAGTCAGATCAAGGGTATGCCTCTAAGTCCGGCAGCCCAATCGCATCCAACGAATCGTGTGCGATGTTAGCAATGCTGTTGCAGGCAGGTACCTGCATCCAGGTATATACAATTATGATGCGCCATCTCTAAAAAATAATAGAGCACGGGTTCCTGGAGCATGACGATAGCGAACTAAACCATATACAGATCGCATCTAGTCATTTTTGATCTTTTGTTCCCACACTTGCGCCAGGGAATGTTACGTACTCTGGATCCACCAGAGATGGTGTATCCCGATTTCAGGGCAAGGCCATATGCGCATAGGGGCACCATGTAGCCATTTTCATATCAAAGACGTCGCTTGGATTCTGCTTGCCTGTCTACCCTTGTAGCTGGCATGAGAATGTACAGCTGTCGTCTTCAATATTTCGCCTTCCAAGTCCAGATGAACATGCAGCAAATCGGGGTCGCAATAACAGCAAGACCTGAAGCAGGAGATGGCGACAAATGCTTCAGCCCTGGGTAAGGGAGGCGCGATCTCATTTTCCCATGCTTCGGCAGTGCTGATTGGACAAGAGCACCTTTTTTTATTTCGTTCTTTTTTGCTGCGTTCACATCACTCATCACGCATAGACTATACGCCAGGGGGTGACAGGATTAAAAAATGTGTAGACTCCCCTCAAAGCCTGCTCCTAGTCCCTCAGCCTCAGCATACCCCTCTCCCTTGTCATTCCAACGACAAAAAGATCTGATCCGCAAGTGAGATTGTGAAAGGAATTACTCCTTTTTTTCAGGGTGAAATGATATCGATCTAAATGGACCCTTGCACATTGCCTTTTTTCATCGATTGGCCACCTGTTTTTTTATCATGTTCTTGGCAGAGACTGACCCCTCCCCCCTCCCCCCCTCGACCTACCTTGTGCGTTGCTCATTGTACAAGTAAATAAATTAATCTCTGTGCTTCATTTATCTCAAGCCGTTTACTTGAATGTATCCCTGGGAACCGTTTATGAGATAAGGGATTCTGGGGGAACGTACCTGTGCTGTGGTACTACGGCGGCCCTCTTGCAATGCGGCTAAAACGACATTCATCTGAACTAGGATGAATGTGATGCAGCCAAAAAGGAGCTGCCGGAAAGGTTCCCATTGGACAAAAGACCTATTGTAGCCGACACCATTGACTTTTTTTGTTTTAAGCGCATTACGCATTGATCTGTGATTCCTTTGTTGTATCCAGCCTACGCTGTTGGCTCGAAGTACGCGTAGAAAATAATAATAAAAAAAGATGTCTTGGTTATTTATGTCTTCGACTGCAGCCGGAAGAGAAATAGATATGGCGGTGCGTTCACTCTGAATCGTTTCCAAGCCTGGCTTTAATGAAGAAGTAAAACGACGGACTGGGCTGATAAAAAAAAGTTTCTTCTGCTTTGGATGTGGCGAAGTGAATATTTTTGATAGGCAGAAAAGAAGGCCAGCCGGGGTTGTGTGCTTATTGGAGGGAGGAAAAGAAGTATTATTATTAGTCCAGCCCGGTCTCGGTATGGAAGTGGCAGTGGTGGGACAACAGCCTTAGGCCAGCCCTGATGTTTGCATCGCTTGCAGCAGGTAATCGCCCTAGGTTGAACTCTATGTCCATTAGTCCAGTCTTGTCTATCTTTATCTGCGTCCCATTCTCGGAAACATTTGGTTCCATAAACGATTGCTAATTCTCTTCCTTATGCCCTGCGATCCGTTGGTACGCACATCCAACACAACATGCCACAATAAACTAAAGAAATAAAGAATGGGCTTGTTGTCATCGTCACTGCCACTCGAGCTTCCCTTTCTGTGGACTACTACGTTCCCTCCTCGATCTCGCATGCATATATATATTCCCCCTCCTCCTCCTCTTCTGTATCTTTTTCTACATCTTGCCGCCGCATCCTCTCCTCTTCATCTGCTTTCCCTCCTCTTCCTTACCCCGCAGCATCCTCCCCATCCCCATCACCTTTTCACGCACATAGATATATTTCAATTGCCTTAGAAACCCATCAATAGCTCACGCTCTAGACATGAAGGTCACCACTATCCTCTCAGCCTTCTCCGCAGCGGCCCTAGTCTCTGCTGGTAAATACCACGCTAGCCCCGACTCGGTCAAGATTGTCCCCGGCGGTTTCATCCTCGAGTACAACGAGGAAATCCAACACCAGAACGCCTATGTTTCTCTCAAGGCCCATAGCGTCGACTACGAAGTCCGTAATGCCTACAGCATCTTCCACGGTGCTGCCATCAACGTCAACTCTGATCACGATGGCAATGCCCTCGCCTCGCTCCCAGGCATCAAGAACGTCTGGCCCATTACCTTGCACTCTATCCCCAAGACACGAGCCTCCACGAAGAATGCCACAGACCCTGAAGTCGTCTCGCTCCATCATATGACCGGGGTTGATATTGTTCACGAGAAGCTGAAGTTGACGGGCAAGGGAGTTAAGGTCGGAGTTATTGACACTGGTGTTGACTATTTGCACCCTGCATTCGCTGCCAAGGGCGCCGATGCTGGCTGCTTTGGAAATAAGGGAAAGAACTGCAGGGTTGCTTATGGTTGGGATTTCGTCGGTGATGACTACACGGGCTCAAACAAGCCCGTCCCTGACGCGGATCCTAGGGATTGTCAAGGACACGGCTCTCACGTCGCTGGTATCATCGGTGCTAATGCCTTGGACATCAAGACGACTCCCAAGCCTCCGCAGCCCTTTGTTGGTGTCGCACCCGAGGTCACTATCGGTGCCTACCGTATCTTCGGATGCGAGGGTCAGTCCGGCGATGATGTTATCATGGCCGCAATGGAGAGGGCCTTCCATGATGGCATGGATGTAAGTGGTCCTTGCACCAGAGATTAGGTTCTTGCATAATCTCGTGTCCCTAGTCACTGTTCATGCGAACGGTCATTTTTTAATTTTTTAATTTTTTTTTCTGGTGGTTTCATTAGATCATCAACATGTCCCTCGGAGGCGGTTCCGCCTACAAGTCCAACCCTCAGGCCGTTCTAGGCGACAAGCTCGTCGCCAATGGCATGGCCTTGGCCGCCGCTGCCGGCAATGACGGCTCCGAGGGTGTCTGGATGGTCTCGGACACTGGTCTCGGCGACCTCTCCTCTTCGGTCGCCTCCTTCGATAACATCTACGGCTTCTACAACTCCTTCACGTATGGTGATGTTTCCCATCCCTACGCTCCTTCGGAGGCTTGGGGTAAGGTCATTAGTATCTCTAACGCGACCTTGACGCCTGTGTTCGAAAAGAACGGCACTCTCTCCGACGGATGTGATGCTGCCTCCTACAACGGCCTCAATGTCAAGGGCAAAGTCGTCCTCGTCCTCGGTGATGTTACGCGTTGCAAATCTGGCGCTCGTGGTCTCGTTGCCCAGAAGGCTGGTGCTGCTGGCATGTTGATCCAGACCACCCCTCTCGGCATCGCCAGCTTGGGCGGTAACCCCGACTTTCCCATGGGATCTATTGAGAACAAGGCTGGAAATGAGCTTGTGGCCCAGTACAAGAAGAACCCCAACGCTCCCCTGACCTGGAGCAAATCTGCATCCAACTTCCTTATCGAGGGTGGTGGTGCTCCTTCGGACTTTTCGTCCTTCGGTTTGGATGGTGATCTTCGCTCCAAGCCCGATCTTGCCGCTCCTGGCGGTAACATTCTCTCAACCTACCCCCTTGCCAAGGGCGGATACGCTCTTCTGTCGGGAACATCCATGGCTACCCCTTACTTTGCTGGCTCGCATGCTCTCTTCAAACAATACAAGAACACCAAGCTTCGCGGTGACGAGGTTCGCAAGTTCTTCAAAAATACGGCCTCAATCCATAGGGACACTGGCTCCAAGGCTTACACCTCTGTTGTAAAGCAGGGTGCTGGTTTGATCAACGTCTACAATGCTCTTACCACCACATCCACGATCTCGCCTGACCACATCGACCTCCTGGATACCAAGCACCTCCAGAAGACCGTCAAGATCACCCTCACCAACAGCGGCGAAAAGACGGAGACCTATACCATGTCGCACATCCCCGCCGATGCTCTGAACTCCTACCCCAAGGGTAACACCTTTCCTCTTCCTACTCCCGAGACTGAAGCCGACTACGCCTCCGTCTCCTTCTCCCAGAGCAAGATCCAACTCCCCGCTGGCAAGTCTGCTATCATCACTTTGCGCTTCGCTGAGCCCAAGTCCGGCAAGGCCAACCAGTTCCCACTCTACTCCGGCTATATCCTCGCCACCCCTGCCTCCAAGGACAGTGTCACTGTCCACGTCCCTTACACCGGTCTCAAGGGCGATGTTTCCAAGGTTCCTATGATGGACACTGACCTCAAGTTCCCCTCCCTCGTCGCACTCGATGTTACTTCCGGCAACATGACTGACCTCCCCCAGACGGGCGTCCGCAATTTTGACATGAACAGCACCATGCCCGCCATCCTGACCCGTCTTGGCTCGCACTCGCCCTCTGCTGAGATCCGTGTTTACGATGCTGCCAATAAGCTTGCAGGATACGTCCACTCTGCCAACATCGGCAACGCTGTCGGACCCCAGGGTCGTGTCAAGAACGTCGATGACGAAGGAGAGCTTGTCTTCACCCCCTGGGTCTGGAATGGTCTCGTCTTGACCTCGGCCGCCAACATCACTGCTGCGCCCACGAAGCTGGCTTCGGGCACCTACCACATCGTTGTCGCCTCGCAGCGCAAGTTCACCAAGGGCAACTACCCTGCCGACTATGAGGTTTTTGATCTTGGCAAGGTCAAGTTCTAAAGAAGAACAACAACGCATCCAACGTTATATATTATAGAGAGTCGACACTTATATTCTCCCGCTGCCGATCTACACTTGTATTTATTACTATCAATCTACATAAAATAAAGGATTCTAGAATTATGCTTTCATCTGAATCGATCAACGCTGTGAACGACAATCAGGAGCGTCACAACGGCAGTGTCTGGTCTGTGCGTTGATGTCACCAACTTTATCTTCAATAAGATCAAGAGTGTTCGTTGTATGGTCTCATCGACTGTTTTATTTTTTTCTAATACAACAACATCCACAATACAATTAGCCCGAGTAGCTATTCTACGCGCCTTATCTTACATCTTAGTATCCAGAGACACCATCTTCTGGATCAGGCGTTGGTGGCAAAAACTCGGCACCTGGGCACAGTGTCTCAAAGACCGCCCTCGCCTCCTCTGTCGCCGCTTCAAAGTCCAAGCTGTGGTTCATCGGCTTCAATACCGTCAAGTTCTCTGGCAATGGTGTCAGCTTCTCAGAGCCAATGGGGTAAGGCACGCGCGGCCATGAAGTCGTGCGCTTATAGAACAACGAAAACAGTGCCCGTGGTGCCATCGCAGACATGGTTGAGACCGACGCCGATGGTTTCGACTTTTGGAACGCCTTCGAGAGCGGCTTTGATCCGGCTGCTGGCGTGGTCGGGCGAGATGGTACAGGGGTATTCGTCTCGCTCTCCTCAAACAGCTTCTTCTCCGCCTTGAGAATCTCCTCACGCACCTGCTCCATGTCCAGCTCCTGATCCAGACTCATCCTAGGCTGATCCTCCCCTTGTGGTGGGGCCTCCCCAAGATTATGCGGCGCCGAGGTATCTGCTGCAACAGCGTCTGAGCCTTCAAAGGCAGGTGCCTTAAGGGACAAATCATCGCCAGGAATATGAACCAGCTTTCGAATAGCGGCTGTTAACTCCTCCTTAGCAGTATTGTCTGATGAATCAGATTCTGCCCAGAAGTACAAAATGACTATTTGGAACAACGCGTGGAATGTTAGCCATAGCATTATGAAACGATCCGCTTTGCCGAACAAATACAAGCACAGACAAGATGCCTACATCGATCATTGGGGCAGGACATGGTGCCACCACAGACCTGCAAGACCGAGATGGTGTGCTCGTTCTTGCGGACAGAGGTCTCTCCTGGGTTAAGGACCAATGATTCCTTAGGGAACAGAGTTTTACACAGTGTAGTCTCGCCAAACGCAGAGCGGTCGGTGACCAGTATGCAGTGTGACACATATGACCTGTTCAATCTGTAAAGCGTGAGAGGAGATAGAGTCGTCATGTTAGTTTTGATCAGAAGGACGCCAACATGCGACTTGATATTACGAGAAGAGATCAAAAACACATACGTTCTCGCCTCGATATAGGCATCCATGTCTGTGGAAAGATACTCGCGGGTGCAGATCAATTGGTTGGCCTGCAGGGTCTGGCCTGTGTGGTCGACGACAGACTTCCATTGGTTGGCATTCTTGTCCACGTTGTGCTTTTCCAGCTTATGCTGAAGCATGTAGATACCGCCGTACACCGCGGACACTCTAATTTTTTTTTTTGTCAGTGAACATAAGCATGTTAGCGTAATGGTAATAATGCTCTCAAAAAATTCGACGGAGCCAATGGACCATACCCTTACCTGCAGAACGCTTGTGCAAGTTCACTTCCCACGCCATAGAGAGGGCACAGGTAAGCCGAGTTGCCGTAGCGGCCCAAGGATTGGAGATACACCTTGACAGATTTGAGGCCCTCCGCGGTGGTAGCTATCGTTTGGAGAAAAGAACACCACTATCAGCAACATGCCATACAAAGGGACCATAACGCCGACGCCACCAAAAACAAGCAAGCGAATCTGCGTACCATTGTCGTTTCCATCAAAGCCAATAGCATAAACAACTGCAGTGAGGACCTTGTCTGTCAAACCATATGCACTTTGTACAAACTGCGTGAACGGCGCGTTCTTGTAGTCTATTGTTCAATTGAAGCAAGCGGGAGTCAGTTTTCAGCAAGGCCTGGGAGTGATTGCTCGACCGTGAGATGCCACTTATCACACGTTGTTGCAACATACCTCGCCAGACCTCCTTCTGGTTCTCGTAATCGACTGCGAATTGCAAAAACTTCATCAACAGACGCTTCTCCTTCAACGAAAGTGCCTTCGAGACAAAGACATCCTCCTTGGATGTTGGCATCATCTCGACTTTATCCGTGAGTGCTTCATAGACGGCCGTACGTTCCAACAGCTTAAACTCCAGGTACTTTCCAATCCCCGACGAGATCAGCAGGTTGGTCAGCGGGCCACGCGAGTAAAGCAACTTTGGCGAGAGATCAAAGTTATATTTGCGCGTTGCTTTGATGAACTCCTCCAGTGAATGGATCTGAGACACAGACACAGCCTTGAAATTAGCTGCAGTCGCTGACGATTCCGGGGCCGACGCCCATGTGGCCAATGTGTGGATGGCCTCCTTAGCTTCCTTGGTGAGGGCTTTGACGGGATATGAAGCAGTGATGTGCTCCTCAACAGCCGTGATTCGATCCTCTACTGATGCGTCCTTGTGGGATGCAAGCACGGAGGCAAGATCAACGGTGGCGTCGTTGGACTTTTGGCTCTCCTTGTAGAGCTGAACCTCGACATGATTATAGGCCCTGGCGACCAACTTGTCGAAATCGATCCTGTCCTTGTCCCCTATTCAATGCGCGTATTTTATCAGAAAGAATGATCAACATAGTGTTAGGTACCTTTGCTTAAGGACCACAGGAGACGAGCAAATAAATGAAGAAGAGAAAGAAAAAGTACCTTCGTTGGAAGAGTTGCCAGAGGAGGTGGATGCGACCTTGTCTGCCCAGGTCAGGAGGTCACGGAATCCGAATGCGCCAGATTCGCCACCATAGTAGTCGTTTTCGTCGAGGTGCAGGACAGTCTTACCAGCACGAGCGAGGGCAGCGGCAACGATGGTCTGCGTGAACCCGGTGCCGAGGAGGATGGCGTCAAAGACGGTGGTGTCGAGAGAGTTGGTATCGGCCATGAATGAATAGGAATAGCGGATGGGTTTCTTTACAGGGGAGGTGGAGGGCGAGGTTCTGTTCCTTGGTTTGCGGGGGACGGGGATCGGCAGGGGCTGTTGGGTGTCCTGGAGGCGTTCCTGCTCTTGGATCAACGGTAGTGGCGAGGGGGATGGAGCTGTGGGAAGGGATTGATGAGAGAAAGAGAGAGAGAGAGAGAGGGAAAGAGAGAGAAGAGGAATGTGAATACGAATCAGATGCACAGTCAGGCGGCAGGCAGGCAGGCAGGCAGGCAGGCAGGCAGTCGTGGGAGGATGTGGGAAGAAGGGAGGAGACGACCATTGGGTGCATGGACTGTCCCGCATGATAACGATAAACAACAGTGGCAGGGCACTGGAGTTGTCAGCACTGCAGCACCTATACCATGCACTGCACAAAGAAACAAAGAAGATTGGCTCTCTTACACGCACTCGACAGTCCACGTGCAGCGGATAGTTCAGTCGCCTGTGGAGGAGGCACTCCCCTACTGCCTCGTAGTCCCTGGTTCGGTGTCGCTGTTGCTGTAGTGGAGGCGGAGGTGGAGGCTGGGGCTGACGAGGGCGATGCTCCTGCTGTGTGCAGTGAGGGTCCTGGCTGGAGATGCAGAAGCATTTCTTTTGAATGGTGATCTGTGAATGAGTAAAAAAAAAAAAAAAAGAAAGAAAGAGAAAGAGAAAGAGAGAAGCTTGCGCGGGGAGGGGGGGGGATGGACTGACAAACCGCGTCTGCTGCTAATGTAAAAAGGGTCTGTTGGAACAGCCGTTGACGGGATGTTTCCGATAGTCAATTGGCTGTGTGCAGATCGAGAGAGTGATCGCTTTCTTATTGTTTCTACACTGCTGGATGTGTGGGCAGATCAACCAATCAATCGAGGACGAATTGGTGGCGCAGGATAGGATAGGAGAGAGAGAAAAGAGAGAGAGAGAGAGAGAAACAGATAGGATAGATTGAAGGAAATAGATGGATAGATAGATAAAGAATAGACAGGGTGGAAGTTGGACGGAGAGAGAGAAAGAAGGTGAGATTGGATATAGGGGGGACTATGAAATGACTGGGGAAAGATGACGGGTGTCGGATCAGGGAGCAGACCTGGATACCCTGTTCTTTTTATACCTCGGCCGCCATTATCATTGCGATGCATAGGCTTACTGCGTACTTGTCTCGCCCATTGTTATGCTTCAGTCCTTATTCGAAAACACTATAAACATCCAAAGATACGTCCTATTTCCCATATCCAATCCGCCTTGTCGATGGTTGTGTGAGTCCTCCGCTATAGAAACTCCCAGGAGAAAATAGCAGGCTATTTAGACATGGTCAATTGAGTTTAAAGAACACTGTTTATAATCCATCGAGGCTCATTCATCCCTTGCTGACAAGATGCGATGTCTCTGTGTGTCTCTCTATCTGCAGTCGCAGCCGAAGCCGTAGTCACAGTAGAGCAATCCTGCTACATGCACTCGACTCTCATTCACTCCTACTGAGCAGAAGACGCGCTCTCGTTTTTCTTTTCCTGTCCGCGCCGTATCCTTGTTGCTGCTGATGCGCGCTTTTTTCATAACAAATGTTCGCAATCCATAATTAGACCAAGGCTCATCCCCTCGCGACATTTGTCTTTGTGCTCTCGTGCTTGAAGTACGGACTACTTCTCCCCACTCTGTTGCTTTCCTAGAGCTGGCCAACCACCCTTAGCCTTGCTAAAGATTGTCGTTGGGTGCTCACACACCTGGAATGTTGCTCTCATGGATTTTGCTCAAGTCGTGATTCTTTTGTCCTCTCAGTGTCTGTGTGCTTACATGACCCCACGGCCCGCAGGTCTTTGAGAGCACCTACGTTTTGGGGTTGCTCAGAACGATCCAAAATACTCTTCGAAAAAGAAACTATCTAAGACATAACCATGGTATATACAATACGTAGTGCATTTTCTATTATTATTGTTTGGTGACAAAGGCAGGACGAGAGAGGAGAGAGAGAGAGAGAGAGAGAGAGAGAGAGGGAAAATACGAAGCATGGAAATGAACAAACAACAACACAAGTATTTGAAATGAACATCGGAAATGAAAAAAAAACCATCACCGTTTATCCAATGCAGAGCCCAGATATTTCATTTCCTGCAATCCATCGTTCGCTTTCGACCAAGTTCACGGTCGCGCTAAGCCCTGGCATTTCATTACTCATGTAGGACGGGGCCCTTGCGTAAGACTTCGCCGTCGAGTCCTTCGTTTCATTAAAAAAAAAAGTACAATGCATTTCGGCATATTCAATGATCTAATGTGTAACCATTCTCTCAGCGTTCTTTTCAAATGCTTACATGTTCGTAATGGGATCCTTCAGACTCGAGTCCTCGCCAGATGTTTCCTTCGTTCTCTTTTTACTATTTCTCTCATTCTCCCAACGTACCTGTGTCTTCGAATAAAATCATTCACCGAGTAATGTGCCTCAATCTAGACTGTCCCCCACCACGCGATTACGAACTGCAATCTCAAGGAATTGCCGGGGGTGGACTAACGCATTTCATTTTTTCCTTCCTTCGGATACATTTATCCTAACATCCGCTCAACTGGCGTGGCAGAAAGGTGTCCTCAACCCTGGTTCGTTGAGCATCTTCTGCTCTCACTCTCAACATAGAGACTGGCATGGCGGAAGACATGCATGTCCCATACATGTATACATGTCCCGTGCATGTACATACAATATAGCTCTATAAATGAGTATATCCCTGCGCACAATGGCAAGGCATGGCATACGTATCTTCAATTCGGCTAAAGAATTGCAGAGTACAATTCAATGTTGTTATCTCTTGTTCTGATTTTAGGAACCAGAAGCACAAGTACTCGGCACCGTCGTAACAGGATGTAGTGTGGTGGGGAAGACACTGACTGCAAGATAATTTATTGCGAATTGTGTAAGCTCTGGCTTCAAAATATCTTTATGACATTCTTCGATGCCCGGTTTTTCTTGTACGTCAAATGAGAGCTGCATTGTCGATCGAGTTCGGTCCACGGCCTTTCCTACACACGAATGATGGCCAGGTAGAAGGGGCAGACGTGCTACATAGCATCAACGCAACGGTGGTTTTGTTTTATATGAGGTTATGCGCATTTCATCACTCCATTGATGAGCTACTTTTTTTTTTTTTTTTTTTGTTTCCTCAAGGGCCCATACCTCGTCGCAATGGACATGGCTATGACCATCGTTCACTCTTTGGATGTCCCTGGCATAGCAGATGAAAATGGCCAGAAAGATGCGCTCATGACACTTGCGGATTCCGTACTTGCTCGCGATACACGCTTGCTTTGATATGAAGTGACCAGCTTTTTTTTTTTTTTTTTTAAAAAAAAGTTCGCATTGTCAGCTTTACGAACTCTCTCATTCATAAAAATGCAGGCGCCCTGTAATGATAAAAACACAGAGTTTACGTTTGATGTTGAAACTTGTCAAAAACCCATGACTGAGAATTCCTTGGATGGGACACTTCTCGCGCTCGCACCAAAGATTCGCATGGATCGCCGTCTGGTCATCGCAGACATGCGTCTTGATCCTCTCCTCCAGGCACCGGCAGTTGCCCGTACAGTGGTAGTAGCATCCGTGCCAATTGCCTGTTTCCAGGCGTCGAGTGAACTCTTCAGAGTATCTGATCTCGTACAGGCGCTCGAGTTTCTGTTCAAAGATGTTGCGGTGCAGGAGAAACAAGGAGGAGCTGCTATGGACCTGTTGGAAGTATCGACCGTGGATAGCTGACATTTTTTTTTTCTTTACTTCTGTTGCTTTTCTTCGTAGGAGTTCAGGTGCAGTGAGATTATAGAATCAAATGATGGATGAAGGATGTGAAGAAAGTGGACGGTGAAGGAGCAACGAAAGGAAGGAGAGTGATGTGGATATGAAAGGCGATCGGCCCTTTTTGCACTGTCATGCGATCAGCACTTATAGAGATGCGGCAATATAAACCAAAGTACATAGCCATGGATTTTATTCCGCCAGACGAGGCCCGGCACTGAGCAAGCTGCCCCATCAGCCGCAGAACGCATCCGCTGCTGGCTCGTCACGTTGCGGTGGTATTCTCTTGTAAAAGATCCTGTGCGAAGACGCACTGACGTTCCTCAAGATCACATACCCGCCGCACACCTTTTTTCAGAGTTGCGTATGTGGGAACGACCAAACGGGGACTGGACAGATGATCCTAAGCGAAGAGCGCATGAAAGCAGAGGGTTGGAGTGATGCCCACTGCCGCCCTCCGGCCGACAAATTATGCAGCGAGTTACCCCTGCTGGAAAAAAAAGCTGAAGATAGAACGAAGAGCCCGTGCGCTGCTGCTCCGCATGGAAGCGGCTCGGTAGAGGACGACGCGTCGCAAAAACTATCGAACTCTATTTCCTTGTGCTCACATCGCGGGGTCATCTCATTGGGGACAATTACCCGTTCAGCTCACATCTTATCGTAACATGAGGCGGTTGTTTAATGTCCCCTGATGGGACGTCCGTCTGGCTCCTCAACCTGAGGCGCTTGCAGTTGCCGGCGCAGGTTTTATTTTAATTTTTTATTTTCGTCGCCGTATCTAACCTTGGAGCTTCTGTTCAGCGCTTTCGATGTAAGAAGTGAACATGGCTTGGTCTAGGTGGGAATACGCGCCATAGAACGCCATGTATGCATACAAAGATGACTATTGGCTTTCATGTGCTGAAAAGTGCAATGAGGCAGTGCACATTCTCAGGCCCTCTACAGTGTATGAGCCTTCTACGAAGATATGTGGGAAGACAGGGCCTAACTTCATGTACCTCATGTTGCGGACATGAGACGGTGATACACACCGGTGTTTGTAAAATAAAATAAAAAGATGAATTGTGGATTTGAATGTCTCTCTAGGCGATCATGCTTTATTTAGCTTCGCAACGAAAGAATATCCTCAAAAATAGCGGCCAATGCTAACCAACGCGGTCCTCTTCTTCAGATGCGCTAAGACCTTGGCCTTGTACGCCCTGCAATGTAGCTCTTTCAATCCACCGCTATCCAGATGGAAATTTTCCAACTCGCTCTTAGCCGGGACCGCATTCACAAACGCCTTGACAGCCTCGATCTTGAGTGGCACATCCGGTCCGACCCTGAAATACTTCAGTCGCTGGAAATCGATCTCCTGCGCAAGAGTCATCCAGCCCTGATGGCTCAGATTGACCTTGTGCAGATCAATTGTGTGGATTGGCATGGGCTTCTGCAGAACGGATCGGATCCAGGTCAGGTCCTTGGTCGTCGCGTCAAAGGGTCCGCTCAGCTTCAGTTCATCCAGGAGCTCCATGTTCGAGGACTCGGGCATGCGCTTCGTCAGATCTGTAAGGATCGCTTTGGTGTGCTCGCCATAGAAGTTGATGTCCGTGATCTTGGCCGCAACTGTAGTCATGAACTCCCCCACACGAGAGGTCGTCCGTGGGTTGACTGTGCCCGTGATCTGGAACCGTTGCAGGGGTACTCTCAGCACAACCTTGGCTAGCTCATCCAATGCGGTCAAAGAGACCGAGAAGACATCGACCAAAGAAATGGTAACCAATTTGAGTTGACCCTTCCTTGTCCGAGTGACCTTCTCGAGAATGATAGAGTCCTGAATGTTGATGCTGTGGATAAATAGCTGCAATAAACACGCGCCAAACTTTTGTAGGAGCGTCCCGATCTTGTCTTCTGCATAGCTCATGATCGACAGCGTCATCTTGGATCGATCCGATACCCCATGCCAAACAAATGTTGATTTGTTGTTCTTGCCCCAGTCCTTACGTAGATGGAAGGAGTCCAGACTCGGATGATTGTTCATCAGGGCCTTGAAGTACTCGAAAACTTGGCAAGGGTCGTCCTTGGAATCGATCGACAACTCCATTTTTGTCAGCCGGTGGTTGTTCTTGATCAGCTCACGGATCCGTGGTCCGTCTTCGGGAAAGGAAATCCGAATGTTGATATCCTTCAGAACGTGGGTCCTCAAAAACATTGTATCTGCAGAAAGATAGGTCCGTACGGTAATGGCATCACACTTGCGCTTATTGAAAAACTCGATGGTCCCATCGCCTGCCGTGTCATCCATGGAGCCCGACAGATCAGATAGTTGGGGATCGCCGTTGAGGTTCAAATCCGTCTCTAAATTATCGATTCCAAAATCGATATCGATGTGGTCCCAGTACGATGCTTCCAGTGTGAGTTTCGAAAGCCGGCCGTAACCTCCCATGAGCGACCGAAGAGAGCGAGCCGCCTTATCCAGATCCATGACCAACAAACCAAGTTGAATCTTTTTGGGATTCGTCAACTCCCTCGTGAACCGAACCAAGACGGGATCCAAGTAGACGATCCCCTTTGAGGCAAAGAGTTCGTCGACACTCTCATTGGCACCATCGCCAGGAACCCGCCGTTCGATGGTGAAGGCCTGGACGTTCTCGTTCAAAAGTCCATAGCTTAAGGCAACCGTAGATCGATGATAGAGTCCGACGGGATGATCGACCTCGTCCTGCTGGTCGCGCACATAGATTTTGATACAGGAGGCTGAAAACTTCTCGATCGCCTGTTCGAGATCATTCGTATCCTGGAATGAAAGATCCCAATCCAGGAAAAACGAGATAACAGGTACAGTCGGCATGTTTTCCACGGCCCGGTAGAAGAGAGTCGCTTGTTGAGGTGTGTTAAGTGTCGCTACGAGCGCTCCCATTCCCATATCAAGGACAAACTGCAGCCCTGGATGATCATTCGAGTGGACCGGCGCATAAACAAGAGTTTGAGTGGGCGTGTGTGCGGCATAGTGTGCCCTACAGAGCCAACGAATATCTCCGTCAATCGTCCTGAACGGGTAGCTGCTTCGGAAAGGTCGCCGCTCCGAGATTCGTGATCTGTATAAATCCACCAGTTCTGCTTCCTTCAAGGGTGCCACGGGCTCAATCTCGTCCAGCGAAGAATAGCCCTTGGCAAGCATTTGATGACTCGTCTCGATCCCTTGCTTCATCAGGAACACCATCGAATACATGACCCGCTTTCGTAGCTGCATATCCTTCAGAGGTGAAACCTTAATCACACCATTGATCGTCACTCCGTACTCCAGCATCTCCAGGATCGCCATCATGTAAGTCCCGAACTTCAGGAGGTCCTTTTGCTGTGGATATCCTTCAAATCCCCAGTCCACATGAGGAGTGCAATCGCAACCGTCAGCGCCTTTAGCTCGATTCGGGCATGCATTGTGAAAGTCCGAACCACGAAGATCACCACAGTCGCAAACGAAGTGAAGGTCGAAATCCAGCCAGGACTGGGCGCCAACCGAATGCAGCTCCTCAAAGTCACCTGGCAAGATGACAAATAGTTTTGGACAGGGACTCTCCAGCCATGTATAGCGCCGTGTCAAAATGTCCTTCACTCGGCGGGCCACGATATCCAACACGCCAAAGGGGCTCTGCTGTCGCCCGTTCACAGAGTGAGGCTGGGCTTCGTTGGTAGTGCTAGTCGCAGCTGGACCAGTAGGCGTTTCTGCTTTCACAATGACGTTGCTGGTATTATTGCTGATGCTAGAAGGGTTGCCGTTGGTACTGTGGTTTGTTGCCTCTGGAAATGCCTCTGCCTTGCTCTCTGCTCCATCGGCGTCCTCCCCACCCGAGTTGCTTGCCGCTCTTTCCTCTGCAGCCATTCTAATACGCATTGCCAGCAGTGCCTTCTCGTGCTCCATAGCCTTCTTAACCACATCACTGAACTCCTTGATGCCCACTTTCATGTCCGTCGTCGACTGCTTCTCTTTGGTAGCTGGGCTTTGCTCTGTCCGCTGTTCATCATCCTCTTCCTGCACCAGTTTCTGTCCTTCCGCATTTTCCTTGCTGTGCGCTACCCTGATCTCGTGCACAGATTTCATCAACAACCTTTCCTTCTCCTCCAACAATTTGTCTCGGAGAAGCAAGTCATCCTGAAGCAGCACCTGCTTCTCAACCGCTTCGAGATCGTCCATGAGACGATCGAGCTCCTCGCCCGCTACCTTTTCGATTGCAGTGTTCCTCAGCAGTCCAGCGCGTTCTTGGAGTTGTCTCAGCTGCAAGACCAGTCTCCGGTGCCTTTCTTCGTCCGTTTCGCCCTCGCGATGCAATGACGTATCAGGCTCGTTTTCCGGGGCCATATCCTTCCGTGCATTGCCCAGCTGAGCGATCAAGGTAGCGAGCTCGGCCATGTTTTTGATCCCTCGTCCCAATGACAGTTGATCCTGCCATGCTTGCAATGCTGGTTGTGTTTCCACTATAGAATCCTGCTTTTGCTCCTGCCCTTCCTGCATCAGGTCTTTGCCCTCAAGTTCGTGAAACACCTGTGCCCGCTGCCCCTGAGATTTAGTATTGATATCAGCCAAAGCGACTTCGAGCTCGGCCATGGTCCTAAACTTTGGCTGATAAGTAATCATCGGCAAGCGGTTCGATTTTTCGGTAGCGTTGCTCTTGATTACAATTTCCTTGTCCATTTGATCGGTGGCCCTGGTCCCAACTTGCTCCAACGACGTTCCTGTTCCATTTTCTACGATTGCTGGTAACAAGTCTTGTTCTTCTAATGATATATCCTTATGACTGGAAGAATTTGTGTCCGAGGCCTTCTGGAGAGTTTTATCCTGGTCGGTATTAGCTGAAGAGGCAGTTGTGGTGGCTGTGGCGGCAATGTGATCGTTAGTGAACGATGCGTCCTGATTTCCATGAGCGGCGGGATAGGGGATGGCGTTAAGTGGGATAGTAGGTGATGAACTGGATGAATGGATATTGGAAGCTCGGTTCATGATAGGGAGCCGATTTGTTGATCTTATGGGTTGGTCGTAAATGACATCCAGCACGACGCCAGGATGATACCTGATTCCATGAGGTTTGATTCTAAGGAGAACAGGAGATGGGGAGATTAGACAAGCGTTCAGAAATAATATCGCATGTCAATAAGGCTGAATCCGGCGCACTACTCCAACAAATGCTGCCAACAATATCTCCTCTCCATTTCCTCCAAGCAGGATCAAATCCAACTACATCCTGACTCTTACCGATAGAGACGCTCATTCCTGAGCAGCGGGACAAAAAGATCTCCATTTTGGATACGACTCACGCCGGGAAAGCAGCGTACAATGTCGCTCCAGATAACAAAATGTTCTCCTGAGACGGGGTGGACGTATGCCCGGATACGAACCGGTGGACGGTCTCCTGATCGAAAGCTCTGGTAAAGGTCCGCCATCGTATCATCCGCTCGATCCTCCTGATGATCCGATTGAATAGGCGAAGAGAGAGTGTGTTGTTGGTATCTGAAAGGCTATCTGGGTGATATGGTGGGGGAGGCTGTGAAAAAAAGAGCCATGGCGACAACAACAAAAATGAAAGAGCAAAAGCAGGTCACGCTCACATGACGTTTCCTGGCAGAGGAGAAATTGTTCAGATGAACTTGGTACTTGCATATTTGAAGTGCGGGTGTCCCTTCCACCTACGAGGACGGCAAAGAAAGGGTGTGCACGGCCTGGGACGAGAGGATAATGATTAATGCCAATGGCCGGATAGCCAATTCAATTGGTGCAAGTAAGGATAGGGGACGATTGGGTCGATGAAAGATAAAGATATTAGAAAAGCCGAAAAGGCACCGCCCACGTGGGGTCTTTTTTAAACCACATTTGTTTCATGCAGGTGAACCAGAGAGGCCAGACCAAGCTGCTCGAAGGACAAAGAAACCATGACGACAGTATAGATTGCAGGTGAAGATGTCTGTAAAGTCTAATTGATGTACAAAGCAGGACTTTCACTGCTGGACTCTGTTTCTGGATTCAGTTACGCGGCTATAGTCTGGGCTGTCGCCTTGTTGTTGTTGGAGAAGGTGCGATAAAAGATGAGGCATTTTCGGTGGGAATTTGAGTTGAAATAGACTACGGGACAAAAAAGGGAATGTGAGTCCAGGTGGACTAAGATACTTTTTGCTGGCCCGTTTGTCGGATGCAACAACTCACTCATTCCTCGCCCCTCATCCTCATTTTCCAACAGAACTCTTTCATCTCCCTCCTCGCCTCTCTTTCTTTCTCATCATCTCCCTTTCATCCCTCCTCATTTCACTTGCTATCGTCAATGGACATTATTCTTCGTTCTCATTCATATCCCTTATCTTACACTTTTTCGGAACAACTAGCACCCTTTTTATTGTGGTAGTCCGTCCACATTACTCGTGCAGCCCCTTTTCATCACATTGCACTTTATTCCTCTCCTTGTCCCCGAATATCACTCGACTCCTCGGTCCGCCGACTGAAAAAAGAAAAAAAAAAAGCAGCATTTCAACTCCTTCTGTTCTCATCCTATTACGAAAATAACACGTCGTCAAATAGCCAGCTCGCATGAATTATGGCGTCCATGCAGGATCACTACGGCGATGGGGACAAACGAGAAGGAGTGATCGTGAACGAAAATACGGCGCGCAACATCCACTCTACGTCCCCCCACTCCATTCAATCCCACTCGAATTCATCGTCATTGCCTTCAACAAATTCCTTACCGTACCATGACCACCCTGGCGGGCACCTAATGGCTGTATCGTCTCAAGCATCTCATCCACTGCCGCCTCTGCCGCCTCATCATCATCAGTCGAGGCATCAGCAACAGCACTACTACGACAGTCGCCATCACTATAAGGATCCTCAGAGAGAAATGCATCATATGCGTGGCCTCAACCCACATCCAAGGGACCACTTCCCGCTATCAGCACCAAGCCATCCCCATCATCCAAGACATGAACATCAAAAGCAGTATCAGCACTACTTGCAGCTCCGTGAAGGGTACCCGCAGCCACCTTACCCTCCCTCGCGTTCGAACCAAGGGCACGAGCGCAGAGAGGAAATGCGTACATCATTTCATTCACACTCAGATTCCTCAAGCCCAAGCTCGAATGGTCCAATTAAACAATATCAGGGGCATCTTAGAGGTGTGGCTGAAACAGCTCGTACGCAAATACCTCCACAAGAATCTCAGTCAGTGATGATGGAACAGCAGCCGCAAGAGGTGTATCCAATAAGGTTCGTATATCGTATGAAATTATCGCGATCTGAAAAACGCTACAGCCCATGGGGGTTGCTATTATCAGGGGCTGAAGCAATTACGAAAGTGAGCCAAGCTGTATTTTAATCACTGCCAGGTGAAGTACCAAAGAAAAAAAGGATAGAAAAGATATGGCGCCATTAATGAGGAACTGTTCACTGGTTCTTATTTCTGGCGCTTACCCTGGGAATTAGAGTGCAACTGTGCCTGTGGACAGTTGCGTCTATTTTTTTTATATTTTTTTTTTGGCTCTCATAATGTAGAGAGCTCTCGGCTTCATTTATTCAGGTGTTCGCAATTCTGCTGTTGGCGTTAATTGATTCATGACGCCCATCTGCCCCAATGCTCCGCCTACAGCTATGATAAAGAAGAAGAAGAAGAACGCGCTCTGCTCAAGTTTTTTCATCTAACCAATAGTGGCCCTCTCTCTTCCTCACTCTTTTCCCTTCAATCCATCGCTAACTTTACCTGGTACAAACCCCTCCCATCCTTTTGTTTCACCTACATACCCTCAACTCGTCCGATGGATTTGTGTCATCTCGATAGCCAAGCAAGGATAAAAATAGTGCAGCAACCCTTGCACGCGCGTATGTGCGGGTTTGGCGAGAAGGACCGCCGGCCGATTGACCCCCCACCGATTGTTCAGTTGATCCTGGACGAGCCCAATTACAACGAGCTCAAGGCGCCCCCTAAACCCGTCAAGCCCATCAAACCAAAGAAGAGGAGGTACAAGAAATCCGGTCGAAAGGGCCGAAAGCCCAGCAAGAAGGCTCTAGCTGCCGCCGCTACTGCTGCCGAGGAAGCAGCGGCAGCAGCAGCAAAAGCCGAAGCTGAAACCAAGGCTGCTGCCAAGAGGAAAGAAAAAAGTGACGACGATGGCTTGGAGTTCGATGAAAATAACGAGGAGGAGGAGGCGGATGAAGAGGGTAGCCATGGCGATGGAAGTGACGATGGCGAGCTGTATGAACTGGACGAGGAAAGCGAGGGAATAGATGATAAAGAGGCGGAAGGACGGATAGAATCTAGTACTTCGGTGCGGCGGAACTCTCGACCCTCGGCACAAAGACTACCAGGACCTATGCAGGAGTCCTCCACCGCGGAAGAAAAGGATGTCAAAGAGTTTAACACGCCATTTCAACCTCCAGCTCCACAGCCCAAGCGACGCGGTCGGCCTGCTCGCAACAGTGTGACTCAAGGACCATCTGCTGGCATGAAACACGACCTCGAGGGCAACAGCAAGGCCTTTGATGAGATCGAAGAGGACGAAGAGCAAGAATGGCCGCGATACGAAGGTGGGCGCAGGGCCGTGCAGCAGGACCCACTCTACGTCTTGCACGTTTCTCTCTGGTCCGAGGATGGCTCCGAAGTCCGGAGCATGATTGCCACGCCTGGACAGTCGAGCTCCTCAAGACTGACGCGTATCCTGATGGGCGCTGTTGTCGTATCTCCGATTCTTTTGGATAATGAACACGGAGAGCCAGGATGGTACTTCAGCTTCCCGGATTTGAGCATTCGCACCGAAGGCGTTTACAAGCTCAAGTTTTCGTTGATGCGTTTCACATGGTACGTCAGAACAGAAAAGTCTAATGCTGCAAATATTGCTCAAGTTCGCAGCTTACATTTATTTTACTTTGTACAAGCAGTTTTGATGTCGATGATCTTGGCGGTAGCCAAGCATCCACGATCATTGCAGAGGAGACCAGCGAGCCCTTTACCGTATTCTCAGCCAAAAAGTTCCCCGGGATGACTGGTAAGCCAGACCAAGTATGAAAGCACGCGTGGATAAGAAAGAGATCACGAAAAAAGTCTAAACTCTGACGCTGCCTTTGTTCATTTTTGTATCCTAGAATCAACAGAGCTCTCAAAGGCTTTTGCGAAGCAGGGCCTCAAAATCCCTATCCGCAACGATCTACGCACCCGAAAGAACACTGACAAGGACTAGGGGCAGCCCTCATTTTGTCGATGTAGTGATTTGTAATCATTGGCCTACGAAAGACTGTATTGGTGCAATAAAAACTCGTGTTAAAACACACCACGTACAGCCGCGCTCGTTCTTTTAACATTGGTTGTTGGGATGAGATCGTCCACCTATAGACTTGTTGGACATGATCTTCACGCGCGTCGAGGACGCTCGCCTAAGATGATGGCTTTGTATCACATCGCTGCACTCGCCGACCTTGCATTGCTCGAAATGGAGCCATCACGCAGTAGAGAGAAATGCATTAATGTGCGAAACAGCGAAGTGTTTTTGTTGCATCCTCATAATTTCGTTCCAGCCAGCGCTCCAGTGTACATAACGCTTGAGTAAAATCTGTAAATGGGTCTATCGACATTCAAAGAGTACCGATCGTACGCAGTTTCTGAAACTCTCTTAGCGGTCACCGCACTGTTGAGCTTGGGAGCACGATCTGCCTAAAATCTGCCCTTTTACTGTTCTTGGAAGGCCTTGGACGCCTCCGAGTTTTTTTTTATGTTGTCCAGCTGTCTGGTTCATCACAGTTCGGTACTAATTAGTATCAAAACTTGGCAGAGCAAGGAGGTTAAAGCACGACCATACCAAAATATCTCATTGCAAGGGACTTTCTGAGGGGGCCATAAATACCAAGCAGAACGGCCACTTGGCACCCAAAAGAGCAACTGTCATGAAGAACTCTTCTGAAGATCACTACTGTCGCGAAACAGGGCGCGACAAATTGACTGCTCCTGAATATATAAGTGGCACAAAGCACCAGGAATGACTCCCTCCAGGCCAAGGAGACGCGTAGTGGCGACGACGATATCGATATTGGCGAGATTGGCATTATCGGGGAGCAACTCACAAGCGTTAGGGTGACCACGTGTTATGATCTCCTTGTACATGTGTTCTGCAGTAGCAAAGTGCGGAACATGTCATGTTATTTGGTGGTCAAGCGATTCGAACCACACCATACGTTGTCCTTTCCCCACATATTGTCATCAAAGATGAATACAATTCAATCCTGCATTTATATGACTGACTTTTTTTTTTTTTTTGCGTTTGTCCTTGTTTTTTGAATAGTGGAGAGCCCAAAAAGAACTCCAGGACCTTAGTGGAGAGCGAATTTGGTGCCACCAACAAATACGTGTGTAGCAGGAAGGTGGATCTGACGATCGGAGTCTATGCAGATTTCACTTGAGAGAATGAGATGCGTGTAATTAAGTTTAAGTCAAGCATGGTGCCAGTTGCAACAACAGAAGTCCGCATGACTCAATGGTGCCACACTTTTGAGCCTTGGAGAGAGGGGAGTTGACATCGCCAGAACATTCCTAGTTATTGCGGAAGAGGAAGGCCTTAGCATCGACCTCTACTCTCTGCGTCGATATGACGGAGTCCTTGGAGCCGGTCGCCCCACCCAACTAGTATTTGGCCCCCCGCCAACGTAACCCAGCTGAAGCAGTTCTTGCGACCCAGCTCGCCCAGGAGGATGACTAGGGAAGCTTCGAGCTTGACATCTTCAACGGATCATAGCAGGCGCTTCGTCGCTATCTTTTGTACTATCACAGAAGCATAGATGGCCTGCTCATAACATCCCTTACTTGCTGTACTATTTATACATAAATCTTTGTAATAAACAGCAACGGTATCCAGCATTTCCGGGATCTGGGCTCAGCCTCCCCTCCCTCAAAACCAAGCCATGCCGAATAAAAGCTAGAAACCATGCATGCCAGATTCAATTGATGTGAATGGGTTGGTGAGCGTCTACCTCGCTGAGATAGACTGTAATACATCCTCCGGTCTCTTGTAGGTCGAGTAGGCTCAGATGAATACTAGACCGGTGGACATTTTCTGAGTAGCAAAGGAAAGAGGTGGGATCTCCCCATTTGTGGCCAGTGTTTTTTTTTTTTTTTTTTGCAGTCAGTGGTATCTGTGCCACGTCGTAGTGTTCGGTACTGGGCTGCAATGTACCTAAGAGTCGGTGGATGAGCTTTCTCTCGCGAGTCTAGCTGATGTATCTAGAGCAAGGAACACCATATCTGCAAGACGTGGTACCCTGAAATTGCCACCAGTTGATACACCCATTCGCCTCTCGTTATTTCAAATTTCATGCCCAGGAAAACACACACTCCCTCCTCCATCAATACGGCTCCTCCCAAGAAATGACGCAAAGAAGGCAGGGATAATTTGCCCGCATACAATGAGCAGTTGCAGCTAGGAAGAAATGACAGCCGCACTGTGTTCTTCACTGTGCTTCTACTTCACGGTCAAAATCTACCATTTTGCATTACCTTTTATCGTTAGCTGTGTCTTGCTACTGAATGCCCTGACAGGGATCCTATGAAGCGACGAACCTAATGTGGAACTGAGCTGAGGTACCTGTTATCTACAGCGTGGTGTTTCATATATACAGGGAGTCGCAAAGTCCATCATAACTTCGCAGCGACCAAGGTTTCTGGTGCTGGCCCGCGACTACACAGCTGGATCTACTTCAACTTATAGGAAAAGTCCTGTCAACTCAATCATTACCAAAGGCATGTCCGCATTTGCGTTTGAGCGAGATCTGCATGTAGACTATGGAGCACACTTGCTTCTGCAAAACAAACATGCAAACTGACATGAAGATAGTCTATGCCGTTCATCCTCACAGGTTTACTTTCTCGCTGAGGCTCAAAGTGCTCAGCACAGGAGTGGCAGCGGCCGCTTGTCCTACAGGAGAAACAGGATGCTGGACAGAAGAGATGTTCCTCGGTTACACAGCCTCGACACATGGCTCTGCTCGGCATTCTTTTTGTGTTTAAGTCTTGGTGAGCAATTGATGACTGACTAGATCCATTATATTCTTGTACATGTAGTCTTTAGTTTGGAGCAGAGTGAAAGTGAGAGCGAGAGCGAGAGCGAGAATGAGTTTTTTTTTGTCCCCCAATGTTTGTTTGCCGGAATGCGTTCCAATGAAGATTTGTCGCCCAATTTCCATTAAACACAAGAATGCTGTGCAACCATCGATGCTCCTTCCTCATGCAAGCCGGATGTATAACATCCACACAGGCTGGAGAGCCGCGGTAGACTAAACCTCAACCTTTTCTCTCTCTCCTCATTTCTCCTCGTTTCTCCTCATTCCTCATCTCTTTCTTCCTCATCTGTCACCCCAGTTTTTGTTACCATATTCCTCTTACTCTGTATTTTCGACAAGATACCGCCAAGATGTCTACAGAGCCCTTTAAACCCCATGTCCTGATCGTCGGAGCTGGCCTCGGTGGGTTGGTCCTCGCCGCTATTCTTGAAAAGGGCGGTTATACATATGAGGTCTTTGAGCGTGCTTCAGGCGTCAAGCTACTTGGATCAGCCCTGGCGCTCGGACCAGGCATAATGCCACTCTTTGAACAGCTGGGTGTCTTGGACGAGCTTCTCGCAAAGGCCCAGAGCTTCCGCATAGGTCGTACTTGGAATCAGCAGATGGAAGTCCTTGGCATGGCCGATTACGGAGTCGATCAAGAAGAGTAAGCATATGCCCTTCAGACAACTGGTCCTCTACCAAGACTAAGCTCTCTAACATCCGTTTGCTTGACTCGTAGGTATGGATATGATAGCGTTATCGTCTCGAGACCTGCTCTCCACCAGATTCTCTTAACCTTGACTAATCCTGAGAAAGTCCATTACGGCAAGCGAGTACTCTCCCACGTCGAGACGGGCGATGGAGTGATGGTTCGGACTGCTGATGGCCAAACACATCACGGCAACATCCTCGTTGGTGCGGATGGCGCCTACAGCAGTGTCAGACAGTCGTTGTATGAGTATTTGGATAAGCACAAAACGTTACCCAAGTCCGATAAGCAGCCGCTGAAGTATTCAACTGTGTGCCTCGTTGGACAGACGAAACCATTGGATCCTGCTGAATGGGTTGGAATAGGCGACAAGGAATGCCGCTTTGATTCTGTTCATGGAGAGCGGGAACCATATTTCGTAAAGCACCGATTGTTTTATCGCGCGTGTCCACTGCTGAAGAACTCTTGAACATGAATGCGGTTTCCTGAACGATACCCTCATTTCCTTTCTTCATTTCATTTTATTTTATCAGTGGGTGACATTCACGACTGCAGATAACACCATTTGCTGGATGGTCCTTCTGCTCCTGGACGTGGAGACAAGCAAAATCCACAGTACCTTCCGCAACTCAGAGTGGGGCCCAGAGGCTGCTGAGAGTATGGCCAACGACGTCCGGGATTTCCCTGTTCCTTCTGGAGAGAACAAGACCCTCGGTGACTTGATTGACCTCACACCCAAGGAACTTATCTCTAAAGTCATGCTCGAAGAAAAATTCTTTAAGACCTGGTACGATGGACGCACTGTCTTGCTCGGAGATGGTAAGATCCTTGTTTGTTCTTTCTTTTCATTCCTTTGGGAAATTAGCTGAATGACTGAATTTTCGCTCTCCTTGTACTCTCTAACGCGCTTCGGTATATCAGCATGCCACAAGGTAATTTGTTAGATAGTGTACATGTTCTTGAGTAACGCCTGCACGGTTACGCTGCATGCCATTAACACCAGTCGATATTTAATTAGATGACCCCGTATGCTGGCTTGGGTGCCCTTAATGCTATGCAGGACTCCGTTGTCCTTGCGAACTACATTAGCATGATCAACAAAAACGATTCCGAGCACACCGCTAGTTTATTTCACCAATACCAGATCGAGCGTGCCCCGTTGGCAAAGGCGGCGGTTAACACAAGCGCCGGATTTTCCAGATTGGTTGATACGGTAAAGAGTCCTCGGCGGCGAACAAAAAAAACTCTCTCCCCCCGCATTTGAATTTATGAATGACCACTGCAACCGTACTGAACAATTTATATTTTTAATTTTTTACGCGTCAGCATTGGTACAACATTATCCTTCGAAGGATTGCGATGAAGTACATCCCTAAGTGGGTCTTAGATCTGACACTATCGAAGTCAAGACGGTATCGTCCTCAGGTCGCATTCCTTCCTCCTGCCAACGACAAGGGCCTACGACGACCAACGTATCAGCGGAGTTTAGAGGTTGCGCGGGCGAAGCTCCAATCCAATGCATCGAAAGCCGTTTAAAACCAAAAATAATAATATATGTTCGATTCGAGATAGACAGCTGGAGTCCACGATGGCAATAGGTCACCATTGCGGGCGCCAATTATTTTAATTAATATGACAATTGAGTAGAGAAGGGAGTGTGGCGAGAATGAAAAAAATACGTTCTTAGTCTATGTGGGTGCCATGTCGATTTTTCGCTAGAGTTTGAAGCTAGAGTAGCGCCGAGTCCAGGACTAGAGAAGGGCTGGCGACCCCGTTCCGCCCATGATGCTGACATACGTCTGGAGCGCCCGCATGATATATCCTGGGTCACTCTCTAGGACCTTGCTTAACGACTCGTACACTTCGACAAACGGCCCTGATTTGATCATGTACAGTTGCGAGAAGCAGTTCTATCGATATAAATAAATAAATAAAACCCCCCCGTCGCCTATTAGCATGAAAAGTAGAATAGAGCCGCTTTTTGTGAGCGCGGACACGTTGTATACCTCAATCCTGGAAATGCAGTTGTCTGCGATCTGCACAAGGTCATCCGGATCCACATTGTCTTTAAAGGGCAGCGAGAGAAGCGCCAAGTGCTGCTCGGATGCACGACCATGCTTGGCCAATTCACCGGACACCAATCGCTCAAGACGTAAACAGATCATCTGTAGAGTGCGGACAGAATTCGTGTCGAGTACCATAGGTTGTTCCATAATCGCCTGCTATTGCGTGTAAATGCGAGAATTCATATGCCAGTGAGTATAGGTTATTCTGATCCATAATAGGAGCTAAAACGGTGAACACTGACTTACAGATCCAAGAATGGGTGTCCTTGCCACGCTTTTCAAATCCATCGCGAAACGGCCTGCCAGTACTCGAGTGTACAGCAGATGAAGACTCTCAGGCGTTTCCAGACCTTTCAGCTTCTTCTCTCCGATATCGACAACAACATAACCTAGCTTTTTCAGCTCGCGGATATGGTCAACATCTGGGGAGTCTGAGTTTTCCAGATCACCAAACTGCTGCATGACCTTAATCACATCGCTGCTGACACAGATCTCGCCTCCGTCCGCAGAGCCACAAAGACGTGCAGCTCGGTTGACCATGGGTCCATAGTAATCCATTCTCCGCGTCACCTCGTCTTTGTGGCTCACGGGCTGCCCCCAATGGATCCCCATCTGGACAGAAAGACCACGGTGCAGGGGTTGATTAGGATCCGTAGGACTATATATCGTCTTGCCATTCTCTGAGTCGAGAATCTCCTGTGGCCAATCCGCCGAAACTAACAATTCCTGAACTTTGAGACACCAGAGCATGGCAGCAGGCACGCTTGAAAATGATGCCATCATAGCATCGCGTTCGTTCTTGACCTCGTACCCTCCGATAGAGCGGAGCTGACGACGCATCACGTTAAAGTGCTCTCTGACACCGATGGCCATCGCGATGGGGATGTCTTCCCACAGTTCGGTCGAGCCCTTGACACTAGTGAAGACCATGGCCACATCACCCTGTGGCGGCTCAATTTCCGGCTTCAGGTATTTCAACTAACATAAAGCGACAAAACAACAGCGTTAATTAAGGACCTTTCAGCACCAATCCCCTATTTGCAGTTATCCAGAAAACTTACAGCGTCAATTGGTCCCTCCGTGGGCTTGGGTCGCTTCTTGTGCTGATGATACTCTGCAGAGTCCAAGGGCTCCTTCTTCTTAAATAGGTCCCCGACTCCAATCAACATGACCACCATGTGCTCACGCGCACCATACGAGACTGCAATATCTCTCAGCTTTTGGGAGGCATGCATCAGATCTCCGTAAATTCTCATACCAGCCTTGGCGATATCCACAGCTGTATTGTACGACATCACATCCCAGAACGACTTTGAGGCCATGATCAAAAAGTCATCGTCCTCTGTCAGGGTCGTCGTCTCGATATACGGATTTGAATTGACAATTGGCACCAAGTGATATTGGCCAAACGATCTCGAGATGTCCAGCTCGTCGTTCAGTAGACCATCCTCACTGACAAATCCGCCCGAACGTTTGATACGTGCTGCCTCCGTGGGGTTCCATGGAATGTGCTTTTGCGAGATCACTTGAAATGAGTCCGATTTCTTGACCAAGACTGCGATCGTGTCTCCGACATTAGCTGAGTAGAGTGTGACGCCCTTGATGTATGCCACCAAAGCCGAAGCTCCTCCCTTTCCATTGTCTCCCTGAGCAAGAGGCCAAAGCTCGCGGTCCAATCCCAAGAAAGTTCTGCGAAGTGCACTGACGACTGTATCCGAGCCCTCCAGCTTCTCCAACTCGATCTTGAAGCAGTCCCCGAACCGATCCTTCAAATGGCTCGTCATTCTGCAGCTGGATTGAGACCGTCCTGAGCGACCATCGAACAATCCGAACAGCACTTCGTCATCCTTTGTGTGAAACTTCGGATGAACCAGATCCCAGATACAAAGGTTGTCGCTGTCGCCTAAGGTGTCTGCCATTCCGTAAGACATGTTGTGCAACGTAGAGGTGGATGTTCGAACGCGCCTCTCCACTGTGTCGTCCGGTACATTGTCCGTTATTGTGACATCCATCAGTCCCAGGATCCGGAGACAGGTCAGGTTGCCGAACTCAGACAGGTTGCCGGGATAGGTTGATGTTGGCACGATTTCTCCAGTTTGTCGCTTGATCAACAGCCTCTTATTACCTGACATGTTGAGATACTTGAGTTCCAAGTTCCAGTTCCTAGTATAATGAACATCGATGCCAGATTTTAGGTTGTGTTTTTCTTCGATTGAGTCAATTTCATCTGCCCACCACCTTGACTTACCAATTCCAATCATAAGGCCAATTCGAAATGTTGTACTTCAACATGTTGCAGCCGACATCCAGGACACCAAGGCGATTGATCTTACCCAGTTCAGCAGGAAGAGTCGTCAGTTTGTTCCCACTCACGTACAAGACTCGCAAGTTCCGCAAAGACTCGATGTCGTCTGCGGGCAGATTCGTGAGCTGATTACCACTCAAGTAGAGCTCCAGAAGATTGCCAGGGTTGGGGATTTTGCCTCGAGGAATCTCGGCAATAAAGTTGTGACTCAAGTTAAGGACCTCCAACGAGGCAAGGTGGGATAAAGGGTAAAATACATCGTCCGGAAGTCGATTATCGCCCAAACATAGTGTCTGCAGTGTGTTCGACAGTGGTGGTGCCTTAGATGATCGTCCGTTCGAGGGTGAGTTTTGCATGGCCGGCGGTGCTGGCAATGGCTTAGAAGAGGGAGACGATGCATTCTTCATTGTATTCAACGCCTGAAGCTCAGACTCGTTGAGCGTTGCAGAAGAAGACGTCGAGATAGTGATGCCGTTTGCAACGACAGTCTGCGGTGGATCCGGGAAGGACTCCAGAATGTTGGAAGAGGCGTTGAGGTAACTGAGTGCGCATTTCCAAATCGAAGCAGGGAGTTCGCCCAGACTGTTGCTGTGAACGTCCAGCTCTATCAGAGAGTCAAGACTAGCAATCTCATCGGGTACACTAGAAAGACTGTTGTTCGCCACTGAGAGCGTCCTGAGCCGCTTAAGTGCGCTGATCGTCCCAGGTATGGAGATAATGCTGTTGTTATCCAGTCTGAGGGTCTCCAGGCATCGCAAATGTCCAAACAGCTCAGGCGCCAAATTGGCTAATTTGTTTGAGGATAGATCTAAAAAGATCAAGGTATCGCCTGTCCCTCGTAGGTTGATATCCGTCATGTTGCATTTCACAACTGAGGCCCGAACCAAGGCGCCCAGGGAGGTGTTTAAAACAACATTCGTGTTGTAGTCCACCAGAAGTTCTTGCAGTGCCGGGAGGTCGTTGAGGGCATCGAGATTGAGGATGCCATTCTGTCGAATATCCAACTTCCGAAGGTTTGTGAGCTTTTCCATGGATTTCGGAAGAAAGGGAGCGATTCTGTTACCATACAGTAATAGCTTTTTCAGGTTCACCAAAGTGCTGATGTCGATCGGGACCTCGGTAATGTCGTTAAAGCTCAAGTCCAGTTCCTCCAAAGTCAACACTTGGCACAGTATAGCAGGGAACCTCGTAAAATTGTTGCTGGACAGGTTGATCACTCTGAGGTATTTAAATTTCTGAAATGTGTCGGGAATAGAGTCTAGGCGGTTGCATTGAAGGATCAGAGTGTCAAGTTTGCGTGCCTCGTCCAGATACGCCTTCTCCAAGTCCTTGATTCGGTTGCCTCGGACATCTAGAATCTGAAGATTGCTGATGTAGCGGACATTGCTGGGAACCTTGTCGAGGTCATTGTATGCCATCCGAAGGTCTCTGAGCGAGCTGCAGTTCTGAACGAAATCCAGTGGCAAATCCATGCGCTGGTTGTGTGAAATATTTAGTCGCACAATATCTTTTGCCCTCGAGTAGAGGAAGATCGGGATCGTAGGCAAACACCGGCGTTGGAGGTTCACATCCGCATATATGCTGTGTGGCGGGAAGTCCCCTTCCTGCATAAACCCGCGAATAAAAAGAATCAGCTCGTGCGCAATACCAAGAGAAACTTCCTACAGCGATGAAATGAAAAGTTGTTCCATTGCGCATACCGTAATAAGAGGTACACCGTTTTCTGCAAATGTGAAGCGACACAAAAAACTGTTGTCCTTGCCAGAAAGCTCATCCAGCTTGTCTTGATCCGTATATCCAAACTGTATCAAGCATCGTCGCAGTATCTGCAACGGTCGCTCATAAGGTCCCAATGGACGGACTAAAAATAATAGAGATGAACCGGTCAGTAAAAAGTTGTCAAGCACAAGCGTACTGATAGCTCTGCCTGTATTCATTCTACTGTTGAAAACACTTACCAACGTTGTTGCGGAGCATATAGAGGTGGTACTTGGATGTATCTGGCTTGAATATCTTTCTCCCAAGCATCGCGCTGAGTTCACTAGCTGTAATATTGTAGACACAGTTGACGGTAGTATATGTTGTATCTGGCCTGAAAATCCTGACAGTCGAGAGCTTTCTCTTGCCATAGTCCCAACTCTCATAGTCGCTCTGCTCCATCTCATCCGATGTCACATTCTCGGGTGTCAATGGGTGCGCTTTTTGCAGAGGGCCGACAGGTGACGATAACGAGGGCAAAACACCCCAGCTTTCCGGTGCAAGCCAAGCCTCGGCTCCATTGCCTGCGGCTGAAGGAGGAAGCCAATGACCATTCTTGGGATCATCCTTGATGCCAGCGAGTCCCGCCAAGTCAGTTTGGTCAACTATTCATTGTAACAATATGTTTGATCAGCGCCGTCAATACTTTACATCCCTTAATCAGGACCATCTAAAATGACCATGGCCTAAGTCCACGCTTACCAACATAGCCAGGAAAGATGGGGTCCTATGCATATGACCATGAAAAGCAAGTGTTGGGTTAGCACTGGAAGTGGCTATGCGAGGCGCCACAGCAACTGAGATAGTTCATCCTAACCCAAGCAATACTACAGGGATGGACAAAATTGGCAAGCAGGGGAGAGGATATACCGTGGGGACGTCTTTCTTGGAACTCTTCTTCCCAATCGAAAAGGGGGGCAGATGCCTTTGAGAATCACCACCATCGCTGCCATGCCTCCGATCAAATGAATATCCCTGTATGGAAGTTCCATCCTGATCCGAGGCCATCGCAAAGCTGTGCAGAGATGACGATGAAGGCGTTGACAACGGTGGTAGCGGATCATCGGCTGAAAACTTGCGGGAGCCGTCTATTCATACAGAAGTATGATTTTGTGAGTGTATGTAAAGATGATGCCCGAGCAAACGTCATAGACCCTGACCAGTACACAATATAAGCGTACGTTCTGATGACGGATACACGGAAGACTGTGCCGCTGGAGCTGGTGAAGACGATGTTGTGTGATGGGTCTTTTTCTTGAGAAAGCTGAAAAGTGTCTTCTTGGGTTCTTTTGCAGGACTCGCGATACCAACCTGGAGGTCGGCCAAGTCCTGCGGCAATCCAGGACGCTTCGAATACATCTCACCAAAATCGGTCGACTTTGTTCGTCGGTGAGGATTCTCCGTTGCGCTCTTATAAGACTCTGTCCGTTGATTAGGCCGGATCTGTGAAGGCGGTGTGGTTGGGAACAGATGTTTGCTGCCAGAGTAGCCACTTTGCTGTTGCTGCTGCTGTTGTCGCTGAAACTGGTCGGGGGAAGGCGAGCGTGAGTAAGATTCTGTCGATCGTCTCCTGCCAGAATCCGGACTGAATGGGTGAGGCGCTGGTCGATGCTGGTACGAGTGCATGTTACTGCTCCCAACGCTGCTGCTGAGGTTGTTGGTGCTTCCATAGTTCGAACCATTAGTGTCATGGATGTAGGAGGACGAGGCGTTGCTGTGCAAGGCACCATTGGACGAGTAGAGAGTACCCGAGGACCCCACGTTTGCCGAGCTGGATGACTGCATTGGATTGGGATTTCTGTTGCTGCCAAAGGACGTTTTACGTGTGTGGCTCCCGGAGGGCTGGTTGTAGAACGGGTCGAATGAGTCGGCGGCAGGTGTAGGAGAGGGTGGCCTCGACGAGGAGCGGAAGAAGGAGCGGAAGCCGCTCAAGTCGCTCCCGTCCTTGCTATTGTTCTTGCGCTTGCCGGTGCCTTCAGGGTTATAGGAGTTGGGCATCATCAAGGGGGTTTGCGCAATAGCGTCCAATGGGTGGAAGAAGTGGCTCCTTCCATTATGACTGTTATGTCTGGGACGTGGCCTTTGTTGCTGTTGCTGGTCTTCTGCTGCTCCAGAATGGACTGGGAAGAGGGAGGGTGAGGATGGACGGCCTTGTCCATGGTGTGTATTCACAGGTGAGCAATAGTAAGACGATCCAGCTGAGGGCCTCCTGTCACTGTTGGTTGAGGTGGACTCAACGTATCCGGGACCTTGATCATGGTATCTGGAGGACAAGGACGAGGTGGAAATGGACCCAGACGAAGGTTTGCGCTCGTCGCTAGGCGCCGGATACAGCGGTGCCATGCAACGTTCCCTCTAAATGCGAGGTTCTAGGGAGTAGTGAGCAGTTGGCGAGTTAAGAGAGAATAAGCAAAGAGAAAAGGATGTGTGTCTTTATGAACGATGAGAGTGAATGGAAATGATGATGACAAGGGTGACAAGGGCGAGATGAACAGTGGATGGGAGGATTCGAGTAGGGATGACCGCCTCAGCAAGGTTTATTACTTTTGAAGGCGCGCGAGTGGTAGGGCTCTCTATCGCCTATTACTCGTATCGTTTCAAGTTCCAAGGCAGCTCCTCGACCTACTTGGACCTGCATTGGGATATGCGATCCTCTGCACCCTATTGGCGGGAAATGCCCTAGGCCTAGGATGACATGGCGCGTCTTTTGTTTGTCGGTATATATCCGCCTTAGGGTAGTCGTCCATTTTATTGCGCAGGTGCCTAGTAGTAGATCCGCTGCTCCTCCTGCAGGATGTCGGGCCGCTTGTCTACTAGCCACGACTGCATCTCTTGGCTCAGCAACCCTATCCCAAAGTGAAGATGCCTCAATCTTGGGAATGCCCGTGCGAGCACTTCCATCTCAGGCCGTGCAAGTGGATGGTCCACATTCCCCACCAGTCCTAAATGTCGCAGATACTGAAGCCGCTTTACTCTATCACCTTCGACATCATCCTCCAATTCAAGTTGGCCGAAGCCCTCTGCAATAGATATAACCACTTCATTCGATCCGATCACAAGTCGCTCCAGCAACCTGAGCTGTGATACCCGTTCAAACATGGTCCACTCGACCAATCTCCCACATGGTGTAACCTCTCCATCATCCGAGCGGGGTTTGTCGAGTCCTTCCACCTCCAGCTCCTGCAGACCCAAGCAGCTCCAACGAGCCTGGAACACGCTTAATTCGACCTGTTGGCACCATGAGATCTTGATGCTCTTGAGTGTCGGTACATGCAGTAGTACCCTTTCAATAGCTTCCTGACTGACGTCTGGACACCACGAAACATCCAGTTCGACAAAGGACGCTGCACGCTGCTGTTGCTGTTGCTGACCTCCAATATGTCTATCGACGATCGCATTTAGGGTCTTACTCTGAATGTTCGACTGAGAGGCGATCAATGAACAGAACCCTAAACACGCCTGCACGACTTGGATCAATTGGTCATTGTCGATGGATGAGAGCTGGCTCAGGTTCAGCGACCTCAGGTTCAAGCAGTACTGGGGTAAGATTGACCACTGCAGTCGATCCCACGGCGCCTCAAAGTTACCGGAAATGTCGAGGACCTCCAAGTTAGGGCACTGTCTCAGCAATGGCTCTATCACGTATCTGGTCTGGAGGACACTAGTCTTGGCGAGGTTGAGGTACTTGAGGGCTAAAAGTGGCGGACGTTCTCTGTCAAGTGCTGATAACGTTGCCTCTGTGTCTGCTGAATCGTTTGGCAAGTGGTCGAATGCCTCAAACAGCTTGAATCCCACTAGATCTGACCCTTCAAAACTCAGTTTCAATAAAGTTGGGGCGCGAGCAACTAGGAATGTACCGAGATAGTCTGGCCTCAGGTTCTTCTCATCCTCGTCAATATCGGAGGTATCCTGCGTCAGCATGAATTCGAACTCGAGCTCTGCGTCCCCCTCAGACCCCCCGAATCGTTCTCGCTAGTACCGTCCACTGTGTCATCATTAAGGTCACTTCCGTTTTGATCCTGCTCCAAGTCGTCGAGAGTGTAAGGTACAGGCAAAAGTGTCTGTCCGTCAGGGTTGGCGGGCGGGTCGTCATAGAAATATTCCGGAGTGTCATTGATGAAGGCCAGCTCTTGTAAACATTCAAGTTGCCTAAGTATACTCAGCCAGGAGATTCCTTGTCCGTAACAACAATTGAGTCGAAGGGTCCTGAGGCGCGGTAGACATTGGACCATCTGCTGAACCACATCCACTGTCAAGCACCGTGTCAAGGTCAGATCCAGTAAGGTCAGCTGTGGACAAGAGGTGAACATGAGCTCCTGATCAAATCGGCCAATGAGCCTCAGCGAGCGAACAAGGTGGCCATAATGTGGAAGCCGAGATATGAAGTCGTCTCGATGCACTGGAGGCATGTCCAGTGTGTGCCAGAGCTGGGCGATAAAGACAGCGGACCATTCTTTGCAGACGCGTGCAGACCGGACAATATCAGCGCGTGAGTCCTGCAGAAACCAGGAAATATTCTCGAGCAGCTCAGGGAGCAGCAACACAGCCACTGCAGAGGACGAGGAAGAAGGAGGAAGGTCAGTTGAAGTCATGGGAGCCGAATGGAAAAAGTGAGGAGGTGCCACAATGGCATTAGTTTCCAAGCGATGAGGGGAGGAAGACGTACACATTTCGTACGTATGATTAGAATGCACAGACGCAGAGTCATCGAATAGGTCTTACACTCCGCTCAACTTGTTCTCTCCTTGTCGATCACGCCCGAAGAGATCTTGACTCCATCGCTCTTCATCGCCTTCCTACTCCACTCCACTCCTCTCCACTCGCTTGATTCCATCCATTCATTCTTTTGTTTATCTGCCTCTTCTATCATCCCAACCAATCTCTTGTTCTATACTCATTGGAGCCACAGCACTGATCAATATGGTTCCTGAGACAGATCTTGTTCCGCAGGCGGACCATCTCACTGTCTTCTTCGCCTCTCAGACCGGCAATGCAGAGTCCATCTCTCGTAACATTCACGAGCAGGCTCAGGAGAGAGGATTCAAGTCAGCTCACTTTGCTCTTAACGACTTTGCCAAGGTTGACTGGGACAAGGAAGAGTGTCTCGTCTTTGTGGTCTCTACCACGGGCGACGGCGATCCTCCAGACAACTCAACAAAGTTCTGGCGCCATCTCCGTAAGCTCAAGGGCGTTGGTCTCACTAAGGCCAAATATGCCATTCTTGGTAAGCAAAGCGACTCATGGTATCTGTATTCATATGCATGAGTGGACCGAATAGGTTTTGACAAGTGATCGATATCTCGAATGTATGTAGGCCTCGGAGATACCAATTACGACAACTTTTGCCAGACAGCTAAGCGACTTGACACTCGCCTTCAGGAGCTTGGAGCCAGCCCATTTTATGCTCGAGGGCTCGCTGACGATGCTACAGGGTATGCGGGGCTGACCATTCGACGTATCTGCTCGTCATCACACTGTGCTAATCACATTAAATCTTCTGCTTTTTCCTATTATCACGCTGTTATGCTAGTCTGGAAGAAACTGTGGATCCGTGGATTATGAACCTTTGGCCAGCTCTCGCTCACCAGGTCATTTGTGCTCCCACGATCCATGACCTACCCCAGCCTCATCTCAATAAGGAAGAGGAGCAGATTGTCAAGCATATCATCGAAGCAGAGAGGAAGGAGCACGAACACCAATCATCTTCGCCGAAGGCACCACCAGCAAGTCCCTCAGCTGTTAAAGACAAGGGCACCATGGAATCATTGATCAAGGGTGTCGAGTCGCTCTCTGTCGCTACTGAGAAGACACCCATAGTCCCTGCTACCGGACACACAATCAACGTCGACTTTTCAGTCATGGCCAATCATACCAACCTTACAGCTTTGCCGCGAGTTCCCAACGCCAATCTGAAGATCGTAGATGCTGACAGCACAACAACCTCGACAACTACTGGTGGCATCCCTTCATTTATTCAGACCCCTTCTCGCTTGATGCTGGCCAAGATTAACAGCATCCAGTGCTTGACGCCTGCGGATGCATTGAAGCGCACACTTTCGATTGAGTTTGGATTTGAAGACGACGTTGAATATGCTCCAGGAGATTCATTTGGCATCTGGGCACCTAACGACGAATCCTTGGTCCGTGGAGTCTTTGCCGCATTGGATGTGAAGGAAGAAGACATGAGTAAACGGATCAAACTGGAGGGCGAAGGTAACATATCAACACATGGAAGTGATTTGACCCCGTATGGGCGTCCATCCTGCAAGAAAATCACTGTTTAATCGCTCATCTCTGTCGTTTGTGCAAAATAGGTATCCCATCTCATCTTCAATCTGTGCAGTCGGCAACATTGTTAGATGTGTTTCGCTATGCCGTGGATCTGACAACTGTTCCCAAGAAGGCAAATTTTCGTCTCTATGCAGATCACGCTGCTGATTTGACCGATAAGCAGAAATTGATGTTTATGGCGTCTAAACAAGGAGCGGATCAGTTCAATGCATTCCGCGCGCA